ATGAGCCACTACCGAAGCTCGGCAGGAAGCGTGCGTAGCCTGTGAGTCGACCGGTGGCCTCATCCACAAACACTGACCCGTTATCTTGTCTCGTGTCTGACAAGTCACTAAGGTCCAGCAGGATGAGGGGGCTGGAAGTCTGATTCGATGTAATGCGGAAGCGGAAAAGAGATGTATGATGAGATGCGGTCATGTCCACTTGGATACCAGACGCCATGGTCAAACCAAAGTAACCAGGGCTGGATACGACAGAATTCTCGTCATAGGTCGTTTTTCGCTGCTTCTTGGGGTAGACGCAGCCATTGACTTGGTCATCCGCGCAAGACACGTAGGGAAATAGCGGGAAATTTCCAAGGGAAGGTTGGCCTCCTGTTCCAGAGTCATGTAAACTAGAGAACCCTGTGATTTTACTGCCATCTAGAGTAAATCCGCCTTGGTTACTTGGGGAGTCCGTGTCAGCAACGGCCTTGGCCATGCCGTAAGGGATTGTTGCCCCAGGAAAGACATTTCCTTTGAGAAGGTCAGAAACGTCAAAAAATCAAGAGCAATTTTGAGATAGATACCGCCATCCGTGCTTCCAATGAGTGGATCAATGTATTGCAATACGTCGTAATCATCCACAGCCCTGACCAGCGCGACCTGGAGCAGCACGAAAAACAACAGGTGAACCATCGGGGGCAGGAGAGTCGTGGGTAACGGCAGGCTTGAAGGTTCGAGAAGTCCACGAAATAACCGTGTCGCGAGTCGCGAGATGTTGGAGGTGAGTTCCCTGGTATGCACGCAAGCATGCTCGCTGGTCCACAAGGGGTACGGCCATAGGGATCGAGGTAGCCACTTCCCCGGAATCTCGGAGGGAGATCATCTCAGAGCTAACGAAAGCCATCTTGGATTAAGCAAACTCCCCTGGCGATCATCGGCCGGGCCGGACTATCACTGAGGAGTCAAATTGAGAAAATGGAGGACGTGCGGTGCACTGTGCATTTCTGCAGTCGAGTCACTTTGCAGTTTGCAGGGGTGCATCGGAAGCAGTCGATCTAGGCCTCATGGCATGATAGTGATACAGCCTATTAGGGGCCATTGCGGCTGGAAGCTGGATACAACATCAACAAAAATAGCTGCACTTGAATCCCTGTCCGAAGAGCTGTTGAACGTGGTAATGAAAGGAGTCAAGCCAGAACTTCGTCAATAATATCCAAAACTGCCCGTGACCATGGCCCGTGACTTTAGCAGCCATTTCCCAATCGGGTCATTCTCTCGAGTGCATTATTATTATTGAGCCCGTTCCGAGTCCCAGTTGGTATCCAGATGATTCACTATTTCTGCCCAGCGCAGGCTCCACAATCTGGTCTTATTTTGGCACATAAAAAGAAAACTCCTAGTTTGAGTTGCTCAGGGATATCATTCCGGTGCGAGGGATCGGGAATGTTGTGCAGATTATACGTTTTACACACCGTACAGGTTCACTGGCCCAACAACATCAAAGCTCAAAATGCCCGTGATATTTAGACCCGAGTTCCTCCCAGCCAAGACCAATCCGCCCTCTAGACAAATCAATAATAATATGGATGACATCGCCAGATGGAAAAGAGCCGAGGCTGTTGTTGCCAGGCCGCAAGCCCGCAGCCAATCACGATCGCGGCGGCGACGAGTCCCTCCGGCTCCGGCTCGAAATGGAAATTCTTCAACGGTCCCAGAGACCGACAGCCAACAAGCCGCGACGGTTCCTATCTCACGTCCGAGGCAAATGCACCTTAATCTGCTCGTTGGGGCAACTTTGGATCTGTCTCGCCCTCGCACTCTCCTTCATGGTTGTTGATTGGTTTTGCCTCTCGCGTTAAACCGCTCGCTCCTTTTCCCACTCTCGTTAAATCCTCCGGGCCCCATTTCTATTCTTCGCCATGCCGTCCTCAACCTTTGTTCGGGCGGTCCCCACTGCAGCCAGGCTCCATGTTTCTTATCCTTCTACAAAATCCTTGAGTCTAGCCCGCTTTCCTAGCTTGCCTCCAGCCACACGTTCTCTTCAGCGCCGCTATCAAACAGTCGGTATGTTCCATTTACCCGTCATCCGTTGTGGGCCATGTTGCTAACGGCTATGCCGGTGCTAAGGTACTGCACATATACAACCTCGGCCGCGCTCACGCCTTCGTCGCTTTCTCGGATTTGCATCCATCGCAACCTTCGCAGTTACTACCGGATTCCTGCTAGGCGCAGCAGGACAGTACCGCGATATCATGACCCTTCCAATTCCAACAGACGAGGAAACCCTTGTCGCATTCACCCCTTCCGATGAGTTAGCGCAGAGTGTTGAAGAGCACATTCACAACCATCCTCTTTCCGTATCGTTGCGGGAGGATCCTGCCTATACCGAATCGCGGCCGTACCTGAAGATTCCAGAGCAAATACGTAGCCGCAGCCTCACAGCCGGTACTCTCTCGAACTCAAAAGGCATTGTTGTCCCACCAGTTGTGTTCAGCAACAAAGAAACAAACACCTTGATATCTATCTTCTACCTTGGCCCCAACGTCTCCGGCCATCCAGGCATTGTCCACGGTGGGTTTCTAGCGACCCTATTGGACGAGGGCATGGGACGATGCGCTTTCCCTGTCTTACCGAATAAGGTCGGTGTGACTGCGAACTTGAACATCGACTACCGACGCCCGGCCATGGCCAGCTCTTATTTTGTCATGCGCGCGCAGGTAGTCAAGTCGGAAGGCCGCAAGGCTTGGATTGAGGCCCACATTGAGACTCTTCCCGAGGAGGGTCAGGAGCCCGTTGTGCTTGTTGAAGCCAAATCGCTGTTTGTAGAACCGAAACAGGCAGCTGCACTTGTATGTTCTTCATCAAAATATTCCCCATCCTCCAATGGACAAGGTTGTGGCTAACTATGTGATAGGGCGACAAGTTGCACAAATTTGCCAACTAGAGGTACCAGTCTTACCTCATACAATGGACATATAGACGGGCATTACAGTTAGTTGTTGTATTTGGGGATATTTGGATGAATTCGTTCTTGCACATAGCTTTTTAGAATACACTTAGACGAAGACTGGCTGGGTATCAGGATTGTTCTTCATAGTCTGTAATCCGGCTAAATTTACATATAATAATAGTATAATTTTCGTGGAAAATGGGTTTAGTTGTGTTTGAGCTGGCTGATACACCGTGGTGCTGCGGGCATCTACAGCCTTAGCGTCCCGACCGCCTCCGCCAACCACCGCAGCTCCGGGACGAGAACCCAACCAGACAGCTACCCACACTACATCACTCCAGCCCCGACTCCCAGCTTTCCATCCACCAGTGCTTCATGCCTGCTTGCCGGGCGCGGCGATAGCTTTCTTTTACCCCCTAACTCTCAGGCAAACCTGCCACCATGTCCAAGTCAGCCAAGTACCTCCTCATTTCTCTCCCCTCCTCCATCACTCCCTCCCACCACCGCGACGATGCTCTCGAAACCATCACATCCACCGTCGGTGCAGACAACGGCTCGGTCTCTCCCTTTCCGATTCCAGAATTCAAGATCGGTACTCTGGATGCTCTCGTGCAGCAAGCGGACGAGCTGGCTAAGCTAGAGGCTGCTTGCCAGGCCGTGGTTGGTAAGGTCGGCGATGCGTTGAAGAATGTCCTGGAGGGGGATGAGGCGCAGATTGAGAAGATGAAGACGGTGAATGATAGTATGTTGTCATCTTTGGCTCCGTCGACTTGATTATACTGCGGAGTGGGTGTTGACCTTGGTGATAGAACCCGTGGATCAGTATCTCCGAACGTTTTCATGGAATAAGGTCAAATACCGGGCTGACAAGTCGCTATCGGAATTGATTGACCTTCTACAAAAAGTGCGATTTGCGGCAACTTTATATCGCTTTTTACCAAGCTAACTCGTCGCAGGAAGCTGCTAGTATCGACACCGACCTCCGATCGAAATACTCCCAATACAACCAGATCAAGAATACCTTGGCCACCCTCCAACGGAAACAAACGTAACAATCCCCGACTTGCAGGCTTACGAACAAGTTTTAACTAACTGGACCAGGGGAAATCTATCTACCAAGTCCCTTGCTTCCGTTGTCGACCCCCGCAGCCTCGTTCAGGACTCCGAGTACATCGAAACGCACCTCGTTGCCGTTCCAACGCAGCAAGTGAAAGAATTCCTTAAGACTTACGAAACCGTAGCCCCCATGGTTGTTCCCCGCTCCGCAACCCTAGTAGCTGAAGACAACGAATTCACCCTGTACGGCGTCACGACATTCCGCAAGCACAGCACGGAGTTTGTGCACAGGTGCCGCGAACAGAAATGGATTCCCCGCGACTTCAAATACGTGGAAGGCGGAAAGGAAGAGGAGCGCAAGGAGGTCGAGCGCGTGGGTGGTGACGAACGCAAGCTCTGGGGCGAGACGCTGCGACTGGGTCGGACATCGTGGAGCGAGGCTGTTATGGTATGGGTTCATGTTCTTGTCCTCCGGGTGTTCGTCGAGACTGTGCTCCGGTACGGTCTTCCATTGGACTTTGTCTGCACGCTTGTCAAGGTACGTACCCCGCTGCACTGCCCAGAGAATCAAAAACTAAAACCCAGCAGACGCCGAGCTCAAAACAAGCCGACAAGGCCAAGAAGAACCTTGACGATAAGTATTCGTACCTAGCCGGAAATGCCTTCGGACGAGACAAGAAGGGCCGGGTTAAGAAGGAAGATCCAAACGAGATGCATGGGGTTGAGGGCGGTGGCGCAGAGTACACGGCCTATGTGTACTACGATTTTGAATTCAATTGATCCACCGGGATTGTTTTTTTGTCTATATCTACCTGGTTGGTTACTGAACCTGAATACCTGCATGTTGGTAGCGTACATATACCGTATACTGAGCCTGAATTGAGCAATTGATCCTTTCTACGCCACCATCACTAATACCCCGCTGGAACCACCATTGGAAATTATAGACGGCTTGTCTACAGAGAATCTCGTCAACGATCGCCATCCGTGCGTGGGATGAGGACAAGTCTTGGACTCTTGGAAAGTACCTGCGACCTGCGTACGTAAGTGCCGCCCCCCCGCGCTCGGAGGGAGCCCCGCCCCGCCAATCTTTGTCGGTGTCCCGCCCTATTTTTCTCGTCCCAGCCCGTCCTTCTACCTCTGCTTCTTTCTTTTCCTTCTTCTCTCCTTAACTTCTTTCCCTCCTCTCTATCTTCCTCAATCACACCGAGCCTCCCAGGAAGCCAGGTCAATCCCATCACACCTCCAAAATGGCCACGTACGCACCCCCCCACGCCCGAAACCACCAGCCCGTTTCACCAACTAACCAACCCCTTAGGAACATCACCTACCACGCCTCCGCCCTCACCCGCACAGAGCGCAGCAACCTGCGCAACCAGCGCGGCCTCACAATCTGGCTGACTGGTCTCTCCGCCTCCGGAAAGTCCACCATCGCCGTCGAGCTCGAGCACCAGCTGCTCCGCGAGCGCGGCGTCTCGGCCTACCGTCTAGACGGCGACAATGTCCGCTTCGGCCTGAACAAGGACCTGGGCTTCTCGGACGCTGACCGCAACGAGAACATCCGCCGCATTGCGGAGGTTGCGAAGCTCTTCGCCGACTCTGCCTCCATCGCCATCACCTCGTTCATCTCCCCCTTCCGCGCGGACCGTGACACTGCCCGCAAGCTGCACGAGGTCCCCACGCCTGGCGAGGAGACTGGCTTGCCGTTCGTTGAGGTCTACATTGATGTGCCGATTGAGGTTGCGGAGCAGCGGGACCCCAAGGGTCTGTACAAGAAGGCCCGTGAGGGTGTGATTAAGGAGTTCACTGGTATTAGCAGCCCTTATGAGGCGCCAGAGAAGGCGGAGGTTCACGTCAAGAACGTGGACTTGCCTGTGCAGGAGGCTGTTAAGCAGATTATCGCGTACCTGGACTCCCAGGGATACCTTCCTCCCAAGAAGGAATAGATGGGTTACCCTTCGGTTCTGTATTTTGCGAAAGACATATAGGTGTAGATAGTTTACTTTGCGTCTGTTGCGTGCGGGTTTTTATGGATCATTATGTCGCTGGATAGACATACGTGCAGATAGATGTTAAATACCAGTGTCTGTACATTTGATTGAGTACTACTTCCTATTAAATAGATTTGCCCAGTCCTCCACATCTAAATCTTATATGCACTTCTATACATAGCTCTATTTCCCACTCTCTGCAAGACTAATTACTTTCTTCGCCGCATCTTCAAAGCTATCAAACGCATGCAGCGGAAGCCCACTCTCAGCAATCTGCATCACAATCAAGTCAGTACACCTCCTCAACCCCTAAAACCACATATGCGTCTTATAAGAAAGAACTCACCAGCTTCTGTCCACTTTCCTCGTTCGTCCCCCTCAACCGCACAACAACAGGAACAGTCATCTCCAGATCCCGGAACGCCATAATGATGCCCTCCGCAATCATATCGCACCGCGTCAGGCCGCCGAAGATATTCACGAAGATGGCCTTCACACGCGCATCAGAGGTAATTATTCGGAACGAGGACTTGACGGTCTCGGAAGTCGCCTTGCCTCCTGTGTCGAGGAAGTTGGCGCAGTGTCCGCCGTGGATGGAGAGTGCGTCGACGGTGTTCATTGCTAGGCCGGCACCGTTGACTGTGGTGTTGTTAGCAAAGGATATTCAGTTGGCTGATGAGTATGCTTTGGCTTCCTTACCTAGGGTTCCGATACTGCCTTCTCCTTCCAATCTACAAAGTTTCAGGTTAGTTGCGGTTCCGTTGCACTGCACAGTGTAGATAAGGGATAAACATACTTGACGTAGACAATCCCGTCCTTCTCAGCTTCTACCTCCTCGGGTACTTCCTCCTTGGTGTTTCTAAGTTTATGGATATCTTCCTGCCGTCCCGAACTTCGGAATGCAGCGTCATCGAACCCGAATTTTGCACCGCGCACCTCCAAGGACTCGGATGTCCGCACCTCTAGTACGAAGGCCTCCTTCTGTTTGAAGATTTCCCAAAGCGCCTGAACGAGCTCCGCAAGTTTTGCGTGTGCTGCATTCGGAAGTTGTAGTTGGGAGGCAAGGGTTGCGATGATAGGGTCTGAAGCGCTAAATTTCTCTGTGGTGTATGCGAAAGGGAGACGGACAGAGCTTCCAGGCTCGAAGCCAGCAGACGACGAGGCGATTAGCCCAGGCGTAAGGGCCGTCCTGTCAATTGTGAGGGATAGGTGAAGGTCTGAGGGTGATTCGGTGCCCTCGTTGACAGGGATAGCCTTTTGCTTAAGGATGTCGAGAGCTTGGGATTGCTTGATGTATAGACTTCGGGATTGCATTTTCTGGAGCGGCATTTGTCCGTGTCTGGGAGTGGGTGTGGGCCGTCTCATTGTGTGCAGGCCTCTTTTCTGTGTTCCGAAGGTGAAAGGCTGCGGTTGTTAGCATTTCTAGATCTTCAAGTATTTCAGATGAGCACTTACGCCTGACCCTAGAGCGCTAGACCGGTTGTTGCTGAGAAGGGTTCTCATGCCCTCACCAAACTTTTCTGGGTGGTTCACCATGACTGCACCTGCACGCTCAAGAGCATTATACTTCTCCTCTGGTCCTGGCTCTCCAGGGGCAGTCCAAGCCCCTGCATGGCCCATGATCCGGCCAGGAGGAGCTTGTCGGCCACCGACTAGAGCCATGATCGGTCTTCGCCGTTAGTATGCATGTACTTCAAGGCAAAAATTCGAGCACATACTTCGGGTTCGCGGTTCTGCGGCGGTAATCCGTAATCCATTCTGCTGCATCCATTTCGGCTGTTCCACCGATCTCACCTACCAGTATGATCCCCTCGGTATCTGGATCTTCTTCAAATATCTTGAGGGCATCGACAAAGTTGGTACCTGCGAGGGGATCTCCTCCCATGCTGATACAAAGACTCTGGCCCAGTCCGGCACGCGTAGTAGAGGCAACAGTCTCGTAGCTCAGAGTGCCTGACTTTGCGACGATACCTACATTTCCAGGTGCGAAACAAGGTAGCGGTTGGAATCCAATGCGACATTTCCCAATTGCAGAGATGATACCGGGGCAGTTTGCCCCGACGAGTCGTGTTTTGGACTGAGTCTTGAGGATTGAGTGGAGCTATTTAGTCGATGAGTATGTGATCAGTAATGTTGGGGAGATGAGGACCGTCGTACACGGAGGATGTCATGGAGCGGAACGTGCTCTGCTACTGCAACGACCAGCGGGATCTCAGCCTCGATGGCTTCTTCAATTGCCTTTGCTGTTTGGTTTCCTGGCACGTATATTGCCGAGGCATCTGGTTTGGCTCGCTCTTGCGCCTGTCATGGGTGTATGAGTGTTGAACTTCAGAAATAATAGAGGCATCGGAGTCCGCACCGCCTTAACTGAGGGGAAAACAGGAAGTCCAAGGTGCTCGCCCTCCACGCCAGGCTTTACACCTCCGACAATCTTCGTCCCCCATTCTAGAGACTCCTTTACATTCGCCGTTGCCTAGCTAGTCAGTATGTTCCGGTGTTGCTGATTTCAATCTGGATGATACCTGTCGGCCTGCAACATCGTAAGAATAGTGTAAAGAGCATCCGGTATCGGCGATGCATACCTGTAAACCCCTGGAACAGAACTCTCGTGTGTGCACCGATCTTAAGATTTGGAAGTGTATCTGCATAGTCGCCGCGCCGTGACGAACTGGAAAAGTGCTTGGCTTGCCTTACTGAGGCTCGCAGAAGTGGCGTTCTCTGCACCCGCACAGTTAACGAGCACAACCCGGGCATTGCGAAGCGTAAATAGACAAGGCAAAATGGCGCTGGAAGTGAGCTCTCATAAACCAAGGATAAGTACCAAGTTACACAAGCAAGCTAATGACGAAACAAGAACAATTGAGCCCCAGGTGCAGTATAAGAGGCCTCGGGGAGAATAAACCTAGGGAAATCTGGGGTCTTAAAGACGAACCTCAGTGCCGGTCTCGGGCTTCTTGCCGAATCCTTCCGAGATTTCGAGAGAGCGAACCTCGACAGCGATTGGCCTTCTCGGAAACTGAGCACTGGCTCACTCTCGGAGCGATAGTCACCCGCTGCACACGTGTTGCCGCGCAAGTTCCCTTTGACACTGCAAGCGGGTCCAAATAGCCGTTTTGCTCCCATATCACCGCCTGTCGAACAGGGGAACACACGGCTGCTTGATCCAAATAGCCGAGCACTCAGTAAACCCAGCATTGTGCAGAGATACCTGTAGTAGCATGCAAGTAGACCACAGCATGATACAACAACAGACTCAATCTGTCAAAGCTTAGCAAGTTAGCATCATCTATAGCATGTGGTGTGCACATGCAATCTTTGGGCTCTCTTCCGCCATCCCTTGGGACGTTGATCTCGGTCGACGAGCGATCGACCTGCTCTGCGGTCGCTCTGAGCCCAGAATTCAAGCCAACGCTCAATCCGGCGAAATGAACCCCCAATCATGGAGCTGTCAACTCCATCCTCTTTCCTCCATCCCAATCACGAGACCCAACCAAACAAGGCGGGGTTGAACTGAAACGCGGCAAACTCCAGACTGACGCCATACATTATTTCACCCTTGACTATTAATAAACTACACCCACATATCGACACGGTCCAGACATTGGGCCTCAAGGTCGTTACTCCGTTTAAGAAGTGCTTGCTGAGATGGCTTCGAAGCCCACGTCGGGCGCAAAGGGTTTGTTCTGTCTTTCATTCTCCTTCTGTTCTCTCTCTCGTTTAACTTGCTTTGTCGCTTGACATCTTGCCTATTCCCGAGCTGTTATACATACCTACACCGTACATACTTTTTTTATAATCCAGGAAATCCCTGCTGATAATCATTCCCAATGCCCACAGCCGCAAGTCCAAGTCCAACCTCAGCAGCAACAGCAACCTCCGAGCTCCAATCCTCCCTCCGCGAGCTCCACATCGGCGAAAAGACCTCCTCCATCCCCGACATCCCGCGTCCAAAGATAACAACCGCCTCTCTCAACACCGCCGCTCCCGTACCCAAGAAAAAGAAGGCCCCTGTCGTCGTCGACTCCTGGGAAGATGAGCTCGACGAATCCTCACCTACGGAGTCCGCCCAGGGCGAGGTTGATCCGGGCTCGGCGACGTCCAATTTCGCGGAATCAGATACCAGCCTGGGTACTTCGCCCGCTGTAGCGGAGGGGCCGCTCGATCCCCCTCCTACGCCCATCTCGCCACAGACGTCTCGGCCTTGGGTTGCTGCGACGGGCGGGTATGGAGGGCCGGCGTCCAGATCTAGATCTACGTCTGCGCCGCGCGACCCGAATCGGCGGCCGGAGAAGCAGACTGCTGTTGCGGGGAGGTTGATTGCTGGGGCGTTGGGGATCCGGGCACCCAAGCGGACAGAGGAACAGCGGGCGTATGATCGGTCTGTGAAGGAGCAGGAGATTAGACGACGGAATAAGGAGAGAGAGGAGGCGGCCAAACTAAAAGAGGAGGAGGAGAAGGTGAAGGCTTCTGTTTGGGATGATTAAATACCTTGTCGGCTGTTTGTTTTTGTTTGCTGCGGTTATGTTCCGTCTTCATTTACAGTGCATTTGTCGATTGAAGGTAATGTGGAGTTGAACCGTCCTTGTATGTAATATTTTGGAGGGTGGAGTTTTGATTTTCAGGCGTAACATATCATGTATACTCATACAAGGGAGGCATGATTGTAGACGATGTTGCGATCATGTCATTATTCGAAGATAATATGAAAGACACTAGCATAACGCATATGCGCCAACACTGGCCTCCCGATCTATCGAAAAAGAGGATAAAATAAAGGAAGCAATCATAAGTAGAGAATGCAAACAGTCCGTTGTATCTTTTTTCCCATTATGTCGTGACTCCCTCGTCATCAAAGCTAGAAAACCATTCCAAATCAGAAGAAATCCCCCCGTTTTGAGCCAAGATCAAATACTAGCATCGACCACACTATGGCTCATCTCCGAAACGACACGAGAGGACATAACGCCCGAACGGAAAACGCTGCAGCCGCGACGGGAAATGTGTGGATCGAGTCGTAGATATCGTCGTCGAAAGACAGTGCGCCCACCTAACCTCCGATCTGCTCTTGGTGGACTTCGAGAGTGTCACCATCCGCCATATCCAACTAGAAAGGGGGAAAGAGTCAGCCACATGAACTCATATTGTGAATTTAAGATTCGTGCATGAAGGGTTCAATCAGACATACAGTTTCAGGCGTATCCTCTGGTCTCACTCGGGTGCCGTCAAAAAGGAAACGGACAGTGGAGGCCTGCTTCCCTTGCCTTTCACAGAAGGCATCCATGAGTTTCTTCAGCTGGGTCGACCGCTTGATCTTGAAGAAAACCTCATTGTTGTTATCGGTGACCTTGATGTTGAGGTGCTCGGCAGCGCCAGCTGGGGCCTCGCCTCCTTGTGGTGTATCGGACATAATTGCGGTGTTTCCTGTAAATGTGGCTGCGAGAGGCGGATATTGGCTTGGGAGGAGTCTGTAAGCTGTTTGTTAGTCTCGTTATCGGCTGAACGTAATGCGACCCGGTGCGGGGTACGATATGGAGGTCGAATGGGTTGGGGGTGTACTAACAGAACTTCTGAAGTGTCACGATAAAAAGGCCACGGGTTGAAGAGACTGTTGGTGTAAAGGATCAAGGTAGAGAAGGAAGCAGAAGAGGGTGTAAATGGGATTAATGTCGGAAGCGATGAGACGGTGATCAAATGCCCCCACCAGTGAAGAGCAGCGGAAAATCTATTCTGCGGCGCAAGCCAGCTTGGATGCAGGTGAATGAAGGTATGGAGCTTCAAGTGATTCTGCACTTACCAATCCTAGCCTACTAAAAGCTTTGTCTCTTCCTCAGCTTGAATTAATGTAAGTTTCTCTTTGGATATCTTTGCTTTGTCTTATCTTCACCTCACATCCAGTAAATGTTGCTAACAATGTTGAAGTGCTCCATTACATCATGGTAAGAAGCAGATTTATATCTGGATAAAACGGATAATAACATCCAGTTCTACAGGGCGGGTTAAAAGAAGATATAGCATTTGATCCTCCCTGCCACCCGCGAGCAGTATGGTCTCATTTTCCTTTGATTGCCTTTCAACCATTGCTGACCATACTCAGTGCGCCATCCAAGGTAGATTTCCCGAACCATGGCACATATCGACCAGGCATTAACAGCTACAGCGTGCTTGACCAAGAACTCCTACCAAGAGGAAAAGTGTCAGGCTCAGATAAACGCATTGTATGAATGCTGCAACGCGTTTTACGAGCAAAAAGGCGACGACGCGAAGACTCCGAGCTGCCCCAAACCCAACCTGCTCAAACTCAAGATGAAGCAGCGTGGACAAGAAACTTAGCTCTTCGCCTACGTTTTCCTTCTTGTTATATAGATACGACGTACATACTAGACCTCGCGAGTGAATATATCGAGACCAGACGCTTTGTTTGACTGGTATCAAGTTGGCGTATTGAATGCTACACAGCTGCGGAGTGTGTTGTAACAATTCCCTTGCAGTCTGGGCTCCCATGTAAAGTGAAGAGCAAGACTAGTTGTAAGAACTGCTGAATTGTTCTAAGACAATCTTGAGCACGCGAGAGGCCGATTGACCTGAACGAAGATTGAAAACGCTCGTTCCGAGACTCTAATGATTGCCTAATTGACATTGAAGAAGAAAAGGAAAAAAGAAGAAGAGCGGCAGAAAATCCGAGAGATTTTTTAAGGCGTGGAGTGCACAACGCTAGTCCAGTTGTGGTCTAGTGTTTTGCCGACCAAAACAGCGCGCTGGGCCAACAAGAATTCATGCGGTGACAACGCAAAGAGGCAGAAACACAGTCGCGCAGCTGCATTTTGCTTCTTCCCAGCCCATTGCTGGGAGTTTTCTCTTTTCATCATCGTCTAGCTCATGGCTCCCCTGAGTAGAGCCGCCGGGTCCGCCGGCCCTATTTCTGGCTTCACGTCATTCAGTGTGAGTATTGTTTTTTTGAGCTCAGTTCTTCGTTGGGCGCCTCTAACACACGGTCTCTTTGTCCTGCAGAACCAACAGCCACCAAACAATACCGAAATTATCGAGATCGATGACGATGACGATGAGCCCATGGATGAGGAGGAAGTAGTAGAGGAGGACGAAGACGATGACGAAGAAATGGATGGAGATGAGAACGGAGAGTTCGAGGAAGATGCCCCCGATATGAATGGCAGCGAATCACCTCTTGACCTTCCCGGAGCTCCAAATGGGCAAAGTAGGCCTCTTGTACACGAGCTTCGATACATCACTGACCGTGCTGCAGATGGGTTCGATGCTGCCTCCGAGTTCTTCACCTCAGCAGGCGCACAGCAGGCCTTGCACCCCCTCCGTCGAACTGCCGACCGTGTTACGCGCCAAATAGAAGCATTCGCGGAAAAGCTGGACCGTTTCAGACAAAAGGACAACCGCGCTGACGAATTGGGGAGTTACCAGGCTGTCTACAACTTGGTGAAGGGATACCAGACCATTGCGCAAGATGCAATCCATGACATTTCTAAGCAGGAGACGCTGAAGAAAGCGAAAGGAGGTTGGGGCTTCAACCAAACCAACGGTACCTCTCAGGCCGATGCGAAAACCGAAGAAGAACTGCAACGGTTACAGTTGGAAGCAAGCACTTGGCAGCTTCTGCTTAACCTTATCAGTGTCGACGACCCTCCTAGCAGGGCAAGCTTCCAGAAATCACAAGAGACTGTATTTCAAAAACTGCATCGATATTCGTCGGATCGTGAAGTATGGGATCAGTTCATGAAGGCGGATCAATACGCGGTGGAATGTGTTCTTACGCTGAAGTGGTTGGAATATACTGCGCGAAACTCTGTCCTAGATATCGACTCTTTAATATCAGAACTAGAGGCGCAGGCTGAGAGAGGACAAGGTTCATGGACTCATGGATGGCTATACACCAAGGAAACTATCAAGGGACAAAAGCGACTGCGTGCCTGGCCTCAACCTCTCGAGCCTAATGACCCAGGAATTACAGCTTCATTGCTAACCTCTGAACAATCCGAACCGCTGGTTACGCAATTGGATCCCGACGCCGTTACCCGTCAAAAACAGAACCTCCAACGAAAGGATCAGTACTACGAGCGTGCTACGTGGATGACTTGCTGGAAAATGCTTAGGCAAGGGGAGAACTGGAGTAAAATCAGGGAATGGGCCTCAGATCGACTAGAGAGCTGGCGCGCAATTAGTATCTGCGGTTCCAACGTTGATCCAAATTCAGGCGGAGACACGCCTATTGACGATTCAACAACACGGATGATGAACTGGCGCTCTCAAGATTCCTGGAGGGCCGCTTGCTCAAGTCTGGCGCGAGACTCCAAGACCGAAGATTTCGAGCGTGCTGTTTACGGGCTGTTGTGCGGCGAGTCCGAAGCGGCCTTCAAGGTGTGCCAGAGCTGGGACGACTATCTGTACGTCTACTTCAACAATGTCGTCCTATCCCGTTACAGGGGGTTCTGCAAGCAATTCCAACGAAAGCTCAGCCATTCTCCTACGAGCCCAATGGTTTTTACGCCTGAACCTGCGGGCTACGCAGAATTCAATAAGTTTGTGCAATACACCAGGGGCCATGAGCGTATCGGAGGCGAGGCTCGAAACCCCTACCGTACAATTCAAGCTGCGATCCTGGGTAAAGGATATGATTTTTTCTTCGCATCCTTGGCCGCGGCAGTTTCGCAAGCAGCTATCAATAGGAATCAGCCTTCATTTATACCCGATCTGTCACCGAACTACGTTGATGATTCTCTCCTCATTGCGGCTGAGGATAGTGATGCTTTGAGGATTGCTACTCATCTCTTTATTATCGCCAACTCCATCGGCTATGTGCGAAGTGATACTCAATTCTATGACATCGCGACTGTGAATATAATAGGGTATATTGCCAACCTGGAGGAAGCTCGCCTCCCTGAGCTGATTCCGCTCTATGCCTGCCGTCTTCCCGAACACGTGTTGTATTCTGTGCTTGGCGATGTTCTGATCGAGATAGTTGACCCTAGAGAAAGGAGATATCAAGTTCAGATGATGCACAAGTACGATATTGACATCGAAGCGGTTATTCGTGAACAGTGGGCGACGGTTACATCCGGGGAATCTGCTATTGATCATTCAAGGACTCTCAAGCAGTTCCCGAAGGTCGTGACCCGCAAGGATGGGAACCGCGAGCTGGTTCCTGTCAAACATGATTTTATCGGAACAGACCTTTCAAGGAAAGACGAGAAGATCATACGTAGTCTGGAATGGCTTCGTTATGTCGACGGGCAATGGGGTCGAATCTGCTTCCTTGGGGCAACGCTTTACCGGAAGTTCTACAGTAAGTTTCTTCACCTTCTGTTGTCGAATAGTTGCTAACACTTCTAAAAGTTACTGGTAGACTCCCTGCAGCTAGGGAACTCAGTAGGCGAATGCGACTATCGGACATTTCCCGGGAATCTTTCGGGTTCGATATCACTGATTTCGCTATGGACTATGAGGATGAGTTAGATATCGGCACCCCAGAACCTTCCAGCCCTTCCAAAGCACGAGCATACGGGCACAAGCGGAATAAATCTAGCAGTAACAGCTTGCCGTCGACTGCTCAAACCAGACTTCTTTGCGCACAGTCGCGGACTATGCGTGACCTAGAACAACTCATCCTTGCCTTCGACGCATTGGAGAGGTTCGCTGGCGTATGTGAGAAAATTGATAACAGCAAACGCCGACGCGACTCGGGAACCATCAAGAATCTCCTTGCGGAACTGCAGGATGCGCTAGACGGAGTCAGCATGCATATTGATGCAGTCCTCTACGACTGGCTAATCAGCGGCCAGAACGGTAAGCACTTCGCCTCAATGTCCTGTTTCAAACCACACCCACTAACTAAAACCTATAGACGAAGAACAAGCCGAACTAGAAGAAATCCGCAACACCTACATACCCGAACTCTTCCTCGATTACCACAGCGCCCTATATTACTCAGCACATGTCATTAGCAGCGAGATTCTAGTCCAGTGCATGAACCTCGCCATGCAAGTCGCTGAAAATGAACTGCTGACGCGCGCCTTCGTAGCGTCGCGCCGGATGGCTGAGCTGACGGACGCGTTGGCGCTCTCGAGTAAGGCGATGATTAATGCGCGGGCGAAGCCCGACACGAAGCTTTTGGGCGGCGAGTCGCTCGCCATTTGGAATGTGGAGGCGCCCATGGATGAAGAGGATATGATGATGCTTCGTGAGGCGCGGTAAGGGCCTAATTGATTGCTTACTTTACTTGCATAGCCGCACCGCTACTGTGCCCGCTAAACTGGAGTGCCACCGCTCTTTACTCAGGAGGTACGAAGACACTAAGAGTGGCAGTACGTACGTATATATGTATGTACTATCAATTTCAGCATGGATGGATTGTACATTACCAACAATGTTTCTATTTTGACTTGTACCGTTTCCTTTTTCTTATCTCTTTTGTATTTCCACCACTTACATGCTTGTCTCCTTTTGTTGCTGTCTCTCTTGACCTAGTGGGATGTCTTGGAGGGACTGGTATGGATGGATGGGAGATTCATTACACTTGCATTAGGACAGGGTTTTAGGAGTGATACAAGGTGTTTTCTATAATAGGATACAAGCTGAGAAACCGAATATGGAGCTTAGAGGTTTATTTGCCGCATTTCCTTGGCTATTTCTTGACTGTCTTAGATATTTATGGTGTAGATTGATACGGATCTATCTATAGTAGCTGGCCCAATAACGTCTGTTTATAGTTCTGCTCGATTGCATGGATAATAATTATAACCACGGCACGGCTGGGAGCTGGCCAAGATACCGCCTGGACCAGGTTCGAAAACTACTCCGGACAAGGTCTTGCCCGGGATCCAGCTGTTTTCACACTCTCGATGTTTGATTGGTAACCGAACATCTTCCGATCAAGAACAATCACTCGCCGTTTCACTTGAATCAGGATCGGGCCAGATGTAATAGCCTCGGACACCGGAGTGTATCTTAAAACGGAGATACTCCGTTGTACGCCTTGATATGGGGGTTTGGAGTCAGCAAATTCACCTATCAGGTTTGAGGTTGTCCGGGATTAAGCTGAAGAGGTCGGAATACACGTCATGTTGGTCGTGGCCATGGGGATAGACCAGGATTGGCGGTAATGATTTCTTGAATGCTCGTGATTCTTGTTTTTCTTTGAAGTCCTCGAGACCAGAGCTCTCAGAATTCAAGGACTTCACACTTGGCATCGACAAACAAGGAGACTGGTCCCGAGGCGCGTTGCATGATCGTCACTACTGGCCCGAAAGACGGATCCCCAGACGATTCCTTGCACGGGTAGGATTGTATTATTGTTTGACCGTTGTCTCCAGAATTGAAGTGAAGCGATCGCGCAGAGCCAAATATCCATGCCAAATCAGGCAGTAGAGTTCCTTGACCATCACAAACTAGAGAAAGCCAAAGTCTTGACTGCAAGCAGGGATTAATTACTTGTAACCAATAACGGATGGGCATCAAAAAGGGACGATTTGAGAGGGAAGGCGAGAAGAAGAAATGAAGTGGGGATACGCATGCACAGCCTCCGCCAAGCGCCGAATCCAGAGCACTATTTCTTTGCCAACTCTCAAGTCGTCCGGTCGTCAGCAGAATTCATTTCTCATTAGAATTATTAATTGGCTGAAGTCGAGAAGAAAAGAGGGTCAATGATTTGCGAGATTAATACCTGCGTGAATGCGTGGCTTGTTAATTTTCAGGGTTTTTGCAGATGCAGGCCAGCTGGCAGTGGCCCTCGTATCCAACCCTTGGAGACTCGATAACATTATTTTTTGTTGGCTCAAAGCTGGGTTTTGGGGAATCACGAATCAGAGCCATCCATTCTTCAAGCTGTCATCGAGAAGTCATTGACTGAGCAACCATAACACAAGGGCCGGGAAAAGGGAGTCTGGACTTGCAGCAAGAAGGCAATGTTATGGGGAAGAACCAGGGTGGAATTGAGGCAGTGCAAACCAAGAGCGAGTAAGGTTGGCGGAAGCAGTGACAAGCTCCGTTTCCTCCTCCAGTGGCAATCTCGAAGTCGCGACGAAGCCAGGATCCATAAAAGGAGGCTTTGCTTCTCACTAGATCTGATGGTGGTGAGATTGCCTGCCCTTAGCTCACGGCTGCTTGGTGATGCTCGTAGAGACTTGAGAGATGCTGCAACCAGCAAGAGTAAGAAATACGAACCCCCGAGTCTGGAAAAGTTCCAGATCGAAGCGAGTGGGTCGGTGCGAGTGGAGTGACGGAAGCAGCACGTATGGGATTATTAGTCTTAGTCTATTTACCGTAGATTCGCGACGCTCAGGGTCCGACCTTGGTGACACACCTTCTTCGACTCGCCTCTCTAGTCTTTTTTCTCTTCCGCCTCACCTTTTGTCCTCTCCATGTCGCTCGTATTGGTCGCTCCTCCATCCTGATTCCTGAGCTCCTTCGTTGCTCCCAAATTCTTCCTCTGTGGACGTCGATCCTGCAGCATCCTTCCTTTGTCACGTTGGCCGACCAGTGCGTTCGCTTGTTTCGCTTGCATATTGGGTGACCCTTGGGCACAACCCACAGCCTCTCACCGATTCCCATCTCTTCTGATGGGATTGTTGACGAACGTGGAGTTGTCAATTCGCCTGGGAATGGGTGCCCTCTCTTGTTAGTTCGGCGCTCGCTTTTGATGACAGGTTCGAATAGCATTCAGTTGCTCCTTCCGGGGCCGCATTCTTATTGATATCCCACATCCCTTTCCCTTATCTGTCAGTTTTCGGGGTTTCTTGAAGGGTCGGTCTTGTCTTTTGGCCGATCATGTCTGAGCCGAGACCATCGAATGAGAATGACTCTGCGCAGACTCCCACGACACCTCTCCGCAGAGAACGAGCCCCAACGATAACGATAGACACGTCGGCCATCTCGGACCAGAACCTCTCCCGTGCTCAGGTTGAAGCTCCGTCGCAGACTTCACGTTCTACCAACCATGTTGATCATACAGAGACCAGCGCACTTTTGAATGGCAATGCTGTTTCTCCGTCCGACACCCGTTCAGTTGCATCGATACGTTCGTACGGTTCGTCAGAAGGCAGGGAGCACGATAGCCGGCCGACCTCGCCATCACCTCACCATGTGGTATCGCCTAGCTCGAAGATGACGGACTCTATGCTTCATTCTAACTACCTCGCCGTGCCAGGAGCTAGGTCGCGTGGAAACTCGCTTGAGTCTGACGATTCCATACAATCTAATGGAGCCGAATCACATTCAAATCATAATGGGAATGCGTCGCCTGCAGCATCTGCAGATAATACCATCGGAAACTACGAGGAGGCTCTTCAGCCAGATCCGGGCAGGGAGGCGGAATTCGAAGTCGAAAACAACAACTTTGCCTTCTCCCCGGGGCAGCTGAATAAGCTGTTGAACCCCAAGAACCTTGGCGCCTTCTACGCCCTTGGCGGCCTCGCTGGTCTTGCGAAGGGCCTGCGAACCGATTTGCGCAGCGGGCTGAGCTTGGATGAAAAGGAGCTGGAAGGGTATATAAGTTTCGATGACGCAACAGCACCAAGTAGCGCCGAATCTTTGCCTAAGCCTGCCGCCGAAGACGAGCCCCCAAGGCCACCCCGAGCCGATACCACGACTCCCCATAAACAGGACGAGAACTCCTACTCGGATCGTAAGCGCATATACGGATCCAACAAGCTGCCGGAGAAAAAGACCAAGTCAATCTTCGAACTAGCGTGGCTCGCGTACAATGACAAAGTGCTCATTTTGTTGACGGTGGCTGCCATTATCTCGCTTGCGCTAGGAATCTACCAGTCTCTAACAGCGGAGCCTGGCGAGCCGCGGGTTCAATGGGTCGAGGGTGTCGCTATCATTGTAGCCATCTTAATTGTTGTGGTTGTTGGAGCAGCCAACGATTGGCAGAAGGAACGTCAATTTGTAAAACTAAACAAAAAGAAGGAGGATCGAATGGTCAAGATCGTCCGCTCCGGGAAGGTGGCCGAGATTTCTGTCCACGATATTCTTGTTGGCGATGTTATGCACCTGGAACCTGGTGACCTTGTGCCAGTGGATGGCATCTATATCGGAGGTCATAACGTCAAATGTGACGAATCTTCTGCTACAGGTGAATCAGACGTACTTCATAAATCACCTGCACAGGATGTTTATGGAATTATTGAACGGCGTGAGAATCTCGCCAAACAGGACCCGTTCATCGTATCTGGTGCCAAGGTATCGGAGGGTGTTGGACAGTTTTTGGTTACTGCAGTTGGAGTGAACTCTACTTATGGCAAGACAATGATGTCTCTTCAAGATGAGGGCCAAACCACGCCATTGCAGACGAAGTTGAATGTCCTCGCGGAATACATTGCGAAGCTCGGCCTGGCTGCTGGTTTGCTGCTATTTGTTGTCTTGTTCATCAAGTTCCTTGCCCAGTTGAAAGGCTTGGGTAGCGCCTATGATAAAGGCCAGGCTTTTCTACAAATTTTCATCGTGGCCGTGACTGTTATTGTTGTTGCAGTTCCGGAAGGTTTACCGCTGGCTGTGACGCTCGCGCTTGCATTCGCTACAACACGTATGCTGAAGGACAACAACCTGGTTCGCTTGCTAAGAGCCTGTGAAACAATGGGCAACGCAACCACCATTTGCTCAGACAAGACCGGCACACTAACGGAAAACAAGATGACCGCCGTGGCTGCGACTCTGGGAACTAGCACTAAATTTGGAGGGAAATCCCAAACATCCTCCACGCCTGCGTCCGAGAACAACGGCCAGACTCCCGATTCTGGAAACGTATTATCTCCTTCGGAGTTTGTGTCAAGTCTTTCGCAACCCGTCAAAAAGCTTCTCGTCGACTCGATCGTACTAAACTCGACTGCATTTGAAGGAGAACAAGACGGAGCCATGACCTTTATAGGGTCAAAGACCGAGACTGCTCTCCTAGGATTCGCTCGGACATACCTGGGACTGGGATCGCTCAGCGAAGCAAGGGATAATGCTACTGTTGCTCAAATGGAGCCTTTTGATTCGGGCCGAAAATGTATGGCAATTGTGATAAAAATGGACAACGGAAAGTATCGAATGCTAGTCAAAGGCGCTTCGGAGATTTTGCTGGCTAAATCGACAAGGGTAATTCGCGACCCTTCTCGAGACCTTGAGGAAGGACCACTAGATCAGGACGATCGTTCTAAGCTTGAAAACACCATCAACAACTACGCCACTCAGTCCTTGAGAGCCATCAGTCTGGTTTACCGCGACTTTACTGAGTGGCCTCCCAGGGGGGCTCCCACTCAGGAAGACAACCGTTCGCTTGCAGTGTTCGACCATATTTTCAAGGATATGGTTATGTTTGGTGTTTGGGGTATCCAAGACCCTCTCCGAGCCGGAGTGACGGAATCAGTCAAGCAGTGTCAGCGTGCTGGTGTCTTTGTGCGCATGGTCACTGGTGACAACATTATTACCGCCAAGTCAATTGCACAAGAGTGTGGGATCTTCACTGCCGGGGGTGTTGCAATTGAAGGACCCCAGTTCCGAAAACTAAGCAGCCGCCAAATGGCACAAATCATTCCACGACTTCAAGTCCTTGCTAGATCGAGTCCCGATGACAAGAAAATCCTTGTTTCTCAGCTGAAGAAACTAGGCGAGACAGTTGCAGTGACTGGTGATGGTACAAATGATGCCCAAGCTTTGAAGACAGCAGATGTTGGGTTTTCCATGGGAATTGCAGGAACTGAGGTTGCTAAGGAAGCATCGGACATCATCCTGATGGATGATAATTTTGCTTCTATTGTGAAGGCTATGGCTTGGGGTAGGACTGTCAACGATGCGGTGAAGAAGTTTTTGCAGGTGAGTTGTCGCTGGACCTCATTCCATGACTTTGAATTAACCAAGATACAGTTCCAAATTACAGTCAACATCACTGCCGTCCTCCTCACTTTCGTCTCCGCCGTAGCTAATGATAATGAGGAGTCAGTGTTGACAACAGTTCAGCTTTTGTGGGTCAACTTGATTATGGATACCTTTGCTGCGCTTGCCCTTGGTATGTTTCGAAACCCAAGGTCGCAGGTTATGAGCTAACAGTGATTTAGCAACTGATCCCCCATCACCTTACATTCTCAACCGTCGTCCTGAACCGAAGTCCGCACCTCTCATCACCTTAACCATGTGGAAGATGATCATCGGACAAAGCATCTACCAGCTGGTTATCACGTTCATTCTGAATTTCGCTGGAAGATCTCTTTTAAGGTCCATAATCGACTTTTCCGACGACGATGCAGAAGAACTTCTCACAACAGTGGTGTTTAATACCTTTGTCTGGATGCAAATCTTCAATCAATGGAAGTAAGTGATCACTTTACCCTCAAGTATGGAGAGAAATAGAATCAATATTAATTTTCATTTAGCTCTCGTCGCTTAGATAATGGGCTCAATATTTTCGATGGGCTTCTCCGCAATCAGTGGTTTATCGGTATCCAATTCATCATTGTTGGTGGTCAGATTTTGATCATTTTCGTTGGTGGACATGCCTTTTCCGTTGCTCGCCTTAATGGAGGACAATGGGCAGTCTGTCTCATCCTCGGTTTAATATCGCTCCCGGTTGCTGTGATAATTCGACTGATTCCGGACGAATTCATTCGCAAGCTCGTTCCGTCATTCCATTGGCGTAAGAAGCGCCCAGAGCTCGTTGTATCTGATGAAGACCGCCCACGATTTGAATGGAACCCAGCCCTAGAGGAAATCCGCGACCAGCTTACATTCTTCAAACAGCTCCGGGGCGGCCGACTGAAGAACCTTGCGCACAAGTTACAGCATCCGGAAGAGTTCCTGCCACGATCACGCAGCGGCTCAAGGTCGCGAGAGAACTCGGTCCCAGGGACCCCTGTGGGAGGAGACAGTACTGACGGCAGTCCACCACTTCCTGCTACTCCCGAATCCCGGTCAAGAAAGCGTACACGGTCCCGCTCAAATTCAATATTCAGTCCAGCTGCTGCAATGGCGGGCGTGGTCGCCGGTAGTATTGCCGGCTGGTCTCCGATTGAGAGGCCAGCAGAAGGAGAGCCATTAAAATTCGACTTGAACAGCAGCGGAGGGCTGAATACGCAACCGGGGATTGAAGTACATCCTGATACTGCGCCAGATGTCAACATTGTCGGCGACTACCAGCCCACATCGACAACCCCCCCAAGCCAGAACCCAGATCTCATTCCTTACTTTGAAGATGCACCACCCGCTCGCGAATCATCCAACCGCAGTAGACGATCCAGGTCTCGATCTAGCCAAGGCCGAGTTTAAACTACAGGCACACTTGTGCTCAAACATACGCTTCTCACCTAATTACTTACTTGCCTACCAAATACGCCTTTTACAATACCATCGAGGGAATATGAACACGCCAGGTTCCTCGTTTACCAGCAATCCTTCTTAATCTTCTGTTTCATTATTCAAAAGTACCGTGGTGGACTCTGGCCATCATTTTACTGTTCGATTTCTAATATCATGTTTCTTCCGTTCTTTCGGGGCCTTTTCATCTCTCATCCCCGGGGTGTGTCCGGCGTCTGTGGGTGGCGATGTACTACACTGTTCCTTTCTTTCTGTTTTTAATAGACAACTTCGCATCAAGGTTGGGATTTCTTTAGCCTGGCGCTTTCGGACAACTTGGGTTTTCTTTTTTTTTGTTCATGTCGGCCGCCGCCACTCTCGTGTTCCGGTCTCTCTTCTCTGTATATACTCACCTCCGTTCATGTTTGTAATTGTCTTGAGGGGGGTAGATAAGAAAAATTTTGTTTGTCTACGTTTCCTTTACATATGTCGCTCTTACGTTAGATATTGATAATGAAGAGCAGCCTAGGACACCGCTCTTTTGTTGCAAAAGCCATTCATATGGTTAACTATTAAACCCGCCCTGTGGTTTTGTTTTCAAAACCATTCTACCAGCTATACCTAAACGCCCTATCTTGCTTATCCGTCAGATCGGTATACGGCGACCCATTCATATCCAACTCCTGCCCGTGGCCTACTCCCGCACTCTCCAACCCACTCTCCAACCCACTCCCACCACTAATACCAGTAGCTTCCCTTTCTCTTCCCTTATTATCCCGCATACAAAGCAGCCGATAAACCACCGTCGTGAAAATAAGCAGCCCCCACGTAACAAGTGCCGTGATCAAGCCCTCCAGGTACTTGGGCCGATTGGTCCACAGCTGCGGCGACGCAATGCAGCCGGCGCAGTAGCCGATGAAGAACATGGCGTTGACGATCGCGCGCTTCGTGTTGCCTTTTACGTTCGAGGCAACTAGGGATAGTAACACAGACATTGAGGCGCTTATGCAGGAGGCCTGTACGTAATATTAGCTATTATTTGTATTTTGGTTTTTTAGGGTTGGGGAGCGCACCAGCCATGCGGCGCCGATTAGCGCCCAGCCTGAACTAAGTGGGAGGACTAGCATGAGGATTGTACCAACGATTGGCGGGATACAGAGGAGCAGGACGACGAGGGTGCGCTGGCGCGGGAAGATATAGCATAATATCAAGCCGACCCAGAGCAGGCCAACCTGGACGGCGCCGGAGGGCGCAGTATACAGCATTGTCTGGAGCTGGGTGTATCCGATTGAATTGATGACGAGGGTAGCGAAGGTTAGAACGGGAGACTGCATTGTAACCAGCACGCCGAACCAAAAGACGCACCAGGCCTTGGGGTCGAGCATTGTCTCCTTCAGCTGCGGGAGCGAGAAGGAGGTCTTATCGCCGCCTTCACGGTCCTTGGCCATGCGGAGGGAGAGGACGTGCTTCTCGCGCGGTGAGAGGAACCAGGCGTCTGAGGGGCCGGAGGGCATGAGTGTGAAAAAGCCGACTCCTGAGGCGGTGGTGATGATGCCGCATATGAGGAAGAGGGTGCGCCAGGGTGCCAGGGCGCGAGTGGTGTTTTTGCCAATGCCGTACATGAGCAGGCAGCCGAGGGTTTGGGCGATGCCGTTCATGCTTACCCATAGGGCTGTGCGCGAGGCGTGCTCGTGCTTGCGCCACCAGATGGAGGTTATGGTGACAAAGGCTGGGGAGACGGCGCCTTCGGTGAAGCCCAGGAGGAAGCGGACCGCGGCGAAGCCAGCGTAGTTTTGGGGCGCCGCGAGACAGGTGCATGAGATGCCCCAGAGGATGCTGACTTCGTTAATCTCACTTTACAAGGGGCGAAGGAGGGAGAAAGTCAGGCTTACACAGTGACACCGACAAACTTGGTCAATGGTAGACGACTCATCAGGTATATAAACGGGTATTCAGCCACCAATTGGCCGACGTAAAAGATAGAGCTGCACCATGAGTATTGCGAGTTTGAGAGCTCGAGATCCTCAATGAGGCCGAAGACGCCCGCATAGCTGAGACTTTGCTTGTCGAGATACTGCAGCAGGAAAACGAGACACATCTGTATCGTCAGTAGCTGTCTAGCATAGTGAATGTACGGACTCACAAACGGCAGGATAACCGTGTCGATCTTGCGTACAAGGGCCTTCTCCTCTTCTTCAGTGTATGTCTCAACGATCCCAAGGTCGCTAGGACGTCTTTTCTCATCCGCCGAGGGACGGTGTTTCGTGTCTGAGGTCTCCATAGTGAGACTTAGCGAAGGATGTCGAGGAAACTGAGAACTCGGCAAACTGGGCATGGCAAGCTATTATAACTGCAACTTGCCGTAGCTGACTCGCCCGTCTCCAATCCCCAGCTTCCTCCTGGATTGGCACTGATAAGCTAGTTGTGTCGGTGAGTATGTGAAGGGTCGGGATGCAGACAGCCGACGTCGGATGCAGACTGCCGCTTCTGCAACTCCAACTCTCCATCACCTCCGCATTTATTTGATCATCAGCCCATCTCCCTCTTATCGCTCAACCTGAACATCGGCACAATGGCATCTGCTGCAGACATCAAGCCCTGGCTCCGCGAGGCCTCACAGGCATATCTCCTCTCCAAAGCCAACATCGTCGACGTCGAAACAGGCACTATAAAACAAGATCACTATGTAGCAATCAACAACGGCAAAATCACTTCTGTCTCTCCCAGCCCACCATCTCCATCCGCCTTGCCAGCCTCATACATCACTGTCGATTGCTCAGGCCAATATATAAGCCCTGGCCTCTTCGACGCTCACGTCCACTTCGTCGCAGTCCCTGGCTTCAATGGCCTCTCCATGGCCTTTGGCAACTTCAACGATGTCTCCCTCCTCCGCCAGCCATACGTCGCCACCCAAATGCTCCACCGCGGCTTCACCACTGTCCGCGACTGCGGCGGCGCCCAGCTCGCCTTCAAGCAAGCAATCGAGGACGGCGTCTTCCCAGGCCCCCGCCTCTTCATCGCAGGACACGCCCTCTCTCAGTCCGGAGGCCACGGCGACATCCGCAGCTCCCACGACCACGTGCAGTGTTGCGCAGGACACACAAATGGCCTCGGTCGCATCTGCGACGGGGTGCCAGCCTGCATGACCGCCGTCCGCGAGGAAATCCGCTCAGGCGCGGACTTTATCAAGATCATGGGCTCTGGTGGCGTGTCAACGCCTACAGATCGCCTTGAGCAGCTGCAGTTCACCAACGCCGAGATCCAGGCTATTGTCGAGTGTGCAGAGAACGCGGGCACGTATGTCACGGCGCACGCGTACACGCCCAAGGCAATCCGGCACGCAATTGAGAACGGGGTGAAGGGTATCGAGCATGGGAATTTTATCACGGAGGAGATTGCGCGGCTTATGGTGGAACGAGGGGTGTATCTTACGCCGACGTTGATTTCGTATGCGGAGATGGATTCGGAGCGGTGGAGGGGGTATTTACCTGCTGATGGGCAGGCAAAGAACACGGAGGTGTTGAGCGCGGGTTTGAAAAGTTTGAAGACTGCTGCTGATGCCGGGGTGACGATTTGTTATGGGAGTGATCTGTTAGGCCCGTTGGGGTTGGCTCAGACAGGGGAGTTTGCGCTGAGAGCGCAGGCTTTGAGTCCGTTGGCTGTGTTACAGAGTGCGACTATTAACCCGGCGAAGATGGTAGGACAGCCGGAATTACTTGGACAGATTAAGGAGGGATTCTGGGCGGATGTGTTGTTCCTTAATAGGAATCCGTTGGAGGATGTGACGGTCTTTGACCGGCCGGAGGAGTGTGTATTGGGGGTGATGAAGGAAGGCCGGGTGTATAAAAGCCGCTGGGAGGGCTTGAAGGAGGATGCGGAAATTCCAGTGCGGATTAAGTCTGCATAAAATTAAATAGCCTACTCCTTCAAGTCATTAACTACGGGAAGGAAGGAGTTAACGAACATGTCATGCCATGTCAACCGTCAATATGGATTATTTACATGTGACGGTATCGCTTCAAATTCCAACATGTCCAAACCAGTCAACCCCATCAGCGCCATCTGATCATCATGGCTCCAAATCATCTGCGGATCTACATCAAGAGATAGATGCGGCGAGTCAACAGTGCCTGTATTGGACAGGTCCTGATGAGCTTCTGACCCCGGCCATTTTGGGAGCTCGTTCACACTAAGTCCCGCCGTAGCTTGCCCATCTATAGTAGTAGTGGCCATCGTTGATCCAAATGTAGAATCAGAGACCCCGAATGGAGTGCTCCGCTGTTGCTCAGAGCCTGGGTTGGCCTTTGACGACACCCATTGCGCCCATTCACTATACCCAGCGGCGTAGCGGGCCCCTGGCTGGGCTCCCTGTCCTTGGTCGCTTTTATCATCCAAAGACGACACACTCCCAAGTTTTGTAAAAGCCTCATTCGAGATAGCCTGCAGGGCTTCGATAAACCGCACACCAACTTCAGCCGGTAGATTACCAAGCGCCATTGTACGCAGGTAGTTCAATCCAAAGGCAACACGGGCTTCATACTCTGAGTCTCGCTCGATGATACCGGCCAAGATAGCCACGATGGTGGCGATACTACAGCCTTGGAAGTCCGTGAAGGAGAAGCGGAATATGAGATTGTTGTGTGAGAGGTGCTCGAAGAGGTGAAGTATTGTTTTGCTGGCCTTTACGCAGGATAGGGCTAGTGAGCCGAAAGCTGGAGTATCGCCCTCCACTAGTACTGCGTGGGGGTTTTGCTTATGATGCCGGACCTGGGCTTGGATGGTGCTAAGGAGGGAACCTTTGCCGAGGACTATCCAGGCGTAGAGATAGTTGAGCCGGAGGTGGAAGGCAAGGCGATAGCAATTATCTTTAGGTTGTAGGTTGTCCATTATCAGAGATGAAGGCACGTTTTGCTTCCAGGTTTGCAGCTCCAGTTGTAACGCATCTATCTGGGTATTGTCGCACGGTTTGCTCCTGGACAGCAGTTTAGTGTACTGTGAAATCAAAGACTGGCTTCACATACCCTACGTCAGCAATCTGATCAATAATTCTCACCAACTCTGCATACGCTATCTGGTGCTGGATATTGTCCACCGTCTGGGTACAATCCAAAGAAGGCAAAGGGGCTGGGAGCGGCGTGGTAATCGCCCCCGGGTCAATGGACCGTGGACGATTTAGTTTTACGGCCGTAGTCCTATTGACACGTCAGGGATACTAAGAAATACAACGAAAAAGGAAAATACCCACCGCTCTAGCGAGTATACAGACCACCATAAGCGACGGTGAACCTGCTTCTCGTGCTCGGAAATTCTTGAATCGTCTGTCTGCTGATGGATCTCAAGTGCAACGGCTTTGCGCAGAGATAACCCCATATAAGAGTATGCCGACCCTGGTGCTCGGTCTGGGAGTGAGTATACTCCTAGAATGAAGGGCGCTTGGATCGAAGTCAAAGATGTACGATCCATGAGATCGGGGATAAGTAGCCGAGCTTCTTCGTAAAAAACGCGTCCAGGATCCCCGCCATCGGGGAGTACATTGGTAGGGAAACCCGCCGGCCGTTCTATTTCTGTCCATTGACTGCCCAGCGCTAGAACTGAAAGGACCAAACAAACAAACCCGCTATCCAAGCGGAGTTGAGATGCGGAATTTGTGTAGAGTTGATCAACGTCGGCCAAGAACTGGGCGTGGTCGAAGTAAAAGAAGACATCGGATGCGTGGGTTATGCATACTGAAATTAGAAAATCAGCGACGGCTCGAGGTGGAAGAGCGCGAGAAGCCTTGTGGATGCGATTGATTTCGTTTGGCTGTAGTGACGTTGGCTGGTGGAATTGCTGGTTCGGTGAGTACCCTTCAATAGGTCAAGATATCATAGAAGCCTTACCGTCTGCATGGCCATCATGTCGCCCTCTTTCAGTTCGGTACGCGAATCCAATGCAAGCGCTTCTCGAAGCTGCACCAGAAACTTGGGCCAAGTTATCTTCATTGTTTGGTCTTTGAGGGAAGCTAGTTAGCTGCATATCCTTTGAAAAGCGCTAGGAACTTACTATTATCGATACCACCGCCATCTTCAACAGGCTCAAAGCTGGCAGGTCCACATAGCCTGTTTACCACCGCCCTCGTTGACTGTGGTGAAGCTGATTCCTCCTGAGACTGATAATGCTTGGTAAGTTTGCAGACCCGGTCATCCCGGGTACATCTCTGGCACCTGCCCGAGGCGACGCCCACGCATTTGCTTTTACGAGCCTTACACCGATCGCATCTGTCGAGATAGTAAGTCTATGTCAAACCAAGCAGGCAGTTGGGCCAGGACTGGGAGGAACCTACGCCTGGGCAGCTCGCTTCCGCTTGTCATCAGGGATTCTCCGTGTCTTGTAGCGGCCTACAGAGTTGGGGCCTATTGTGGTCATTTTCGAGCTTCTTCATTTCTTCGTCGTTGTTTCTCGAATGCTTTTGAGTCCCGAGCACTTGGTCGTCCCCACAATCTGCAAGTCACGGGTACGGGGGGGNAGCTAGGTAGATAACGGGGTTTGGCGAAATGAAACGATGATTGGCCCTCATGTCGGTTGTTTTCCCTTCTCTGCCGCGGGTAATGACTAAGTATGATTAAGTTAGTAGTTAGTTAGGAAGGGAGGAGTCGGCAATTTGCCGATAGCTTCCCGTCCCAGTTGGAGTAGGTTGATATTAGGTCGTGGGTCTTGTAAGATACCACAGAGTAGCTCCTTAGGCACTCGTAAGTACTTTTCATACCGCTATGACCCTTTCGTCCAGCTTTCAAGGGAGGATATCGCGCCGAGAGCATGTGGGTTCTGTCCGTAACTGGCTAGTCATGCCCACGGTGGTCCTATGACTGACATTAGGGTTACCGTTGCGGGTGAGTATTTACGCAGATAGAAATAGCAAATTCGTGAACCAGATAGGAGCATCTACTGCTGATGTCTACACACGGACATGTTCTCCATAAGGGCTGAAAAGAGCGCACGGCTGGCCAGTGGTCAGAAGGCCTGGCCAGATTCAGGGAAGCTCCGGTACTATACGTGTCGATCCAACATTCTCAGAAACAAGGCTTTGAATATTATTTGTCCGTGAGTAGCCGATGAAAGAGCTTAATTGTCAGTCTAGTAGTATCTGCCGGGGTTTCCCTGTGAGCTGCGCTTGCCGCTTGGGGTTCGTGATCGAACCTGGCATTCTTCCAAGGTTGGGGCATACCAATAACACCCGCGCGTCGAGCTTAATACGTCAGTTCTCATCAGAGGTATGCTAGCGACATCTGTGCGGAAAGGGGTGGAATAAGTGATCGTCTCCTGATTCCTTGTCCCGGTCCAGTGAGTATGATGTAGCCCATCGCTTGCCACCGGTAAACCTGCCTACAGCTTCGTCAAGAAGCAGAGGGGCTGTAGATTTAACGAGCAAGAAGTCAAAGAGGTTGGCTTTCCAGTAATGCGAGTCTCCTCTTCATCCAGTTACACCAATATCTATGGTTTCGTCTCAGAAGAAGCGGGTCTTTTGAAGGAGCAGGTCCGCCGGTAGCCATGTATGTGCAAGCACCCGCAACCCGCAACGACGGCTTTGTCCTGTTCCACCGACCTTGGAATGTTGTGTGCATAGGGCCCTGTACGTATTAGTATTTATACTCCGTTATGGACGCGCGGACGGTGGGAAGTAGGAGTAAATTCGATTGGGCGATACTCCGGTAATTTTTATTCCCCCCTGGAAGGATAAGAATATGGGTTGGCCATCAGTTTGGAAAACCATTGTTTGTCGACGTTTTTCTTTCTTTTCGAAAGCCTCTCGTCAGTCGAAACCGCCTATGATGAGTCTGGATGCCGAGAAAGAGCGTGGATCGCCCTCGGTACGAAGTGTTACACAAGACGAAGTCGGAACCCCTACCTGCGAGGACGCAACTTGGAAGTCAAAATATCATCGATGGGCGTTAAACGTTAGAGGACTCGAGTTGAGGGGAATTGAGCCGGTATCCCCTGAGGAGCGGCAGGCAGTTAGCGCCTCTGCTTCCTTCCATATCCTCCTCACATGGTTTAGCATGGGAATGGCCCTAAACACCATGGTTGTTGGGACGGTTGGGACAGTGGTCATGAAGCTAAGCTTTCTCGATGCTGCATTGTGTTCGATTTTCGGATGCAGCCTGGGATGCATAGCAATTGGGTACATATGCATTTGGGGACCGAGAAGTGGACATCGCACGCTGGTATGTTTTCCATTCCTCACGTGCATGGGTACAGGTCAAGAACATGGACTTACAACTCCTATTTCCCCCATAGATCGTGTCCCGATACCTCATGGGGTTCAACCCTAGCAAGTTTTGCTGCTGTCTGAATGTGCTGACAAACTTGGGCTATGGGATGATGAGTGCAATGGTAGGGGGGCAACTCCTTTCCCAAATGACCGATGGCGCTGTATCCGTGGTGATTGGTATCATCATTGTTGCCCTTGTGAGTCTGGTGGTTGCCACCTTCGGAATGCATATATTTCAATTCTATGAGAGGTACTCACACCCCCTCTTTCACTTCTTATATCGGCGAAAGCCACAGGATCATAATAACCGACCGCAAACAGATATGCCTGGTGTCCACAGTTGGCCGTCTTTTGTATTCTACTAGGATCAGCGGGCCCAGAGTTCGATTTTGATACTGCATCGGTTGGCTCAGCCGAAGAAATTAACGCCAAAAGGCTGACGTTCTTCTCTCTCTGTCTCGCCTCCGCGCTATCTTGGGTGCCGGGAGCTGCTGACTACCACGTTTATTATTCACCCAAAACCGGGGCGTGGAGAATATGGTCGATGACGACGATAGGGGTTGGCCTGTCCATGGCTATCACACTGGTTTTGGGTGCCGGGCTTGGGACTGGGGTTGCTCACAATCCCACATGGTCCGCTATTTATGATGGCACTCCTGGGAGCTTGCTGGTCGCCGGTTATGACAGACTGGGGGTATTTGGCAAGTTCTGCATTTTTATCAACGTGCTGACGATTGTCTCCAACAACGCTCCTGGGTCATACTCAATGGCAATGAACTTTCAAATGCTTGGGGACTTTTGGTGTAGAGTCCCGCGCCCCGTTTTCACGGTTGTCACCACCGCCATATACACAGCATGTGCTATTGGTGGGAGGGATTCTCTTTACGAAATATTCAAGAGTCTGGTGCCCATGATGGGGTACTGGATCATCATCTGGTTCACCATCGTGGTCGAGGAAGTTTTACTGTTCAACAAAGGTAGAGAGTATGACTGGTCTGCGTGGAACAACCCACAGAAACTGCCTGTGGGATACGCAGCTACTGCAGCGTTTCTGATCGGATGGGCGGGCGCCGTTGTTGGGATGGTAGGTTGTCCCTATTTCCTTCTAGAGACAGTGCTACTGCTAACAATCCGACTAGGACCAGGTGTACTACACCGGACCAATTGCGGGAGCCATTGGAGGAGGGTGCGATTTGGGACTGTGGCTTGCGATGGGATTCACGGTTCTCGTATTTCCGCCGTTAAGAATGCTCGAGCTAAGAGTGGTCGGCCGCTGAGTAGAATGAAAGCGTTCATATCTCCCCCTAGCTTGGGGCCGAAGAACACCCGCCCCTTGTTTAGGCCTTGCATCACGGCCATCGGATGATTGGAGAGAGTCTCTATATGAATGGAGAGCGGCGGCTTCGGAAGCAAGAGCTGGCCGCTGAGGTTGGCTTTGACTTGTGTACATAACGCGTTTGATCTCGAGCTTTGTTCCTTGCATTAAACTCTGCTTTAGAAACATGGCCTCTGATCGCGGCATCTCGGCGCCGAGTAGTCGGGCGGACTAGCCAGTGCTGACTGCGGAATCTGCTGAGTACATATTATTATCTGCTGGAAAAGGCCTCAGAGGTTCAGACCGGGCCTTGTGCAAAAGAAGCTCGAGAATCCCTGCAGGAAGAACGAATGGGAGGACTCGGAAAAGTGGATGTCAGCATCCGCTCTGTGCCTCAGGTGGATGGATCCCCGCGCAGCCGGAGGATCAACCACCCAAAGAAACTTAGATTTATGTTATCACGAATCAAACCGAGTAATTATCAATTCGACAGTCCATCGGAGAGGAGAAGGACGGAAAGCCGAGGTCCGGGGGTGGCGGAGGAGGGAGGAGAAGGAGTGAAGTGCAGAAGTTGAACTCATAGCAGCTGACTCGACTCGATGCTCGTTCGTCAAATCCAGGGGCGATCTGGAGGAAATGTGGGGTGCCATCCAGCTCCATCAATTTGTTATAAACTGCAGTCGGCGCCAGTCCGGCCCGTCGCGCAATTGTTCATATTCATTACTGTTTATTCTCTGATCAGGCAGGTATTTAGACATCTTTTCGATACCCTCGTCGTACGCCCGCTGCAGACCTAGAGAAATGGCCACACCAACGGCCACGGAGCTCTACGAAACAGTGGCCAACATCCTCAAGGATGCCTCGCCCGAACAGGTCCTCCAATATGCCGTCCCTCTCGTCGCAGCATATCCTATATTAGCCTCACTTCTTCGGTTTCGGAATATGAAGCAACTACACAAGAAATACAACTATCCGACGCGGGAGTCCTTTGCCCGAATGACAGACGAGGACGCCTTTGAAATACAGAAAAATCTAATACAATATGAATTCCCTTTTTTCTTTACAAAAGCCTTGCAGTTCGCACTTTTCAGAGTTAGTTTTTTATCTCCTCGTTGGCTGCCTACCCAAACAACTGACGGCCATGGCCTAGACATATGGCATCCCCACCATTTCCCGAGTCCTGACCAAAACAAGTCAATTCTCCGGCGCCAGTACTTCTCTGAAGCGCTATACAGACACCTCTGCCTTGGTCCAGGAATTTGTTGGACAGGCGCCCTCCGCAGCACGCGGTCAGGCAGCCATTGTGCGGACTCGGTATCTCCACAGTGGTTATCGGAGCTCAGGCACAATCCTCGACGATGATATGCTATATACCCTTGGCCTATTCGCTGTTCAACCAGTCAGATTCATCCAGAAGTATGAGTGGCGTGATCTCACCGATGTGGAGAAGTGCGCTATTGGCACTTTTTGGAAGAGTGTGGGTGATGGGTTGGAGGTAAGCTACGATAAGCTTCCCTCTGGGAAGACTGGTTTTCGGGATGGCCTCCAATGGCTGGAGGAAATCATGGCTTGGAGCGATGCCTATGAAGAGAAGTGCATGGTGCCAGACGCGAAAAACCGCGAAGTTGCCGATCAAACTGCAGCAGTGCTAGTATACTTGGTTCCAAAGCCATTCCAGCACATTGGACTCAAATTTGTGTCATTCATGATGGATGATCGGCTGCGCAAGGCTATGCTGTAAGTATACAACGTCTCTTGGACAACGTCCTTTTGGATTACATTATACTGATGGCCACACAGTTACGACGCTCCTCCAGCGTCATACGCCGGGTTTTTTCAGTTTGTCTTGTCGGCCCGTCGATTCGCCATGCGTTACCTTGCGCTACCTCGCCCGTATTTTTTGCGCCACACAACGTTCACTGAGGCCCAGTCCGTAAAGGAGCGTATATTTATTACTCAATGGGATGGCGCGCCTTACTACGTAAAGCCAACTATTTGGAATCGCTGGGGCCCGGCAGCCTGGTATACCTGGGCGCTCGGCCGCCCGCTTCCAGGAGATGAGGGTGACAAATATTATCCGGACGGCTACTACATTCCTGATGTCGGGCCTAAGAATTTTGAAGGAAAAGGCCGAAAAAATCAGCAGGAAGGAGAAGCAGCCCTGAAGATCTCGCGAACTGGCGGGTGTCCATTTGGTTAGATGCAGTAGACGATACCTTGTTTTTGTTCTGGAAATATTTGCAGCTTAGCCCTGATTCTATGTATCATTCACTAGATAATTGTCATTAAGTTCGTGATCTAGCCCTCTGAGTCATTTGCGCTTCCTTCTACTTGTCACTGTTGGACGGACTAGAATGCTTCCCAAAGAGGAACCAAGCTTGCCATTGCTTACGTAACTGTGTCATCAACGCTCCCCGCAAGCAGGGCTCTCTCGCTCAACTTCCTCCGCGAGTCCATGCTGTCTCTCTTTCTCTAAATATCCTGTCAATTTTGTTCCATTGCCTATCTTGCTCCATTCGCCATGGCGCTGCAAGAACCCAAGCACGATGCGACCAACTCCCCGGCCCCATTCAGCACCTTTCCCCAAGATCCTTCGGACTTCGACAGTGACCCTCGAATCTCCTTCTCCAAGTTGGACGACAAATTTATTTTGGAAACAGAGGATGGACAGGAATATAGCTACGATACGATATTGAAGCGATGGATTCCGACGGTGTGTGCGCGCTTTCTCTCCAGCTGGATGGACCCCGTTCCATCACTCCCCGGCTGCTGAATTCCCTGACTTTTGCTTTTTTTTATTTGCATTCATTGCCTTTCCGGAGAATAAGAGAGAAAAGAAAAATGTATCGCTGGATGAATCATTTTTACTACTCTTTGCAATGAGCTCAAATGGCTAAGTCCGCGTGGATTTTGGGTGGATCGTGAAACTGATTGCTGGTTGGCGCCGCTTTGCGCCTGTGGTTGTCCTCCAGGTCGATGATGACTTGCTGAAACAACAGCAAGAAGCCTACAGAACTCAGGGGGTGGACGACGATGAGCAAGAAAGTGCACAACAGCTCAAAAAGAAGCGGAAGCAACATGGGAACGGAGAGGTTCGTCGTTCTACATCCTCGCGAAGCTACGATAGGCTAGTGCTAATGTGTCTGGGGGAAAATTGCAGGGTGACTCACAAAAGGCGAAGAAGCAGCGCGTTAATACCGCAGTGTACGTTACGTCTGTTCCCCTCGATGCGGAGTTTGAAGAAATTCGAGATATCTTTTCGAGGTGTGGCGTCATCGCCGAGGAAATTGACAGCGGGCGGCCGCGCATCAAGATGTACACGGATGATGATGGGAAATTCAAAGGCGAGTTACTTGTTGTTTACTTCCGGCCGGAGTCGGTCAACCTGGCAATTCAGATGCTGGATGACTCCGACTTTAGGCTGGGTGTCACAGGGCCACAAGGACCCATGCGAGTTCAAGCTGCAGATTTCTCCTTCAAGAGCCAACAAGAGGCACCAACAAAGACCAACATGCGGGATAAGAAGAAGATAATCAAGAGGACCCAAAAACTGAATAAGTATGACCCAACTAGTCCTGCTAATTTAACAGCTGCTGACGGTAGCAGCAAACTCACTGATTGGGATGACGATGAGCCCGCTGCATTGGTGGATACAAACTCCAGATTCGAGAAGGTTGTGATACTCAAGCATATGTTTACACTTCAAGAGTTGGATGTACGCTCAGCGCCCTCAACCACAGGTTTTCCATGTTTTCTTTCGCTGACAATTCACAGGAGGACCCTGCAGCTATCCTTGATATCAAGGAGGATATCCGTGACGAGTGTTCTAAGCTTGGGGAAGTTACAAATGTCGTCCTCTACGATAAGGAAGAAGCAGGCGTCGTTAGCGTTCGATTCTTGAACCCAGAGTCAGCAAAAGCTTGCGTGAATGTGCGTTCTACTGCGAACAGATTAATAGATGGAGCTAACCTATCTCCCAGCTTATGAATGGCCGCTTCTTCGGAGGAACAGCCGTCGAGGCGTATATCTCAGATGGAAGCGAGCGCTTCCGCAAATCCAACGAGAAACGCGCAGCGCTCGAAGACCTGGCTGAAAGGGGATTCGATGCTGAGGATGAGGACGAAAACCAACGATTGGATGAATTTGGCACCTGGCTAGAGAGCTCGCACCAGGTGGAAAATACGGCTAAATGAGGCGGCATAACCGAACAATATTACCTCTCTCGATACTGTATTATAGCTCTTCAAGTAGATTCGTTATGTTCTTAGTGGTGTTTTTTTCTGCAGCATAATGGACATGGAAATCGTGATTGACCCCGAATCCCTAGCCCGTATCAACAAACAAGCCCATCGATATCTCGTTTAAATCACAACTCAACGCTCTTGGGATCAACATCCAGGCAACAATACGGTTGGGAATATTTGCCCTTGCCCATCTACAGTTGTTGGGAAATAACTTCTCCACTTCACGATGGCAGGACATGAACAGCTGTCCTGAATGAACAGGTGCTGGCGCAAAATCGCATGTGAAGCGAACTACGGCACAGTAAATACACCAATCCAAATGTTTTTTTGATGGATACCTGGAGCTTAAACGACCTCATTAGGGCACTGCGGCTGTTCAATTACTCCAATCATGTCATAAGTTGGAGTCTCTGCTAATGAGAATGGGTAGGCAGGTGGTGGAGGATTTACATGTGATGCAGATCGTGACTATAGTATGCGCTCAAGTAGTACGTAGTAGTGGTGTACCTGGAATCACATGGGAAGGGCAAAAATGGATACGTGGGATTTTCTATACACTTGGAGATGATGACAGCTAAATTAATTGCTAATCTGTAGGTAGGACTGACTCATTGTTTTGTTGTTGGTGGTTCGTTGAGAAGCTTGTGACAGGTAGGGCTAGGGTATTTAAACGGCTTGGTTGTAGTGGTAGATAGAATAGATATCCAAGATTTGTCTGACAAGACTTTGCACTGGAATCATTATCAATCTTCTTTGGTTTCTTAAAATTACATCCGCATTCAATACAAGATGGGGGATCATAAAGCTCCAGGAGACAAGGCACCCCAAGCCCCCGGGCCGGTGCCTTCAATTCAGGACTTGAGCGGTGTTTGGGTGCTTGTAAGTATACCTACCACCTAGTCGAGTGCTATCATCCTATCTATCCAGTTACTCCTGTCACTTATACAAGGTTCAGAAGCGTGTACAGAGCACTGTTGATGCTAATATAACAACGCAGGAAAAACACCTCTCGTCAAACATCCCTCTCATTCTCAAACTGGTACGTTTCTACCCCCAGCCCAGGCCCCACGGTGATATCAAGTCTAGTCGAGTGGAATAGGTAGCTAATCAGTACTCTATCAACAGCAAAAAATCCCCTGGCTCGTTCGAAAAGTCATCGACTCCGCCCCTATCCATCTCCATGCAACGCAGTACACGTCCACAGACCCGAAAACCAATGAGCCTAGAATACATTTGGACCTTGTACAGCGTTCGTCTGTGAACATCGGAATTGGGGATATCGAGGATAACCGCATTCTAGACTGGGAGGAACGACCGCACGAGGACTACGTTTTTGGGAGTGTCGTTACAAGGAGTCGATATGTCACTGGTGTAGGGTTTGGGGAGGACGAAGACGGGAAGGGAGCAAGGCCTGACATACACCTAAGCCTTGATGTTGGTTGTGAGGATGGGGAGAGAATATTGAGGTTTCTCAAGGGAGAGATTGATGCTGATGGGGGCGATTGTGACGGGTTCCTTGTTGAGCCATGGCCTGGCTGTGATTCTGAAAATGCAGAAGGGAAAGGGCTCTGGGTGCAGACTCTGGAACGCAGTGAGAAGTCTGCATGGACTGCAGAGACGGTACGTATAACTACACTTCCTTTTCCTGTTCACTGCATTATGGGCCACTGTGCTAATTGCTCTTGTAGATCTGGGGGTTTGAAATGATGAACGGGGAGAGATGTCTGACCACCCGGGTTGCTGCTGTGGATGGAAAGGGAGATTATCAGCTGGGGAAGTGTGTTTTTCAACTGTTGAGCAGGGAATGCTGAAGGGTCGGTTGAACACGAGTCTAATATATAGTCCTTAGTACTTAATGTGAGGTCCTTTAGCTTGAACAGATCGAGAAATTAGAAAACTCGAAGTCTCTTGTATTGATTTGATGGAAAGTGACAATTTTCCATTATTATCTCCAAAACAAGCTCTGATTCCAGCATGGACCGTGCTGGCTCCTGGCAAGTTGAGCACTGGCGCTGAGCACTGAGCAGTCTCCGGCAGCTCGGGCAGCCGGTTTGGTATAGTCGCGGTTAGTGTAGCGATCGCACTTTGGCGGGACGCTAATCGAACGGCAATTATTTTGCAGGGTATTTCCCGTCAACAACACTATCAATTGACCGATTTACCGTCAATTGTCGTAGAGCGACAAGCACAAGCTGCCCTCAGAGCCAGTACCAGGATTCATCCCAAGCATGGTGTCGTGGTTCGCGTGTAGCAAGAAGTGGTTCGTTCCTGGAGATCCCGTGACTGGAACCGCGCTAACCGGATCGGGCGCGCCCCCCTTTTTGTTGTTGTTGATCTTTTTCTGCTTTGCGAGTCTAGTCCCTGTTGGTCTGCGCTGGCTCCTCCTCACCGCTCAAATTCCCCCCCAACCCAAGTTTCCTCTCTCCTGATCTCGCTCCTCTCCCTCTCTTTTCCTCCCCTCAATTCCGGCTGTTCCCCAGTCTTCTCTCATCCACTCCAATTCTCATTCCAGTTGACCTCTTCATCTCCCTTCTCCCCCCCTCACACCCTTCACAATGCGTGAGATCGTATGTTGACACTCCCACTTTGACGCGTCTCGAGGGGTCCCTCCCCGTTAGGGGGCACCGGGGACCCCACCAGTTCTACATGTCACGAACCTAGGAATGCTGACCATGTGTTTTCGTCCATAACAGGTTCACCTCCAGACCGGCCAGTGTGTAAGTGCTAGGACATAATGAAATGGATTGTCTCCGAGATGGGTGAAAGCATACTAAACTTTAATGCGTGACAGGGTAACCAAATTGGTGCTGCTTTCTGGTGCGTCGAAAATTTCATCCATTTCAGATGGTATTTCCTTTGGTGCTTTTTGCTAACGACCCTATAGGCAGACCATCTCCGGCGAGCACGGCCTTGATGGCTCCGGTGTGTGAGTACAACCCGTCCAAGACTCGATCAAAACACGACCGAACACAACCCCTGATATAATCCAGTTACAATGGTACCTCCGACCTCCAGCTCGAGCGTATGAACGTCTACTTCAACGAGGCCAGCGGCAACAAGTACGTTCCCCGTGCCGTTCTCGTCGATCTCGAGCCCGGTACTATGGACGCTGTCCGTGCCGGTCCCTTCGGTCAGCTCTTCCGTCCCGACAACTTCGTCTTTGGCCAGTCCGGTGCTGGTAACAACTGGGCCAAGGGTCACTACACTGAGGGTGCTGAGCTCGTCGACAACGTCGTCGATGTCGTCCGTCGCGAGGCTGAGGCTTGCGACTGCCTCCAGGGTTTCCAGATCACCCACTCTCTCGGTGGTGGTACCGGTGCCGGTATGGGTACCCTCCTGATCTCCAAGATCCGTGAGGAGTTCCCCGACCGCATGATGGCTACTTTCTCTGTCGTTCCCTCGCCCAAGGTCTCCGACACCGTTGTCGAGCCTTACAACGCCACCCTCTCCGTCCACCAGCTCGTTGAGCACTCCGATGAGACCTTCTGTATTGACAACGAGGTGCGTTGCTCCCACAACCACGGGGGTCGGCGAATAGTACTGACTTTGTTTAGGCTCTGTACGACATTTGCATGCGTACCCTCAAGCTCTCCAACCCCTCTTACGGTGACCTGAACCACCTCGTCTCCGCCGTCATGTCCGGTGTTACCACCTGCCTTCGTTTCCCTGGTCAGCTGAACTCTGACCTGCGTAAGCTGGCTGTCAACATGGTTCCCTTCCCTCGTCTTCACTTCTTCATGGTCGGCTTCGCTCCTCTGACCAGCCGTGGCGCCTACTCCTTCCGCGCCGTCTCCGTTCCTGAATTGACCCAACAGATGTTCGACCCCAAGAACATGATGGCTGCTTCTGACTTCCGTAACGGCCGTTACCTCACCTGCTCCGCTATCTTGTATGTCTGCCTGAATATCTTATTTTGTGATTCTGGCTAATTTATTTTCAGCCGTGGACGCGTCTCCATGAAGGAGGTTGAGGACCAGATGCGCAACATCCAGAGCAAGAACCAGTCCTACTTCGTTGAGTGGATCCCCAACAACATCCAGACCGCTCTCTGCTCCATTCCTCCCCGTGGCCTCAAGATGTCCTCCACTTTCATTGGAAACTCCACCTCCATCCAGGAGCTCTTCAAGCGTGTCGGTGACCAGTTCACTGCTATGTTCCGTCGCAAGGCTTTCTTGCATTGGTACACTGGCGAGGGTATGGACGAGATGGAGTTCACTGAGGCTGAGAGCAACATGAACGATCTCGTTTCCGAGTACCAGCAGTACCAGGATGCCTCCATCTCCGAAGGCGAGGAGGAGTAGTAAGTTTTCCTTTACTTATAAGATCTTGCTTGCACACATCAGCTAACCCCGTTACAGCGGCGAGGAGGAACTCCTTGAGGGTGAGGAATAAATGTTTAGCCAATAGTGACGAATTGAGACTGCTCATAATAATACCCTTGATAAGCCATGCGCGAACTCGAAAAGGTTCCAGTATGCGTCCTTGTCAGTCAAATGTTTTGCCTCGAGCGCTCTTAATTATTCTCTGTTTCTACTTTCTTTCGGCCCAGTGCCTCGAAACTATTGAATGAATAGCACATATTAGTTGTTTCAAAATGCAGCTCCTATGAAAAGCCTTATTATAGCGCTGCCAACGTAGTCTACACTAACATCGCCTACAAAAGTAGTCATTTGGCGTTTCGAGCTATCTGACTATCGACATGGTGGATTTTATCACCATAAAAACCCTAGTTCCTATTTAGCCGTCTTTCAATCTGCTTACATGCCAATAACCTGAACTACTTCATCGAGTCCCAGTGCGGTGTTCGCGCCCAAGAAACGCCATCAAATTACCTTCAAGGTTGGTGCCCAGCGTGACAAAGCCCTAACTTACTCAGAATAATAACTTTAGCCTTGCTTGAGCTTTGAGATGCCCTAAGTTAGCCCCATGACAAAGACAGTATCTATACACGTGCAATCACATACCAGGAGTATTCATTAGTGGAATAGACGTTGACTTAAGAATATATACAAGAACGGATTATATTTACAGGGTTTGAGCTGCTGTTAAGCAGCCCAGGAAAGTGATGATAAGCTGGATAAAATATTCCATGAAGAAAAGAAGGGATATATTGCATAGTAAAGGAGAACGTAACTAAAGTAAATTAAATAGTTGGAAGGGAGAGAATGGTGAGAGTGTAACGGAGTATGTCAAGATATACAAAGTCGATCGGGCCGAGTCAACCTTCCAAGGTTTTGTCATGTCCATCTCCCCAATTAGTTTCCAACGTATTAATGACTGCGATGGACTAGTCCATCATGCCTTAAGAGGCTCCGAAGAAACATCAATGGGCCCAGTTGGAGTGGTGCTGCGCTTCGACGCACCGTCAATATGCTCGGTGCTTCCGTTTATCACGTCACGGGTGAGTTCGACGTAGTCATACTATAGGAGCGGTTAGTTATGGCCCATTTTGTAAGAGTTGTTAGTCGAGAGGAAAGGAACATACAGCAAACTCGCCAATTTCGGCATCATCAATACCAAGGATTTCGTCCTCTTCCGGAACACGCAGGCTCAGCCCGGGAATCATGTTGATGATGAACAGGATAAGACAACTTCCAAAAAATGAGTAGGCCATGCCGGTGACTGAGTCGGCGAGCTGGTAGCCGAGCTGGATGTAGTTTTGGTTGATCCAGCCGCCATCGATCTCGGTAGAGCCGTCCAAGTGGGCGATATAGTCACTAAAGCAATGGGGTTAGTTTGAAGTGGATATGTTTTATCTCGAGGACACTTACGCTGCAAAGAGACCGGTCAGAAGGTTACCAACGAGACCCCCTATACCGTGCACAGCGAAGATATCGAGGGCGTCATCGACGCGAAGTAGGTACTTGACCTTGGTTGCATAGTTGCAAGAAGCAGCACCGACAACGCCAAAGATAAACGCAGCCCAAGGAGTCACAAAGCCAGATCCAGGAGTAATAGCCACCAGGCCAGAAATCACTCCAGAACAGAATCCAACGGTAGACCATTTCCTCTCCAGGCGGTAGTCGAGTAAGCACCAAGTGACGCCGCCGACAGAGGCAGCTAGGTTGGTCACGACAGCAGCCATCACGGCACGTAGGTTGGCGCTCAGGGCGGAACCAGCATTGAAACCGAACCAGCCGACCCAGAGGAAGACGGTGCCGATAACCACATGGGTAACATTGTGAGGGCGGTAGTTGAGCTCATGAGTTCCGTGGCCACGACGCTTTCCAAGCATCAATGAGTATGCCAGAGCTGTCGTGCCCGAGACAATGTGAACAGGCGTACCACCAGCGAAATCTAACCCTCCCAAGTTAAAGACCCAACCAGAAGCGTTCCAAGTCCAGCAGGCGACAGGGTCGTAGATGATAGTACTCCAGATGAAGACGAAAATCATGCAGGGGAGCATTCGACCACGTTCTGCAACCGCACCAACAGCAAGTGCAACGCTATTTAATAGTTAGATCTATAATTCTTCTAAAGGTGTCTGGACACAACTCACGTAATCGCAGCAAACATTCCCTGGAAGACAGCAAACAATAGATCCGGAACCTTGTCAGAGCCCACCGAAGGAGCAGCGAGGACACCCTTGAACCCAAAATTATCCAAGTTACCAATGTATTTCCCGGCACCGTGGGAGAAGGCCAAAGAATAGCCCCAGAAAAACCATTGGAACGAAACCACTCCGATGGACATTACTGAAAGCCATATCAGGGAGAGGGCGGACTTCCGACGAGCAAGGCCAGAGTAGAAGAACCTGTCAAACACATACTCTGTTAGCCCTAATAAATTTTCTCTGAGGTTAGAATATCGTTGCTTACCCGACGCCGGGAATCATGAGGAGGACAAGAGCGGTTGATGTGATGACCCATGCGATATCGCCAGACTGGTAAAGTGGTTAGAATGATCCAAATTGTTAATAGCACTGCAGCGAAAGCTTACACTGTAATAAATGTTGAGGTCCTCAGTGAGAGAATCCCCACCGTTTGTACCAGTCCCATTATAGGGGACGGGATAAGTCGCCATTGTGAAGGTCTTCGCTGATGAAGGGCCAGTACCGTCGATAAAGGAAAGAAAAGAAGGTAGCACACTTCAGGACCCTACTGGTATCGACCAGCCCCGTAGACTTTGGAAGGATAAACAGAACGGGAAGGGGAATAAGTAGGGTTGATATAGAGAGACGCGCAATTCCCAGCCAAACCTTGGATATCCGTTGATGCGATCTTAAAAAATAAAGTAGGAGAAAAAGAAAGGGAGGAACGCATGCAGGAAGCGGGAGCACGGAAATGATAAGTAAAAATAGTCTGCCCTATAGCCTGGCAGCAATTTATGGCCCCGATACCAGTCATATAATGGTCAGCAGTCTGTGCAGATAGACAGACTAACTCTCGCCTCTGGAATGTGTCGAACACACCAACTGATCCACCATCACACGCTAGATGCAGGCCCACCCATGGATTGATCGTGCGGGCTGTGCTTCTCTGGAATGGAATATACTGAGTCGATTGGACTCATTGGAGGAACTCCGTTATACGAACTCGTTTCGTGATTGCTTCGATTCGCAAGCTCGTGGTCTGGGTCCGTGGCAGTCATCCGATCCAGGACTGTTTTCTGGTCCAACGAGAGATAAAAGCTCCTATCACGGAGGGTCTCCCAATGCCGATGTCCCCTGATGCGAACCATGATCAAAGTACACCGTTAACGATTGGATAAGAGGGGAGCTACTAGCCTGGTGCTCACAGACCAGAGCGTTGGTAGCGGAGAAGGGATGATAAGGGGGACTATGGAGAAAGAGGCGCGGATATGATGCACGAGATAGTTTAAGATTACGGTTTCATTGACTGATCTGCACAAATAATGAGAATCAGTGGAAACCCAGCGCAGCAGAGGATAAGACAGGAGAGTCCCGGAGAAGAAGACCATTGTATACAAAACCTGAGGCATCTATTCTTGACCATATCTGGAATAGTATATGTGTACTAATCCTATTTGGGAACTGACGGCCCCGCTGATTGGTCGATCGTGGGGTCCCGAGACTGGCTGGAGATAGGAGCTTGGACGCAGTGATAACGCCTGCTCAGCTTCAAACACCCGTGGATGGCACTTGTCAGCCTTAATCTACATGGAGCTCGGGCAATTGCCAGAGGATTTGCATTTTTATTGATTTAAAACATAGTTTGAGACGATCACCTGAAGGTTGACCTGTCGTTGCCGCGAAAAACACCCAGGCATTTGTTACACTGCACGGTTAAGTTTCCCACCGAGATACCCCCTTGTAAGGAAACGTGGGAGAACATTCTTGATGCCAGTTCCTGCATAGAATGATTCCCAAGGAACAGTGACAGTATCCATCATGGATACTTTCCAACTCTACCTACTGCAACGATGGCGACGCCAGTCACCGAGAGCAGCTCCGTTATCTATACGATTTCAGCCAATCAGCGCTTGTCGGCGCCTCTTATCAACACCGTTTCTCCCACAAATTGTTATTGGATTTTCAGGCTCTACGAATTGATAGACAAGATCTTGGCTTCCATTGCCAAGATTACATCCGTTCTGATACTGATTCCCTGACGGCGGGCGTCATTTCGGGCTCACCTTCCCCCACCCAACCTTCAGCCAACACCATGGGCGTACCGATCTTTTGCACGAACGCCCGGGTGTTTATAGGCCGATACCGGGAATATGGGCTATATGGAATTATGGATGACACTTACATCGGTCACGCTACCCTGAAATTTTATGATTGCTATTTCAATGCCGTCGACTTGATCGCATCAATCTGAAGAGCTTAGGCGGAACTTAGCAGCTAAGTATGCCAGTTGAGGGCTAAATCAAAGATATCATAGTTTCTCCACGTCCTCTCCTCCGCTCTCTTTCGGTCTGTCACCGGCTTTGACAGGATGACAGGAATGTTTTGCTCGCTGAGTCCTCCATGCGAACGGAGGGGATGATCCCTCACCTTTGAGAGGTCATGCTTCTCCTTGCTGCTTCCAATAACTGTATTCTCCGTTGAGATGACAACTATATCCGCTTCTCGATCCAGGGGCATTTCATAATCCCTTGCGGCGTCTTCTCCATTCAATGCAACTTCCACCTCAGGAAGTGACCGGCAAACCGAGATCATTAGTTCCAGCTGCGTTATGTCCTTGAGGTAGACGCGCACAAATGAGCCGAGCGCTCCATGATGCCGTACAAATGGATCGGTAATAGGACAAATAACGTGCGCTGCATCTGCGCCGAACTTCTCGTTAAGCACGTCCTCGAGAAACAGCACATTCGGTTCCCCGTCAGCAGAAGCTTTGGCACTCATTCCATGATCCCCAGTTACTGCGACTGTTGCCCCAAGCTTGACCAGCTGCCCCAGCCGCGCATCAATTGCTTTCATGAATTCGTCGGCTTCTTCAGTACCCGGCGCATATTTGTGCTGAATATAGTCCGAGAGGGTCAGGTAGAAGAAATCCGATCTCCCTTCCTGGAGCAACTTCACACCAGTGTCGAGAACAAACAGCGACAAGTCACCGGAATACTGGCTTGGTGCCGGGCGATCCAGCCACTCCTCCACGTCGGTAATCCCATTCTCCTCCATGGTGCAGTCTGCAGCGCGTTCAGCAGAGAAACAAATCGCAGCACCCTGGAGCCCATGAGCAAGGATCTTGCGCAGCTTGTCCTTCGCCGTAACAGCAGCCACCCGGATCCCCCGCTCCGACATTTTCTGCAGTAGCGTAGACCCTCGCAGTAGAGTGTCGTCTGTTATCATGGTTTCACGACCTGTCTCACGATCCAGGAAGAAGTTTCCTGCGATGCCGTGGATGGACGGCGGTGTCCCAGTGATGATGGAAACATTGTTGGGGTTTGTGAAGGAGGGCATACAGCTTTTGGCTGTTCCGTGAAATCCGGATTCGACAAAAGATTTGAACGTTGGTAGCAGGTTGCGCTCTAAGCCCGACACGAGATATTCGGGGTCGAAGCCGTCGATGCAGACTACCGCAGTCGGGCCTTTTGGGAATCGGTACTCGCGGGAGTGCAATGTGAAGGAAGAAGCAGGCATTTTTTGTCGAATATATATATGGATATTCTTTGCTTTTCCAATTTAATAGTTCCCTATTGATATAATAAATTGATATTGGTATCTTAGTTGGATATTGAGGATACAGAAGGAGGATTAGGCTCGGGAGTCCTCATATACTTCGGCTCCAACCTGTAACGGCACGAAGCCCGCTTGACCGGCACGAAGACCTTCCACCCCACAAGGCCAGATTGCGGTGGTTACAATGCTTGAACCAACCAGCATGTCTATATTTTATTGTCCCGTCTCTTGGAATAAAGTATCATTTCTAAATTACAGAACCATATTTCCAGACAATATTGATCGTGTTGCTGCCAAGATATATAAAGGGATCAGCACTATATATTAACTCGCGTTAGTGTGCTGTGCTGTTTTGCTACATTCATTTTAACGCGTCATCTATCGTACAAACAGTGATCCCCCAAAGACAAGATGTAGATATTGTGGTTTAATTGAAGATTGAACCATTGACTGCTTGCTTGTTGATGCCATTGATTTCCCTGGCTACGGGCGTATGCTTGGTAGATAGGGAGTAACATTGCCGCCGCTGGGCTCTACTGTTGCGGCCCAATCCATTACAATGGGATGATTTCATTATTTTTGCTGCCTTGCCTATGGTGCAATATATATTTCTTATTACGAAATTTCGCCTGCTTGTTTACTTCAATGAGTTGTGATTGCCGAAAATGGCCCCCGGGGTTTTGCCACTCTGCCATGCGGAGACGCACGGCCACAACCACCACACACTGCCATCTCATCTTGTCTTCTCCGCCTTGGGCTCAACCTTCGACTTTCCTTCCACACCCCCAATTCCTCACCCCCCGCCACCATGGACCCCCAGTCGGTCCATGACTACCAAATTCTGGAGCGGCCTGGGCGAGGCCAAGGTGACTCTGATGGCTCCGCCTCGTCTGACGAGTTGGTGAACCCGCCGTATATCGTCCGGCCAGGCCCTATCATCCCCGACCCTTCTACCTACGACCCTCAGATGACTTCCAACCATACCGCATCGTCTCCTCCTCCGGCTCCCTCCTCCACCTTCAGCTCATGGGCAAGCGTCACTCCTACGCGTCCTCGCGGTGCCAGCGTCGGGACACCCGCTATCGACAAAATGTCCTCACCCGCCATGGAAGGAACACCAAGCGAGTTCCGATTACAACGCCCATCTCACCCAGCTCGAACCCCCTCCAACACATACGCGCCGCAGCGACGGCCGCCTCCCTTCATCAGCTTCCAAGACGACCGGCAGCGATCATCCTCCTCAAAACGGACACCTAGACGCGACCCTAACGCGCAGTACCGAGCACAGGAAAAGGCATATGTCCAGCGCATACGCGAGGATCCGCAGGCATGGTACAGCCGGTTTGAAGATAACGGGTTGAACATGACTGGGGCCGAATCTGATGTCGAGGACCCGTCGCCTTCTTCGGAGGCACCTTTTGAAGATGATGCCTACGACCCCGATATTCAGCTTTTCATCGCCGATGACAACCAGCCTACGCTTGAAGAGCTCAAGAACCCGAAGAACCAGGAGCGGCTCGAGTGGCATTCTATGTTGGCTTCTGTCTTGAAGGGTGATGTTGTCAAGCAGGAGAAGCAGCGGTTGCTTGGGTCTACGGAGTCAAACAGGTCAGCAGCTCAAAACCACGCGATATGGCTTGGTGTGAGGGCCAGGTCGTGTGGGCGGAGTGTCGCCCTGCAGCGGAAGCTTATCGAGGAAGCAAGAGCTGCACTTGCTCCAATCATCGAAGACATCGTCAAGTTCGAGATCAAGGGTGAAACGGAGATTGGGAAAACACCAATCAAGCAGGTTGAGGATATCGTCGAACAGATTGGGAAATGCGAGTCGCTCTACTCTACCCATAAAGCGTTGGAAACAGAAAACCCTCGTGTTTCTTCAGAAGAATACTGCTCTAGTCGCGATGCCGTGTACGCCTGGCATAACACTACCATCTTGATCAACACAGAACTTGCTATTTTGCGAAAATGGGTCGGCAATCAGGAGCTTGACTTCAGTAAAGTTGGACACCGACCAACTAACAGTGACCTCAGCGACGAATCATCATTTCTCGATCGCATCATGAAAGAAGATGGTCTCAAGACACTTCAGGGGGAGCACAACATGCTGGATGGCATTGGCGCAGTGATTCAGAAAGCAAAAAATACTCTGATAGAAAACGCGAGCTCTTTTGCAAAACGACATCTACCGCCATATATCGAAGAACTCCTCATCTTAATTAACTTCCCTTCCCGTCTGATCCAGGAAATTATACGCGTTCGGCTCTCCTACGCTAAGAATATGAAGGATCCAGCGCAGCAGTCTCCTATCCTGGTCGACCAGATGATTACCCAATTCCAAATTTTGATGAGAGCTGCCGTTGATATCAAGCGACGGTATCTTGATATTGCAAGACCGGAACCAGGCTGGGATCTCCCTCCATGCATTGACGAAAGTTTTGATGCGGTTGTGTTAGATGCTTTGAGATACTACTTCCGGCTACTGAACTGGAAATTACAAGCGAATAAGAACACATTCAAAGAGGCGGAAATCCTGGAACAGGAATGGGACTTCTGTAATGAGATTGGTCGTCAGCTTGAGAGTGGGGATATCGAAGTTGCTGAACAGTTCAGGTATGGCATGACACCTCCCCGCAGTTTTCCATAAGATGACTAACTCGATATAGTGTGTTGACTGCTAGAGCTATTCATCGTTTGCTGGTTCACTTTGAGCGCGAGCTGCATGTTCGCGAGGACGAGGATCCTGCAGAACTGGATAAACGGTTTAAAGGAGTCTTGGATTCAACCAGAATTCGGCAACGAAAGCTTTACCGATTTTCCCGGTTCCTGCGTCAACTTTTCGAAAATGCGTCCGAGTATAATCTCCCGGCCGAGATTTCGTGGGAATTTTTCGAGGCCCTGTTTGTATCCGATCACTTCTTGATCAAGTCCAATGGATCCGTGGGCCAGAAAGGTGTTTATCTTTTTGCGCATGGAGCCTTGTGGAATCGCCCAGGTGAAATATCTGCTATCTTGGGAACCTCATTCCGCGAGGAGGATGTCGGGAAAGAACCTACGCATGTGCCATATGTCTTAGCTGTCCGTCCTGAAAAACCATTGTCTTGGGCGGGTAAGGAGATGCAAGTCGAGATTGTCGAGCAACCGACCGACTTGCGACTCGGAAAGCTTCGTCTTGTCGTCGAGGGTTCACAGCAGCGTCTGTCCAACGCGAGACTTGAATTGGCCCAATTAACTGGCATCCAACTTGATATGGCCATTGAACAGCGTGCAAACCTTGGTCGTGTGAACGCAGAGCTCAATAGGATCAAGAAAATATCGTTCAAGCTGTCCATGACCATTATGGACAGTGTTGCCATTCTCAGGAAGCAACTCAGGGAGAAGGGTGTGGACAATCATGAACTCATTCAAGCTTGCTATGCCTTTGCTACCGAGTTCGGCAAGCGTTCATCCAACGTTGACCCCAATCGGCGCGCGATGAACAGTGCGAGGCTCGCTGATTTGTCTCTTGACTGGGTTTCGTTCGTCTGTGATGATTGTGATGCTGCTGATCGAAAGACATTCAAATGGGCTGTGGCTGCCCTTGAGTTCGCGATGGCTATAACTTCCAGCAGACACCTTCTCTCGATGGACGATGCAAATTTCTCACGTTTGCGGCAGAAAGTGGCAGGGTGTATGTCGCTTCTCATATCGCACTTTGATATCATGGGTGCACGGTCCTCGCGCGCAGCCAAGGCCGAGAAACAGCGTTCAGATGAGCGCGCAAGTTCTCGGAAACTTGGCCCTGGCCGAATTTTGACCGACGCGGAAGCAATGAGACTTGTCCGGGAACAGCGTCTCTCGTCCCTGACTAGCATTGAAGGGAATAGAGTCGAAGCCGATGCTAAGCGGCAGGCTCTGGGACGAGTCCTCGAAGGATCAAACGAGGCGGATAGGTCTCTTGCGGTCTTGTCTTCGTCTGCGACCAATGTCACACTACGCTGGCAACAGGGTCAATTCATTGGAGGTGGAACGTTTGGCTCTGTCTACGCTGCGATTAACCTGGACAGTAACTATCTTATGGCAGTCAAAGAGATCCGTCTGCAAGATCCCCAGCTTATCCCTAAGATCTCGCAGCAGATCCGTGACGAGATGGGCGTCCTGGAGGTGCTGGATCATCCGAACATTGTCTCATATCATGGAATTGAGGTTCATCGCGACAAGGTGTACATCTTCATGGAATACTGTTCCGGCGGATCGCTCGCCAGTCTGTTGGAGCATGGCCGTGTCGAAGACGAAACAGTCATCATGGTATATGCGCTCCAACTTCTGGAAGGATTAGCATATCTCCACCAGTCTGGAATCGTGCACCGAGACATCAAACCAGAGAACATTCTGCTCGACCACAACGGCATCATCAAGTATGTCGATTTCGGAGCTGCCAAGATCATTGCCCGCCATGGCAAAACTCTCTTGCCCATGGATGGTTTCGGGAACCCTGGGCCTAGGGATGGTATTGCTCCCAAGGATACCCAGATAGCGCCAAACCGTGGCAAGCAACAGAAGACCATGACCGGAACCCCGATGTATATGTCTCCTGAAGTTATTCGTGGCGACACCCAAAAGCTAGTCAACCGTCAAGGGGCCGTGGACATCTGGTCTTTGGGTTGTGTCATTTTGGAGATGGCCACCGGTCGTCGCCCTTGGTCCACTCTAGACAATGAATGGGCTATCATGTACAACATTGCCCAAGGAAACCAGCCCTCACTGCCGCCTCGTGATCAGCTCAGTGACCTCGGCATCGACTTCCTCCGCCGGTGCTTCGAGTGCGATCCGCTGAAAAGACCCACGGCGGCGGAACTACTTCAGCACGAATGGATCGTCTCTATCCGTCAACAGGTTGTGATTGAGCCAGCTACCCCGACTAGCGAGCATAGCAGCAGTTTCAGCAGTTCGAATTCGGGCAGCCGTCATGGCTCGACATACATGTAGAGCTTGGCTTCTCTCTCTTCTTTATCCTGATACCTATCTCTACCATTACACTATGATGCGGCAACCTACCACTCCACCCATTTTGTTTACTACCACCTCTCGAACCTCACCCTCATATGATTTACAGTGCTTAAGCCGGGGCGAGGTGTATATACCCCACCCAGCAAACACCAGCATCAAACCCATTCACTCACCACAATCTCACGCCCTCCTATCATCATCATGATCGTCATCATCTCTTGACTCAACGAACCAATTCATTGCATTTGATACCCCGTCTCTCTTAGTAGAGTCTGCTTCACCCATCCATCGAAGTCCACAAATACCACATTTATCGACCTGTTCACGTGTACCTTAGTCTTACTATTTACCATCAGACGAACATTCATTTTCTCGGAACATGTATCTTTCTTTTCCTTTCATTTATTCATCAGAAATCAAATTCACATTTACTTGCTATATATCATGATATTGTGTGCTCTCCATGCCCACATCTCCTATAGTATACTACAGCATGGTCGTCGTCGTCCTAGCGTCTGACATTATGTATACACGACTTAAGCCAATATCATCTTGCCCTCTGATCCGCTGAAGATAGCTGGATAGTTGAGTTGATCAACTGATTCTCTATCAAGTTAAGAGATTTAATTTCTCGTCTAATGCATTGCAGTAAGTATGGTATAGTGATGCTGGTAGAGTGGAGGTCTTCGAAATGATTTCGTGGGTCGGCTTCGCGGCGGGTAATCCGATATCGCACCTTTGGGTCTGTTCGTCATGTCGACATGCGTGGCGACGGCGATGGCGAAATCGGACGACGTCCCAGCGGCTCGGTGGTTTACTTTATAATAATAAAAATAAAATCATGAAACTTATAACTAAGGTATTATGGAGGTCAGGGATGGAGGATGGCAGGTGCATTGCGAGGTCCTCTGAGAGGACGACGCAAGGTAAACGGATATTTTATAAGAGAGGTCGAAGACGACGTATAACGTGAGTAAAAGGGTAAAGTATCAATAAAAGCAGTAACTTATGTGTCCGGATAGCCTGCAACCGGGGTGATGGTAGGTCGAGTACCAAGGCTGTTGTCAACTCGAAGAAGGAAAGCCAAATAAACATGCATGCGTGACGAACCCAAACGCAATGGAGACAAGAAACAATCATTCAGACGCTGGTAAAATGGAGCACCCTCGTAAGCAACCTAGAAGCGAAAGAGAATATAATGTTAAAGAGTAGAGAAAGTAACTGGGAGACCGTCATCGAGGAATAAGAAAGAGAATGAATATAAATCGAGACCATGACAACCAATGAAACGCCAATTGAGAAAGAAATCATCATGAAGCATAAATTGTCGATCGGATGAGTGGACAACTGTATGACGACGGAGAAGTACGGCGTAATATTCACTTCTTCGTGGCATTGTGGAGGAGAGTCGGAATAGGTTGAGATATAGAGGTTAATCGATGCGCGATATAACGATAGTTGAAAGAATTGGGATGGGACAGCATGGGGACTATATGCTCTCCGTCACTGTATAGAATTCCGGAGGGGTTATTCAATTATGATGACCGAAAGGGAGTCCATTTAACGGAATTCAATGGCGGGGGTGCGCCCGTGGTTTTCAACGTGTTTGAGGTCTAATTGCTGGTATCTTGAAAAAATGGTTAGTATGTTGAAGAAAAAAAAATCGCTATGGGGCCTAAGACTCACTTCTCGCTCTTTGCGTGAAAGTAAATGCCGGACACAGTGCCTTCAACTTGGTTGAAGCAGATGTAATAGAAGCCTTCGAAGCTAGCACCGGATATCGTTCGGACGCGATGGTCAGGAACAAGGAAATGCTCCTTCCAGCGCATGAAGATGTGGTCGCGTTCGGCGAAATCCCAATACGTAAAATCAGGTCTCTTTGCTTGTTTGGCTAACGGTCGCCAGGCGGGGAACCGTGCCCAGTGATGCATGTCGGTCTTCTCTGAAGCACCCCATGATTCATTCCTAGTCTTGAAAGTATGTTTGGTTCCAATGATCTCTCCTTCAAAAAAGGTTGTCAAAGTAGGATGGTCCTCGGTGAGGCCTTCATAGATGGATAAAGTTAGCTTCGACTCCAGCCATGGTAGCATAAGAGACATTGTGCTCCCACGAACCTTGAATGCGGAGATACCCGCATAGATAGGATTCAGTCATATCCACGTGTTTGATTTCCACGTCGACATTATAAACTTGTCGATCAGATTGTTGCGTGCCCGTGAATTTACTTCCCGGTCGCAGAAAAGATGAAGTATAATTAGGAAGAAGCTGGTCATGTTAGCCGAATGTAGTTACTACTCATTCCTCTAAGATCACATACTCTTATATTCGAAAATTCGTAGCTTAGAAGGGTCGAAGGCGACGGAGGGACCGCTGCGGCAGAGTTTGCAGTGCGTCTAGTTGGACTCGCTCTCGCCATGGAGGGTTCGTCGTCCGATCTGGACATACTGCTCGGAGACGCACTAGTCTCCATCTCCACCTTCAACGGTTCCGAGTCCCCACGGACGGTCGCATTGTCTGAACGTATGGGCACGGGTTGAGGTGAGGCGACACTTGGGGAAGGAACATTATCGGGTGTCGAGTCCCTCTCGATCAGGGCAGGGGAATCCAGCTCCTCTCGCCAGGATGCCAATCTTTCTGGCTCGGGAGGGCAGGTCGCGCGGGCGGAGAGGTCCTCGATGACCGAAGCGGCATTGAGACGAGGCGTGCTGTCACTCGGAGTAGGCATTGCGACGGATTAACGAGGGAATGACATCGGATCGAGATAGTTACAGTATGGGTGGCGAACGAGGGCGGGCGAGTGAACAGCCAGGCAATGCATACAAGAAGCAAAAAACTGAGGTGTGAAAGGGGTTGGAACAGGAGGACAGAGAAGGAGAGTGAGGGGGTTGAGATCTGGCAGAAATCGAGGAGGACAGACGAGAGGGTTAGCCGCAGTAGACGCAGGTGTGCAGGATATCCAGGTTAAGTGATGGAGTGGCACAGCAGTGAGCGCAGGCCTCTCTGCCCAAAGGGGATAGGCGGGTCATTGCCAGGCGTCCGCAGTGGCCGCTCTGAGTCTCGGGTCATGCGAGCTGCGGCGCTGCGGGGGCGACAATCCTAGTTCAGGCAACAAATTCAGGTATACATTTGCCATTCGCCCTGTCCTTATATCAACTGCACTTCCTAGTCTTTACATAATTGATGGCCGTGATTAACTATATCAATTCATTACTTTTGCCTATCATTAGCCGCTATACCCGGGTATTTCATTCCATTGCCCCGCAATACTGCTATTGTAACCAGAAGGGTAGTAAAGCAGTTGCGTCCTTTAGATCGGTTTGATCTGTATTGCGCTGTCAGACCACGTGCCATGAATACCACAACTCAGCCTGACTTACCTTGAAGTGGAGAGATATCAAGGAGAAAACAAGTGCCTTTAGATCCTGTACAAGGTAGTAGAACACCCGAAGGCCTTCGGGGTCTGCCGATTCCGCCACCTCAGCGAGTGACCCGATTTTGGCGGTCTGCCTGGTGTTAGAAGGTGAAATTCCCGGCGGCTGGCGGCTAAAAACGCACCTCAAACGAGATATGATCATTGCCTAATCGTATTTCTAGCTCCTGTCGCCCATCCTTGTTCTTCTGCGGCCAGTTCGAATCGTCCTCCCTATCAGCATGTTAGTTTGGCAGTCCCGGGCACGAAGACGCAGGAATGAATACTTCAGAATCTCGCTGCTCTTGATGATGCGCTTGACTTCCTGGATCATCGCCGAGCTCACGCACACTATATCGCCCGTCGATTAGAAACGTCCTACTGCCACTGAATCGTCCACCCGGCACTCACTTTCTTTACGGATGAGGGAGTCATTGCGATAGTTGGAATTGTTCGCATACCGAACAGCAGCGCTGCGACCATCGCCGAGGGTACGCAGATCGAATTCTGCGGTAGTTAGCACGTGTAATGGCGCGCGAAGGCAGAGGCTAGACTCACCTAGAAACTCATGTCCAAACCGCCCAGAGTGACCTGAGCTGCGGAACCGTCAGCAGCGGAGGAAACCTGGGCTAAAACACAGATAGGCCTTACTAGTAACGGATATAGAACTGCTCGTTTTGACCCGACATTTTCAGTACGTCGTCAACCAGCGTGATGTCGTTGTAGAAGGCACCTGGGCAGCTTTGCGGCGAGAAATCGACGTCCCGCCTTGATTGTTGGCGGTGGCCCAAGGCGGGGCTTAGTCATCCACACATTCCGGACAGCTTGCGGGCCCGCGCAAATGGCCAGGTTGAACACCATAATTGGTGAAGCCTCCAGATTGTCAACATTTGCGCTGATGAATTCCAGGTAGGCGAGGGGAGTTTAATTGCTTGAGACTACTACATATCGCCTGCTCCGTTCGCCTGGGGAGTGTTACCTGGTGCGTTTCCACCCCTCGTCCTCTCAGTTCTCCCTCTCCCTGAAGGGCCCAAAACAACACCTGGAACCCCCCGTACTGACTGGCCGCTCCAAGCTCTCCTCCTCCGCCCCTTTCACTACGGCCGTTCGTTAAACCTCACACACCATGGCGTCGTTTTTGGAAAATGCGTACAGCTTGGTCCATCTGGATAACGCTGCTGACCAGCCTTCCCAACAAGAGCTGAAGGTGCAGCTGGAGAAGGGTAACGATGAGACCAAGTTGGATACAATGAGGAGGATCATTACGATCATGCTCAATGGTGATCCCATGCCTCAGTTATTGATGCACATCATTCGCTTTGTCATGCCATCCAAGAGCAAGCCTCTTAAGAAACTGCTATACTTCTACTATGAGATCTGTCCGAAGCACGACTCAAACGGGAAGCTTAAGCAGGAAATGATCCTGGTGTGGTAAGTGCCAATCTGCCAATAGAGTACTTCCACTCGCCTTTCTAATTGAACACCTTCCATGCAGCAATGGCATTCGTAACGATCTCCAGCACCCTAACGAATTCGTCCGAGGCAACACCCTGCGATTCCTCTGCAAGCTCCGAGAACCCGAACTTATCGAACCCCTCCTTTCATCCGCACGCTCATGTTTGGACCATCGACATGCCTACGTGAGGAAGAGTGCCGTATGGGCTGTTGCGTCTATCTTCCAGCATTCGGAATCTCTCATCCCCGATGCGCCAGAGCTCATCCAAACATTCCTCGAAACAGAATCCGACGGCACTTGCAAACGGAATGCATTTGCGGCCCTTATGTCCATTAGCCACCAGAAGGCCCTGGAGTACTTGGCTTCTACTTTTGACAGCATCCCCAATACTGATGAATTACTTCAACTTGCCGAGCTGGAGTTTATTAGGAAGGATGCGGTGCAAAATTCGCAAAATAAGGTGGGTTGTTCCTCGAAAGTTCACACTTTACATCCCGCTAATGGAAGCAGGCGAGATACCTGCGATTGATCTTTGACCTTCTCGATGCCTCGACAAGTACCGTGGTATACGAAGCTGCCACCTCCCTTACAGCACTCACCAGTAATCCGGTCGCTGTCAAAGCCGCCGCGGGGAAATTGATCGAGTTGAGTATCAAGGAGGCGGACAACAACGTAAAACTTATTGTCCTGGACCGGGTGGACCAATTACGAATCCGCAATGAAGGTGTTCTCGACGACCTTACAATGGAGATTCTCCGGGTTCTCTCTAGCCCTGATATCGATGTGCGACGGAAAGCTCTCGGTATCGCTTTGGAAATGGTCTCCAGCAAGAACGTGGAGGAAATCGTGATGCTTTTGAAGAAAGAACTCGCCAAGACTGTGGACGAACAATATGAGAAGGTAGGCTTAAGCATTCCTTGCTTGGTTTCCGAACTAACACCATGCAGAACAGCGAATACCGTCAACTACTTATCCAATCAATTCACAACTGCGCTATCAAATTCTCAGAGATTGCTGCTAGCGTTGTCGACCTGCTGATGGACTTTATCGCCGACTTCAACAACAACTCCGCGGTTGACGTGATTTCGTTCGTTAAGGAGGTTGTCGAGAAATTCCCTAAGCTTCGTGCGTCCATTGTGGACCGCCTGGTATCTACTCTCAGTGAGGTCCGCGCCGGAAAGGTTTACCGTGGCGTCCTGTGGGTTGTTGGCGAGTATTCGCTTGAGGAGAGAGATATTCGTGAGGCTTGGAAGAAGATTAGAGCAAGTCTTGGGGAGATCCCTATCTTGGCTTCAGAGCAGCGTCTTCTTGATGAGGTACCCGAAGATACCTTACCCAAGGAACAGATCAATGGCCACGCCAAGCCCTCAGCTCCGAAGGTTTTGGCAGATGGTACATACGCCACGGAGAGCGCCCTTACTAGCCAGTCCGCGGCTGCTGCTCGTCTGCAAGCAGTCAAGGCGGCCCAGAAGCCTCCTCTGCGTCAGCTGATATTGGATGGCGATTACTACCTCGCAACTGTCCTCTCATCTACATTGACCAAGTTGGTGATGCGGCATTCGGAAGTCTCCCAGGAACCTGCTCGTACCAACGCTCTACGTGCTGAAGCCATGCTGATTATGATCTCCATCATTCGTGTTGGTCAATCGCAATTTGTCGCCGCTCCGATTGACGAAGACTCTGTTGACCGTATCATGACCTGCGTTCGATCTCTTGCTGAATTCTCCGAGAGAAAGGAAATTGAGACAACGTTCCTCGAAGACACTCGCAAGGCCTTCCGCGCCATGGTTCAGGTCGAAGACAAGAAACGAGCCGCCAAGGAAGCCTCGGAGAAGGCCAAGAGCGCTGTTCAGATTGACGATGCTATCCCGATCCGGCAGTTCACGAAGAAATCCGATGAAGGGGCTGAGGAGATTGAGCTCGATCTTGCCAAGGCAACAGGAGGTGACTCCACGGTGGAAACTGTGTCGTCTAAGTTGAGCCGTGTTGTTCAACTTACTGGTTTCTCAGATCCCGTCTACGCAGAGGCTTATGTCACGGTGCACCAATTTGATATTGTTCTCGATGTGCTTCTGGTTAACCAGACCCTGGAGACATTGCAGAACTTGTCAGTTGAGTTCGCCACGCTGGGAGACCTGAAGGTCGTGGAGCGGCCTACTACTCACAACCTCGGCCCTCGTGACTTCTTGAACGTGCAGGCTACAGTCAAGGTGTCATCAACGGATACGGGTGTCATTTTTGGTAACATTGTGTACGACGGTGCTAGCTCAACGGAAACTCATGTTGTCATTCTCAATGATATCCACGCCGATATTATGGATTACATTCAGCCTGCTCAGTGCACTGAGACCCAGTTCCGCACGATGTGGACCGAATTTGAATGGGAGAACAAGGTCAATATCAATTCCAAGGCCAAGACTCTCCGCGAATTCCTCAAGCAACTCATGGAGAGCACCAACATGGCGTGCCTTACTCCCGAGGCCTCACTCACGGGTGATTGCCGGTTCCTGAGTGCTAATCTCTACGCCCGGAGTGTATTCGGTACGTTTCCTTAACTAATTAACCTACTTTTTGTAGAACTCACATGCTAACCAATGGCTTCTTATAGGCGAGGATGCCCTAGCGAACTTGAGCATTGAGAAGGAAGGAGATGATGGTCCAGTCACCGGCTTTGTCCGGATAAGAAGCCGTTCTCAAGGGCTGGCTCTAAGCCTTGGCTCGCTGAAGGGTCTCAAAGCGTCGACTGCATGAATAGAATTCTAGGTTTCTTTGTTTCTTATATCTGAATAGTGATCAACTTCTTCTTACCTATTCCACGATCATATTGATATGTTTGCCCGTTGTCTTTTTCTTTGCTAGCCTTGATGGATGAATCTGCTTGGGAATATGTTTCTTGTACTGTGTGTTGGCGGATAAGAAAATATTCCTTTCAATAAAATTAATATATTCATAACCGTGTCTCTGTAAACAGAAAAATAAATGAACTGATGTCCTAATAAGTCGGGGCGAGGCCGTATCTTGGACGCCTACAGACGGAAGCGTCGGACCATGGATGTTGGCTTTTATTTGAAATTGATTAAAAATACCATGTAGGCTCACTGCAAGAAGGAACCGGTTTGCATTTGGAATTGTCATCTTTTTGTTGTTTGGAGGATAAACCAGTGACCGAAAACGGGGGTCGAGACAAGTTTCAGCCAGAAGTTAGTGCTCACTTCCTCTCCATCTCGCCGTCTCCAGCGCTTCCGAGGCTCCGACAACCTCCTACTTTCTCCTTATCCTGTCTCTCCCATCATCTCTCTCCTATTGTATATTTAACCGTTTCATATCGCGGTATACTTTTGCCTTTGATTTGACTTTCTTTGTTCTTACGCTTCGGCGCGTCGTCGAGAAAAATGGCTGCCAATAGCTCACCTTGCACGAATCAATCTGATTCCCACCTCCGCTTGCTCGGCCATGATTCGACTCTGCTGGTGGGACAATCGGTGTCCCTCACATTAGGCGGCGATTCTCTTTTAGTAGTCGGTACGTATTGTCCAATGATTGCGATTGATGTACTGATTTAACCCCCATGCTCTGCAGACGAGCGTGCCATGCGCAAACCGGACCGTACATGTTGTGGTCTGATTCCCAAACCAAGTACGTTATCACTTCGCGACCCGCGTATCTTCTACCTACCGAACGCTACCGGCACATATATAATAGAGACTGACCATCTTACTGTAAAGCGAACAAGATTACCCATTCCATCTCCCTATACAATGTCCTTGACACGAGCATATCCTCGGCCGGCTTGACCATTACCTACGCGGAGCATGCAAGCAAACATGACATCGCCGTAACCGCCCTGCAATACCCGATCACCCCCGAAGAGAAAGCGACAGTCGAGACGTGGACGTCAAAACTGCTTACCCTTGCGTACGGTAATGCGCAGCGGTATAAGCGACTCAAGATCCTGATCAACCCGTTCGGAGGTAAGGGGACTGCGGCTAAGTTATATCGGACGTATGCAGAACCAGTCTTTGCGGCCGCCCACTGTGAAATCGATGTGCAGGAGACAACACACAGTGGGCATGCTACAGAGATATGCGAGCAGATAGACATCAACGCGTACGATGCTATTGTGTGCTGCTCTGGTGATGGTCTACCATATGAAGTCTTCAATGGTCTGGCGAAGAAGCCGAACGCTGGGGAAGCATTGGCAAAGCTCGCTGTTACAATGTTGCCCTGTGGTTCTGGAAACGCGATGGCCTGGAACCTTACTGGAACCGGGAGTGTTTCCGTCGCTGCTTTGGCCATCGTCAAGGGAGTGCGCATGCCAATGGACCTGATGTCCATCACACAGGGAACCACTCGCACGTTATCATTCTTATCCCAGTCTTTCGGTATCGTCGCGGACTCGGATCTCGGCACAGATAACATCCGATGGATGGGCGCCCACCGCTTTACCTATGGCTTCTTAACGCGGCTCATGCATCAAGCAATATACCCATGTGACCTTGCTATAAAGGTGGTGATGGACGATAAAACGGCTATCAAGAACCACTATAACACATATGTGGACAGCACTCCGCCTGTTCGCTCTACAGATGGCGCCGAACAAGGCGAAAGCCTTCCCAAGCTTGAGTATGGCACCGTTCTCGATGAACTGCCCAAGGACTGGGAGGTTGTAAAGGGAGACACAATCGGCAATTTCTACGCAGGGAACATGGCTATAGTCTCCAAGGATACAAACTTCTTCCCGGCTTCAGTACCTAACGATGGACTCATGGATATTGTCACCGTGGATGGCACAACCAGCCGTTCCAGGGTCCTCAAAATGATGACTGAAGTCCCTGAAGGCACATTTTTCGACATGCCAGAGGTTGACATTCGCAAGGCTCTCGCTTTCCGACTCACCCCTCGGCAGAAGGAGGGGTACATCAGCGTCGACGGCGAAAAAATACCCTTCGAAGCATTCCAGGTCGAAATCCACAAGGGTCTTGGCACAGTTCTCTCCAAGTCCGGGCATATTTATGAAGCACCAGGACCTCGGCCGTAAAGGTTTATTGGCTCGGTCAAGTTGAAGCACGCAGATATACCCAATTTCCATCTTTTCCTCTGTATAGACACCTACACACATTCTCGCCGCTGCCGTCTTCCCTCATTGTGATGATACCCAAATGGACGACAACGTTTAAAACTCAAGCACTGCTACGGTTTGATTCATGTATTTTTATTCCCATATCGTTTTTGAGTTTGGTTCGGGGCTGAGTTTATTAGACCTAGTATTGCATATCCCTAAAGACACGAGGTAGAGGCATATAACAAACACATTTCTATAATTGCGCTCTGTTAGCAGGCTTCCGTCATAGTTCTACCTTGGTTCAACACATTGCTTTTGACTATAGATACATCGGGGAATCAGCTAAACATCCCCAAACCCACCCCACTCCTCCTCACTCTCCTCATCCTCACTATCAGCCTTGTCCGCCTTCTTTTCCTTGAAGCCCCATTCAACCAACCGCTCATCATCCAGCGTCTCCCCGGCCCTGGTCCTAACAGGCCTGTGCGCGCTTTCCTTCTTCAGCCTCTCAACCGGGGCCAGTAGCATCTCCATCGGAACCTCACCAACAGGCTTCCCGCTCTCGGGATCAATCTCAATAGCTTTCTCAATCTCATCAATCCAGATATCAAGCAAGTGGTATCGCAACCCGTCAGGCCCATGTGGCATCGGAATAACACCGTTCTCCTCATCGGGCTTTGGCTGGCTCGGATCGAAGTTCAATGGGTGCAGAGGTCCCTCGGTTATTATGTCTAGATAAGCTTGTAGATCCGCCCAGTTCGAATTCGTCACATCCTCCTGCTCTTCCTCCTCGTCCTCATCCGCATGTTTGCTCTTTGACTTCGACTTTGACTTTGAGCGCTTCTTGGATGCTGTGGTTTCTTCTCTCTTGCGCTTTTTGCTGGCGCCGTTGGCAGTTGCTGAGTTGTTGTTCTTGAGGAAGATCTGGAATGCAACGCCGACGTACGAGCGGATCAGGTAGAGGTACTTGTCTAGTCGCAGACGATCAATGGCGTGGAATTCGCGGCCGATGGTTATCCAGAATGCGCGGAGGAAGCGGTGCACTGTTGTCTGGGGGAGAGAGGGGACGAGCGTGTAGGAGAGGTTGCGGGCAAGAGCTTGTTGGGTGAGGGGGCGGTCGGAGTGGTAGAAGCCTAATGGTTATTAAAATTAGCTTTATGATATTCTGGTACTTTATCTGAGGAGCAAAGAGAAGGCTTACAGAAGAACAAGCCTTTCCAGAGTTTGAGGAAGTCGAGGAGGGATAGGTCGGTTTTGGACCGGAGGAAGAGAGAGAGGGAGTCGGTGGCTTTGTCGCGGATCTTTTTGTCTAGATAATATTGTTAGAATTGGCGTCCGATTTACAGGAGTAGAGAGCATACCACTCGAGGCGAGCTCCCTTACGAAGGGAGTTTTCGCAAGGTCTGTCATGTTGGGGATTATTCGAGCCTTCGTTGTCAACCGTAGAAGGTAATGGCAATTGTAATTGTGTTTGCAAACAGGTTGTAGGCGCCCAAGAAACGGAGCGCAGTGAAGATAACTAGACCCGTAAATTTAAAATGCAAGTTTCATAAGTGCAATGCTAACGAAGTCTTGAGTCGCTATCGCATCCATGACTTTTTTTTTAATGTTTGCACTGTTTGGTTCTTGATAGTGGGGAGCATTTTGTCGAGTCACGTGCGACTGTTTGAGTATGGAATAAAAGGCGTCTCCAACTCTCCGGTCTTCACTGCTCGATTCTCTAGAGCGATGCAAGCCAATCGATGACGTAGGCGGAGATTCTGTTGCAAATTACCAATGGCATTGTACAGAGCATGTTAGCAGCCTAAAATGACTTTCGTGACAGCAGAGGAGTGACGTTTCTATGAGGTTGGCCTGCATGCACTATTCGCCGAGCTTGCACGGACCTGGAGTGGAATAGCATCATCCACCAACTGTAGTAAAAAACGGCCTTCGAGTTTAGGAACTGAAATACCGTTTCAGTAATTGCACTCTTCCGTTGGAGGTCGGTCTTTTCAGTTCGTAGTACTTCGGGTGTAGATAGTTAACTAACTAACTCCGCTGACTACACGATACTTATGCCGAGTTATGCAAGGAAATGGATTTCGGGATCGACAAGTCAGTGGAGAGTTTTGTGGCATCTGCCCAATGGATGGAGGTGCTTAGAGTCAATGCTGCTGATCACTCTTGGCTCTGGGCCCAAGCAAAAGCTCACGACTTTCCGAGATGCGGAGTACTAGGTACGAAGTAAGAATGCCGGCAGCTGTTTGCAGTGACCCAGGCACTAGTACCTGCTTGTGGTAGTCTATGATGAGTGGCATCTCCAAGATGGAGGAGCTTCGGACTTGAGGCCAGCAGCCCTCTCCAATGGGACCAAGTTTGGTATACGCGGGTTTCCATCGAACAAAGGAGATTTGGATTGGGGCTGGGTTTGTTACTAGTTATGTGCAATCTCGTGGGAGTCTCCTCCGTACCAGTAAGCACTATCAGGGAGCGTGAAACCTTAATGCTGAGTGCCTTGTTCGTTGTGGGAGATCCTCATGCTCTGGTCTGGACCGCATCCGGAATGCTCTCATTCGACCCGGCCCGCCCCTTCGTTCGCAATCAGGGAATTCCCCTTCCCATCTATCTTCTGTTTACCTCCGGTGTAGTATTGTTACACGAGAGCCCACTGCGTCACCGTTTTCATGACATCACGATGCCCGCGCCGGCAAATCGCAGTCCTGCGATCTCTGAGAGCCAACCACCCAGCGTATCCAGGGCTGTCACCCACGGTTCACGTCAGAACCTCGAAAGACACTCCCCCGGACTTGTTACCAATGGCCATTGGCCGACATCACTGCTTTCTATTCAGCTGTCGCCTTTTTCCAAATAAATCTTTTTTCCTTCCAGTCAGATGATACGTGCTGTTGTGGAGTTGCACCACCGGAACTGCTAATACCTGTTTGTGTCTGTCGTTTCTTCCCCCCCTTACGATCCTCTCCCCTCCATAGACAGTGCGACCTCAGCACCTTTGCGACTGGGTGCGGTATCGAAATGGCTCAGAACGAGGATCTCAGCAGTAGCTCTCACCAGAGCTCGGAGCAACAGGATGAGATCCACGAAATCCCTCGAGCAGAGTACCGCAGTCGCCAGAATTCAAGGGTAGCCCAGGATGATACGACCTTTTTCGATGAGATCAACCCCGAGGGCAAAGCAGAGTTGACTCGCATTGCTTCCAACTTTCCTAGGCGCACTTCCAGTGCTAGTGCCAGTGTCGGTGCCGGAGGAAAGGGCATACAGCGAATGGACACTGTCGATGAAATGGCCCTCGACAACCCAGCATTTGATCCTACGACTGACCAGTTTGACCACTACAAATGGGCCCGTAAGATGATGAAGCTCATAGATAGGGAAGGGATTCCCCGGCCACCATCGATGGGCATCTCATTCCAGAATCTCAATGTGACAGGTTCGGGGTCGGCATTGCAGTACCAAGATACTGTGGCTTCCCTCTTTGCTGCTCCCTTGCGACTTAATGAACTCTTATTCAATCGATCCCCCGAGAAGCACATTCTGCACGATTTCAACGGGCTAATCCGGAGTGGCGAGCTCCTGATCGTCTTGGGGCGACCTGGAAGTGGTTGCTCGACGTTTTTGAAATCATTATGTGGTCAGCTCCATGGGCTGAAACTAGGGCAAGACTCGGAGATTCAGTACGGTGGAATTTCGCAGGAGACTATGCTCAAGGAATACAAGGGAGAGGTCCTATACAACCAGGAGGTGGACAAGCATTTTGCTCATCTCACAGTGGGACAAACCCTGGAGTTTGCAGCTGCAGCGAGGACTCCCGAGCGCCGATTAGAGGGAGTCAGTCGTCACCAGTTTGCCAGCTACGTTACCAAGGTCGCCATGTCCATTTTCGGTCTATCGCACACCTACAACACCAAGGGTACGGTATCCATGCCAGAAGTACATGTCCCTGAAATCTATTTCTGACCGTAATATAGTTGGTGATGACTATATACGAGGTGTTTCGGGTGGTGAGAGAAAGCGAGTCAGGTTTGTTCTCATTTATCACAATAATAAATGAATTGAAGCTAACTCATATATAGTATTGCTGAAATGGCCTGTAAGCCTTCAAGCCATGACTGTCCTAATTTATTTGGCTTAACACTGACATACGCACAGTGTCGGGGGCACCTGTTGCGGCGTGGGACAACAGTACAAGAGGGCTTGATTCTGCAAGCGCCTTAGAATTCGCTAAGGGTAAGCTTAACCAGCCTATCCATGGAAGCCTCCTATAAGAGCAGATAAAACTGAACAACTTCTTTAAGCGTTGCGCGTGTCCGCAAATGTGGCCGGCACTTGCCATGCCGTTGCAATTTATCAGGCTTCACAGGCAATCTATGACATCTTTGACAAGGCTGTTGTTTTATACGAAGGACGCGAGATCTACTTCGGACCCTGCAGCGACGCAAAGGGATATTTTGAGGAGATGGGCTTTTATTGCCCACCACGCCAGACGACTGGTGACTTTTTGACATCAGTAACCAACCCGCAAGAGCGTAAAGCACGCGAAGGGATGGAGAACAAAGTCCCACGAACACCTGAGGAATTCGAGACATACTGGAAGAATAGCCCGTACTACTCCGATCTTAAGCAAGACATCGCTGATCATTCGGAGGAGTTTCCTCTCGGTGGAGAGGCTGCACAAACCTATGGTCACGCGAAGCGGCACAAACAGGCCAAGCACGTCCGGCCTAAAAGTCCCTATGTCATTTCTATTCCAATGCAGGTCAAGCTTTGCACAATTCGAGCCTATCAAAGGTATTTATTCCGCCGAGAGTACCTAATAGCTTTCTACTGACAGCGGCTAGGATATGGAACGACAAACCATCTACGTTGACAACCGTTATTGGTCGAATTGTGATGTCCCTTATTATTGGTTCTATATACTTCGGGTAGGGTCTTGTGGGATATACATGGACAATATTCTCTAACATATGCAGTACCCCGAACGCCTCCGCCGGGTTTCAAAGTAAAGGAGCTTCTCTATTCTTCGCTGTTTTGTAAGTGCCTGAAATCGATGTGGAATGGAAACACAACTAATATTCCCTAGAATGAATGCTCTTATCAGTATTACCGAGATCAATTCACTCTACGACCAACGTCCGATCGTCGAAAAGCAAGCTTCGTATGCCTTTGTCCACCCTTGGGCTGAAGCATTTGGCGGGATCGTGTCCGATATTCCGGTCAAATTTGTTTCAGCTGTCGTCTTCAACATAATCTATTACTTCTTGGCCGGGCTGGTAAGTGTATTTATTCTGACCGTATGTCACAATAATGCTAATTGCCACAGCGTTATGAACCCTCGCAGTTTTTTATCTTCTTTCTTTTCACATTTCTCAGCACTCTCGCTATGTCGGCAGTCTTCCGAACTCTGGCGGCATCGACAAAGACTCTATCCCAAGCAATGTCCATGGCCGGAGTAATGGTACTGGCTATCATTATTTACACTGGTTTCGTGATTCCCACGCCGCAAATGTCCGATGTCCCGTGGTTCAGTTGGATTAGGTGGATTAACCCGGTGTTCTATACCTTCGAAGCTATGATAGCCAACGAGTTTCACGGCCGACGATTTGAGTGCTCACAATTCGTACCCGCATATCCAAACCTGAGCGGAGACTCCTTCATTTGTGCGGTTCGAGGAAGTGTGGCGGGAGAGCGGACAGTTTCGGGAGACTCTTACATATGGGCTCAGTACCGCTATACATATGCTCACGAATGGAGGAATCTCGGTATTCTGATAGGGTTTTGGATTTTCTTTACCATAGTATACCTGGTTGCGACTGAGATCAATTCGGCCACATCGTCTAAGGCTGAATTTCTGGTATTTCGCCGCGGCCATGTACCGCCGCAGATGCGCAACATCGACAAGGATCAAGGTGATGCACCGCCTGAGAATACGGCGTTAGCCGAAAACCCAAGTGAGACTGCACAAGCGAATACCTCTGTGATTCCAGAACAGCACAGCATTTTCACCTGGCGAAATGTGTGTTATGACATCCCCGTCAAAGGCGGCCAGCGCCGGTTGTTGGATAACGTTAATGGCTGGGTGAAACCGGGTACATTGACAGCATTAATGGGTGTCTCAGGGGCTGGAAAAACAACACTTCTCGATGTACTTGCAAAACGTGTTTCCATTGGCGTTGTTACAGGTGATATGTTTGTTGATGGCAAGCCGCTTGACTCCAGTTTCCAGAGGAAAACGGGTTACGTCCAGCAACAAGACCTGCACCTTTCTACGACGACTGTGAGGGAAGCACTACGCTTCAGCGCACTACTACGTCAGCCAAAGACAGTATCGAAGGCTGAGAAACACAAGTATGTTGAAGAAGTCATTGATATGCTTAATATGCAGGACTTTGCAGACGCGATCGTCGGTACTCCTGGCGAGGGGCTAAATGTTGAACAGCGCAAGCTGTTGACGATTGGAGTTGAACTTGCGGCTAAGCCTGCGCTGCTCATCTTCCTTGACGAACCGACAAGTGGCTTGGATTCGCAAAGCTCTTGGTCTATTTGCGCCTTCTTGCGCAAGCTTGCGGACCGCGGTCAAGCGGTGTTGTCTACTATCCATCAACCCAGCGCTATGCTCTTTCAACAGTTTGATCGACTATTGTTTCTGGCAAAGGGAGGTAGAACCGTCTACTTCGGAGATATCGGGAAAGATTCTCATACTCTACTGAATTATTTTGAATCAAACGGAGCACGTAAATGTGGCTTATCTGAGAACGTCAGTCCCCATTACCCACTTGGCCTGTTATATGTGCTAACTCATACAGCCTGCGGAGTATATCCTCGAAGTAATTGGAGCCGGTGCCTCTGGAAAGTCGAATCAAGACTGGCCAGTCGTCTGGAACGAAAGCAAAGAAGCCAGAGAAATTCAGAATGAAATTGGCCGGATCCATAAAAATAGGGCTTCTGCCTCATCGGAGGAGGAGCAGGACAATACGCACCGCGAATATGCCATGCCCTTCACCAACCAACTGTGGCACGTAACCCGACGTGTATTCCAGCAGTACTGGCGTGAGCCTGTATACATATGGGCGAAGCTGATTTTAGCGATTGCCTCTGCCCTTTTCATCGGGTTCACCTTCTTCAAGCCCGACAGCTCCCAGCAGGGATTCCAGGACGTACTATTCAGCGCATTCATGCTCACATCTATTTTTTCAACCTTAGTGCAACAGTATGTATCGCGCATACTTATTCCATTCTATTAAATACTGACCAACGCGTATCTAGGATAATGCCCAAATTTGTCGTCCAGCGCTCCCTCTACGAAGTCCGCGAGCGTCCCTCAAAAGCCTATTCCTGGGCTGCCTTCATAATCGCCAATGTTCTCGTCGAAATACCCTGGCAGATCCTCGCCGGCGTCGTCTCCTGGGCCTGCTACTACTTCCCCGTCTACGGTGCCAGTCAAGCCCCTCACAGACAGGGTCTGATGCTCCTCTTTACAATCCAATTCTTCATCTTCACATCGACATTCGCAACATTCATCATCTCCGCCCTCCCCGACGCAGAAACTGGCGGTACAATCGCAACACTGATGTTTATGATGACTCTTGTCTTCAACGGCGTCATGCAGCCGCCCAATGCTCTTCCAGGTTTCTGGATATTCATGTACCGCGTTTCCCCGCTGACATATCTTATCTCGGGTCTTACAGCGACGGGTCTCCATGGCCGAGCGATAGTCTGTTCGGACGAGGAAATGAGCGTGTTTAACCCGCCTGCCGGCCAGACTTGTGGACAGTATATGAGTGCTTACCTCCAAGTCGCGCCGGGGAGGCTGTACAACCAGGAGGCTACACAGGACTGCCAATACTGCTCCCTAACAAACGCGGACCAATACCTTGCTGCGTCGAATATTTGTACGTGAACCTTCTCTCCTTCCCCTTCCCCACTAAACCGACCTACTCTGGTAAATAAACCAGACTAACCATGCAATTCTCATATAAACAGTCTACTCAGAACGCTGGCGAAATTGGGGCATCGTTTGGGCCTACATCGGCTTTAACATCTTTGGGACAGTAGCGCTGTATTACATCTTCCGGGTCCGACACTGGAATCCGACGAGTATAATTCGTGGTATTAAGCGGGGAGCAGTGTTTGTTTGTCGTGTGTTCAAGAGGCGCTCTGGGGAGACGCCGAAAGGGAAGGAGGCGGATAATGGAAGGTTGCTCTAGCTTCCAAGTTCCCTCCTGTGTCGGGATTTAGTTGGTTGGAAGTTAGGTTTTGGAATGGTTATGAGGTTGAAATATTGATATATATTTCTAAAATTTGTGGATAATAGAATTTGAGGGCTTGGAGGTAGGTTATTATAACTTGGAATGAACATTCTGGAGAATTCCGTTTGACGAGTGTAATCGGAGTAACCGGATCGTGAGATTGACCTTGACTTTATATTATCACGAAAGATGTAGGCAAGTTTGAAGTATTCACATTCCTATATTTGCACTAGGTAGACTGGGGGTAGTTACATGGGTAAATCAAGTTAAATAGGTAAGAGAGCCGACGGGGGGTATTATGCAATGCATGGATTCTGTAAACTGAAGTGTATCAAACGCCGGCCGCCTGGCGAAACAGGGTATGTATTGTCGTGAACTCGTACACGCGTCGCATCGTCTGTAGAGCGTGATTAGGAAATATACAAGGCTAGGACTGGGGCCTGGTGTTGTGTTCAGTGGTACGTTGGCGAGAGAGTAAGACTCGTTGGACTTGCGAGGGAAGCGAAAGGGTGTAGAGGAGGAAGTCGTAGCTGTAGATATCAGGTCACGATGAGGTTGAGGGTCGCCGCGCAACAACCATAGCATTTACTACATTGCCTGGTTTCCAGCCCTGGTCGACGAGTGGCGTATTCTCTTTGAGGAGCTTGCCTAGGTAGGCGATCCGGACGCGCTGTGTCCTGGGTATCTATATTTCCCGTTAGTTGTCGGTACTCCTTCAAGCCAAAGTAATACAAGTAGAAAAAAGAGAGAGAAATGTAGAACTCACGCCGACTTCCTGCTGCACCTTCCGTGCAAGAAATCCGACATTTTGCGCCTTATTCACAGTGACGACAAGATCCTCGCCATCACGATCACTCAACCTCGCCTTCACCCGGATCAAGTCGCGCTCACTCGCCTTCCCCTTCTCGTCCCTCCTTCGTTCACTTTCACCATCCTCCGCAATCAACTCATCCCCGGATTCTACCTCGTCTCCGAAGTCCTTCCTATCCTCCGCCTCAAACCCCACATCTACGTCCTCCCCGTCCGTACTCCCATCTTCATCCGCATCAACAACAATATTATCTGGATCACTCACAATGCACCTCGGCAACCGGTAGAGTACTCCCTGCTCATCATAGCACCCCTGACAGAGATCTCCTGTTGGAACAGTCACGCCTGCCGCATCAATAATGCTCTGCGCGGTCGCAAAGTCCTCGTTCCGCATGAACGTCAGAGCAGCGGATAGAGCAACCCACACTTCGGGACGACCAGTGACGCGGGTTTCGAAGAACTCAGTGCGTTCGCGATCGAGAAGGGTGCGCGTCCATCGGCGCTTTTTGCTGTTCCAGATGTGCGGGCGGATCGGTGCATTAATGTGCTCGGGCAGCGGGACTGGGGTTTGGTCTTTGGGTGGGTTCTTCTGGCGGGATTGCCGTGAGGACGAGGGGTGGTGATTGAGGATAAGGGGCGGTCGGTGGCGGGAAGACGAGGACGGGGAGATTAGGGATGAGGGTCGACGGGGACGGGTCGATGAGTGTTCGTTCGTTGTGTCGTGATTGTTGTGGTGGTGGTGGTGCTCTTCTGAGGGAGACTGAGCGTCGTGGGAATCACGCGACACGGAGAAGCAGCAGCCCTACGGTGGGTTGAGGTCAGTAATTGCGACGAGAGAATGTAGCGATAGCAAGGTACGTACCATCTTGGAGGAAAGGAGTCCGCTCCATCAGCTGCGACGTTGAGGCATGGGATGAGAGAGGAGAATGAGGCGAATGGGGCGAAGAGTCGATGATGAGATCAAAGAGCAGCTAGGAACGGTCTCCAAATACGACAGCTCTCCAACGAGGGGAGTTTGTCTAAATATACGGCACTCCACGGTGACATAAAGTTTCCGTGGTTCGCACTGTCAGTCTGACCACCTGCCGTGCAATCAGAAGCTTAAGATTCGCCCAAGAGTGCTTTGCGCTGCGGGGTTTTCTGTCTGATTTGTGTACTTTCGTTACTTTATTTACTAGCGCCGTGGTAGTACATTAAATTGGCTAATCTGACGCCCGGTGGGTCGCGCGTCCTGCTTTCACTCCTCCTCATCTTCGTCATCACTGCCAAATATTGCCTTAAATACTGCCTCACCTGGTCGCTCAGCCTCTAAAGCTTCGTTGCGGTCTGCTTCGATGACAACAGGCGCCTGTTGGGGCGCTGGTCTTGGGGCCGCGTGCTTCGGCGATGCAGAGTCTCCACGCGACGGGGCCAGAGCTCCGCCCCCACCAGCCGCAAGCATAAGCTGATTCATGGCATCTTGCGACACGAGTTCTCGCGGCCGGGTGTCTGTCTGGTATCCTGCGGACTGGAAGCGACCCCCGGCAGATGAGGAAGATGCACCGGACGGCTCTCCCGGGTCAACCTGCACATGGCTGGGAGGTTTGATGTTGAACCGCTTGCATAATAAACGGGTGGGGTAAAACGACATCGTGGTGCGTGTCATCGGCCCGAACATGCCAATTTTCGCAGCCGCTATCGCTGGGTCCTCAGGCTTTTCGCCGGGCTTACTGAGTAATGGCGTGTTCGCGTCAGACTCTGATTCATCCGAAGCCCCCTTTGGACCGGAAGAGGCGGATGTGAATCGCGATGCCATCACTCCGGACACAGGCTTGAAGACCTCCGCCGCTCGAGCAAATTCGTCGAGCTCTGTAACCCACTCGTCAGTACTGGAGCCTGGAGCACGCTCTGGGAGAGTGTCGCGAAGACCGGCTCGGATTTCAAGAAACGTCCTGTAGCGGGCCCGTTTAGTTTCATCATCCGAGTACGGCATCCAGCCGCTGGCAGCGCGCGTAAGAGCTTGCACGGCCACTAGTTTATCTAGCTTGGGTACAAGATCCCATAGTTGTTTTTGTCTTTGTGAATCTGAAAGTTCATAGCCCTTTGGGGCCTTTTCACCTAACGCCGGTGGTAGATTTGTTTGCCCTGTAAGCTTCGCAATTTTTTCCCGGCCTTCGGGAGTCATCCAGTCAAATATAGACTTTGCTGGTAATTGGTCTTCTCCCAAGAGTGCTGCCCGCGATACTGGATCTAGGGTTGATGCCTTGGCTGCCTGCGCAGGAGACACGTAATCAGAGGCATCCCGCGGTTTGAAAGGCGCTTTCTTAGACTTCCAATCTTTTGGTATCTCTGGCGGGGCATATTTCTTGTCCGAGGATAGCGAGAGATTCGATATACCCTCCGCCAGTAGAAATCCATCAAGCGGCAGGCGACCATCATGGCATTTTCGGAAACCGGCAGCACCTTTGGCGGCAATCGTCTTCTTGGGGATAAAGACCGGCTTGGTGTTTAAGAGAGGGTTGGACAACCCCAAGGCAGATTTCGCATCGTCTGTAGCTTTCGTTTTGGTTTTCTTCTTTTTATCACCACCAAGAGTACGGTTATATGAAATCCGTGGACCAAGAGAGTAAGGGTCCTCATCATCTGACCCCGTATCATTGAGTACACCAACGCCGAAAGCTCCTCGTCGAGGTTTCTGGGGTTTCGGTTGCTTTGGTTTGTTGGAGTTGAGCCGCCGCCCGAAGAAAGAGTCGGCATCCTCATCAGATCCTTCGCGTTCTTCCTGATTGGAGCCAAGACGGGCTTCACCTTCAAACCCCAGTCCTTTATAGTCGGTCTTGCGTACAAACGCAACCATCGGCGGATTCTCCGGTGCAAACAGATACGTTTTGTCCGCCCCATCGCCTGGATGGGCTTTCCCGTCTCCCAAGTCGGCTTTCCGTCTCACTTTTGGACCAATACCTTGTCCGTCCCTCCACCCCATCTTTTTCAAAAGTTTGACGCCAATTGTCTCACCCGACACCTTGAAGATATCCATTAACCCACCACGGCGCGTTGCATCCGTGGCCGTGGAACCAAATCCTGAGAAGTCTTCATTCATTTGTAGGTTCCGCGCTTCTTCTGCCTCTCGAATATCATCCTCATCCATAAAATCCTCTGCTCGCTGTTTCCGCGGATCCTTTGCTCGATTTTGACGCGAAGACACAAACGTCGAAGGTGTCCATCCCTCTTTCGACCCGACAGTGTTGAAATACCTGAGATAGAGGGCCACTTTAGTGTGTTGTCCAAGGAGGTCGCTGAATCGTGGGCTCACCCGGCACTGAATCCACCGGTGAAGGCGCCATGTAGGCGTTTCCTTCCCCGGTCATCTGTCACCTCCTGCTTCCATACAGGCACGTACGATCCATCGTCTCGAGTTCCTTCATCGAGGGGCGGAAGAGGAGTTCCAAAGAAAGCGTAGGGCGATTGCCGGGCCTGCAAATCGGCTTCGAAGGCCGCGCGCGTTCTTTTGCTAGCCATTCTTTGGTGTTATAAGGGAGAGTCGAGCATAGCGATCCCTATTAAATTAGTAATACCATTCGGATAGAATGTGTGGAATATACCTTTAGCAAAGCGAACAAGTTGTTCTGAGCTCAAGTCGAGCGCTGGTGGAAGGTTGAAGATGTAAAGACTGGGACAGAGTGACGCCAGAAGGTTAATTGCACCGCCACATGTGGCTTGTATACTTCTGCGAGCTTGGACAAAATCCATCAACGTTGGTCTGGTTTATTACTAGGTACTTTACACCGTAGATGATTCACTCGAAACAAAAGTTTTACTGCAGCCTTTACGCAGACTGTTTCTTTGTTTCAAGGGCTCGAGTGGTAGCGAATCTGGTGGCAGGATACCCAAGGAGATCAAGCACTCTCAAGACAAATCGAGCAACTCTCACAGAGCACTGTGATGCATCACCTAAACCCTCGTGATCTTGTGTGGAATGGTCCCTATGAGTTACGTAGTGTGTTTCGATACTGTACGTGCCCAAAGCACCCGGTCATTTCAAGCACGACTGGGTGCGGTATCAGGCACGAGGTTAACCGGGTGGCTGGGTTGAGCCGACATATGTCATCTGGTGAACGGAAACCGGTCACTGGGAGCTATTTATTTGGGCTGGAGGAAATACGAGGAGGCATGGCAGGCTGTAGACTAACTCTTATAGCTCTGGTTAATTAGCAGAAGGATCAAGACATAAAGTTGGGCGATAGGGGCCGGGATGGATGGTTGCGTGCGGCCCCTGGCTTTGTTTCTCCCTTCAGATGTTTCTCCGCAGCCGCATCCAGATCCATCTTGCTCTCGCTTTCCACAACACACACCTACATCGTGCTCCCTTCGACTTCTCCCCAGCGTTTACTCCTTCTCTTCCTCGCAATCCTGGTTTTCTCCTCATCTTCAGAATCGGGCCCCGCAGATGGAGTCTCTGTGAACGGTTTGGCCCGCGACGATCGTTTTCCTTGGGCTCTCGTCAGCAAACGCTCCTCTCTTCCCCCACTCGCTCCCCCGACCGTCCATCTCGACCTCCGACCTCGTCCCCGTTTAGCTCCATCACCCCAAGCATCGAGTTCATCGGTGGCGGCTTCAACTTGAGCGATCAGGCTTGAATTGTTGCTGAACTCGTGGTCTTCCCCATTAGTTTCCCCCCACCATCGTGATGTCTGCCGCTGCGCCCTCAGCCGTCCACCGCAGCCACTCCACGTCCTCTCGGCCGCCCTCTTATGGGACTGCTTCGGCCGACATCCCTCACCGGACTCGAAGTGTCGCTGTAAGGCCTGCGACAGCATCTCAACCTTCTCCAGTGCATCACAATCACTCTCATAACCGGCATTCCTATTCCAAGTCGCAGTCGTACGACCGTCGACCTCCTAGCAACAACCACGCCGTTTTCGACAACATAGCTCGTCGGGACTTCGAGTCCTCCAGGGGTAGCCAGCACTCCTCCCGCCGGGATAGTTCGAGGGAGCGCTCCCAGGAGCGCCCGACGAGCGCATACCGTACTGACCCATCCTCCAATAAACCCAAGAGAAATCTCTCGGTAAGAAGCCATCAGCGGGACAGTATAGACATGGCTTCTGCAGGGCCCAGAGCTGCGGACGGGGGCGCAGGGCATTCCCATTCTACTTCCGGCCACCACCTACATCCAGCGAACCCCAATCAGTCGAAGCGCCGCACAATGATCGCATCCCCTACAGGTCAATGGTCTTTAGGTAAGACATTGGGGGCTGGTAGTATGGGCAAGGTCAAAGTGGGGAAACATATGGAAACTGGGGAACAGGTGAGCTTCGTACCCCTTTGAAAAACATGTTATATTGGATATGTTATTAACGAGACGGCTGGGTAATAGGTTGCAATCAAGATCGTGCCTAGACAGTCAACGGAAGAACATCGGAGTGCACGTGAAGCCGAAAGGGCGGACCGTTCAAAGGAGATTCGAACTGCTCGCGAGGCAGCCATTGTCAGTCTCGTGAATCACCCTTATATATGCGGCATGCGCGATGTGGTACGGACCAATTACCATTGGTATATGCTTTTCGAACTTGTCAACGGTGGTCAAATGCTGGACTACATCATCTCTCACGGCAAGCTAAAAGAAAAGCAGGCGAGGAAATTCGCACGTCAAATCGCCAGTGCGCTGGATTATTGCCACCGCAATAGCATTGTGCACCGGGATTTGAAAATCGAAAATATACTCATTAGCAAGACCGGCGATATCAAAATCATTGATTTTGGTCTTAGTAACCTTTTCTCCCCGCGGAACTTGCTCAAGACATTTTGCGGCAGTCTTTACTTTGCCGCTCCCGAGCTGCTCCAGGCAAGGCAGTACACTGGTCCAGAAGTGGATGTCTGGAGTTTTGGGATTGTGCTCTATGTTTTGGTGTGCGGAAAAGTCCCATTCGATGACCAAAGCATGCCAAAACTGCATGCAAAGATCAAGCAAGGAGTGTTCGAATACCCTCCCGGTCTTACTGCTGGTTAGTTAGCCCGTCCTTTGGAAGCTGTCCCACCATAAATTGTGCTAATATTTTATGTTCCTAGAATGCCGCCATATCATTTCGCGCATGTTGGTAACCGATCCCAAACAACGTGCAAGTCTGGCAGAGATCATGAGCCACCCTTGGATGAACAAAGGGTTTAGCGGAGTCCCCGACAACCACCTCCCACACCGGGAGCCTTTGCAGCTTCCGTTGGACCCTGCGGTGATCGACAAGATGACTGGATTCGACTTTGGGTCCCCAGACTATATTGCTTCGCAGCTCACCAAGATCATAGAGTCCGAGGAGTATCAGCATGCAGTTGCGCTCAATGCGCGTGAACATCACGCCCCCGCAAACACTGATAAGAAGCGCGGCGTCTTTGACTTTTACAAGCGCCGAAACTCGTCCAGCAAAGACAATCTTACTGCGCCTTCAGCAGAAGCTATCCAACTTGGAAACGACCCATTGAATGCCTACAGTCCATTATTGTCTGTATATTATCTCGTCAGAGAAAAGTTGGAGAAAGAAAAGACCGAGACCAACCCGGGTGCTCTGGGCATTCAGGTAACCAGTGCCGATGCGCTGCTTCAGGTACCTGATTTAGCCGCCCCAGAAGCTGCCCATACCAACCAGTACCATATCCCCGGAGAAAAAGATACATCAAGGCGGTCGCGCCCACGCGCCCGAACCCATGGTGATGATGAGATCACGGAGGGCATGAAGAACACCAACCTCGCACCGGGACAACCCTCCCACAGCCCCGCTGCGTCCCAGCCCGAAACACCAGCTAAGAAAGAGAGTACCGCTGCCGGTCTTCTGAGGCGCTTTAGTACACGGAGAACGAAAGATCGTAGCCGTGATCCTGAACGGTCAAGGCTTACAAGCCCTCATGGGCCATCTCTCAATGTGCAGCCGCCGGCCGACTCTGCCTCTCCCCTCTCGAGAGGATTTAGCATACGGAGAAACCGCCGTGCGGAACCCTCCCCAACAAAAATCCCCACAACAGGCAGTCAGCCTCAACATCAGGACCTCCTCAAGACTCCCGGATCGGCAGAGCCGGCCTCACGATCCAACAAGTTCCTCGAGAGGTCAACTAGCGTTAGCTCAGCTGATCCGCGAAACCGACGGGCCCGCCGAGCCGATGCGGATGTGACCAACCAACCGCCGCAAACGAGTGGATCAGAATACTCAGGCGCCGCAAAGGATCCTACCGGGCGGGAACAGAAAGCGACGACCCGCACGCACGCCACCCGGACAATGTCTCTTGGCCATGCTCGTCGTGAAAGTATCCAGGCCCGACGGGCCCGACGGGATGCCACGAGGGAAGCCAATGTTCCCGAGGAAACTGACGGAGAAATTTCTGGACCAGGAGCTGCTTTGGAGAGTGCGAATGAAGAAGACCTATCCAAGCCAGTCTATCTTAAAGGCCTCTTTAGTGTTTCCACTACTAGCAGCAAGCCACTGGCTTTTATTCGCTCCGACATTATTCGGGTTTTGAAACAACTTGCTGTTGAACATGTCGAGATAAAGGGCGGCTTTAGCTGTCGTCATGCGCCCAGCATTGATCTGGATAAGGTAGTCGACAACGGACCTCCAAGCCCTGAACGACAAGGCCAGGTTTCTAGTCACCGTCGTCGAATTAGTTTCGGGGGTCTACTGAGCCACGAGGATGGTCGCGAGGAGGTTCGCAGCTCAACGCGCCGCCGTCAGCGGGCGCCAGACCGGAGCTTTGTCTCCAACTCAGAAGCGTCCGATGAATATCTTGAAGGCCGTGATGCCAATTTGACGAGTGGAGAACGCGTTGTTGGAGAGACAACCACCCGCGTGCAGAGCGACACCGGCGGGAACCTTGTTCTCCGGTTCGAGATACTCATCGTTAAGGTGCCGCTGTTCTCGCTCCATGGCATCCAGTTCAAGAAGGTGTCCGGAGGTATGTGGCAGTATCGGGAGATGGCGAAAAAGATCCTGGACGCTCTTCGGCTCTAATAGGTTCCTCCATGAGAAATGTGTATCAGTGACATGGCGTTTTCATCTAACGGACAAGCCAGTTGGCATGACAGTTATACATGAGCATGATATTTTCTTTTCTTTTCTTTCTTCTCTTCGGTTTGTTGTTGTTTTTTTGCTCGAGTCAATCGCATTAAGTGGCCTGTATCTGCATAGGCAAGTGTCAGCTTTCGTTAACGCATATTTACTGAGCTTGTTCGTCTCATTTGCAATTGAAATACTTCTGCTATTGGTATTTACCTACACCCACGTCTAGTCTAGCCCTGATTGGTACTTCCTCTTATCACCTTTTGTGACACCAGCTTTTTTTGTGTTTCTGTACAATTGAACCAACCGCCTTACCCTTTGATTATTCACGCTCTTGGCTAAATTGTCACTTTGCTACCTTGCTTTGAGCTTATAGAAGATTAGTTTTACTTTCAATGAACCTTAAACCGCTTAGTATTGATATTTGATCCGTTTCCAAGTAAGGTCCACGTTGCACTCTACGTGGAAACAAAGCAAGAAACCGCTTAGTCAGCACCGGCCCTTTGAGACATCAGGGCTATTAGGGCTATTAGGGCTTGTCGAGGGGGCATCTGAACAACCCGTTGCTTGACAGTAAGGTTATGCAGCCTTCAAGACAATCAAACTGATCAATTTCCAAATGAGGTAGATTTCTCTGTATCGGTGCACGAATTCGACTTGTAAACTTAGCACCAAGATGTCTGACCATCGTTGCTTGATTCTGGTGCAGCTAGCAGAGTAAGAAGGTGACTGATCTGACGAATAATTCAAATTTCCTGAACATTGCTAGGCATAAATAGATACAATTTTTTAGTCTCTGAAGGAATGTTTGTTTATTGGCTCTTGACGGCAATTTGAGCATACTGATGAAACTGTCAATGACAGTTGGTTATAGGGTTAGGATCCACATATCATGTAAACTCCGGCGAGAACCCTAACAGGACAAAGAGAACTTGCACCGCCAATGGCTATAGGACATGAAAGCCTTTTCATTTTTATTTTGTTATTTGCAGGAGTTAGAGTTTTTTCTCTTTCACCTCTGTCTTGGGACTCTTCCTGACTGAGCTGCGGGCGCTGAGCTCTGTCGGTGTAACCTCATCGACGTGGGCGACATCCACCTCTTCACCGACCTCAACCTCATCATGCGCAAGGATGAGGCCCTTAACATGATCCAGGAGATTATCCAACTCTATCTGAATCTTTTTGCAGAATTCTATTTCTAGTTTCTCCAGTTTCCGGTCCCACAGCTCTTCTTTCTCCTCCAACTGGTACTGGTCAACCGTTGCGTGCTTCATTGCAGTTTCCTCGTCCTCGCTGTGAACTTCTCCCTCAATCTTCCCTCTTCGATTTTCATCAGCAATTAATCGCTGGAGCCTTTTTAACTCCGCGATCCGCGCAGCATTCTTCGCTTCTCTCTCTGCCCTCATTCGCTGTGTCTCTGCAAAACTAAGCTCCCTTTCTAGGCGTTTAGCCTCTAGTGTTTCTTCTTCCCATCGGGCTTGCCTCTCCCGCCTTTGTTGCTCTTCTTGCATTATTTTACGGAGCACTAAATGATTTCTGTGCCGCTTCGACTCTTTTGTGCGCGTGGGTTGTGACTGCAGCTGCGGTTCTGGGTCTCGCCTCGGGTCCTCCCGGGGGTGCGGTATCTTTTGCCGTCCTCGCTCGTGCGTATAGTAGTCTGGCTCTGGAGACTCAATGTATTTGTGACGGTCTTTCATCATAGAATATTTTTTGTCGCGACTGCTGTGACCGCGAGATCGGTCGGTCTGGTTCCGACGCAAGTGTGGAGGCGAATGATATCTGGGTACACCAACATTCGCTCGCGGCCGCTTATGACGATGGTAGTAGGTTGGTTGTCTGTGTTCTCGCTCATGATTTTCAAAGTCGTCTACTGAACGACTACCGGCAGCGTTGGCGGATTGGGGCTCTGTGAGGAATTGGCGTCGAGGATGCGCTTGCGGCTGTTGGTCTTCAGGCTGGCGCTCGGTCCGGGGTCCATCAAGTCGTTTGAGGATGGGCAGTCTCCGAGACTCGAAGCCCTGTTCGTGAGCCTTTTGTGCTATTGTTTTCCGGTTCGTTGGCAAGGTGTCATAAGTGTCGCTGCTATCCGGCCAGCCGATTTGAGCACGGGTAGGTACCGTAGCAGATGCTGTTGCGAAGGCATTATTGGGCGGTTGTTGTAGTGGTATTCGGGGCCGAGCTGGTTTTGTAAGCTGTTTAAGCTGGCTTTTGTCGTTCGACTCTGAAAAATCCAAGATGCCAAACATGATGAAGGACAGTCAAATTGGAACGAATAATCGAAGGTCGGGTATAAACAGGCTACCTAGCAGGTACGTATCTTCCGACAGGTGCCTCAGCTGGAGCTCACAGTATCGAGTTAGTAGCTCAAATATGATCTGCTGATGCTTTTCAGATTGTTTTCATGCCACAGTTCCTCTCTACTGAAGGCTTTCAGTCAGCCAGGAAAGCTCGAAAAGGAGCTTGCAAAAGCACGACTGTGAGAGCGCGCGCGAAAGGCTGCGGTTTGATTACTTCGTGACTGACCGATATTGCTTTTTTTTTTTTCGATACCCTGTCTCCCAGGGAGCCATCCTTGGCTGTACTCTGGAAAACCAATTATATTTGCATACGTGTTAGCAAAAGGTAAACTTGCATGAATGAAGTCGCAGTTCGATGCCGCTGCCCACCAACTCCGAAATTGTGTGGTGCAGACTTACGCAGATGTAAGAGGTTGAAGCGCTCCGAGATGCAGTTGGAAACCAAATCATTGCCAATCGGTCTCAGGAGAAGTGCGCCTCGTCTACCCTCTTTTTTTGGTTGTCATTGCTGTAAAGTGTTCTAAAGTGTCATGAGATTCTCGGACACAAGAGCAAATATACAAAATTGGATATTCAGAAATCATATTACACAAACTCCGGACAGGGACCGTGCATCAAAACCCGCAGAGGCATCAGTCCTGAGGCCACTGCCCTGGGAATAGCGACCCTGGGATAATACTCCCCTGGTTCTGGTTTACTCTATCACCCACTGTAGGGTCCTTTTCCAAGGCAAGCCTCGGCCCTTTCTGCATAAAGACGAAATCCAAAATGCTGGCAAGGGCATTGACCAGAAGTATCAGCACAGGGTATTTGGATACAGCCGACATTGGATTCTCGTCTGCGCTAAGGACTGGTTCCTTTTTGTCTGCTGCTTTTATTGGGGCGGGGGGCTCAATGGGTGGCTGCGGCGATAATGACCGTTTCCGAGCTGAGCGTTCTTGCCGGACACCATCTAAGGATTCAACAGCGCTCCCAAGGATGGCGGAATACGAGTCGGGGCATATGTCACGCATACCATGCTGAGAGGCATCTACCAGCGTTGCTGCGGAAGAGATGTTCGAAACACTCGAGGACCTGTTGGTCGTTGCGCTTGAAGCCAAGTCATCTGGGGAGAGTAATATTCCGCTTGGTAGATCGGACGTAACCCTCAATCTGCCAGGCTTATCACCCGTAATACTATCCGTCGCTGACCCTGCTTTGGTTTGAATAGTTGGGGGCAGTTGTGGTGCAGTTGGCGCAGCTCCGTTTTCCGTGGAAAAGGATACTGGCAGGGCATCAGGTATCTCAACCGGAGTCCTCGCGTAATTTTCATGCTCCATAGCACTAGACAGGCCCTTTGCTAGCGTATCAAGCGGCCTATCAATTGCAATATGTACATTGGGACATACCAGAGTCTCGCTCCTGCCCTGGTCGGAGCTATGATAGCTCGGGAACCTCAAGTGGCGTATGCGATCTCTAGATCTTTTGAGTCGGCCCTGGATCTCAATCCGCATGATGAACGGCTTTTTGCTGTGTTGCAGGGTAAATGCCGTATGTATAACGTTGCTACGGCTCGATCTGCCACCCTGATCGTTTTCACAAAGTTCCCATTTCAATGTCTGGTAGGCCGCACTGCCCTTTCTTCCCGTCATCAACCCCCCAGTAAATGACCAACGGCTGTCGTATCTGGCCTCTTTTTCCCGTTCCACGCCAATTCCGCTTCCTCCGGTCCCAAGAACGTTCAGCTCCGGTGCCAAATGCACAGTCTGCGTGACAGCAACGTTTCTTGCTTCTCCACTGAGATGTTTCGGTCCGTAGTAATCAGTCATTTGGAGGGATTCGTCATGGATCATGCCCGTGGCCGCTGGGGCGGACGCTTCGTCAAGGGTGACGAGAACAGTTCCACTGGCCAGACGACAGTTATGAGGCTGGTCGAACGAGATATCCATGTAGATAATCGCCGCTGAAATTCCAGCTGGAGGCACTCCTAGACAACCCCATTGTGACTTTGAAACGCGTAGTCGACAGTCAACCCGCACCTTTCCCAAATCGCGGGAGCACAAGCTGGCATAGGTGAGATGATCGAGTCCGCGGTAGTTGCGGCCAAAGCGACGAGCGTACGTGTGAGTCGGGTTTGGCGTTGGTGACGGCGCTGCCTGCAACATGGCGTCTGAAGTCTCTATCGAGTTTGTGTAAAACGAAAGGGAACAGGATGATTAACTGCCCTGAAGATAAAAAGTGAGCGCCAGGCAGGTGAGTCAAGGCTCCTGAAGCCTAGAATTTAACCCCGAGCCGCCCAGGGACATTGGCAAAGCTGTAGTGACAAACATTCTCGTCTCGTCTGAGGGGCTGTGCCGCAGTGCAGTGCACGCCCACTGGAAGTTATGAGCGCAATCCCTGCAGACGCAAAAAGCAATGCTCTCGCCCCGGTGACAGCCAATGCCGGCTCTCCTCCTTCCTCTCTCTCTCTCTCTCTCTCTCTCTCTCTCTCTCTTCACACTCTCGTTTCAGCATTGTATCCTGAGTGGTCATCCTCGGGAAAATGGACTTGCCGACCCAGCGCGAAAGACAGCGGCGCAATGCCCACGGTTTCAATTTTAATTCCTTCCACTTTGATAGCGATGAAGCAGACCCGTCTCGAGCGTTGGTCAACAGAAGGTTCCCTCCTATGGTTGGAGCTCCTTCCGGCCAGGATGCTTCCCTCGAAACCAGCAGAGAGCAGCACGCTGCATCGTCCTCTCTTCCTCAGAGAGATCCTGCCGCCAGTATACAAGAAGCTTATCCAACTGTGCAGACCTTTTTGAACGCAAAATCAAGAAACGATATCACCGTCCACTTCGAGATGGAGGTCGGCGAGGACCTCGACAGCTGGCTGGAGGAGTTCTCCCGTCTCAAGAGGCTGGGCCATTTTCATGCTGCCGAGCAATATTTCGATGACAACCTACGTGATCTTAGTAGTATTCTACCGGTTGCAATTGAGTATGCCGACATGCTTGTGGAACAAGGTGCCTACAAGCGCCTGCGTCAATTCATGTCTTCTCACAAGGCACTACTAAATTCTGTAGAGCGAGCTGACCGTGGGTGTTCTGAGGCAAAGAAATTCCAAGTTTTATACAGAGCAAACCTATTATTAATCGACGCTTTCGCTGCAATGCATTCTGCTGCCAAACTGGGAGAAGCATATGGGAAAGTGCGGCTGATCGAACAGGACATGCGATCCATATTAAAACAATCGCAGGAGCCGGACGCATCTCTAGATTCATCTGAAGTAAGACCAATGCCACTCGATTCCAGATTCCCAGCTTGGTTTTACGGAGAGCTGGGAACCCTGTTGCTGATCGTTGGGGTTGCCAGATTCAAGTCATTCGGTACGCTTTGAGAATACTATCAAAAATAGAGAAGGAGACAGACCTCGTCCCTGAGTCACAGTTCAACTACTGGTCAAACTGGGGGCACTTATACCGGCCCCTTCTTGCAGCAAGTCAGGTTTCGGACGCGAGGGACCTTATCATGGCTTCAATAGAGGCTGAAGGTGCACCGAATACGTGGAAGATCATGTTCCAAATGGATATCCACTCTCCGCAGGCCTTCAACCGCCTTCTCGGTGACTGGAACATGGCACATTATGACGAATCAACCTATTTAGCCATTCTTGACATCTTGGTGAGCGTAATAGGTGATTTGTGCTCGTTTTCGGTCACCTTACCCGAAAGAGAGCACCTAATTACCTCGGAACGATGTCTCCTGTATGCGCACAGCGTGGCTATCTGCCTGAAGGAGAACAGCCCAGAACTGATGAAATCCCGCCCGTATCTTCGTTGGGTTCTGGCCAAGTCTGAGCTAGAAAGGAAATTGAATCCTAGTGAGATGAATCTGCACGGCCATCTTAGCGCCTTCCCAGGCTTGGTTATTTGGATGAATACTCTTCCCATATACGTCCCCATTAAGTCAGAAAACCCGCTTTGGCACCCAGGAGAGCACGAACAAGCCTCAACTTCTCCAGATGAGCTCTTAGAAGCCGCTGTTGGCACCGCTTGCGAGCTGGGAGATTATACCACTGAGATAGCCTGTCTCACCGAGCTGATTTGTTGCTCATCCGGTGCGCTGGACGTACTAGGAGAACGGTTTAATCGCATTCGACATCTCCAACTCAATTCACAAGGCAATATCCTTGGCTACCAGCAGACATGTCTAACCCGGTACCTGACCACTACGAGCGGTCAGGCCCGCCGGGATCTGGTCGCTGAAATCAAGGAACTCAAGGGCTTTAAGACTGGCGATTATTCCCTCAGTGAGTGGTGCACATTAGTTATAGAGGACGCACTCTGTTTCTCTCTGGGAGACATTGTAGACAAATCCCCGGCCGTCCTCGATGAGGGATTCTCGACCTACCTCCCCCAATATATCAAGGATCAAATCATACATCGGAGGTTGGAAAAGACATATGGTCTACACCTCAACCACGACAAAGCCAACTCAAACGGCCCCCGCTGGTCAAATGGGCGCAACTTATCACCCGAGCCACTTTTAGCCTACTCAAGACGGGCCTCGTCCGCAGCAAGGCGCGCATCATACGAACGTATGCGACATAGAGGCCCGGGAGAAAGCTCTACCATCGCCTCTTTGAGTGAGGACGATCAGACCAATGCGTCAGTTATCGGGCTCTCACCTTCGGACAGGAGATCTTCCAGTCCTCTGAGAAGAATCCCTACAAGACGTAGCACTGTAGAAAGTGCTAGCGACAGCCCATGACAATGAAAGGGAGAACGATCTATTACTAGACGGTCGTGACATTAAATATATCTGAAACACTTCAGCGTATTCTCAAAGCCAGTGAGTGGTTTCGTCCGGCTACAAAGTATATTATAAGCAGTCAATTCTATGTAGACTAGGTGCAGAGACAGGGGGCGGCTAGTGTACCATTCCCAGGCCTTGCGGGTGTCCACCGGGCGCCCCAGGGCCCCAACACAACCTGCAATTCTGACAGCGTGGGCGCCAATATCGTGTCCCCAGCGCACCAAAGCCGCAAAATGGATAAGCTTTTGCGTCTTCTCAGCTCTGAGGAAGAACGTGTTGTTTATTCAAATTTTATTGCAATGTTTAAGAATACTATTAAATATTTAAATTATATGGATAATTTTCGATTTTCTGCTTCATGTTGCATTTAAATTATTGTATAATTTAATTATTATTTATTATACACTTTCTAGCAACTACCAACTAGTTAATCCTCGCTTTTTAGTTTTTATTATATATTATGTAATATTTTCCATTAATTATGTAATATATGAACATCACGTGATTTAAACTGCAGGCTTCATGAAATTGAAAGCCATCCAATAGCCTAATAATTTTCATGTTTTATTCTATCAGTTTAAAGTTGACGACCGGTCGCCATATAACCACAAAGTTCTAATATCAGTTCAGCAAACTTCTGTCATAAAATCATAGAATATTCTCAATCATAGGATCCACTTCCTAGACTAGGAATAGCGTGTTTTCCTAACACAAGCTCCTGACGGAGAACACCATTTGGTACTCACTTCTCCTAGCTATCTGCGTACTTCAACTTGCATGATCTTCAAGTTTCCGGGTCCTTAGCGTTTGCCTTTTTTCTTTTTTTTTTTTTCTTCATGCCAGGACACGGCATGTTCATTGACCTCACACAGGACTCGGATCCAGAGGATCGGCCCAGGGTAAGTTCACTGAAGTGCCTCTTGTCGTGTGTTACTGGTAGGATATTTGGCTATCTGCTAGATTATAGAAGCGACTCTACCGCATTTATTTTATTTTATTTTATTTTTATTTTTTTTATATATTTTCTATGTTGTTTTCGTGGCTAGCACTGACCATATCTAGAATGCAAATCCGCTTTTCTCGAATCTTGCGCACAGGACACTTTCAGTTTCCTCTCGTGTTCCTCTCAAGAGAAAGTCAGATATAGATTCAGAGACAACTTCAGTTTCTTCTTTCAACTCTACATTTCCACAGCTCGGCGCAGATGACTACAATAGCCTTGTGCAGTCATTCAAGCAGAAGCCTCAGCGGGCTCATTTGAAGACCCCAAGCCCAGCCCCCAGGACTAAGATTGAGGAAGACATCAGCGTTGTCATCCCCTCCCCATCAGCACAGCTTAAGAGCGAAATTGAGTCTGCTAAGCTGATAACAGACGCTGTGTTGACCGGTGTCTCAGAAAAATACTATCCAACAGATGTCCATGAGAGGCGAGCTACACGCGGGGCTTACCCAGCTGCAAGAAAGACAAACCGAGCAGGTGTCTCTTTAGCCATCGGAAATCCTGGACCTTTCCTTACTGCGAAAAGCAGACGTCCTGTTGTAGATCTCCTATGTGAGAGTCTGAGGAAGAAACTCGCCTCGATCAAGGGACCTTCTGTGACTGTTGCCGCCGGGGATGAGAAGGCTCTGGCCGAGAATACCGCGGGCTTTGAATTCATTAATGAGTACAAACTCCGGGACGGCGTAACTCCCATCAGCCCAGAGTTCAATGCAGGTTGCTCCTGCGATGTCGTCTGTGATCCAGCACGGTGCGGCTGCTTGACTCAGGAGGAAGATTCTGATGCGCGAATCATTCCTTACAGACGCGCTGCCGATAATGGGTCTCTTTTGGTACTTTCTCCGGAATTCATGGCTCGTACTTCGATGATATATGAGTGTAATTCGCTATGCGGGTGTGGTGAAAAGTGTTGGAATAGTGTTATAGAACAGGGTAGGACCGTCTGCTTGGAGATTTTCAACACCGGTAATCGTGGCTTTGGTATGTCTTTCACTCACTGTTACTACCCATACTCCGGCATCCCACATCGAGGTAGACTGACCTGCTCGAAAAGGCCTCCGCTCCCCGAACTACATCCGCGCGGGTCAATTCATAGACCTCTACCTGGGGGAGGTCATAACCCTAGAAAAGTCCGAGCAGCGCGAGAAGATCGCCAACACCCGCGGCGCCCCATCGTACCTATTTACTCTCGACTTTCTCGTCGATGATGAAAATAGCTATGTTGTTGATGGGTGCAACTATGGCGCCGCTACCCGCTTCATCAATCACTCTTGCAACCCTAACTGTCGCATGTTTGCTGTCTCCCGCACACATGGCGATGAGTATCTCTACGATTTGGCCTTCTTTGCACTAAGAGATCTCGCACCCTACACCGAGCTCACCTTCGACTATAATCCAAGCATGGAAAGAGTCGATGCCCCAGATCCCAACGCGGTACCTTGTCTTTGTGGCGAGAAGAATTGCCGTGGGCAGCTATGGGCTAATGAGCGGAAGAAGACGAGATAAAGGGGATGCGTCTCCAATACTCCCATTCTTCATTACTGCCGTCTTCTATCCTGCAATTTTCCTTCCATTTTTCTTCCCTTTTCTCCAGAACCCGATGGTTCTTCTCACGTTTACCACGACTCGCAGCATTTTGCATAGCACCTCAGGTCTTGTCTTACATTGGCGTTGGCATGTGTTGCATTAAGCGTTATCGAGTTCCATTTTGATTGCATTGCACGGAGTCAGAACGGCTTCACTTGGTTGCTGGGTTTTTCTACTGCAGCGGGCTTGTCCTCTTCTTCCTCTACGTCAAGACAGTGGACCTTTCTCTTTGTCTCTCTCATTTCCTTTTTTTTTTTCTCTCTCCTTTGCTATCCACATGGTGTACCTTTCCTATGCTCCATTCCAGTTCCTCAGCCTTGTACTTATTATTTTACTCGGAAGCAATACGATACCCCAGCCTTTTCTATTTTATTGTTCATACTGTGCAGATGTATACCTTCCTCTATTTACATAACAACAACCAATAGTGAAAACCATGGCAGCCTGTCCAGCCGCGCATACGGTACTAAACATACGACAGACCAAGTCTTGCCGGTTCTTCCGCTATGATATGGTCAAGAATGGTTCTAAGTAGTACTGTTGTTTAGCTACCTAGGGTAGGTATAAATATATCCTACTCTTCCCATCCAACGTCATCCAGTGGGGATATAAGTAGAGCTACGCAAATACATGTTTCAAGCACCCTGTTTCATTTGCTGGTGGTTGTGTTTCATTTCATGTTCAAGCTGATATTGACTGTATTGACAAAAAAGTTCACTGCGGAAGTAGATAGATCCATCCAGCCGAAATCATCGATCAGTATATACTTTTAAATTTATAAATTTAGCAGATAGCTGTTCCGTCACAGTCCATGATAGTATGTAAACGCCGTTACACGTCCTGACCCTAAGGGGAAGGCCTGACCAACCAGTACAGAAGTGGTCCATAGCCAGATAGAAATGAAGAAAAAAGAAAGAGAAAAAAAAAGCATAACCCGAAGAAAAGTGTCGTCATCTACCCGCTCCCTTCCATGACTTCAAATATCCCACCCATGACAAATCTTGGTTGTGAGAGCCGTACTCTATCTAAGCCCTCTTGTGAGCCGGATGACAGCCGACCATGAGCTCGGCCATCATGGACCGGGAGCCGAGACTGTGAGGTATGTAACTGCATCTGGGTATTAATCCCAACGGTATCTAGATCCACGGGGCGCGGTTCTAAAAGATCGAGGCCCTGTCTCTCGATTGTATCGAAGCTAGCTCGTGAGCGCTCCTGTCTGAGGGCTGTGTCGATATTTGAAGGGCGACGACGTAGGATGACCCCTGTGCCATGGTTGTGGTTGTAGCTGGGGCTGGAGGGGTTGAGTTTGTCGGATATAGAGCGGGGGTTGCGGATATGTTGAAGAGAAGTTGGTGATAAAGATGGAGAGGTCGGTGATGAGGAAAGCGTTGGGCTAGAGCTTGTTATTGTGGAGGTAGAGCTCAGTGGACTTGTCGGAGCTGAAGTTGTAGAGCAATAATACTCTTTGAAGTGGTTATTGGCAGTGTCGTCGGGGCGGGGTTGAAATGAAGTGTATAAGAGCGAAAGGCTCGGGGTGGAAGCGTGGCTTGGGCGCATTTTGTGAGGGAAAAATGACGCAGAGACTTTTGAGTTTCTTTGTGGTTTGGTGGGCAGTTCCGGGTTGCTGGATAGATCACAATATATGTTGGAGAGGTATCGCAATCGTCAAGAGCCGGGTACCCCGCATAGATTTGAACTGATGTGACGGACTCCAGATAACAGAAGACAGAAGATAACGAAGTCCGGAGAAGATGGTTAGAAGTGTTATGCAGGAGAAGTAAGATGACGGAGATGAAACTCGGAGTATATGGCGGGCTCGAGTTGAAACAAGGAAGCGTGTCGTGTCAGATTGTGCAGGGTCAGATCCAACGCTTCGGACAGGCGCCAGCGTAGCAGATTAAATCCAGAAAGATGGCGACCCGCAAGTAGGAGTCTTGGGTTTTTAAGACCGCCCTGTTCCGGACAAGGGTTCGAAAGGCACGGATTAAGTATCTATGAAAGGCTCACTTTCGGCAAGGCACGCGCGATCTAGTAGAAAGTAGTCCGGCGCCAGGGAGGAGGGGAGAGCGGGAAAAAGGGCTTCCATGAGAGCGATGCAACGATACAAATTGTAGGAAGAATGTGGAGCGATGGATTTGTATGAAAACAGCGATAAAAGCCTGACAGTTGGGGAGAGGAGGGAAACTGGAAAGTGTTGCAGATGATGAAGACGGGAGGGGACCTCCATGGGTTTTGAAGGCAGCTTCCGCATTCGGGAGTCGCCTTCACCCAGACTCGGCCAGCACAGACAATTCTACCATGCAAGGGGCAACTCAAAAGATACGAACGTCAGAGTAGGTAGTATTTCCAGCAAGACGAGGACTCTCTAGATAAGCACGCCAGTGCGCCATTGCTATGCATTCCAGGCAAAATATTCACAAAAGAACTTAAAAGTCGCAAAACAAAACAGACGGCATAAACATAAATATCTGCAAGCATAGACAACTCTAGAACAATAAACGAAATGCATAGACGGTCTTGAGCCTTGGAACAGTATAATCGCAGTCAAAAGAACTGCCACGTAGTTTACAGCATCGAAAAAACTTGAGTAAATCTGTATAGGGTCGTGCTCTCGATTACCCGTCGAGAGCTTTGGGTATCATCATGCTTCGTTTCATCTCATTTCAGCGGCCCATCATGTTTCGTCCCTTGATCGACGCCGTTGCGTGAAACTGCGTCGGATACTCTCACCCCAGGCGGAGTCGCCGAATGACTGCATCACGTCCGACACAGTCATCGCACTATTGTGTCGCGAATGTTCGGACGTTGCAGAGGTTCCGCCACCAGGTGTGGCAGGGGGATCATACGAACTTGTTGTGTGCGCTCTTTCCCGACCAGGAGATAGGGAGATGCTAATATTAGACCACTCCGACGGTGAGCTGGCTTCGGAATTCAATCGGCCTCCCACGTTAGTGTCAATGCGAGGCAGCTGTGACGGACCAGCTTGTCCTCGGCCCGGCGATGATGGGGAGAGCATCGACGGCTCCATCCCGCTTGGGCCAGCCTCCCGCGGCGTCTCGTGGGGTTGTTGGTTATCCTGCAATTCATCGTCCACATAGATCTCGGGGACATTGAATTGGGGCACAAACGTCATCCGAGCAGATCGTTTGTGGTCAACCTTCCTTCGGAATTCTCGAGCAGCGGTGAGGGTCTTGAAGAAATCAATCACTGTGTTACGCCGGACCGCCTCCTCCACACGCTGCAACTTTGCGCGGCGCCGTAGGAACTCCTCAAGTCTGAGACTCTTGCTGTCACTGATCACGTTGTAGTGCGCGAGGATCATAAGCAAGGAGTCGAATGAAATGCCATGTACCGGATCAGCAGACACCAAAACCTCTTCGTAGAGTTGGTTGAGTCGCTGCCGCCGTTCCCGCACGGTGTTGACTGGGATTTTGCGGATGATCCTAGCCAGCTTGTCCAGGTCAACACCTTCGAAGACTCTCCGATGCGCAAGGAGCGAGTCGCGCTTGTCGACTCTACATTCATCTAGAATACGTGGAACCATGAAATCCCCTTGGTATATGCGCACTTCGAATTTGCCGGTAAGTTCCTGTCACTCGTCAGCTCGGTTATAATGGAAAGATATGAATTGGCCAGCATACCCTTAATAGTCGTGGGAACTGTTCCTTTGTTATATAGCCAGTGCCATCAGGGTCGTATTCGGCCCATGCCTGTTTGAAACGGCGGAGCTCTTCCCGGCTAATCACGTAGAGACCACTACTTCGTTGGTAGACGTAGGAGAAGCTCTCAAAAATAAGAGAAACGAAAAGGGAAACGAAGATATACATGCTGATGATGTTCCACGATATGAATAGCGCTCGAGCCCAAGACTTGCTTCCGCAGTCGTTCTGGGACATTTCTTCCCCAGAAATGCCATCGGCACAGAACGGTGGTTCCATCTGCGCAAAGTCCTCCATAAGTTCGTTCCAGCCCTCACCGCAACTCGTACGGAAAAGCAAGATCAGGGCTCTTGGAATATCTCGAAAGTTTGTGTTTCCGGTGACGTGTTCGCCGAACTTCGTCATACCGAAAGCCTGGTTCATTGCAATTGCGTAAACAAGGAACAGCACAAACCAGGTTGCTAACAGGTTCCCAATGGACGTTAAACTAGCCGCGGCCGTTTTGAACAATTGATCGAGCTGATTGTTGCGGGGAATAAGTAGCAATGTAATGGCGACAAGACACAGTTTGCTCAGCACCGTCACTGCTTGCTCTTCCCGGGGCCTCAATGCGAAGTTCAAGATCGCCGTGATCATAGTGGCAGGAACAACAAGCAAAGCGTAAAGGTCCCACGAGCTTCTACTGAACCGGTGCCAGCCCAGTCCGGCCAATCGCACGAAGACATTCCCGAGATAGAAAAAGTTGAACACAAAAAATAAACTGTCTCGAATCGTGTCCCAGGTCGGATTCTCATCGTAATACTCAATTATGAGCAGGAGGAGGTGCAACACAAGAATGACGGTCACGCAATTCGCCCAGCGACCATGCTTCTTGTAGGCGACTCGATAAGCCCACTGTCTCCAAGTCGTAGTTTTCTCGGTAGACCTCCGCTTGGACGGCGAAACTTGCTTGAGCAGCTTCTTCAATTCAAGCCAAGATCGCTGCTCGGCGGTCAAGAAGGCAACTCCAGTTTGCTCCGTGTAGTTACGCATAAACACAGACACAAAAAGAGTCAAGACAAAGACGGCACCGAGCAAATTAAACACAATGAAAAACAGCCCGTTTTCAGGAGCCGCAGAATCCCGTGGTTGTTCGTCAACCCCCGTGACGCTCATTGCGCTCGACTGAACGTCCGTCCACCCTTCCTGGGAGACAATCTGGAAGAGAATGAAGAGCGAATTTCCGAAATTGTCAAAGTCATAGTAAGGGTTCGATGCAACTCGGGGTGCCAGAACATCCCAGTTGAATGGTGAACTCATGTACTCGTCAATGCAGCCATTTAAGTTCCCCCCGAAATTCTCGTCATTGCATTTCACCATCTGTCCACGGAACAGAGTAACACCATAGATGGCGAACGGGATCAGAAAACTCATCGAGACCGAGGCAGCCTCAAGCGGAAGTCAGTACAAAAGCATTCAGAAAATGGGAGTTTGGGGGGGAGGGGAGGTTCGTACGGCAATAACTTTCCATCCTCCAACAATGATGACCGAATGAAATGTGTTTTTAGCACTGTCGCTGAAGTTAAGCAACCTCAATGCCCTCAGTGCTTTGAATGCACCGATTGCCCTAGAGGCGGCCTGTTCGTATCTCAAAGAAGTCCCGACGCTGATCCAAAGAGTGACCAAGACAACCCCATCGATGAAGCCCCATGACGAACGCAAGTACGCATTGGGCGTCCAGAAAACCCCATCCGCAATCACTTTAATTATTGCTTCTATGGTAAACAAGATAGCAAACCCAAGGTCGGTCCATATGAACCAGTTTCTACCCGAGCCCAAGTACTTCCACTGGTAGATAGGCGTGGTGATGCAAGCGAGGATAACCATCGCGACAATAGCAGCATAGACGAAGCCGGAGAAGGCATACCATACAGGCCTGTACGGTTCGACCCCCTCCACGCGCTGAACTCCACGGCCCGGACCGACAATTTTTTGACATATCCTTCGAACCGGGTTATCCGGCTTGAACAAGAACAAGGATGTGTTGTAGTACGGATGTTCTATCAGGTAGTCCTTTTGCGCTTGCTTTCTCTTCTTTTCTGCCCAGACCACCTCTTGGGCCATTTTTTGGGGGTCCAGTTCTTCGTAGCCCCGTGGAATCTTCAATCTTGTGTAAAACGGGTTAGGCTCTCGCCGTATGATTGACCTCGAAATCGTTTCCCAGGCGCGTGACAACACTCCGGGTGGCCCCATGAGCCCTTCTCCAGCAGTCGCGCTTCGTTCCAGCGAAGGCTGGTCCCGATTATCGTTCTCGGATGATATCTCCTCTTCGAGAAACTCGCGTACAACAGCGTCCTTCATGAGCATATCTACCGCCGCCGGGCCATGGTCCAGTGGGTCCCTATAGCGAGATGAACCCCTTCCTAGCTGGAAAATTTTCGAAAGAGACAAGTTTCCTTGAGATGCGCCATTGATCTGTTTCTGTTCCAAAAAGGCTCGGACTTGGTGAAGGCGCTTTTCGTCCTCGGATACGTCGAAACTTTCTTGGATGACCGCAATGAACATATTAAGGATGATAAAATTGGCCAAAATGAACCACAGGATCAAGAACGTCGCTGAAATCCAAGAAGTGTTGTATTTCTGCGAGTAAGAGACAACCGGGTAAAGAGTGCCGGTCCAATTCTCGCTGCTCAGAATCCGATACATTCCAATAAACGAGTTGTAAATATTATCAAATTTAATCTCATCATCAGCATCTTCCTCAATCTGACCGCGGAAGAGCTGCGTCGCGAATATGGACGCAAGGAACGTCATCAGAAACACGAAGAGAATCAAGTTAATTAAACCGCTGGCGTTGCGGAAAACGAGCATAATCAGATTCCTCGTGACGGAAAACGCTAGAACAACGCGATAAACTCGGAGGATCTGAAATAGGGTGAGGACTTCATACGGCCGTCCCGAGTATCTGATAGCGGGAATTTGAATAACGCTGGTGATGATAGCAAGCGCTAAATCGAACCAGTTACGGCGGCTCAGATGGAACTTCCGCCAGTCTGTGATGAACCGCAGTATAATCTCACCGAGCAAAACAAGTGTGACAACAATCTCGTTGGTGTTGATAAAATCCTCCCGTGGCCCTTTCTGGTCGGTGTTCCTCATAGCCTGGACAACAAGGTCATAGATGATGATGACAATCCAGAACCAGTATGTCCAGTTGTATAAGCGCTTCAATGTACTGGTTTTGCGCGACGCCTCATCCTCCTCGTTGTCTGCCTCGACCTTCTGAGATGCGAAAGCACTGCGCTTGCTTTCTTCGCGGATAACCTGGAATGAGTGAGTAATGACCGCAACCAACAAGTTTACCAGCCATAAACTCAGAATTATAAATCCGCAGACGAAGAAAAGTGCTGATACGAGGTAATCGCTGTCGGTTGTGTAATAGAGCAGATCTGTGAAGGTATTAGAGCTCATTATCACAAATACAAGCTCGAGTGAATTTGCGATGTTATCGAAACTGAAAGTTCCCCTGTAAGGGTTATCGCCTTCGATGCACTGGGAACCCTTAGGGCAAATATATCCTTTTGGATTGCCAAAGCTAGGGTTGCGGTCAGATGTGAGCCAAGGCATCAAGCTGCCGTTTAGTGCCATATAGCCACCGCAAAATTGGACATGGTCGTCTGGGTCATTCATAGCGAAATCGTCAACGCCATATGGGGACCCATCCCAGACACAGGTTCTTCGAAAACTTGATTTGAAGCTTTGAATGCCTACAATAGCAAACAAGAGCCAAAAGAACCCTATCAGAAAAGCAACGTGGACCAGCAAGGGAGCAGCCTTCTTCAAGCTTCGAAGAATAATCTACAGTGTTACAGTCAGTTATCAGGCATACCCAAACACGTCAACGTTTAAAAACATACCGAGGTCCCGCTGGTCAACGCTAGGAGACGTAGAATCCGGAGACAGCTGAGCATCCGGAAGACATAGAGCCGATGTGAATTTTCGGCACCCCCTATAGCAAGCGCAAAACTTACCCAGTAGGCAACCACAGCGACAAAATCTAGTCGGTTGAAAGAATGCCGGAGAAAAGCGCGGTGCGCAAGTCTGATGCGGCGTTTTTGAAGAGGATCATCAGCCAGCTGCTGCTCCATCTGGTTTAACCCGCCTGTGAAAGTTCGTAGAATCGAAGCTTGCTGGGGCTCTGGCTGCACTGATGCTTTCTTGGTTGAAAATTGACGTTGCGGCGTGATAAGATTTTTTCCTTTCTCCAACAATGCATTACCAAGTCCTTTTGACCGGTCTATTGTACTGTACTCGACTGGGTTGAAAAAGAGCCCAGAAACTAGGATTTTAGCAACAAGTTCAACGGTGTAGATGATGAAAATCACGAGGTAGAGATAGTCCATAACACCCCTACCACCCCATCTCAATTCTATAGCGGACTTCGGTCTCGCAGATTCAATGGTTAATAGGATCGTCTGAATAACGATGACGACCAGGACGAAAGGTTCTGTAAACGGATGAACGAGAATATCGCACAACCACGTCCTAATTGCATTATCTGGACCAAGTATGCCAAGCGCCTTGCCCCTCAAGGGATTGCTCAGTCCTCGCCATGCCTTATTCGTTGATTTCTCCCTAGAGATTCCTTCATTTACCGAGGCCGTCGACGGCGCATCGTGGGCATAATCCGGAAGGGAGGGAAGGGCTGGCGGAGCCTCCATGCGTGAACTTTTATGGGATTCCCTCGAGAGCGACTGTTCGACCACCTCCGGTTCATTACTTAAGTTCACGACACGTTGGGAGACGGTCTTCATCATCGAACTTGCACGCTGCAGCGCCGACCCGGAAACCGAAGGGGACAGCGAGCGACCGCCGTCTCCCGAGACGCTCTCCCCCCGGCGCCTCCCACTGTAGCCAGCCTCCACGTTGTGCAGGTCATCCCCCAAACGTGGTCCCAGATGGTCATTTTCAAATCTAACGGAGGGTGTATTCGATCGATCGCGCGAACCGCTGGCGCTGGGGGTGACGGACGCGCCGCTAAAATGTTGCATATTAGCGGGATTTGTCAATGGAGCGGTATCGCCATATGATTCGGAGGGACGAGGGTGGTCGGCTTCGTTGGCGCCGAAACTCTGCAAATGTTCATCGTCCCCATCAGGTCCCAATGGATCTCCACTGTGTCCTCCAAATGAAGTCGCTATCGCAAATGCCCCGATATCTGAGGGGGAGAATTGATTCGCGTGATCGGTAGAGCGCGAATGCGTGGCATGGCTTCCATGTTCAACTGGTGAATCGTCTGTTAATCGTTCATAGGTCCGTCCTCTCTCGGTCAAGGAGCGACCAGAAAATAGCCGGCTTCCCAGTCGTCCTGTTCGTTCCTGGTGGTCGGAGAGATCCTGTAAGGGGATTGAGTGGTGGGTGAAATCATTCTCGTCGTTAGAGCCGCGGTCATGGCTATTCGACGCCATGGTGGGCAAAATCGATTCACTAGCCGAGCACAGGCATCGCAAGCTGCGGTGATGGGACGCTTATCGAGAATGGGGTCAATATGTTGTACGGAGTCGCGGAAAACGAGAGATAACACGCACACTCGCAGTCGGACGTCTGGCGCGGACAAGCAAGCGGGAGCGGGATAAAGACAAACAGAAGGGGCAGCGAAAGAAACGCGAAAAGAAAGTAGGTTAGTAAAACGAAGGCGACGATTCTGAGAATTCGCGCAGCTGAGGTGTCTTCTCCGGATTCCCGCGATCGCCTAGTCTTGAGCCAGGAGCGGCCAAAACGGGGCGGTTGGCGGGATGTTCATTCTGTATGGCCGAGTGTCTCCTCGAGCGGCGGTGATCCGCCGCCCAGACCACTAAGGTTGTCTTGCGGCCTTGCCCGTGCAGGCTGTGATTTCTATTCTTAATTCTCCGGTATCTTTCGGCAGATGAATACAATTTATTAGAATAGAGAGCATCCGACGATTCTGGCTGGTTTTCTTTCAGATTATTTGGATATTCTTCTCTATTTCGCCTCTACCATAAATAAGTGGGCGTTGGGACCCAAGCCTCTGCCCTACAGTCAGGAACGCAGAGACCGCCTTGGCTTTTCGTCTGCTCCAAACAGTGCTGCCTGCAATATGGCTCCGCCAGCCCTAAAAATAACAATGGACAGCACGGTCGGCCTTTTGTTACGCAAAGAAACAATAAAACAGCGGGGAATTATCTACAGGCTCGACAAATATGAAGGACGGAATGGACCCAGAATATCAAATGAATCAGTCGGTTTCCATGAGACTTCCTTGAGTCCCGTTCTGAACATGATCCCGAACGCCTTGGATGAATGCCTTCATTGCATCACCGCCGCCTAGCGGAACGCCCCCTCGGCGCATGAATCCTCCATTCTCGACTGGTATCTTCAAGGCTTCGCTAATGCTAGGAAGCCCTCCATCCCTGATAGCCACAGTCAAGCTTGCAAGGCTCTGGGTGAACTGAGGGGAGTGTAAAACTCTCCTAACGATGTTCTTTTTTTGCGAGAGGTTGAGGGCGCTGAGAACATCCTGTGCAGTTTCGGGACCGCGTTGAGCATCAGGTTGACCCTCCATCTGAAACGCCAAAATCAGTAACTCTTGGGGTAAAAACTTCAAGAGGCTGTCAACCCTTTCGACATCGAGGGTCTCCAAGAAGGGCAGTGTAGTCGATGGAGGCAGCAGATCTTGCAATGTAGTGAACGGTTGTTCAGCTTGCTGGGACTGGTTCCCTCCCAGAGATTGTAAGAAGTCCTGTACCACAGCTGAAGGATTGGAGGCACCACGAGTCCTGTCACTGTCAGGGATTTGCCAGAGTCAGTTTACATTCTTCGAGTAAAAGTGAATGATAAAAAAAGTAAAACAAGAAAAAAATTCATATTGTCAAGGGCAGGTCTACCCCCACGGCACAAAGCTCGAACGGAAAACATGATACCCGAAAAACAGAACGTCGTGATATGTACCTAACTTACGCTCTTCCACCATCTGCTCCACCCTCCCTCGATCCCTGTCCTTCCTCTCTCACATCCCCACCAGTTGCATCCGGTCCTGCACCACCGCTGCTACCTCCGCGGTTATGGCTTGGGTCATGGTCCACGCCTTCAACATCCTCCATTGTCTCATCATCATCACCATTGCCTCTGGGGATAGCCGCAATCTCGCTCTCTACATCTATTTCGTCACCTTGTAACAGCTTGTTGACAATCCATCCAAGCTTAAGGTCCCTCGCGCTCCAGAAAGAGGGGTCATCTTCATCATGTTGGGACTTGGATTGAAGCCAGAAGAGATATCGCTGGGAGCTTGACGAGAACTTGAGGACGTAGATTCGGCCATTCGTAGGTTTTCCATCGGGGCGATAAGGAGTAAATGTGCCGTCGGAAGGAACCATTACCAAGTCCAATTCAGGTTCTGTGTGAGGAGCGCTTCGAGGGCGCCAGCAGAAGTGAATAAGCTCATCTTCGGAATAGAGGTAAAGATACCCCGGCGTCTGCTGAGGCTTGACTTGGACGTTTGATGACTGGGTCTAGCACGTTGAACATAGTTAGTACTATAAACGACGCTATATCTCACTGTTCCATTTGGGCAACACTCACCTCAAGGTCACAGGTACCCGCTTTGAATGTGATGATCGGCGTTATCGACATTGTGGCAGAAGAGCAAATAGAAATGTGGGTGATGAAGTAAAGTTATCTGTCGGTTTTCACTTCGTGCTGAAGCGCTAGGCCAGCTCTAGTGGTGAGATGGTGGTGGTTGAAAAAGCAAGCTTGGGGGAGATACGTCAGTTTGGAAAGCTCCAGAGTCCACTGGAGGTCTCGCACGCTCTGTGTTTTGGGTTCGGGGAAGCTCAAAGGCAACTACGGCTGTGGTCGGTGCCGTAGCCCGTACTTTATGCCTCAGGCATAAAGTGGCAACTCCCCGTCCGTCGTATCAGTCAGCCCAAATCGGCACTAGCGCCTTTCGGTTAACTGATAGGGCTTGCGTTCCCACAAACCTCACCACTCCGCCTTTGGACAGTGAGTTGCCCGTCACACACCAATTCCAACAACCACCCGCCGTCGACAACCACCCCCCTACTTTCTTTTCAGGTCTTCTTCGTCATCAGCAGCCAAAATGTCGGACGTTGGCACGACGAAGCAGTTTGGAAAGGCCCAGAGGCTTGTGCCGTCCCAGAAGGCCCAGAAATGGTACCCTGTTGATGACGAGTCGCAGCCCAAGAAAGTCAGTACACCCCGTGCAAAACGAGTACAAACGTCGGAAAGAACGGAGGATGCGGTTTTGTATGGATGAATGCGACAGTCGCGCAGGGTCAATTGAACTCGGCGACAAATTGGCAGGACCGGCATAAAATCGACCGACCATGAGTTTATATTGAAACCGCATCCTCCGACGTTTCTTGACAAGAATGATACACATATATGTGAACGTTGTGGATTCAGCCTTCTGACATGATTTTTTTTTTGCTTTATTCAACAGGTCCGCAAGACTGCTCGTCCCACCAAGGTTCGCGAAAGCCTTCAGCCCGGTACTATCCTCATCCTCCTTGCCGGTCGCTTCCGTGGCAAGCGCGTCATTCTCCTCAAGCACCTTGACCAGGGTGTTCTCCTCGTCACCGGTCCCTTCAAGATCAACGGTGTTCCCCTCCGACGGGTGAACGCTCGCTACGTGATCGCCACCAGCAAGCGCGTGGACATCAGCAGCGTTGACAGCCAGACCGTCGAGAAGGTCTCCGCCCCCGGCTACTTCACCAAGGAGAAGAAGAGCGAGAAGAAGACTGAGGAGGCTTTCTTCAAGCAGGGAGAGAAGCCCGAGGTACGTTCCGACAAGACAAAAAGGGCCATCCACCTCGGCTCTGTGAACATCCAATGTCCAGATCAGACAACTAACGTATTTGCTATGAACAGAAGAAGAAGGTTGCCAGTGCCCGTGCTAGCGACCAGAAGGCTATTGACCAGTCCATCTTGGCCAGCGTCAAGAAGGAGAACTTCCTCGGCAGCTACCTCGCTGCCTCCTTCAGCCTCCGAAACGGCGACAAGCCCCACGAAATGAAGTGGTAGACGTGTGCGACGCGGCGGCCGCGGGTTCGGTAGTTCTTGTGGAGGAATTATGTGAGGGGCGGCTAGATGCAAATTGGCGATTCCCCACCCGGGGAGGAGCGATTATTGCAGCGCAGGAGGAACGGCTGATGAAATGTGTAACTCGATTCGAAGGATCCGTTTTGGCTTGGGGACCACGGCAAATCCGGAAGACTCCGAGTCGGTTATGTGTATATTTTCGCAGACAGGTTTCTCCCAGCGTGGCTGGTTTGCACCATGTCTAATGAGCCGTGTGAGCAGAAAAGAAAAGAAAAAAATTCATGATCACCTTTTCCAGCTGTTACGTGTCTTCTCTAAAAGAGGCTGGGAGTTATTACATGTTTAGTATGATACTCTTATTTTCTCAATCTCCAGGTCAATTTCCAGATTTAGATGGAAGTTCTGAAATCGGGACTCGAATTCTGTTAAGTTGGTTCCTCCTCTCTTAACTGTATATTTTTTACTTGCAGCTTTCTTTCTACATACATACTCCCGTCCCAACGCAACGCGAACCTCATATCCCACCCAACTACCTAAGTAGCTGACAACGTCTTCTATTCATGTCTACTTATTACATAATGGCCCAAACGCAACATAATTTCGATTCCACTAGGCGCAAGTGAGACTCTCGGTCTTCCTATTATACAATAACATAAAACAAAAGGAAACCCAGACTCCAACGCCACCAAATAAACCAGCAAGGTTCCCAAATCCCAATAATTGCAAAGCCCCCTCAGTCACTTCCTCCCTCTCCCGAGACCACTTTTACCCCTCGAACTCTCTGCGCCCCTTGAATCATCACCCCAACCAGCTACACTATCACTACCATACCACCCCGTTCCCACAAGGAGATCAATGACGCCCCAGCGCCCAAAATGCGTCTTGCCGCCATGGGCAAGATGGAGCTCCGTTCGGCGCGCGACCCAGTTCAGCAGGAAACTAGGCAGCACATAGTATCCAGAGAATGCGAATGTTTCTTCGATTGAGATGATGACCATGTAAACGAGGAAGGTGATCATGTGGTAACGGAAGAATAGAATTGGGATGTACATCGGGATGAATGTTGAGAGGAGGTAGACAAGCGGGTGGTCGTAGTGCGCTGTTAGGGGAAACGGGGCGCGGAGGGCATGGTGCCAGGCTCTGTGGAATTGAGCGACGAGGGAGAAGACGGGGATTTTGGAGTGGATGATGAAGCGGTGGATGGTGTATGATAAGATCTATATAAAAATGCCAGGTTAGCTTGTAAGTTCGGTAAGAGGCGTTTGTTCTTGATGTGTACATACCTCTCGAAGGAGAAATCCCCAGAAAAGCTGCTTCGTGATAGTCCAAGGCATTGGGACGCTGAGGGCCATCTGTACTGCAGGTCGCAACTTGGGAGTTTTGATAAGGAACGCTTCAATCGTCATTTGCACGGCGATTCCCAGCAACAAGTTAGCGAGCGACCATCCAGCAATCTTAAGTTCCTTCAGCGAAGGCTTGGTACGCTTGCTTCCAGTTGGTAGACCGGATTCACCTCGCTCTTTGAAGGAAGCGGATGTGCCTGGAGCAGCAATGTCGAGGATGAAAAAGACAATGGAGGGGAAAAGGTAGAATATTAGGCGCACAAGCAACGTGCCGAACAATTCAATCCGTAGAGCGGTATGTGAGAGCACAAGAGTGGTCCATGTCATATAGAAGAATATCACATTGGCTCTGGTACTATAGGAAGATATAGTGGGGAGAACGAAGAATACGGTAAGGAAATCCATGCTGGCAAAAACTAAGGTCTTCTATATACCCTCAGTGAATATGCTAGAAGAGCCCTTCTGCGATATCTTGGGCGCTTTTATATTTATTTTACATCAAACTGAGCAGTGAAAGAATACCTGTTCCAAAGTTACCCAACAAAGGGACAGTCCGTTTCAAATGAAAGAACCCAGGTATCGACGTCACAAGCAGCAAAATATTAAACTGGTGTGTGCATGCTGATGCTCAGGCAAGGCCATGACCTCAATGCTGCAGGTCCGGGAGCGACTATTGGGCAAATCAAATGTTGATATACCAGATCCCTGCCATTACTACTTAGAGGCCCGTTCTACTCTTAATATTGAATGGTCTACCCGGCCCATGTCTGCATCGTAGAAAGGGTAGTTGCCAAGAAAAATGACGAGCAGGAGAACAATAGTCACTTTCATTTGCGGCTGTTATTCTTAGGGATAAGATAAGAAGAATATACGATAGCAATAAAGATAAACAAAGAAGGCGCTCGAGGGTATCTAAACCGTACACCAGACAATGAAACGGCATTTTCAATGAAACCAGTGAAGAAAAACCAATCCCTAACCCGAAGATGAGGCTGGAATACCATTCTTTTGTCCCCATGTAAAAGCCTGTTTCCTAAGGTCTGGGACTACCTGCAAAAATACCAGGTTGCTAAGCCAGCCAGTGAACGTATCGCGGAGCCAAGAGTTTCTTGGGCTAGACCCAAGCGCAGAGCCCTTCATCAAATCTCCGACAAACATAGTAGTAATAAGGTACTCGCCTCGTTCAATGGCTTCGATGGCAATGCTAGCGACTTCCTTGGGTGTCTGGGGCTTGTCAGCAGCCTCGAGCTGCTTCGTAAGAGCAGGTTTGATTTGCTGCTCATTGTCAAATCCCGGACTGAGAATTCCCATGGGAAACACAGTGTGAACCTTGACATCGGCAGGAGTAGCACGAGATCGTTCTTTCGAGGCACGCGATCCGTTGTAGATTTCAATCTCCTGGTTCAACGTGTCCGAGAGAGAACGCATGGCTGCTTTTGCGGGGGAGTATGGCGCATAGCCAGCGATAGGTACAAAGGCGAGGGTGGAACAGGTGAAGATAAGATGGCGTCGAGGTAATGGCCTCTGGTGGCTAGGGTTGACTGGAACAAGCCACCTCTTCAGGACTGCATGTGCCGTGTTTGCCGCAGTCCAGTAAACAGTATCCATTTGGTCCTTGAGCGTTTGGAGGGGTGTTTCGATGAAGTATCCCGGAGTACAATATCCAGCGCAGCACCAAACGATATCAGGGGGCATGCCATCATTAAATTCAGTGACTTCAGTCATAATGCGTTCGCATTCTTCAGGTTTCGTGAGGTCCGCACTAATGTAGTGAAACCGTTGCTTGCTGGCATTGGTGGCGGAGCCCTAAAACATCAATAACATGCGTCGAGCAACGGATACGGTGCAAAAATACCTTGATAGCTTCCATGGCCTCTTCAAGCTTTTGGACGGTCCGAGAAACAATGACAACATTTGCTCCTTTCTCTGCGAGCTGGCAGGCCACGGCCTTGCCCATGCCCTCCGAGCCACCAGTGATCACCGCCGTCTACAAAGCAAATTCGTTAGCAAGGCTTGAAAGCTAAAATAATGGCGTCAATTCAGTTACTCACCCGACCCTCCACGACAAATTGGTTTGTGGTCCTGAAGCCAAACATCTTGACGAATGTATAGAGAACGAGTACACCTAGAACAGCCGAAATCCCCAAGGACGCGGGAGACAAGTCGTAAGAGATAGAGAGAAAGGATGGAGGCATGAGGAAGAAGAAAGAAGGGGGGAAGAGGAAAGAAGAGGAATATTAAGGGAGATTGGCGGCTGGCCGGCTCTTGCTGATACTTCAGCTCAGTTGCAGCTTCCGTTCCTGAATCCTGAATCGTAAGATGGAGGAGCAGCCAGGCGGCGGAAGTTGTGTGACCGATAAATACGTCAGATACGAGACTGTAGGACTCTTATGGGGGCTCGCAGTGTATTTACGCGTAACATATTGTAATATTGTATCAAAGTCTGTGATCCTTTCCTTTTGAAGACTAGACTTTTGGAGGCGGTGAGGGTCCCGCCCAAAATTTTATTGCGGAGTTATCAATTTTTTGGCCTCCAAACGGCAATCAAACGAAATTATTGCATTTCAACTCAATCAAATATGGGAAAGAAGAGAAAGGCTGGCGGTCGGCCAGCTGCTAATAAGGCCGGCAAGGACGAACCCCGTAAATTCGACATTGAGGAGAGATTCGACGATTCCGAAGATGAATTCCAGGCGGGCCGAGACCAGATTTTGCTCGATGAAGCGCCAGAAGCAAAGAGACGGCGCAGACTAGCAGAGGAAGGTGTGTTGAACGCTGGAATATATTCTGTAATCGGCGGCATTGCTAATTCGGGGGCTTCTAGAGGAGGCATTGCAATTATCTGACGAGGAAATCCTGGGATATGAGTCCCCGGGCGACGAAGAGGACGACGACATGGACGAGGTCGAATATGACGACGAGGATGACCTAGACCAATTTGGGTCAAAATCAAAGAAAAAGCAAAGCGGAGGTGCAGAATCTGAAGATGAGGAAGAAGGCATTGCCGCTTGGGGCTCGTCCAAGAAAGACTTCTACAATACTGATCAGATCGAAACGGAAGCCGATGCTCTCGAAGAGGAGGAAGAGGCGAAGAGGCTACAACAGAAGCATCTACAGGAAATTAACGAAGAGGACTTTGGTTTTGATGAAGCTGAATGGGCTGAGTCTGGCAAAGACAGCTCGAAAGATGACACTGGTGCGGTGACTGAGGTCTTGCCGCAGTTGGAGATCACGGAGGACATGAGTAGTGAGGAAAAACTGAAGATCTTGAAGTCGCGATACCCCGAATTTGAACCCTTGGCGAAAGATTTCATGGAGCTTCAACCCACGTACAATACCCTCGCAAAAGCCGCAAAAGCCGCCGGGCCTACCGTTACAGATGACGACGCGGATCATGCTCCCGTTGCTGTTATCAAATATCGCGCTTTGTCCGCCTATCTCGGTGCTATCACCATGTACTTTATGCTTTTGAGCTCCGCTCACGAATCGGACAACCTTACAGCCTTATCTCCAGCTCAATTACGGTCACATCCAGTCATGAATTCACTCGTCAAATTCCGGAAATTGTGGGAAACTGTCAAGGACATTACCCCAGTTGGGAAACCATCTCAGGATCTGGTTGAGGAAGAAAGTGAGAGAGATATGGAAGTTGATGTGCCAGAAGTCAAGAGTAAGGAAAATAAGGCATCCAAGAAGGAGAAGAGGAAGCTTTCAAAGGCACAACGTGCCGCAGAAGCAGCAAGAGCGGAAGCAGAAGCCCGAAGGGCAAAGAGACTAGAAGAAACAGAAGCCAATCTTGCAGGCCTATCAAGCCTCGTCACCGACCCCGGCCGGAAACGAGTTAGCAAGAAGACGAAGACATCGTCAAAGGCTGCTGATGACTCTGACTTTGGTGACGAGGATGCCCTCACCGCTAAGGAGGCTGAAGAGAAGGCCAAGCAGAAGCGATCTCTTCGGTTTTACACCTCTCAAATTGCACAGAAATCCAATAAGCGCACTGCTGCTGGCCGCGATGCCGGTGGTGATGCGGATATCCCTTACCGTGAGCGCTTGAAGGATCGGCAGGCCCGCTTGAACGCAGAAGCCGAGAAACGTGGTAAGCAGAAGGCACAGGGCGCGGAAGAGCTAGGCGGCGATAGTGACGACGAGGATCGTAGGGTCGCGAGTGAGCTTAGGAAGGGCGGCGACTCCGGATCAGATGATGATGACTACTACGACATGGTTGCAGCCCGCACCAACAAGCGAAAGTCAGATAAGAAGGCTTTCGCCGAAGCACAAGCAGCAGCCGCGCGTGAAGGAGGTCATGTCGAGGTCCAAGAAGAGGTCGGTGCTGACGGGAAACGAGCCATCACCTACCAAATCGAGAAAAATAAGGGTCTTGCACCTAAACGTAATAAGCTCAACCGCAACCCGCGTGTCAAGAAGAGAATGCGCTTTGAAGACAAAAAGAAGAAGCTGGGTAGTGTTCGTCAAGTCTTTAAGGGTGGCGAGGGCCGCGGTGGCTATGCTGGTGAACTCACCGGTATCAAGAAAAATCTGGTCAAGAGTGTCAAGCTCTAGCTGCTCGCATCTTCTTTCATTTCCCTATTTTCAGACCGTCATTTGGACACATACTATGGGGCGTTTTATTAATGTGGTTAAAAATCGGGTCAGTGTGTATATAGAACTTCATGATAACTATAACCTTCTGCTGTTCTTCGATCAACACTAGTTCGTTCCATGCCATATATCATGTAAACAACTATCTGCTCGGTGTCGTACAATTTTGACACTATATATTAAAGGTAAACAATAAAGAAGGCTAGCAGCTTTTATTTTAAGCATCAGAACCGGAGTCTATAGATATATATTCCGACAGCCGCGGCACATGTTGAAAAAACTCCTCTAACATCCTTCTCGCATTTTTGCCTTCACAGCCATCCGACAAATCCATGGCCAAGAGTCTTCTTGCTAGTTCGTCCTTCAACACCAAATGTTTCGGTTAGCTTTTGATATTTATTTCTGGCGACAGAAAGAAGAAGAAGAAGAGTCTCATACCGCATCCTGCAATGCCTGCATCTCCTCCGTAGAAAGCACCGCGCACGCCGCAATCAAGTTCTCCCCACGAGCAGAGAGGGACACGAGTTCATTCGCGCGGTCAACAATAACTCTGTTTATCCCATTTAGGGCAGCGCAACTACTGGTTATCAGTTTACCAGCCACAGCAATATCTGGCCCCCATAATGGATGAGAAAGCAAGACATGGCAGGGCAGGGGGAGAACGTACATTGTCCCAAAACTCTTCGTGCTACGACCCAAGCGGAAGCTGCGAATCGGTTAACATACTAAAAGTCTCTCCTGAAGGATATCAGACGAACTTGTACAGGTATGTGATCTGGTCATCGGCCTCTTGGGATTCTTCGCAGACTCGGACCTCCATATGGCCTAGCTGTAGCCGGGGCCTGACTCGGAGGAACTCATTCTCAAATATCTCGTGAAAGTGCGTTGCAGCGATTACTTTTGGAGCATCTTCTAGACTCAAAAGGTGCTCGAGAATTCCACAAGCCAAACTGATGCCATCTATACCAGGTCAAATATAAATATTGGTAAAGAACTTCCAGGACGTACCGTGCTCGCTGGTTCCTTTCCCAAATTCGTCAATTAACAACAGGCTACGGCCTGTGATATGTTTCAAATCGAAAGCTATTTGCTGAAGGTCACTCATGAAGTTGCTTTGAATCTTGTAAACTGTAAGGGCTTTGGACCGACAGCTTACGGATAGAAACGGTGCTCCTTACCTGTGAAACACTATCTTGGGAATTTGACTTCACTAGAATTTTGTCGACGGTGCCGATTTCAGCGCTCTCAGCAGGAACAAAGCTGTAAGTCGTTGGTAGGGTGTTTGGTCATGATATTATTATTAACATAATTCTCGTACCTTCCGGTTTGTGCCAGATATACTATCAAAGCAACCTCATTTTGGTCAGTAAGGGTTTCGATGCAGCGGCCTGGTCTTCTCACTTGTTTCATATAAACACTTTTGCCTGAGTAGTTTGGGCCCGTCAATAATACCATGTTGGGGTTTGCGCCGGTCTGCAAAGCTTCCGGGGCACTCTGCGAGTGGTCTGTCAATTGCTCTTCGAGTCTGCCTCCTACCAAGAATGTGTCATTGGGGACGTAAGACGATACAGTCAGCTCCTGCAGTATGTGACTTAGAGAAGGTTAGTCCGAATACAGATCACAAAATTGTATAAATATATCTTACCGGCCACCTTTTATTTTAATTATGTTGTCCTCCGAGATTTTCGGGCGGACAAGATTGTAGCAGGTTGCTGCTTGAGCCATCGCAAGAAGACTGTATACACTTAGCTCTTTCCTGTGGAACGAGCCATCAATGACTCTACCTGTCAATTTCCCCACAAGCTTCGGATGCTTCTATAAGGACCCGTTCAAACTGAAGAACTCGCTGAGCCAAATCGTAGACTATCTCGATTTCCTTCTCTAAGGTGCGGTGGGGTCAGTAAATATACCCAAGAAAAACATGGAACGGACGAGGCATATACCACAGATAAGACCGTATATATCACCCAGCTTCTCATCCATCTCTCTCATTCTAAAATCTTTGAAATATGCCCGGTTCTCCGTAATGAAGATAAGCTCCCACCCTTCGTCGGAGCCATTGTATGCTGCCTCGCCCGCATTCGTAAGAGGTATGGCTATATTAAAACCTAATTGCGGAAAATAAATGACATTTATGTCGATATCAAAGCTTGCTGGAATAGTGGCCGCGATCTCTATTGCAACTTGCTTCAGCAAACTGCTTAGTCCGTCGTAGCTGTCTTTCATTCTATCGAGCTCTCTATCCAGTCCTGGCTTTACGACGGCTCTGCCCTGCTCGTCAGAGCTATCGATGTCGACCTTATGTTCTAAGCTATGGACCATATCGGATTGGTGTTGGCAAATTCACTTACTATTTCTTGGATCATCCTTCCCACCGTATATAGCTGAGCCCCTTCAAGAGCATGAAGAGCCTATGGGATTATAAGCACGGTCCGCTTCAGAAATAGAGTCATTTCTCACCTTGTTGTAAAGAGTTATACCATGTCCACCCGCGGTTTCTCGAAGAGCGTCATGCACGTCAATGCCGTAAAACGCAAACTGTCAGGTTAGCCAAAAAACCGCATTATACGGACCCTCATCTCCGTGACATACTGCTAACAGAGTAGCCCAAACCGTTGTCTTGAAGCCAGACACTTTCCCGCTGCCAGTACTTGTCCCTTTCTGGAGGTTGATCATTACTGGCCGAAGGTTCTTAATATGCTTCAAGCCCTTGACCATTTTTTCCATTGAGTTATAGTTGTCCCCTTGAAGATACACACTGATAAACGATTGGCGCTCGTGGATAATACCAAGTTCAACGGAAGGTCGAAGAAATATTTGTCGTAGCCGCTGTTTCCCCTGCGGAGTGCATGCAAAACGCTTAAATAAACCGTAAACAGAGAGGCCCTCTTTGGAGGAAGACGACCACTTTCCTGGCCCTTGGTTGACTATGCTGGGGTGAGACTCGGACTCAACAATCTGAAGTGATGTTAATGTCCTTGCGTTAACGAACCTAACAAATTATGAGTGTATAGCCTTGGTTAGGAGTCTGTAATCCAAACTCACATTGTCCCAGTTAAGGTGGACATTTCGAAAGACGACACTTGGTAAAGTCCCGAGTCTGTACCTGATACCAAATCGGAAGACCTTCGTCGTTGTAGATAGGTAAGAATAGTGCCAGCACAGCCAAGTGTTACTTTGTTTTCCAGATCGAGAAAACTGGCCATGTGTAAGTGTCTGCCTTCCTCCAAGGTGAAGTCCATATTTTCCGGGTCCATTTGAACTGTATCGACAAGGCCATTGTGGGGTACGAGAAACTTGAAGCGCTCTTCATGTCTTGACGATATCTCTAATGCCACTAATTTATTTCTCGCGTTTGAAGGGTTGAACTCCTGAGATGGTCGCACATCGAGCTGGTAGGGGAGGTAGGGACGAGCACCTAGCATATCATTAGCGTCGTTCCTTTTTCTGAGATAGTATATATGGTATCACTAACTAACCATTTTCACGTTCCGACGGTTGTCCGCTGATGCTAGAGTGGTCAATCCGTGTCGAGGTCAAGAGAACAGTCGGCTTTATTTGGAGAATCACTAGAAACAAGTCAGCTAGCAGAAGCGAGTATGAGACGATCATACACGACACACGGGTCTCAATAACCTCAGAGTTAGAATGTTGTATATCTCCCAGCAAATACAACCTTTTCTCCTGGGCAGAATAGTATGAACAGCCAACTGTCCCTCCGTCCTTCATGTCAATGGCCGCTATAATCTGATCAAGGTCTTCTTCCACCGACTGCCCCATAGACACCGCATCCCTTCTTGTTACGCTGCTAGCCCGAGCTTGTCTTTGTCTTGGGGCTCGCAAGGGGCTAGCCGGTGGAACAAATGTAGAGGGGATACCATCGCCATCGTAAAGTGAAGAAGGAGCGTCGGGCAAACCACCCTCTGATACCTGGGAGTGGTATTCAGTTCGTCTTCTCTTAGTTGAATCCATTGACTCTGGTGATTGGGGGTCCTCACGCATAGGATGGAGAATTCATAATTTTTGATAACAGGGTTGGGCGTGGAACTTGGGGATGAGACAACGTCAACAACCACAAGTCACATGCGGAAAGTATAACTTTGGAATTATTTTATTTCGTTTCAGTCATTATATAAATCGGTGAGACGCAGAATCACCATATATACTGTACAGGAGAGGAGAAGCTATAATACAAATAGTACACAGGTATGCAATATGACCAACGCATAATCACAAAAGCACCGTCCATCCAATATCATGCACAAGAAGCCAGGTCCAGAAAAATTCAGTTCTCAAAACACCGAAGAATCATGGAATTCAATTATGCATGTTCGCTTTCTCCAACCGCTGCAACTTCAAGCCCATCCTTATTGGCATTGAAAGAGACACGGATCGCCTGTCCAGAGGTGACCTCGCCACGAATAATCTTGTCTGCCAGGCGGTTGCCGATTTCTTTCGATATCAAGCGGTTAAGTGGCCGAGCACCGAACTTGGGATCGTAGCCTCTTTCGCAAAGCCAGTCTTTGATCTCATTATCAACTTGAAGAGTCATCCGTCGATCATCCAGTCTCGACTGCAGCTCCTTAATTCTGATGTCGACGATATCCCTCAAAGCTTCCCGTGAAAGCCTCTTGAAGGTGATAAACTCATCGATTCGATTAAGGAACTCGGGCGGATATGCCTCCTGGACAACATCCATGACAGCCTTCTTGACCTCTGGTGTGATATCTCCATCTTCTGAGAGCTTGAAAGAATGGATGGGATCAGCGCCAATTAGGATATCAGCTCCAAGGTTAGACGTAAGGACGATGAGGGTGTTGCGGAAATCGACTTTATGACCTTGTGCATCCGTAAGAAAGCCCTCATCCAAAACCTGGAGGAGGAGGGCAGATATGTCGCGATGGGCTTTCTCGAACTCATCGAACAGGAGAACAGCATACGGCTTCCGCCTCACAGCCTCAGTGAGTTGGCCAGCATCATCGTAACCGACATACCCAGCAGGGGAACCAATCAAGCGGCTGATAGTATGCTTCTCTTGGAACTCGCTCATATCGAATCGTACAACGGCAGTCTCAGTAGAGAAGAGGAATTCGGCCATCTTCTTGCAAAGCTCAGTCTTACCAACGCCGGTAGGACCAAGGAACATGAAAGAAGCAAGCGGCCGATTTTCTCCACTGAGCCCTGCTCTCTGCATGCGGACCGCATTTGCGACGGCAGAGAGCGCCTCATCTTGTCCACGCACAGATTTCCTGAGAGTGTCTTCCATATGTATCAATTTTTCGACTTCTCCGGCCATCAATTTGCTGACTGGGATGCCGGTGGTCCGAGAAACAACCGCACCAATATCATCGGCGGTAACAGAGTCATGGATAAGATTTGCCCGCGAGCCGGCTTGTTCTTCGCCCTCTTTCGGTAGTTTCTCTTCGAGTGCCGGGATCCTAGAGTATCGCAGTTCTCCTGCCTTGGCAAAGTCGCCTTCTCTCTGTGCTTGCTGTAATTCGAATCGTGCGCGCTCTAGTTCTTCCTTTGTGCGTTTGAGATTCTCAATTTCTGCCTTTTCCTTCTCCCAGACCTCGGTTAATTTTCCGGCCTCCTCTTGCTTAGCTTTCAGGTCTTCTTGGAGCTTTTCGCGTCTCTCGCGGCTGCTGATATCGGTTTCTTTGCGAAGAGATTCAAGTTCGATTTGGATAGTGGTGATATCCCGGTCGAATTCTCGGATCACATCGGGTTTCGATTCCTGTTGTAGCCGCAGAGCAGATGCCGCTTCATCCACTAGGTCAATAGCTTTATCGGGCAGGAATCGGTCGGTGATATAGCGATTGCTGTATGTTGCAGCCGCAACCAATGCTCCGTCGGTGATACGCACACCATGGTGTACTTCATATTTCTCCTTGATACCGCGCAAGATCGAGATGGTAGCGGCAACCGAAGGCTCGCCAACTTGAATGGGCTGGAATCGTCGCGCCAGGGCAACGTCTTTTTCGATCATTCGGTATTCGTTCAGCGTGGTTGCGCCGCAGCATTGAAGCTCGCCCCGTGATAAGGCTGGTTTCAGTAGGTTACTAGCATCAATACTACCTTCCGCCTTCCCTAGCCCAAGCAGAGTGTGGAGTTCGTCGATGAAGAGAATGACACCGCCTTGAGCATCCTCAACTTCTTTGAGAACAGATTTCAATCGCTCTTCAAAATCGCCCCTGAACTTAGCACCAGCAATGAGCGACCCAAGGTCCAAAGAGACAACGCGCTTGCCCTTGATGCTTTCCGGGACATCTCCTTGCACGATTCTCTGAGCCAATCCTTCTAGAACGGCAGTTTTACCAGTACCGGCAGCTCCGATCAAAACAGGATTGTTCTTTGTACGCCGCGATAGAACTTGGATTGTCCGATGGATTTCTGCATCTCTTCCAATAACCGGGTCCAATTTTCCTGCCTTCGCTTTAGCAGTGAGGTCAACGCCGTACTGTTCTAAAGCTGCTTTCTCGGGTTCGCCGCCTAGGTTCATCCGGTGTGTGCCACCTGGAGGATGCGGTCGTCCGCTAGCATAGTTTCGAACGGGAAAGCCGGAGAGGCCGGTCGCATTATTTGGTAAGGACGAGGGTAACCGTGAACGAGGGAGGCATAAGGATGATGGGAGAGGCCGCGCAAGTCGGTTCGAAGGCGTTAAGGTCGATGGTCGCAGCAGTCGACTGCGGCTCAGCTGCAACCTTGATGCCATTATAGCTTGAGACGAAAGGTGCTGGAGTTGCAGATGTCCAAGAACAAGGAATCCTTTCAATCAAGCATTGCGGCCGAGCCGACAGGAGCCTTTAATACCCGGTCCTTGAAATCATCGCGAGGCTTCTCGAACGCTCCACCACGGCCCCGATTCCTCGAAGATGAGTGGCGGAAGCTCGAATCCAGGGAACCCGCTGGGCAGCCAAGCTCCGTCACCCTCCAGATCACGTGCAGTTGGGTGCCGCCAAAATTTTACGGCTGGGCCCCATCCGCGAAAAATTACTTCAGAACACCTTTTCCCCTCCTATTCTTTTCTCTCCTTTCTTCTCCTCCTTCCCCAACACCACACTTTTTCTTTCTCATAACCACATAATATTTCACAATGGGTTTCACCGACTTTGTTTCTGAGGCTGGCCTTAGCAGTATGTCCTCAACTGCGTTCTTTTGTCCCTTTTTCAGTCACTAATTCTACTACCCCTCAGTTGCCAACACCTTCTTCCAGTCCCGGAGTTACGTTGTTGGGTAAGACACCACCCCTAAACCTCCTGCAATGCCCCCCCTTTTGTCTTCGCTGCATATTTTCCATGTGCCAGCTTCCTTGTTTGTATGATGAAAACAGATTGGTCCGTGTTTATGAGGCGGCTTAAGACCCCGCTGCAAGATTACACAACAATTGCGATTTTTCGCGTTTCTGAACACTAGGAAGACAGCTTTATTTTCTTTTTTCTTTTTCTGGGTTTTCTGCATTTCCTGCCATACGCTCAGCCTGCATCAACCATAATGTTGCATTTGACTGACTTGTATAAAGCACATCCCCTTCTCAGGCCGATGTCGTGACCTTCAAGGCCTTCTCCAGCGCCCCTGACGCTGAGAAGTACCCCAACGTTGCCCGTTGGTACAAGCACATCGCCTCCTACGAGTCCGAGTTTGGTAGCCTCCCCGGTGATGCCTCCAAGGAGTTCACTGCCTACGGTCCCGAGGGTGCTGAGCTCCCCACCAACCCCAAGGACAAGCCTGCTGCCGATGATGATGACGACATGGACCTCTTCGGCAGTGATGAGGAGGAAGACCCCGAGGTTGCTAAGAAGCACGCCGAGCGTCTTGCTGAATACAAGAAGAAGAAGGAGTCTAAGGGCCCCAAGCCCGCTGCTAAGTCCATTGTCACCATGGAAGTCAAGCCTTGGGGTAAGTGATTGAATATAATCGTTCCTAGGTTCTTCTTACTGACTTGAGTGTAGATGATGAGACCAACCTTGAGGAGTTGGAGGCCAACGTTCGCGGTATCGAGAAGGACGGCCTCGTCTGGGGTGCCTCCAAGTTCGTCGCCGTTGGATTCGGTATCAAGAAGCTTCAGATCAACCTGGTCGTTGAGGACGAGAAGATCTCCATCGATGAACTTCAGGCCGAGATCGAGGAAGACGAGGACCACGTCCAGTCCACCGATGTCGTAAGTTTAAATCTGTTCCCGCTAGATGCCTATCGGTACTGACTTATCCCCCCAGGCTGCTATGCAGAAGCTGTAATCGGAACGACCATTTTTAATGAAGATCAATTGAGTGATGATGACTTTCATGGTTTCAAGGAAAATATAGTGTCATGAACTTGAATGCCTAGAATGTAATCGGGACAAACCCGGTTGTCTTATGAAATAAAAATAAACAACATTATACCCAATATTTGCTCGTTCTCTAGTTCAATATAGTTGTAATTCGTGGGATTGTAGGTGCCCCGGCATCAACTTGTGTCCAACTGTTCACTCGTTGCCCCCAGATGAAGGTGAAATGAGTCACCGGGATATATATTTCTAGGTCGGGAGTCTCGGCAAGCCCGGGTCTCCGGAGCAAGTAGCTTCTTCTGAACAATATACTTATACAATTGCCCCAAAATATCAATTTGATCGTAGATATCTTATGAAACAGAGTAATTGACCAGTCTTTACTTGACTATTTCTTTCAACTCGACAAAGCCAATTGACCCAAAAATCATCGGGGTACATCACGTGACAACCTAAAGCGGGTTAGAGCACTAGGATCGGATTCCTGGATCCCAAGCTTCCACCTCGCCGTGCGGAACTCTGGAGTCGGGGATTCCAAACGACCTGACAGAATTGACGGACCTTCGAACGCAAAAGCCAGTTCCCCAGCCCAAGAGCCGCTCTGGCCGCCACGAAATTCATAATGGGCTTCGTCGCTCGCCTGATTACAATTTTTGGGCTTGTCCTGCTTGCTCATGCGTGCGTGAACCTTCCTACCTACCTACCCACCTGGCATATCGTGTCCCCGGCAATCACAAACCGGCCGTACTTCATTACGAATGGATTGCTTACAATGAGTCTTTGAAAATATAGTGGCTACTCCGCACACGAGCACACAGTTCTCTACACGTCGTCCTCGGCGGCACTCCCGCAAGACATCGTCATCGAGGCCCTCGTTTCACTCGTTATTGTTTCGACGGGGCTAGTTCTCGGCGCTGAGAAGCTGAAGCCAGTGAGCTGGAGTGAGTGGGCGAGGGAGGTGCAGAGCGAGGGCGATGCGCGAAATCCGTATCTGAGACTCGAGGAGAGGTATAGTTTTTGGGATGTAAGGGTGAGTAACTCAGTATACCCTTGAATTGAATATGACACCTGTGTTGGTTCCTCTGAGAGGCATTTGTGGCTGACTGGGGGCAAAAAGGCTAAGAGAAAGGAGTTCGCGGATTGGATGCGTGGGAATGTTGATGCTCCTGTGAAGAGCTGAGAGCTTGAGCTATCTAGCTTGGTGCCGTTTATGGTTGCCTCCCGTATATACTTGGGCTTGGAGCGTATAAAGTTTTGAGGGGAAAAATATCGATGAAATTGGCTTGTCATGCTGTCTTCGCACATCGTCTTCCAGTATGGTAAGAGTGTAAGCCCAGTGCACGGTGATATGTACACTTGAGCTGTCGCAGCCTCTCCGATATCAAGAATGGCAAGGAGACATCGGCCCTCCCTTGACTGTAAGGCGGACGAACTACGTCCTACTTCTAATGCTCGGCACCCCTTGATCATTCCATGACCTCGACAAGTGCCGCCCTGTGACACGGATTCTCGGCCCGGTCTCGAAGCACCGTTTCCCCATGTAAAATAGCGGATTTTCCACGTTTTATTTGACGTGGAACAACGAGCTGTTGTTGAATACCAACTGCTGACGAAGTGTAGGTATCCTAGCCGACTGAGTAGAGACCTCAGGCTGAGCGAAAACTTCAAACTGCTGCACAAGCACAACGAAGAATTTCCCACATCCATTGACGGTCTAGACCGACATGATTGGGTGATGATCACGCACGAAGCAAGCCGTATTTGCATACACTTCCTCCGGAGGGGCCACCTGTCTCTGCGTCCGGCAGTGCCAGCCGAGCACACCACCCCACCAGCAGTCCTGAGGTAATAATACGGTGTACAATACGAGGCGAAATTGCCTGGTTGCCAATAATACGAACAAAAATCCCTTGCATGAGAAATCCTTTCTATATTCAGGGGTGACACGAGCGCAGGAGGAACAGAACAAAATAAAAGGCACATGCCGCGTTGAAGGATTTGGCCTTGCTGGCAGTTGCCCCTTTGCTTGCTGTGCCTTACAGCGAGAGGCCCATCATTCCGGGCCTATGGGTCGAGGCTTAGAAGATGTCTCGGGATAAGAGAGGGTCTACGTATAGCTGAAACATAACAAGCCGATGTTCTAGAATCCTGAGACGATAAGTACGGCATTCGAATTGCTGCGGAAGCTCTTTTTTGCTGGGATGTCCATTCGTAGTCAATATTGATCGCCTTTGCAGAAGTTGGGGAGAGAGGGACAGCCCGACAGAACCTCGTTTCTCGGAGTGTCCGTTCCCATATGACTTGGGGTCAAGCCTTGTAGATCGGAAGGGCTTACGCAAGACAAAGGCAAAAGAAGTTGATTCATTGAGGCTCGGTTTCAATCCGGCCAATGGCGGGGGATCGGTTTAGTTGGCGATGTTTAGTTGCTTTTGTTAGGCAAGTTGAGTGCTTGGAGTCTTGGGGGTGTGACCGAAACTCTATGTTGCATGCGGCACAACAGCAGAAAGAACACTGGGTTATGCCCCATGAACAACACCGACCCAGCAGCTGAGACACCAAGAGGCTGCGCCCAAAATAGTGGGTTGCTTGGTGAAAAAAAAAGCAAAAATAATAATAGGAAAAGGAGTGAATCGTCACTTGGGAACCTTCCACCAAGAAGCGAAGAATTGCTTGCAGGCGAGCAAGCAGACCAACCAGGAATTGGATGGACGCGAGGCCTCCCAAAAATAGAAGGAAGCATACGCAAACCCCCTCGGCCAGCCCATCGAAAACGAAAAAAGTTGGGATCCCCTGTTGGCGTCTGCTGAGGGGTGTTCACAAGGATTCGACTGAAAGGGCAAGATCGCCTCCTTCCGCTCGATGTTGACTTGCCGCTGCGCCGAAGAAGATGAATAATAATGCTGTGAATATGCCGCTCGAGGTTTTGCAGGTGTTCGAGTTTCCACCTGTTTTGGGTGGCTGCACAGCCGGCCTGCCAGGGCTCTGATTCTGCGTCCACCACTCAGATCGACGAGTCCAGACTCATTTTCCGGCCAAAAGCAAATCGTCGTGAAGGAAATGGCTCGATCATACCAGAAGCGGGTCCGAGATTCATCCCTCCAGAGGGTGTGGAGATTGCCACTAGGAGGTGAAGGCAGGGCTGATCGCTTGCTCGAAGACGGCGCGGGTGCTTGTTTTACATGCGCCTGTTTGCTATTTTGGTGAATCGCCCTGGTCTCTTCCGGCCTGTCAGACTCACTACTTGCGTAATGGCCCTTCCTGCGGGAATCGAATTTTATAAATTTGCTCCCCATCCCCAGTTCCTCGGAATTCGGTTCTTTCTTTCCCACACTATCTTATTATCGTCGGATACACTTGTTGGTTGATTCCTTCCATCTATATCCACCCAAAACCGTCTATCTAGCACTCAGCTACTCTTCACCCCAAAACCAAAATGCGTGCCTCATTCGTTCTTATGGCCTTCGCGGCCCTTGCCGTTGCTCAGGAGTCTAGTAGCGCTGTGGTAAGTCTGCACTTTCTGAACGCACTGCGTGGAATGCCATCTAACGTTCTCCTATAGGAGACTACTGCTACCGACAGCTCTGTTGAAACCAGTGCTACCCCCACCGACACTGTCATCACTTCCAGCGATGGCCCTATTTCTACCGGCTCCCAGCCCGTTATCCCGACCGGCACTCCCACTTCTGCTCCCGGCGGCTCTTCTTCTGGCATCTCCAGCAGTGCCAGCCCATCTTCCTCGAAGAGCTCGTCAGCCTCAGACTCCACATCGATTGCGACTGCGACCGAGACCGAGACTGCTTCGCCATCGGGCTCTGGATCGGATAGTGAAGAGACCAACTCTGACAACGGTGCCTTCGCTCTTCCCACATCCGGCCCTCTCCTCGGTGCCGGTCTTGCTGGCGCTGCTCTCGCAGCTTTCATCTAAGCAAGTGACAGTCAGCACCGGTGTACCCTGGACGTTAAAGATGGCGCCCCAAAATATGTTAATACTTGGTTGCGCTCTCCGTGATACCAAGGGGAACTAGATCTATGTAATGAGGAATACGGATATGTTGTGACATCGCTCTATGGAGTGATTAATGCTTTCGAAGCCTTTCTTTTCGATATTGTTCATGTTTTGCCCGAAACAAACCGTGACTACGGCGCATAATAGATATTTAATAATACCAACCAACGACTTTGACATGTCAACTAAACAATTTTCTTGAATTTAAAGACTGCTTTTTTAAATGTAGAAATTATGAAGTGGAGACGGATCTCGATAAGCGTATGGAGTACGGAGTAATAATGTGTCAAATCTTCAGGGAAATCGTACAGATGATCTATCAGAGCCTCAGAGGAGGCATTCTGGCTCGCTCGATGAAGGGGCCCCGAAATCAATTAGACTTCCTAAAACGCGCGACGCGCAAATCACGTGAGCAGACACGTCCAGGTCGTGCCAGACTAGCGTTGCTGTGTCCAACACCATCAAAACAACAACCGGTTGGTCTGAGCAACGCCCGCACAGCATTGAAAACGGAACATCCGATCGACACCAATCGCCTTTTTTGGGCCTCGTAGTTTTGGTGCACTGACAATATCATTGGATCGATTCAAAACTATCGAAATCTTTTTTTGCCTTTTGCGCCTTCGCATTCCGACCCTTGGGCAGGCGACAAAGCAAGACACCCATTGCAAAGCTATACCCTCCCTCATTATACCTCTTCACATTCAACTAGCGGGTTTCCTGGGAAGTTTTCATATTGAAGACGTAACAATATGGTGCGAATTTGCTCAAAGTGCCTCCTACCATCTGCGATAGACTAATCCTTTGATCTTTGATCAGGTCTCAAAGCTGCGACGTCTCGCAGCAGACCATGCAGCACTGCATGAAGAGCTTCCCCCAAACTATCTTTTTCCACCCGACGATGCGCATTCTTCTTCCTCAGACGACATCACACAACTTACGACCTTGCTGGCAGGTCCACAGGGTACACCATATTCCCAAGGCCTGTGGCGGTTACACTTGAAGCTACCAGAAGACTACCCGAAGAGTCCGCCAAAAGCCACGTTCCGGACGCGGATATGGCATCCCAATGTGGAGGAATCGACGGGTGCGGTATGCGTGGACACACTGAAGAGGGATTGGAAGTCGACCTTGACGTTGAAGGATGTTTTGATTGTAAGTTTGTTTACGGGAAAATTTACCTCACTTATGCCTTCTGATTGATAGCTGACGCTGCGCACTCTAGACAATTTCATGTCTTCTTATATACCCGAACCCGGACTCAGCGCTGAACTCTACGGCTGGAGCGTTGCTTCAAGAAAATTACGATGCTTTTGCTCGTCAAGCCAAGTTGATGACGTCGATACACGCCCCAACCCCGGGCGATATGCGGAGCGAAGTAATGGAGGCAAAAATGCGGGGAGAGGAAAATGGCACAACGGTCCCCGAACAGGAAGATACGTCGCGGTCTCTACGCTCGCTCAAGGGGACAAGGGTACAAACCGTGACGATGAAAAAGAAACCGGCGCGGAAAGAAGCCAACAGGGCTCAGTCTCAAGATGCAGAGAATACCTATCCACACCATGAACCACTAGAGCAACAATTCTCAGATGATGAGAATGAAAATCCAACCTGTGCATCAAAAGAAAACGACCCATCACTATCCCCGTCACCTGTCAAACTGGCTCCGCCATCTAGCCCCAGGAAAAACGCCCATGGCAAACGCCCACTCTCCGTCCTTACAACTTCCATGGACATAGAACCCTCCTTCATGGAGCATGAAGATATGGACACAACAGACGGCATGACAGCTTCAGAGCGCAACATCGCCGCGAACACAACACCAACCCGTGACATCCAAGAACGGGACTCCTCCCCGCAACGAAAATCCCCGAAACTTTCCCTCCTCAACAGGGGCCTCAACAATCACGTCCCCTGGCCTCTCCGAGAAGATAACAGTATAAGTCTAGACTTGAAAATCTACGAAGACGACGAATCTTCAGGCTCGGACTCACATCGTTCGAGTAGCAGTAGCAGAGATGGCAAAGAGAACCCAAGTTCCTCTTTTTCACGCGGTCCTTTTAAAGACCAGGACCTCGACCCTGTCGCATTGAAAACGCAACAGTACTCTGAACGTGCTCACCCTCTCACAATCCTTAACTCGTCTTCCAACACACCCCACCCATATTCTTCAGGCTCATCATCGAGCCTGCTGGAAAAGCCCGTTTCTGGAACGCGCAAGGTTTCGGGTTCGGGACTGAAGAAGGCGAAACCCCGTATTGGAATTCGCAGGCTGTGAATAGTACTGGCTTGGTAAAAGCGATAAGTTACGACTTTTCGGTAGTTGTTGAATCGGGGTGTCCGGGTTGGGTACATTAGTGAATCTTTTTTAACGAACCCAAAGCATGCTGGCGTTACTTTATGGTGTCTTGGACTTGAATCGGTTGGCTTGAGGCATCCCCTGCGAGAAGCATTTATTTTTGGGAGCATTTGGTTAGGGTTTGTGGCCTTGGATTGGTTATTGTATATTATTCGTTGACGCAAATCACCCCAGTCTTCGTCGGCTATTCTACCTCGCTGAATCACCTTTTAATATTATATACGTAATAGTGTTCTTCTCCCATTTTGGGCCTACAATCAATGGAACGTAACAAGAGCAGGTGCAATGATTTGGTAAAGATAGATAACCTATGCATATCTAGCTAGCTAAACGGGCACAATTTTCCCCTAATGTCTCATATACAGACCACCTTCCATCCGGAAATATTAGTAAAGCGGCTGCTCTTCTTGTCTGACTTGAAAAAAATTTCAAGTTTCGACTAAGCCTTTCTGTAGGCACCAATATACTTCAAGTATTGCTCGGAGGTGTCCCCCGAATAACATCCCTGAGACTGATATTGAGAACTCAAGACAACCGGCCCACCAAATCGACCTGGTAGGCACCAAATATTATAAATGAAGAAACAAACAGTACGCTAGACCGATTAACACAATGATACGCAGTGCAAGGGGCTAGCTCAAGCCAGAGTTACCGCCAGCAATAAAAAAGGAGGCTTTTACAGCCAGATCCATCGCCGGTCAAACCCCAAATGTAAGTTGAGTAGCTAAAAATCTGTACTATAAACGCGTTGATTATGGCAGAGGCGAGTATACTCAATCCTCTACAGCGCGTAGGGGTTGACTGAGCGAATAGTGAGGCAACTGTAAAGCAAAGTGTTAGTTATGATCGAGTAAACAAGATCAAATTGGAATCACTTACGGAGGGCTCTTGCTTAGATCAGTCTTCAGAATGATGGGCACGCGAGTCATTTCAGTAACATCTTGGATGTAATCTCCCCCCTCTTCTCTGAGCTGAAATAGACTGAGGTATTTCTCTTTGTTGGTCAATTTGGCTTCGGGAGCATCGGCAGTGCTGGTGGCGATCTTGGGGTCTGAAAGCGTGCGGTGAGGAGCTTGTGGCAAGTGGCCATTGCGGGTAGGTGATGGCGGCATACTCTGGGTTGAGCGATCTGCAGAATTCAATGACACACCAGCTGCCATCTCTGTGACCTCGGAGACGTCATCATCATCGTCGAACAGAGCATCCACATCATCGGCGGACATAGTTCCGGTTTCGGTTTGCTTCCTCAAGTTTTCCTCCCTCTCCCTCGCGCGCTCGCGAGCGGCTTCAGCTTCTCTGGCAGCAGCAGCAGCCTGCGCAGCACGGGAGTTGGCAGGCTTGGGACGTTCATCCTCAGGGATGTAGGCCGAGGAGGGCACGCCCTTCTCCCAATAGAGTTCTAAGACCCGCGTTTCCTTGCGATACTCCGCCTTCTTCAAGGGCAGCTGGTCGCAGTGGACACGCTTCTCAAAACCATACTCTGGGATGAGGACATCAAACGCAGACTCGTAGACGCAAAGAACAATACCCTCGCTGATAAGGTCACCACCAATTTCCTGGCGGATTTTGTCCATATTGCGGCAGGCCTCGATGTGAACGCTTTGCTCCTGGGCATTGTGTGCTGAGTCTTTCTTGTTGTTGCAGATATCTGCGGTCTTGCTGAGGGATTCAATATCATCAGAGAACTCAATAGCACCGTCAGACAAGACTGCTTCAAGTTGGCGATGGACAACAACGTCGGCATAGCGGCGCAAGGGGTTTGTAAAGTGAGTATATACAGGGAAGTTAAGAGTGTAGTGAGGACGCAATTCTTCCTGCACAGTTCCGGCAACGTAGTATTTTGCACGCTGCATGGCCTTCACCAAGATTGTTTCCATTCCCTGTGATGTGTTAAGAGACGATCGAGTCATTGGCAATTTAATTTCACCCTTTTTGGGCTAAGAGGGAGAGAGGATGGCTAACCTTGCGCAAATCATCATCTTGAACCTGGCACAGGCTACTTTGCAAGCTTCCACTGCTGGCCTCGTCTAAGCCGAAACCCAGTCTGTTCATACGATCGACAAATGACTGGAGACGACGGGCATTTGGAGACTGCTGACGACGGAGGAAAGCTTTGTCGGGCAAAGCTGTGATCAGCTTGCGAGCAACTAGGAAGTTTGCTTTAGTGCCCAATTCCTCCACCAGCTCTCGCACGGCAGAGGAATCAAAGACGTTGGCCTCAATGGGTACATTTTCATCATCCAAAGAATGAAGAAGGCGAAGAGGAGGAATCTGGGAGACCCGATTGCCCAGTCGAGCTTCGCGGAATTTGGAACCAGTGCGCTATTTAGAACAAATTAAGACGCATTAGTATGTGACAAAAGGGCCGTTGAACCAAGTATTAAGAGATCTCTTACCTGCAAGCCCCGAATAATATCAACCGAGACTCCCGACAAGGCGTCATTGGTTGTTCCCTGAATCACGGATTCTACCTCATCGTAACTCAGCCTGCCAGTGCTCTTTATGATACTCTTGCCAATCCAGACATCATCGTCAATAGCACCCGTCTCTGGGTTAGCCTTGAATACGACACTGACTGTGAAGCGCTCCTCACCCGGGAGCAAAGCGCATAGTTCAGTCGCAATACGGGGGGGTAGCAGTTTCACCAATTTATCAACAAGATAGACAGCGGTGCCCCGTTTTTTGGCCTCACGGTCAACTAAGGAATTGGCTCTCACAAAGTGAGCGATATCTGTGACATGGATGCCGATTTCCACTTTCCCTTCAGGAAGCACCTTGAAATGATAGGCGTTGTCCAGCTCCTTGGTTCCGCTCGGTTCAACGGTGAAAGTGGTTTCCTGACGGAAATCCCTGCGGGAAGATAGATCGCTCTCACTAGAAACTGACCAGTTTTCGTGGCCAATGCTCTTCAGCACAGCATCGGTGAACTCGTCGGAGCCAAAGTTGTTGTCGCGGAGAAGCGCCTCGGTCTCTACTTTCAGATCGCCCATTTCTCCAAGCTGCTCCACAAGGGTACCGAATGGATGAAGCGATGTGATAGGCCATCTCTTGATGCAGGCGACGAAAATGCGATTAGCATAGTCCTGATGTTTCTCCACGAAATCGCGCGGAGCTTGTTCTGTTGGAATGGCTATCAGGGGGACACGTTTGTCAGTAGGCTTGAACCAAACGATCTTGGGTTTGTCTTGCTGGCGGTCTTGGTTGCGACCGTGAGCGCCATCTCTGGCGAGCCTCTCGGCTTCCTGCTTCTCCTTCGTTGCCTGGCTGCTGGGACGGAGTAACCCGAGGGTACCTGAGAACATTTGGCCAGCGATGCGTTCGATAACGGCGACAACGTGACCAGCGTATAGGGGCTTCTGCTCATCGCTAATTTCATCTTCTTCAACCAAGAGGAGACTTTGACCCTCCACTTCAACATCATCGTTCTTTTTCTGGGTAGGGCGCTGCCGGAGACTGCCACGGCGGCGAATACTACCATCAGGCCCGACCTCTTGGCGGTCTCCGTTTGAGTCAGAGCGAGACGGTTTGTCCGTTCCAGCAGTACTACCAGATCTGGCATCGGTGATATCCTTGCGCTTTTTCTTCTCCTCCTTTTCTCTCTTTTGAGACCAGACCTCATCGACGTCGAGAAGTTCGATAGCGACAAAGTCACCCTCTAGGGCACGGTTTCGATCCTTACTACCACAAATGAAGATGTCGGCATCCAAGTCCGGAGTTGTGACATAGGCATCAGAACGGTTCTTTTTATTCACCCTGAGGATACCAGAGACGAGTTGACCGTTGCTCAAGAGAGCAGGAAGATTAGCCTGGGGGAGGTAAGGTGTGAATAGGGTCTTTCGCTGCTGTTGCTGTTGCTGCTGCGTTTGTTGAGCAGACAGCGGCTGAGGTGCATGTTGGCTAGCCTGGAGACCACCAAGACCCTGGCCGTTAAGTTGCCCGTTCTGCTGCATGGCTTGGAGCTGAGCAAGTTGTAGGGGGTTTAATTGCTGAGCCCCACCGAACATTTGGGGCGGAGCCATAACCATCTGCCCCTGTGGCAGCTGGACTAGCTGAGGCTGGCCAGGATACTGAAATTGACCGATAGAGCCGATCGACTGGTTCATAGACGCGCGTGCACGGTGGCCTGGCTGAAACCCGGTGTTTTGCTGTCCGGGGCCCTTTGACTGGTCCTGACCCTGCGCTTGGTTATTAGGTTGGCGCCAGTTGCTGTCAAAGTTTCTCGACGGTGTTCGACCGTGGGATGGTTGGCTTCCACGGCGTTGATTCTCAGAACCTGCAGATCCATCATTTGACGGAAATTGGAAACCGCCGGGGCCACGGCCAGATATGGAACCGCGGTTTCCACCAACAGCCATGGACTGACTGCGACCATGAGCACTGGCTCGAATATTGCCGGCACGGTGCAGGCCCAACCCTTGGGGCGACTGTGTCGTGTTGGGGGTTGTTTTATCCTCGGAAGCGGGTGCACCTTCGGACGAGTCGCCGGAGGGGGCAGGGAATTGGAACCCAGAAGCCGCCCGCTTCTGTTGGGCAAGCTCTGCAGCCTTCTTAGCTTCAGGAAGAGCAAGCGAATGACGGCGCTGGTGGCCACCACCGCCGGGAGGGCCGCCACGGCCACGACCGTGGCCTCCGCCCTCATTCTTCTGCTGGCTACCTTGCTGCTGTTGATTAAAGTCGGAGTATCCTGAAGCCCCGGAAGAAGGAGCTGGAGGAGGGCCCATACCGAAGCCCGGAAGAGCCGACTGGTTACGTCGATGCGAATGCTGATTTGAAGGGTTTCCGGGGATCCCTAGCTGTTGCTGTTGCTGGGGAGCTTGAGGAAACTGAAAAGCACCGAGTTGTTGTGGGGAAACGCCGCCCATGGGCGCACCGCCACCTTGTAGAGAGGGATTGAAACCGGAAACCTGGCCAAGTTGTTGTGGTTGCAAGAGTCCCATATTGACATACTGTTGGTGCGTGGCTGCGATTTGCTGTTGCTGTTGCTGAAGCATCTCGATTTGTTGCTGAATCGCCAATTGTTCCACTGTTGCGCCGACTGTTAGCAATCTGCAATACTGCGGGAAATAGCGATCGGAGCAAAGCTATATAGGCAGCATACTCATGAGAGGAGTCAGCTCAGACGGGCTCCGTCTATGGGCTATATGAAGCTTTCGTCCAGCCGGTCCGGGAACCCCGGACTGGTTCTGTTGATCCATCTTTGCAAGGTGAAAGAGAGTGGATTATCACTGTCAGAGTGTAGAATGCTGGAGGAAATGGTCCACCTTAGCGATGAGAGAGTGTTGGAATTCCTGAGATGGCAATCTTTAGGTTGTTCGACAGGCGAGGCCGACCGGGTCGTGTTGCGACAACGAAAGGCGGTTCTGAAGTATGCTGGATAAGGAGAGCGACAGATTAGTGACTGTAGGATAGGTACGAGGAGTGTGGCAAGAAGCAAACATCCGGCATCTCGATGGGAAAGAGAAACAAGCCGGGGGCGTCATGACTAGCAAAGCGTAGGTTGCGATTGCCCCGCGGGTGGGAGGCCAAAGGTGGAAGAAGGACAGAAGAGGAAGGAATAGAGAAAAGCGGGAGCAAGGAAGGAGAACGGTGACATTGCCGGGTAAAGCATGTTGATCTCTGGAAGCACATACCTTCAGAACGGTCGCTTCGATTGAGAATAAGTTTGTTGTATGACGGCTTGGTGTCCCCTTTTCAGGTGGTTGACGACAGGATACTTTTCCCCTTTTGCACGGAGTCGACTTCGCACTGGAGAGGGAAAGTGGGCGGCAATGACGGTCGTGGAAGAACAGAAAGCAGTCGATAAAAGACAGAAGACGTATTCACAGTAAAAACAACCCGTTCGGAACTGAGGAAAAACCTCCGCAAAAAAAAAAAAAAGGACGGCAAAGACCGAAGGGGAGGATGAAGCTTGATTGAGAAGAGAGAGGGGAACTCTCGACGGCGTAGAGTAAGCGGGTTGGGAGCTATCGGTTGCCCCCAAGTGCCATCCAAGCGACCTCCACCGCAACAATCTTCCTCGAAACGTCACCCAAAGGACGATAGCAGATCTTTTTTATTTTTGTCTCGGATTGAGTTTCCGTTCCCCTTTTTTGTCTTTTGAAGACTAAATTTATTTTGTGACGTCGGAATGGCAAGGAATCCGAGTCCCACTAAAGGTTGGAGCCAGAGAGAGGACGAGAAAAGGGGGGGCAACTCAGGCTGAGAAGGAGGAGCTGTTGAGTTGGTCTCTTTTCTTAGAAACTAGTCTTAATAATATTAATTGTCCGTTGTCTTTCAGTGAGGCAGAAGTAGTAGACGATCTGGCCACGCAGAAAGAGAATGACGAATTGATAAGAATAGCACGACTCAGTTGGTGGGAACTTGAAGGAGTGGCCCAATACTGGAGGAGCGGGGATGGAGCAAAGAAGGAGGGGTAGATCAAAAGGAGGGAGTGAGAGAGGAAGAGAGAGAGATGAACAAGGGAGAAGTGGGAAGAGAGAAGAGGAAAAAGAAATGGAAAGATGGAGATGGTGGGAAGAAAGAGACGACTTAGTCGCCCTCGTAGTTCTTCAGGAGAAGCGAATTAGTGGCTAGAGACTGTCTCATAGTTAAGAGTTTCGGTAGTCTACCTAATAATGACATGACTATAAAAGCGAACAAATCACGCCCAACACACCCACTGATATATCGCCATCATTATTTATTAACCACCACAGATACCCTCTCTATCTACGCGGGGAATCCTGCCAGGTGCAGGTGCAGGTGCAGAGACTGATATTTGGTTTCGTTGTTTTTCAGAAGTTAGCTTGGATGGCGCTCCAATGGCTGAGATCACGACAAGACCGGTATGTCAAGCCTCAGAGGAGCAGTGGCTGGGTGAGCAGTTTAACTTGTCGCTCACCCAGAAGTACCACAGTTGGAGCTTGATAGGTTCGTGGTTCACGGTCACGAGCGGGATTTGACAGTTGGATGCTGGGTCCAATACCCCCGGCTAATCCTGCCATTCGACATGCTCCCAAGAGGGAACTTCACAAGTTCACAAGTTTCAAGAATCGGGGGGGGGGGGGGGGGGGGATCGCCAACACCCTAGGATCCTCAGTAAAGTCGCTGGGGCGCTTTACTGGCTGTGTGAAGAGGGCGCTGAGTCGGATCTTCGATGGGGGCGACTAACCCCCGTATCAACAGCCGAACAGTTCACGTTTCAGGCGATGACCACATGGCGTTCGTAAAATCGAGAGGGGATGACGCCTCCTGAGCCGGAGAACTTATCATAACTGAGCCCCCGTCTATGGCTGAATTAATGAGTGAGTGGCATTATATTAATTGATCCTTGAAGAAACAACGGTCAGTTGCTGAAGGAGACTCGGGTGGTTCGCAGACCCACTGGAGCTCTGGACAGACCCGAAGACCCCTTCAACCTGAGACAGATCAGGCGTTGTTTTGCTCGATTTTTGGGGCTCTAGACCTTGAGGACTCAACGGCAGGATGAATGTGTTCTCTGGCTTTCTTTTGCAGCAATCTAGGGTCCATTCACGGGAGAAAAACCGCAGGGGCCAACCGGGGGGTCGGAATCTCATGATGGCCGTCATGATGTAAAGAGCCCCGTCTGGGACCAAGGAACGCTGGTACGAGAGGAGCCCCAGACAGCCCAGAAAGCCTAGCAGGGCAGCCAGTGTCCGGTGCCCACTTCCGCAGCCTGCTGGAGAAGGGCTTCGGCGGTCCACGACGACCATTAGAGCTCTTTTGACTAAGCCGACTTCGAGCCCGTCGGAACAACAAACGGACCGCGTCCCAAACGGCGGACAGGTACAGATAGAAGATCGCGCTTTCATTCGGCAGCTTTCATTCACTGCTGTTAAGAGGCGCCTCCTCTTTGCGAAGCCTGAAACAAAGAGTGTGTTTATTCGGCTGTCTTATCGAGTCAACTGGTCCATCAGCTAATTTGTCCGTTTCTAGGCAATCCGACGAACAAACCGCGTGCCGGGCAATGCTCTGCGACAACCTGCAATATTAAACCCAATCCCTGCCGGTCCACGTCGCTCCAGGCCATTCATTCCATTTATCATTCAAACGTCGCTCTTTAATGTTACACCGTCCTCGGCTGTGATACTCCATTTCCAAAGACAACAATTGACAGTCCAGACTTTCTGCCCTCCGCTCCCTGAAGCGGGATATCTGAAAAAGCGAAGCAAAGAGTCTCTTAACGCCCTCGTTCAAACTATTGTTCAATCAACGTAAATATTCTCTACCAGATATTTCTGAGCCGAGATTATTCAACGTTTTTCCAGCCAACCCCGTCCGATACCGACTTTAATCTAACGTGTCGTTCGGTGGCCTCCACCACGATGGGAAGATCCAATTACCCGTCCCAAATGGACAGCCCCTCAAAGCAGCTTATGCTTGATCTAACTAGAGACCTGGAGCAGCTGCGCGTTCACAATTCTGAGTTGAAAAAGGTCAAAGCATTCGAACGTCGCTCATTCTACGAGAGCCTCGACAAAGCGGACAGCGAACTCGAAGCCCAGCATAATGCAGCGCTCGATAAAGTTGCCGCTCGTCACGAGAAAGTGTTGGAAGAAGCCGAAGAGACGCTGAGAGCTCACCATCGTGCGGTCGAGGAAGAGAATCGCCGCAAACAAGAAGAAGCTCGAAAGGAGGCGGAGCGAAAAGAGCGGGAGAGGGTAGAGAAACAACGCAAAGAGCAAGAGCTCGCACGATTAAAGGCTGAACAGGAGGCTGCCGAAGAGGCGAAACGAAAAGCCGCAGAGGAGGCGGAAAAGAAGAAACGGATAGAACAGGAAGAGAAAGAGCGCAAAGAACGAGAACGCGTGGAGCACGAAACCAAAAAGCGGCAGGAGGAGGCCCAGAAAGCTGAGCAAGAAGCTACACGGCTGAAGGAAGAAGAAGCGGCGCAGAAGCAGCAAGCAGAGCGACAGAAACAACTCGGTGCTGGCCGCTTGACAGATGAGGAGATCAAAGTCCACCAGCGCTACGTTGACCTACATCAGCACTTGAAAAAGTTTCGCCAGTACCTAAGAAATGAGGGGAAAACGAATCCAATCATCAAGCAGAATATGGGGGACATGCGACGATCCATCAAGAAATGCGTTGGCCAGTTACGCGAAGGAAAGGGTGCAAACAAGAACCAGGTAGGTTTTGAGAAGGTTTCCATTGATCCAAAGCTTGCTGAGGCTGACCACGTTTACTACTTCCAGACTCAAGAGATCCGCACTACACTCGAGAAAGCCACCTCAATCGCTGAACCGTCCGTTGACGTTCGCCAATTTATTGCGTTCCCACCTGAAAACATCGCAAATTCTGATGATAATAAGGTGCCGGGACTTCTGATATATGCCTTGAACATCCTCGCCAAGTCCCTGATTTCGTCACTCATTACAGAAGCGTCGATTAACCAGGGCCATGCAGAGCCAATTGGAATTGTGGCCGCCCAGATTTTCTCCATGGACTCATTCATCTATAAGGGCTACCATCTGGTAGATATCTTATGGGCGAAATACCGCGTCGTTTGCCCTGCACTCTGGGGTTTCCACGGCAGCGAAAAAACCGAATCTGGAAGACGTGCTCTTGGATGGTGGCGCGAAGGGCCAGATGGCCCATTCGTCAGCGAACAAGCCCATGCAGATCGGATGACCGCACTGGGAGCTGGATTCGCTGCTCTGACTCTGCGCAATTTTGGCAAGACGCAACGCAAGAATCCGTTCCCAAATACACTGTTTTGGACATCTATGCATAAGATTCTCAATATTCCCGCAAGCGAGATCCAGGATACTCATGTAACCTTGCTTTCCGCAATGTTGAGGTCATCGGCGGAGAGGATTGTTGGCTTTTTTGGACATATCGGACTGGCAGTGATGCGGAAAGCCATTGTTGAATTGCCCCCGAACCTCCCACGTCAAAGCATGGCCGTAAATCAGCTGAAGCTACTCAAGGACCTCTACAAACGAGAGAAACATATCATCATATGAAGGATCAACAATCAGCGGTTTCATAACCAGTTAGAAAAAAAACTAGCTCCTCAACGGAGGGTTGAATCTCGAATCAACGCATCGTGCGATCGCAAGCGTGAGGAAGTTAACAGCGTTTTTATATCTGCGGCGATATACCTACCTGAGTCAATGTCGTCGCAACTTGAGATTCTCACAGGCTCACAACTTACACTGGGCTAAACGAAAACAATCACTTGCATGCTGCCTTGATATGTGTCATACGCTGCACAGATAGCTTGATCTTCACCAGCTTGCCCCAAGCTGCTGCCACCGACTCAGAGTCGAACCGAACCTAGCACTCAACCATTAACATCAACGATGCCGAGTCACGCCACTCGCCTGTCAATCACGAATAATGAGGTCCCAAATCCATAATTCGATTTGGAGCCACTTTTTTGAGCTCTTCTAATTCCAGAAAAAGGAAATAGGGGACGGACGAAGCACCTCCTACCCTCTTCTCTCCCAGAGGGAATTAGAGCCATGCATGTGTATATCATGGATAAATAGATGCTGTAGATATTTAAAACAAGCGAAGCGAATATTTATGTTATGAAAGATTTTTTGGTTCCAGGTAGCATTTAGTGCATCCATATGGCCTGCTTCTTAAAACTAATAATCGAAATACGTAAGTCTTCTAAGGAGTACAAACTGTGAATGGCCTGCTATGATTGACTCTCCTAAATTATATTATACCAGGAAGCACTAGCGTGAGGCTATATAAGGGGTATCAAAATGAACTCCAGCGTTTACATGCAACACCTAGACCAGACCAGCCAGGTAAGGAGTTGAACCACGATATTAATCTGTGAGAAAAAACACGAACGGTGTAGTTTAGGCAAAAAGAAAAAAATTGAACTCGATATTCAATCTGGTATAAACATGCAGTATCAGTAAGAACAAATGATGTGAAATAGAAAATCTAGAAGTAGTCTCGAGTCTAGCGAGTGACAAGGGTAGGAAGGTAGGGTTATAGTAGGTACTAACTGGTATTAAATATTCCATATGTGACGGGGAGAAGGAGAAGCATTATACAGTGATATAGATCAGGTGCAAAACTCAAGAATTAGAATCAACAGGTGGTATCTGGTGTAAACTGCAACGACAACAACATTTGGAAGAGTAATAGGTAAAAGGGTAAGTGAGGAGATACCTCCACACTGCTATTAGATACAAGAAGAAATGTAGGTTCAACTGGCTGGAATTGTCAGAAGCGGGGAGGTCAAATTCAAAAACTCGCCATATTAACGTTTTAAAACTTGGAAGATTTTGGGCATGCAAATTAACAAAGGAAATAGAGAGAAAGGGGAGATATAGGTTGTCAGTCTATCATGCTATTTGTGGGCCGAAGGGGCCGTCTATCAACTCCTTGGGAGAGGCTGAGACGAACCCATCAGCAGTGCTTTCGTCTTCTTCAAGGGAAGACTGCGTGTAATCGGCTGGCTCGGCGTCATGGTCGTAGCTGGACCCTCGCAGAAGTGGTGGAGTGGTCGGTGGCTCTCGCATCTTGCCGGCGCCACGAGAAGATAATGGGCGGGGAGTGGTGTCGTAGCTCTTGAGCGGCCGGCTCTCTGATGACCGTCTCCAACCAGGGGCTGTTGGTGTACTGCTGTTGGGACTAGCTTGTCGTACATTCGAGTTGGGAGGCGTCAGAAGCCCAGAGAGGAAAGCACCTGCAGGACTTGATTTTGAGGGTGTCTGATCGGAGGAATTGGAGTTCGAATTCTGTCTTCCTTTACGCCAGTTGCCCCATGCCGCAGCTGCCGCTAAAGGCAGGGCTCTTGGGGATGCAGTCAGTTCAGATAGAGAGGGCATGCCTGGGAAGCTCTGGCCGTTCATAGCCCTCTCCTTTTCCTGCTGTTGCATCTGAAGGTTTGCCTTCAACCGAATAGCGGCATCGCGCACAGAGTGCTGATTGAAAGACGGCTGTCCCAGGGTGTTGATGATATCTTGGAGGTCATCAAGACGGACACCGAGAAGTTCACGCAGCCAAGTGATCTCTGTATCCCTCTCCTTGACCTTTGTAGGTGCCTCTTTGTCGACATCAGAGAGTTCGCCTTCAAGTTCGTCGATGCGAGTTTCACGCTGCTGCAATTGATCCTGTAGAACCAGAATGGATTCTCGCAACGCTTGGGGTGAGATCTTCTCCGGTGCTGACGTTCCTTGGTTGAAGGGCATCGATGGAGAGCTCGAGTGTGAGGCCGTGATCGGACCAGCAGATTTGGCTGACTGAGCAGCTTCGGCAGCGGCACGGGCTGCTGACTGGGTGATTTCCAGCTTCTCTTCAAGGTGCACCACTCGTTCCTGGAGATGCTTAACCTTGTCATCAGAGAGCTCCAGCCGTTCCGCAAGATGGTTCTCTGTCCGTTGTCTATCTTCAGAGGAGTTGTGTAGAGCGCGAGCGTGACGCTCTCTGAGGTCATTCAGAACACGTTCATGCAATTTCCGCTGCTCGTCCATACCAAATTCCTTGGACTCAACAGCACTGGCTACCGCTGTAGCCCTTGTTTCATGTGCCTCCTCGAGTAGCATCTCATAGCGCTCTCGCGAAGTGTCGCTGTCCAGTTTGACATTGTCGAGTTGGGTCTGAAGACGGGCGATTTGGGCTTCTAGCTCAGCACGAACAATGTTTACCTGAGTGTTAGAAGCATCAAGGTCCGTCTCCAGCGACGTGCGCGTACGCTGAATCTCAACTCTGCTGCTCTCACGGGCTTCATTGAACTCGCGCTCGAAGTGAGCTGCCTTCATATCCAAGTCTTGGTTCTTCTGCCTCAGCTCACTCACGAGCTCTTCGAGCCTTTCGTTCTCCTGTTGAGATTGCCCGAAGATGAACCTCAGCTTTGATGCTTCACGCTCCTGCTCTTCCAGCTTCGCAACATCGAGCTCGAGCTGCTCGCGCAACTTGGTCTCACGGTTATGGGACGCCCGCAGCTCACTGTACTTGGCAAGCAGCTCTTCTTCCTTGCGTCGCCAAGAGGCCTGCTCTCGGGTGACGTCTCCAGTCAAAGCCACCATCTGATCCTGAAGACCATCGAGCTTTTCGCTGAGGTTCTGGCGGATGTTGAGACCGTCCTCGATGCGCATCTTCATATTGGCCACCGTGTTGCGGAGGATGTGGTTATCAGCCCTAACCTCTTCCAATCGAGCATTGGCTTCCTCGGTTTCCCGCCTGGCGCTATCAGTTGCCAATCGGTACTCATCGATTGTGCCTTGCAGTGAGATGTTCTTGGAAGACAGCTCGTCGAGTGTCAGTCGAGTAGTCTCGCGTTCTTTCTCAAGCGTAGTCGCCCTGTGCTGGATATTCTGGTAATAAGGCATTTTCTCTTCCTGAAATTGCAGTAATCGAGCTTCTGCGGATTCAGCAGCTGCACTATGACGAGCAGACTCTTCTTCGACATTCTTAAGCAGTCGCTGGAGCTGGGCAATGGTGTCTTGAGCATGTCTTCGCTTCTTGTATTCGCTCTCGGTACGCTCATCAGCACCCCGCAACATATCCTTCAAGCTGTTGATTTGGAGCATAAGGCTGTCGGCCCCGATCTCTTCGGCGTCCGAACGTGAACGCTGGTTGAGTTGACTCGCGACCACTTCTTGCATCATATCTCTTAGGCTAGCACTTGTATCCTGCGACAGGTTTTGCGCCGTTAGGGCGTGTAGCTCGGCGACACTGTCGCGAAGCTGCAGTAATTCTGCGATGCCAGGCTGGTTGAGAGCAGGCTGGGCTTCGCGGGAGGCCAAAGCTTCTAGAACAACATTCCTAAGCTTCTCGAGCTTACGCTCCCGCTGATGAAGTGGCGACCTGGGCCTGTAAGATGCGTCCTCTTCGTAGCCATCTTCTTCATCGTCCGCGTCACTGTCAACCTCGGCGGATGTACTCCGCAAAGGCAATGTGCTCTGGGGAGGTGCGGAACTCAAAGCCATAAGAGATTGCTGAATGCCACTTAGCGCATGCTCGAGAGGGTTTAGGCGTTCCTCGATAGCAGAGCCTAGGAGCTCATTGATACGACGATCAAAGAACTTGCTTCGATTTGTCAGTTTGGCCTCTTCTCCAGATGAGATCACATCGTCCCAGTCGCTGATATGTTCGTTTCGGCTCAATAGTTGGCGAACAGGGGAGTGGATGTTGGAAGCGGCACCCTTCGTAGGAGTGGCCGAAAACTGAGATTGCGCGTCGAAATCGAGTTTAGGCACATCAAGATTGTGAGGCATGAGACCCCTTCCAGGGCTGGGACTTGGAGGCTCGCTCCTGTCGTCTGCTTGAACATGGCGTTTCTCTTTCGATGGACCCTGGACCGGCTCTGGGAGGTCACCCGCAGGCTTGGGAGTACTCAAGCGCTCAACCCCAACGTCGGAGTCATCGTTGAGTTGATCCATGATAGCGTTGAGTTGGTCTTCATCAAGGGAGTCTTGATCCTCCTCCTCTTTGTCTGCTTGGGATTCTTCAACGTCTTGTAGAGTATCTTCAGGCGCATCTTCCTTCACTCTAACATCAGCAGAAGCTGTGAGCTCAGTGGATAATTGTCGTGCAGGCGGGGAGGGTGGAGGGCTGGCAACAGCGTAACGGGAAGACATGAGGCCCTTTGGCTTCTCTTCCTTTGGCTGTTCTTCCTTCGGTTTTTCCTCCTTCGGCTCGTCTTTGGGAGGAGGCTTGGGTGGCTCGGCACCAAATGGAACAAATTCGGCAATAGACGGCTTGAAATTAAACGTTCTAGCGGCAGCCGAAAAGATAGATCTTCTGAGACTATTCTCAGGCTTCTCAGATTTCTCAGCTGGCTGGCTCTGCTCGTTTTGTGGAACAGGCTTGTCCTGTGGCAGCTCAGGCTGAGGCTTATCCTGCACACCTACTTCGACACTCTTACGCTGTGTCTCAACTGGCTCGGCTGTATCTTGGGTCACATTTGTGTCCTTGGCCTTAGTTTCTTCAGGAGCCCAAGTGGAGGCTTCGCTCACAGGGGTATCCTTGCGCTCAATGGGGTTCTCGTTTTGGACCGGGGGCTCTTTCGATTCCACAGGAAGTTCCCTGTCCTGATCAGGAAGAGCATTTTCCTTGCCCTCAGCAGGAGTATGAGGAGCGTTCGATGGCTGTGAAGACTGGAGGTTATTGGCTTCGCCCAGGGGTTTCGATATGCTGTAGTGAGCCTCGCCATCAGAGGCATCACCGGCGCCCCGACGAGCACGTTTATGGCGGTCGGTAGGAATTGGCCGACCACGATCATCCTTACCCTCCTTCGCCTCTTCGTTGTCCTTATCCTCTTCCTTCTCATCTGGGCGGACGATGGGGATCGCCTTTGATTTCTTGGCCGAGTTGGTAATCCCTGAGAGGTCGATGTCACCAAAGATCTTGGTCCTACCCGGGCTAAATTCTGGGGCAGCGACATTTAGAGAAGGAGCAGATGGGGCAGAAAACTTGAACTCCCGGGTTTCGCTGTCCTCGCTGGTACCAAAGCCAGTGTCAATATTACCAGGAGTAAACGCAGGAGCAGCAACATTGAGCCGCCCAGACCCAGAAGGCTGGTGGCTTGATCCAGCTCCAAAAGTAAACACGGAGTGTTCCAATGTCGGGAATTGGAAGGAGTTTTGCTGCGGAAAAGGCAACGGTTGCGGAGCGACTTGACCGGTCGGCGAGAACTCCTTGGCCGCAACGTTAAGACTCGAAGTTGAGAGTTTTGAATGATGTCCGCCAGAATACGACCCATTACTGGGCTTCGGTTCATGCCAAGGAGTATGCTGGGCGAGTGATCCATTACGGCGCGGCGTCCCTGACAAACTAGGATTGGTATCGATATCTGAGCCCTCATGAGCAGGCGCTCCGTCATAACTGTCCCCATAAAAGTGATTCAGGTGCTGGGCCATATGCTGAGGTGCGCCGGTCTCTGGCAATGCCCACCTGGATTTCAACATATCCGGCCCGCCAAGGTTGTGTTGGATCGGGTCGTATTCACCACCATCAAGCTCTCTTTCAATAGAGTTCTCCAGGTGATAATCGGGCGTGACTTGCTCGATACCCCTTTGAAGAGTTTCACTAAGATTATGACCGCGGCTATGGCCACGAGGAGTCGGCTGAGCAATCTCGACCGTCGACGCGTGGAAATTATCCGGGTTCGGTGGAGGCGTGCGAAGCGGATGGAGTTGGTCTTCATGGAAACTATCCTGCGTTTGATGATTTATATGATCATCGAACCCATCCTTTTGTTGGTCCGTGTGATCACCCAGGCCAGGTTGAAAGACGTTTTGGTCGGTTAAGGGAGAAACGGGTGACAACATAGAAGTAAGACTGGAGAGAGTGCCTGGAATAGTCGAATTCGGACCGCTTTGACGCAAGTTGATGAAGCTTTGAGGCGTAAGGGATCCCTGTGCTGGAGGAGTGGGTTGGAAGGGAAGGAACCCAGGCACCATACCTTGGTCCACACCATAGAATGGTGTTTGCATACCGAATTGTGAAGCAGGTGACGCTAAAGACGGGATGCCACTGTTCATACTGCCTGCCTGGGTGAGTTGCGGTGAGAATGGGTGGTGCATCGATAGAGGATTGCTGGCCGCAGACGCTGTTGGGATTGGTGGGGATGAGACGAGGCCAGGGAATGGAGTCATAGTGTTCAATCCCGAAGCAGGTGATGGGGATGGCTGGGGTTCATCGTCGCCTCCAAACACGCCCAGGGCCCGTAGCTTCTCTTCTTGTAGTTGATTGACATAATCATCCCAACGCTCTTTGTTGGGAAAGCTGACGGTATAACTTCCCGGTTTTATCTCATCTTGCAAGTCAGCTACATCAGGGTAAAGTGGGCGACTGGCACCCCCGAGCTCAAGGTTGGAGGGATCCTCTGTTGCGCCTACGTTGAAGCCGCTAACGTCGTACCCTAGCTCCTCCCATTGTTGTAATCCTCGTTGGACATCTTCAGCAGTCAAGAGGCGATATCCAGACTCTTCTGTTCCTCTCTTGTCAAACATAGGAAGTTCAATAATGCATCCTTTGCCACGCCATGGTATCTTTTTCCTTTGTCTCTTGGGAGGCGGGGTGGGGTTGCTTTCAGCTGGTTTCTCCTTGTTGGTACTCGCTTCTGTGATATTTTCTGAAGCATCGGCCGTTGGAGACTGTTCCTTGTCGTGTACCGGTGGAGGCGGCAAGGGCTTATCGTCTGGAGATGGAGGTTTGTGTTCCACCTCGGTAGAGGCTTGTGGTTCCTTTGTCTCCGTCATGGTTATTGACTGTGGATCTTTATCGTACGCGAATCCCCAGAAATCCTCCTGTCGAAGAGTACCGGCTCTCTTGTGAAGAGACTCCTTGATCTTGCGGACCGGTCCTACCTCTCGTCGACTTGTAGCCTTTCGGTTGACAAAGTCAGACAGAGTTGGGGTCTTCAATATATCCTGGTCGCGAGAGTCGTTTTCAAGACCAAGCCAATCGTCTGATGCGTCGTCGGCGAAATGATTCGCGGCCGTAATGAACGAGGGAGCTTCACTACCGGAGTCGTCACTCAACCAATTGCTTCGTTCAGTTCTCGGCTGACCGGTAAGGTATTGATTGATCCAATCTTGTGTGAAATCCTGTATCGACTTTCCTCTTCTACTCGCTCGTTTTGGAGAGCGTTCGAGAGTACCGTCACCGAAATCCTTCACCGACGGTTCAAGGTTGCGAAGTATATCAGGCCTGTTGGGCTCGAGACCGAATTGAATCGAGACAGGAGAGCTATCCCCGGATTCACGGTCAGCACTGGCGTCTTGACTTAATGACCACGAGAGTCTGCGCGGGCTCGGCGCAGCATACGGCGAACCCCAGGCTGTGGTATAGTAGATACTGCTCTCTGCCTTCTTGTCCTCCGGGGAAGTGGTGGATGAGTCCAAAACACCACGGTACTTTGGGAGAAGAGGGAGCGTCGACGATTGGTTGGGAGCGACGCTGCGGTTCCCGGAAGAGGTTGGCCGGCCAGGTGATCCAGCAGCCGAGCGAGTCGACACACCTGGTGATGGGAAAGGCGACTGCAGTGGAGCCGATAGGTGTGAACTGTCACGGATGCCAGATGGGTTTGTGGAATGCGGCGGTGGGGGGGACAGCGCCGAATTGGCGGACACGGGGTGATCTAGATCTGGAGCCGGGACGAGACGATGAATTAGCTTGGAAGCCATGGCATACGATCGCGTGAGAGCGTAATAATGAAAGTTGGAATCGAAGATATTGTTGGGTGGCAGAGGTGCAGCATGCCAGACCCTACCCAGTGCAACACATTGACGTACCTTCCGTGTCGACTCTTGCAGCAAGCACTTGCTTGCTGCTCTCCTTATTGTCCAGAATGTTGAAGCATGGAACTCAAACCACCCGTACTTTCCGCCTCGTCGTCGGCCGTTTATCGCAGGACACTCGAAACACCCTTACAGATGCCAACGCAGATGCGGCACGGTTCGTGGGAGACGTGTATGAGGATGAGTCGCGGGCGATTTGGCGGAACGGTCCCGTACTGGGAGCGAGGGGTCTCTTCAGGGGAGAGGGACAGCAACAAAAAGCGACAAAAGTGATGAACAACAGATCACAGAAACCTAGGGCATGCGAAGGGCTTGAACATGGCGCATACGCGAAGGACAGCCGGATCGAGGTTGGACGATGAAAAAGCGAAGAAATGGGACTAAGGGAGATGACTTTCTTTATTTTTTGCCGTTTTGCCTATCAGGGTTGGGCTATGTCACAAGTTACAACGGGCAGTCCGGGCAGTCTGCAGGCCAAACCCAGACCACGAGAAGGTATTTTACCGTACGTTACTCCCCTTAGCCCAAAGCTACTCAGAACGTCGAAAGGCTTTATTCCCACTAGCAGCAAGTGAACTCCGTCCTCCAGAGTCGACTGGCCAGTGACCGCGGTTTCCGTTGAACCTCCGAAATTATTAAGACTGTCGGGTAACCACACGACGACTGGATAAGTAACGAAGAGACGGTTAATTGACGTACTTTTCGAGTCAAGTCTCTTGCGCCCTGTGCTCGCTGCCAACTCACCGCCATCTACGTGACCGAGGCAAGGCGCTGTGTCCATCATTTTCTGCCTCAGGACGATCATCGATCATCTGGTTACTGAGTCGCTGACGCCCAAAGACAAAGTTATGCAGAGCAGAGTCTTGCTTTATGATTTCATAGGGGAAAAAAAATCTTGACTTTACAAACATGGTTTCGCGTTGAAATTAATACTATCCCTGGGAGCCCCTGAGTCGCGCAAATGATGCTGGAGGTCGAACCCCATAAACAACCTTCCCCAATGACGCGCCGTGGTGCTTGGTTCGTGTCTCCCGCTCGCTCAGGGGTAAAATGCGCTGCGAACCACGGTTCCCGCCGAGCCGTTACCGTACGTTGAATAATACGTACCTGTCGGAGGCCACAACGCACACTTCCACTAATTAGAAACTACAAGGTAATACCATGAATGATGTAACCATTTCTTCATGTTTATGAAGAAAAAGTAACCCAAATCTCCGTATTTATCGCGATATAATATGTTACACTGAATCAAACCATAAAAATTTAAGGGATTGAACGTCTACACCGACTCTTCTCGACTTGAAATACAACTCTAGTTGGGGCACGCAGTGTCAAACTTGGCCGTGCGCTTGTCGGTAAAGAGACCCCAGTGAGTCTCGTCCATAGGCTCGCCATTGTCGCCAGTGCTGTCGGGTTTCCAGGTTTCGTCAAAGGCCTCGAAGTAGAAAACATCAATGCCCCACTTGAGCATAGGGCAGACAGCGTTCTTGTAGTACTTCTTAGCGTTGTCGGTGCTGGCCTTAGCCTTACCGTAGTCGGATCCGCCATCTGCAGTGTTATTAGTACCAGATCTAGCCTAGAAACAAGACCCAAGGGGAGCATACCGGTAGGCCAGCCAGACTCGCCATTACCAAATCGGATCTTCTTAGCATTGTCACCAGCAACCTGCTCGATACGGGCCTTGGCCTGAGCCATGTCATCGAAGTAGGTGGCGGTGGCGTTGGAGATATCCTGGTCCTGCCAGTAGGCAAACCCGTTGGCCAGGCTGATTGAAATTAGCGAATGCGAATAGAGCGATGAATGCGACCGTCAATCGGGTTGCTTACAAGTAGGTAACGCCGCCCTGGATGATGGGGTCCGCAGTACCATCGGCGAACTTGTTCCAGCTGTCCACCATGCCGACTTGGACGCCATCAAATTCCTCCTTGACCTGGTTGATACGCTTCAGGAGATCCTGGGCTTTCATGTCCCCACGGTAGAGGGCTTCGGAGCCAACGGTGATCGCGTGGATGACGTCCTCGTTGCCTTTGACTGACTTCTTCAAAGCATTAAAGTCTTGGTTAAAAGATTCCTCAGTGTCGGGCCTGGAATGCGGGGTATAGATGTTAGCTCTTATCGCAGGATCCGAAAACAAAACACTAATTGATGGTGCAAGTATCAGGGAAACAATACCAGACACCGAGCACGACCTTGAAGTTCTTCGCCTTGGCAGCTGGGACGATGTTCTTTGCCGTGTTGCAGTTGCTTGCCGAGTAGGTACGGACCAAAGTTGTCAGATCCTTCAGCGCATCGAAGTCCTTCTTGTAGTCCTCGGTGGACTTGCAGCTTGCGTCGGGGTTTTCGTTTCCGAGAGCAAGGCCAAAGGTTCCCCGTGTAGCGACTGCGGGCATGGCTGCTGCCAGAAGAGTAATCAGGCCGGCGACACGCATCTTGGAGGTATCACGTCAAAGGATGATGACTCGTTTGCGATAGTGTGAATATAAAGAGGAGAGAGTCCAGTCGGAGCTCGATCTGACTAGGCAGGAGAGAAATCGGATTGTCTCCTGGGCGCTGTTTATGGCCGGCGAAGAGGTGAATGCTCAGCGGTCCGTTCGGCTGAGCAGCGGACGTAAATAAGGAGCGTGGTATGAAAGAAATCAAGAAAAGAACGACAGAATTCGAAAAAGAGAGTAATGTCCAGGAGATAAACGTCCAGACAGACTATCAAATGTTGGATAAGGGAGATGGCCGGTTGAACCCTGCTCGGTCCCTCTGAACTCCTGAAACAGACTATGCCCGATGAGGCCGCTATTACTCAGGCACCACCACTCAACGGTCTTGCAGTGCAGGCCTGGTTCTCCACCATTTCCACCTTACTTGAACTCGTTAAATTTACCCTCCGATCCCTCTCGCCCTGCTCTATTCTTGGGTCTCGCTCATCTGTGTCGACGGTCTGGACTTGACAATCTTCGTCTAAAATAAGTTCTCGCAGCTCTCCTTAATAGCCCGCAATTGTTCCTTATTTTCGGAATTAAGGGGTCAGACTACCCGTGTCCATGGCAAAGCACAGACTCGCGACTCCTTGCAGGAGTATCAAAACGGACAAAGCACGGCTTATTTTTCAGTATACATTTGATGATCGGAGTAAACCGATCAGTGTTCCGATCCAATAAACTATCTTACTGAACCACACAGAAAGGCTTGAGACATGAAAGTGCTAATATCCCTATTCTCTGCGCCTAGTCATTGATAACCGACTTTGCTTGAGCCGGAGTGATGTCTCGGCCGGTCTTCTGGTTAAACCGACTACTTATGGTCTCCCAGCGGTCCTTCTTCCAACCCGCCGCGATTTGATGAAGGAGGAGCACTTCATCAAGGGTGAATTCGTTATCGATATAGTAAATCCTCTTCGTCTTGGACCGCCTAGAACGACTGTCGTCGTCCGCCTCAGTCTGGCAAAGTCAATATGTCTTCAGCATGGAGCAGACATATACCGAAGCATCGTGTGTTGACTCACATCTTCGTCTTCGTCTTCATCAGTTGATGAGCTGAATGACACATGGCGCTCTTTGTCGTATTTCTCATCAAAGTACCAGTCATCGTCCTCGCCATCCAAGCGGTACACTTTGCGGACTTCGCAGGCTTTGTGTTTATCGTCTTGGATATCGATCCAGCGCTTCTTGAGTTCTGCGATTGGTCTATGATCCATCACCATTGAGATTCGCTTCCATGATACCTTAGATACTTTCAGGTCTCGAAGAACTCTGTCGTCCTCAATGGACCATTGAGTGGTGTCTTTCGAGTGTCAGAATGGATAAGGCAGCTTTAACACGGCTTCGAGTGACCTACGGGCTCCCAAATTTGCTTGTCCGCGCCTCAAGATTGCTCTTGCTCTCGGAATATCCTAGACGGATAGGTAAATGAAGTGCACTTCAGCTAGCCCACCTATTCTGGGAACAAGGCGAAATACCTGATAGAAATCGGGACTAACACTCCGGGTGTCATATCGAAGACTCGGTCTTCCTTCGCGGACACTGCCGGTCAGAAGCGACATGAACGACACACGAAATGGCTTGCCATTTGATATGAGAACCGGCATCGTTTTGTTAGGACTGACGGATGCAGCTGTAAAGCAGAGGCTGGTTAAGCCAGTTCTCGTGGAAATAAGTTGTCGACCGATGGGAAGGCACAGGCCATCGTTGCTTCTATTTGAGTGGGCGACAACTTTACCGTATGTCTAACTGACAATGACTCGTCGCTTCCTAGAATCCCTGATACTTACCAGGCGGCTCCTGAATGGACAGGGCGTAGTGCAATGAATGCTATGATGGTTCCAATGGATTGGGTGCTTCGTTATAGAATGCGCATTCGTAGATCAGACACGAGACATTATTGGCCACCATCAAAACCAACAAGTTAAATCGATTCAAATAATAAGAAATCCATGCATTCACATAAATCAGCAGTGCATTTCAACTTAAGCTCTCAAGTGAATATCAAAATCGAGCAATAGATGTCCATCAATGTGAATCGCCGGCTTGTCACGAGCAGCGATTGGCTGAGGTGGTCCGAGCGTCTCGAATTCCCAGAGTGAACCTGAGAGACCACCTTGCGCGTCAAATCACAACCAGCATTTAACCCACCAAAAACCCATACACCCTCGACGCCGGGGCTTTCCAATCCTCTCGTCTTTAAAATCCTATCTGCGTCAATTCTATAACCGCAAGAGAGCAAAATAAAATACGCCCGCCATGCGCTTCTCCGCAGCCTCCCTTCTCCTCGGACTGAGCTGGATCACCGCCGCCGCCGCACACAACATCCAGCTCCGCGCCCACTCACGAGAATGCTTCCACGAGACACTGCACAAGGATGATAAGATGACTGTTTCGTTCCAGGTCGGCGACCGGGAATTTGGAGGCAGCGGGAACCTCGAGATTGATTTCTGGGTATGTAGTCCCTCGCAGTCGCCAAACAAGATGGCTCAAAACATCAATTTCCCTCCTCATATTCATCCACCCCTGAGTTCAACTGCTTTACGGAAATAGCTAATGCATTGTGTTTTTTTTTTTGCGGAATTGCAGGTCGAGGACCCCCAGAACAACCGCCAATACTTCAAGCAAGCCGTCTCGACCGAAGACTACTCATTCACCGCGCACTCCGACGGCAAATACCACTACTGCTTCAGCAACGAGGGCTGGACCTCGAACTCGAAGGAAGTCTCGTTCAACGTGCACGGAATCGTTTACGTCCCGGAATCAGAAATGGCGCAGGATCCACTGGAGACTGAAGGTAGGAGAAAACACCGGATCGAACATGCGGGTGCACAAGAACTCCTGGCTGACGTGAAATTCTTATTTGCTATTAGTTCGCCGACTTTTGGAAGCCCTGGCCCAGGTTAAGGATGAGCAGTCGTATATTGTTGTCCGCGAGAGGGTACACCGGAACACGGCCGAGAGCACGAACGGTCGAGTCAAGTGGTGGAGTATCTTCCAGCTTGCAGTGCTTATTGGCGAGGGTGTTTTCCAGGTTTGGTGGTTGAAGAGATTCTTTGAGGTGAGTTCTTGTAGTGTCCGTTTTGACTGTGACCGTTGAATGCTAACGACGGGCTTAACAGGTCAAGCGTGTTGTCTAAGTGTAGTCTACGTTTCATGAGCGAGAAGAGGGTCTATTATTTATTTACTAGTCCCATGCATGTCTTTGTCTGCCCTTGGGGGCTTTCGAATGGGAGTACGATAATTTGAACGATCTATATATTTTATCTTGGCAATTCTACTGGATTCATCCGGAGATTTTATGACCCCGAAAGCTGCAACTATCCTCGCTAGGTAGAAATAATCAGTCCCTTGAGAACACAACCTGCAGGATTATACTGTTCTCTCGGACTTCTTGTCTATCGAGGCCGCGAACTAAGGCCTCCTGTTCCAAGCTCTCTCCCTGATTTCCGTCTTGCTTCCTTTTACCCTCAACAAATAGACACCATGGTAAACACTGTATGAAGGACGATCGTAACAGTCCCAATCCATGTCTCCCGATGAAGTCAAAGGATATAATGTCCTTAACCTTTTTTCTCGAATCAGACAAGGGTGCTGAAGAACGACTAAGTCGCATACATAGATACACACTACTGTGTCGGTAACCGATAGAAGAGAGAGAATTAAAAATTAAGAATAGAGTGGAACAAGACGCATGCTTACCAGAACTGGATTTGCATGTCGATAGCCAGCAACAACAAAATTTGTTATACGCATCGTGCTAGACTGTTGATAGGCTCCGTCTGCCACTGGCCCCTGTTTCAGCGGCGTTAGTCTGCTTAATTATGCGAGTGTTAGACTATTGTTGTGGATCAGCTCTTGTTCACAGAGATTGAGGATATCGTACTAATTTGTAGGCTGAAATTAAGAGTGGTTAGCTTGGCTAGCACACAAAATGGATCCTTAAGGACCTAGAATGGTTTGCACTTAAAATTTACTTTCATCCAGGTATAATTATAGACACGTGGCAACAAATACTGGGGGAGGGAATATCCTACAACTCATTGAATAGTATGCTAAGTCCAGTTAGGACACCACTACATGCAGAACCGGGAGAGCTGAAGCGGGCTAGATTTCTTGAAGTCAAAGTCCTCAATCGGGAGACCCTGGGACCAGAGGGCCCAAAAGCTTTGTCAAGACACCAAGTTCCGGTCTCTTTTTGAAGAAGCTGGAATGAGTGTCATCGCTTCAGAGATTCAAACGGGGTTCCCGAAGCATTTCAATCTTTTCCCGGTTCGGTTTTACGCGCTGCGGCCGAAGACTTAGGGCTTCGGTGGTCCGAGGATATCCATCAACACCTTAATATTACGGGGCACCACATCGCCTTGCTACTCAGATTAGTTACAGTCTGGCCGGCTATCAAGGAACATATACCACGCCCTACCGTCACTTGGGACCGGGGTTATACTGCACTACCGTTCACGGCTTATTACCAACAGACTGTGTAGCGCCAAAAGTACGCGCTGGAGGGAAGCGGTGTGAAGCTTGAAGGCTGTCGTAGCCATTTTGATTAGGGGCGCTCTGTGCTCACACCGCCGGTGTTACTAGTACCTACAAGGTGGTAGGAGATGCCGTTTGATTGGTTTCCACTGTAGATGGAATCAACCCAGGAAAGAAAAAGAGGCTGGAGTTAAGGCGAGATCTTGCATCCCTTAAACCCATGTATTAACCCACTCAATGTCAGCCACAGGATCCTTTGCGGCATTAAAATATGTGGTGACAAACCTGGACTGTATATCTGAACTGAAACCCTTGTATAAAAGTCTAAGTTTAAGACAACGAAATAGAACTAAGAATGCGATTCACAGACAGCGTTAAGCCTTACACTAATGTTGCCCGAGGTAGACCCCTTCTACATGGAGCACCTGAGAGAGTTCGGAAAAAACAGGGCATAATTGCTTCAGTTCCATTGAAAACATGCGCACAGGGTGCCTCGAGATACGGTGTAACCTAAACTATGAGCACTGATACAGATACTTTATACAGTTCAGTGTTTAGCAAGAAGTAGTGCGGATTGTCCAAGTACAGCCGCGGGCTGAGGGTTGGCACCGTGTGCTTTTCCAGCGAAACCCTGAGAACAGATGAAGACGGCACTGACGCGGAGGCAACATCTGAGAGAGAATAAACGACATTGGCATTGGTATTTTTAGTAGGGCACATCTTGAATTCTGATAGATTGGCAAAATTCTACATTTAGACACATCTTTCCAGCAGGATTGTGGTCAAGCCCCGCGTGTACACCGGTTGTTACTGCAGGGCTGGACATTTTGGCCGGTTTGTATGGGAGTCTTTGTTTAGCCACGCACTGTTTCACGGCTGTTATCCGATCCATACCCATCCTCGGGGTTGGAATTGGGCTTTGGATTAGGATTAGAACTGCCCTAGGGGTGTTTGCTATTCAATTAAAGTTCGAAGACGGGACAATGCGATGAAATTGCAAAGGAATTTGGAGGTTTCGGCGCAAAAGGACATGCCCAGGGGAAGGTACTTGTACCTGGGCAAGTAAGGTAGAGAATAGTTCTTTCCTCGTTTGGAACACCCTGCGCCTTCCTTTCTGGTGCAGCACCAGGCTCAAGCACCCACATTTCGATGGAGCTCGATATGCGCTAAAATAGACTAACATTGAAAGGCCTCGGTCATTTGCTTTCTGTGTATGCCCAAATCCAGCATTGAGGACCATGGTCAGATCAAAATGAGTATGCGTAGTGCTAGGTGACAGTATTAGATGAGGTGGACTAAGAAAGACAGTTGAGGGGGGATCGGGGGGTTTTTATAGACCTCCTTCAGACCGGGACGGGTGGAGGAAACGTGAATTTAAATAATACTTTAAAGCCTGAAGAGCCCTGGGATGAGTGGTAGGTCTTTATTCATTAGGGCTGAGAACCATTACCGTTGATGTGGAATGTCAGGTACGATTTGGTCGTACACCTTTCTGGCTCATACCATGCTCATCGCCCTATAATAAGAAGGACTCGTATATTGAATGGTTTCGAACTACGAGAGTAGTGCCATCGAGGAAGACCACCGCTTCATGGAAATTGATACATTCACTGCAATTACTACTGCTTCGTATACATCACGGTCATTCCATCCTTTACGCATGAACAACCTGGCCGACTCTGTACTCGACACTAAGCGGCTTGCCGTTTTCAGCGACGAATCTGCCTTTACCGACAAAGACGCGGTTTTCAAGGTCCTTGTAGCGTTCATGCCCGGTCTGCCGGGTACAATTAGCAAGCTAGTTAGTTCTACCGTTTGAGGATTATCCTACCTCGAAAGTAACGTGAGTGACTGGGAATTTCCAATTATTAGCTTCGATGATCCCAAGAACGGTACTTGAGTATACTCACAAGAGTTGCCGAAAGGCGTCGCGCCTTCTGTAGTTTTACCAGTGAGGATGTTAGTCTCGGCCTCGCCCACCGAGACAACACCAGTGTAGTTAACGTAGATAAGCTATTCGCAGCGATTAGTTTAGATCCCTGATAATGAATCTATCTAGGCATACGGCGCCGTCTTGGGTCCTATGATAAGGCATATTAGCACACGCAGCTACACGTGAATATCTGGCAGGGAGCATACTTGATGGTCCCGTGGGCGTCCAGGCGCAGACGCGAACCATCTGGGTCGGCATGAATGTAGTCATTGCCGACGCCGACTATTTCGGCATCGAGGGAAGGGGAAAAGCCTTCGGCCGACTTGAAAGTGCCGCTAGAGAAGGGCTGTATCGCGCGTTATTAGAGGTGATCCTGATGCCCTCGAGTTTGGTTAAGATGCTCACAATGACCTGTAAGGTTGCCCCACGGGAAGCGCTACCTGTTGTGTAATGTTAATCACTATCCTTATGTTAGGTGCGTGGTATAGCAGCTGCTAACCGACTGCAAGCGCAGGATCGAGCGCGATCTGTATTGGATAGATTATTAGTAGGGTCACTAAAGAGTGCTGGATACTACGTGCCTTGATGGTGAAAGCGGGCTGGATACTGGGGAACTCGGACATGATGGATGAGCTCAATACTTGGAGATTGAAAAGATAATGGCGATAGATTGACTGTTGAAGAGCGTTGGAGGAGGGGAAGCTCGGGAATAAATAGCCCCGCACGATGAGGGGCTGTCATGATGTGATCCGCAAACACTTCTGGATGGAGCTGAAGCTTCCACGGTACTTCTTGTCCGCAATCATATCGTGCCTGGATTTCTTCCAGGTGCTTTTTGATTATTCTATTTCCGCTGCAAGAAGGCCGTCTTCGTCGGTGGGCAAACCCGCTCTTGGATCGTCGCTCGAGCCTGTCAGCGAACGGCCCAGTGTCTATCTCTGGCTTCCCTATCGAAGGCCACTCGCATGGCATTTACCTAGCTCTTGTGTCATAGGTCCGTAATTGGGCTTGACAAGATAGCATGCGCCCTGTCCTATCCTAATTTCACCTAAATGGACGCCCCAGTTCCCACTTGCGGACTGGATGGTGATCCGCTGAGATTCCGATCCCCTGGAGCTCCTAGGTATTGTCTCCGGACGAGGCTCTATAACTATCGGTCTACAATTCGAAGCCTTTCTTACGTGGTCAGAAAACCACTTAAACCGGGATGGGTGATCTCAAACTCTCCATAACCTACGCCACAGCAAGAATCCAATGGAGGATGATAGATAGGGATGCGCATCTCCGGTAAATCGGCCGGAGACAATACGTTGAGACGCTGATTGACGAGTGATATCGATCCGGGAGCAGTCGACATCCTGACGCAACCGTGAGGATAGGGCTTGGGCTTCCCCTGCCGGCAAGGGTATCACTATTAGACAACATACCGTCACCAAGCTAATGGGGCGACGAATGGGAATTCCCGGACGTGTCGTGCTGGTGAATATGTTCCGGATCTTGGGAACGATATCCAGGACCGAATAAAGTACTCGCTCCAGAACTACACCATGTATTCACGAATCCACTGCTTACCAGAGCACAAGGTGATCCTCCACAAAAATAGGGCGACCGGCAAATGAGGGGTATGAATCCCCAAGAAGGCTGGAAATAGCTTCCTTTGGCTCTGAAGGCCCGCTATTTGAGTTCTGTTGTTTCTTGTGTTGGTGGGCTCTTCGCGATCGACCTCAGCGGTTCCCAGGGACTGTTATTCAGCACACAAATAACCCTTGCATCAGATCAGCCAGATTAACCATAACGACATGAAACTAAGCCCCGAATTCGCTATGTCTCAAAATTCCAAGGCCGCTTAGTGGCACATGGGTCTCGCACAAGGTCCTCTGGATCAGCTTCTTTCTGGCCAACGAGCAATCAGCAGACCCTCAGTCGAGCGAACCAGTCCACAGAACCGCGCACGTGGTGCTAGCGAAGAAAGGGACAGGTTGTTGGCGATGCTGGGGGGTCTTCAAGATGGCGGGGAATAACGGGTCACGACATAAGCAGTATTGTCTCGTCTGATCAGATGAGAGTCAAATCGACACTCGATGTCAAGTATATAACAGAATAAACTGCCTGGCGTGGTTGTGGTCGAAAGTCGAGACTCGAGACGGTTGGACGCCGACGGACGCTTATCCTGATCGGGACTGCAACTAGTGACGTAGCTTCGCTGCTATTTTTTTCTGCCGCGCGTGTCTTTGTCCCACGTTCCGGCTGCCTGAGCTCCTGGTTCTACTACCGATCCGACCTATTCATGCCGATGATCGATCGCTTTTGACTTCTACATCTTTTTGTCCGCGGAGACGGTGCTACTCCATTGACAAGGAGATATCAATGATTCCACCGCGCCTTCTCCCGGCCCTCTACGGTCTTAGCCTTGCTGCCTGCGCATCTGCGGTACCTATCATAGAACAGCAGGTCCTGGGCAACGTTGCCGCCCAGGTAGACAAGACAGAACCGTCGGGGCAGCTCTCAGGGCGATTTCTTCATATAACAGGTATTTCCGTGAATTCCGCATCATCAAGAAAGCCCCGGCTAACCACCCCCAGATTTGCATTTAGATACCCACTACAAATCAGGAACAGACGAGCCAACATGTCATCGGGGTAAAGGATCAGCGGGCGCCTTGGGCGCGGAGGGCACCGACTGCGACTCACCGCTGGCCCTCGTAAACGAAACGTTCCGATGGATTGATGAGAATCTCAAGGGGAAGATCGACTTTGTACTCTGGACAGGAGATTCGGCGCGGCATGACAACGACGAGAAAATCCCTCGGACTGCGGACGAAATAGTTGATCTGAATGAACTCCTGGCGAATAAGTTCATCGACCTCTTCGAATGCTCGGACAAAGTTCGTGGTCTTTCAATCCCGATCATCCCTACTATTGGCAACAATGATATCATGCCGCATAACATTTTTAAAGAGGGACCGAACCGGTGGACAAGGAGGTTCACGGAAATTTGGGCCAAGTTTATTCCCGAACCTCAACGGCACAGTTTTGAGGAAGGTGGATGGTTCTTGGCGGAGTTGATCCCAAACAAGCTTGCCGCGATTAGCTTGAACACTATGTACTTTTACGAATCCAACTCGGCGGTTGATGGCTGTGCGGCGAAATCCGAGCCAGGGTACGAACATATGGAATGGTTACGTGTGCAGCTTGAGATTTTGCGGGGGCGCAAGATGAAAGCTATACTTATCGGACATGTGCCGCCTGCAAGAGCCGGTAACAAGAAGAACTGGGATGAGACCTGCTGGCAGAAATACACACTGTTCGTAAATCGATTCCGCGATGTCGTCGTCGGCAGCGTCTATGGACACATGAATGTCGACCACTTTATGCTACAGGATAGCCGGGACGTGGACATTCTGGCGGCGAGCGAAGAGACGCCGAGCGATCCCAGCCTCATAGTGCAGTCCCGCGGAAACTACCTATCTAGTTTGAGGGAAGACTGGGCTGATATGCCCTCCCCGCCAGGTGGCAAAGCCTTTGACTTTTCTGGTGGCTCGGTTGACGACCCGGGCGAGATATTGGGAAAGAAGGAGCGACGATTCTTCAAGAAGATTGGCGGTCCATTCGCTGAACGATATAGTGTCTCGCTGGTGTCTCCTAGTGTGGTACCCAACTATTTCCCAACTCTCAGGGTGGTCGAGTATAATACCACGGGTTTGGAGGGCGCTGCAATATGGGCAGACGTGCCGTATACAAACGACTCACTCGAGTCCTTTGTGCCAGAAGCAACCGAGGATGATGCGCCAGACGAAATCGACGAACAAAAAAAGAAAAAGAAGCACAAAAAGAACAAGAAAGACAAGAAGAAGAAGAAGCCGAACTTCAAGGTCCCCGACGAGCCCCCGAAAACTACTCCGCCGGGGCCTGCATACTCGAACCAAGCATTGTCATGGCTGAGCTACGTCCAGTATTATGCCAACCTCACGGAGATTTATCACGAGAAGGCCGAGGAGTCCGAAACTAGCTCTGAAAACGACCATAGCACAGCCAGTGGCTTAGACTTATATAAAATCGAATACGACACGAAAGAGGATGGAGTGTACAATATGAAAGACCTCACAGTACGCAGCTACTTCCAGCTTGCCAAACGCATTGCAAGCAAGAACCCCCACAAGGAGGACACAGTACTAGCTGCCGACCTGGATTCGGAGACAGACGCATCTGACGCCGAAAATGATTCTGAGCCGGAGACAACCAATGGAAAGAAGAAGAAAAAGAACAAAAATAAGAAGAAGAAGCACCGCAAGAACCGAGTTTGGCGAACGTTCTTGGATAGAGCATTTGTTGGTATGTTGGGCGGCGACGAGCTTGATGACATTGAGGCGTAAATTTGCGTTTCTTATCTTACCTTTGCATTATTCCCCGCCTATTTGGCTTCCTTCAGGTTTTACGAGCGATTACGGGTATACTTTTCTTTTCTAACGCCGGATGGAGGCTATACTTATTGTGTTTAATATATGAATACCGCGTTTTATAGGCCACTGGGTGGCGTTGTATATACATAGTCGCTATGAGATGAGATTCTCTTCCTACATGATTATTAAGTAAAAAGTACTACCAAACTACATAGCTAACAGCAGACATATAGTTAGCATCACACTCGCCATGGCAGATTCAATGAACAGCAGTGTTCTAGTTTTGATTGGCCACAACGGGCAACTATGGAAAGCACTTTGGAGCCTAAGGCATCCAGCGATGGTGCCCACGGCGTTCCATGGTTCAAGTCTGGATGGCAAGTTTAACCTCACCTTCTTTCCTAGACTCTATTTCAGGGTCAGTTTTGCTGCTGTGGCAGCTCTATGTGTCAATTGGGACTATGAACAGCACATCGCATGTCAACAAGACCTTTGGTGAGGACTCTCGTATCCGAGTCGGTTCGCCATTGCATCGGAAAAAGGAGCCATATTGGCCACGGCAGCCGGGCAAGCTAAAATTAGCCTGGAAATGGCGGCGCAACTAATAAAATAACACTTAATTTGACATTATTCTTGATTGTTCGGGGTGCTGAGCCTCTTGAGACTTGGAGTTGGGCTAAAATTGTACTCCGCATTGGCGGTCAAGCAGGCTGTCTCGAGGAAGGGAAATAATCCGAGGTCTTGTTGGGTTTGCAAGCCGACCAGGCTCTCGGGAACGATGGCATTCGTCAGGCTGAGCTCGCGAGACTCTGATTTGCTGTTTATCCCCGCGGTGCCACGCTGGCAACGGGCTCTGCCAACTGTCAGTCCCGAAGTTTAGTGGCCTCGTTCAAGGCTCCAACAAGCACAGCAGGTAGTTCCATCTTGGAGATGGAGGAACGACGGTCAGGCACAACGCAGGAGCATTTTGGCTCCAGATTTCCCTGATGGGGTTAATCTTGAGCCGGACACCGCGGTGATCCACAAATGGCGTCCGAGTGGGATGTTAGCTCTGCAAGGACTCACACAAACTGCAGTTGGGCTCTGACACGTATCGAGCTAGAGAGTTGATGCGTTGTCCGTCGCTGTCCCGTCCCATCGCCATCGCCATCTCCATCATAGCTGAGGGGTTGCCACTGTCGATGAATTGCAATGTAATGATGGTCTTTGATGACGCTCTCATTGTGTTCGATCACTAGCAAGCATCTACACTGCTGGACTCACAATTGACAACAACAGCGGGCACAGGAATGAGTGAATGAATGAATGAATTCAATGCCACCGCATAATTGATTGCACCCAATCTGCCTCAAATTAGCCAAGTATTTCCCTCGGAGCACTCGCCTTTTTCCCCTTGCTCTGAGATTATTTTTTCTTTTACGCCTTGAGCACCAACCGCGATATCCACTTTTCACCGATTGTCTTTGTGGCTGATATTCTTTCTCGCAACTGAACCGTGTCATTCATCCCGACAATAATAGCACTGCTAATCCTGCTGCCATTGCCAGGTAGCAATTGTCGTCAATTGCCAGCTCATTGCTGGCAAAGAAGCACAGGCGACTCTTTTCCGCCTCGCCGCCTTCAAGTCGCACACAATGAATCAACGCTGTCTCCGACCTCTGAATCGCAAGCTCACCGTCCTTGATCTGGTTTCTGTATACTGCTCGTCGTTGTCGCCTCTGAGCTCCTAGCTTTCCATACCCCTTTCTACTATTTCATACTCTTTCATACCGCACGATACGTATCGTTGCCGCCAGTGCGAGCCGATCTCCCTCAAGTACGTGCAAAGCGATCTTCGAGGCGCAAATTGCACACGGCCGAGATCGCTGGTGTGCACTGACTGGACTGTGCACTGAGACAACATCACTTTTCTTTTCTCTTTTTTTTATCTGATAATTTTCCTACTCTCGCATTTATTTATCTGCCTTTATATCCCCAGATTCCGCATTGTACAGAACTATTTTAGCCGCGGCGGCTCATTGGGAGGCTCAATTGCTTTGGAACCTGTACTTGTAACATATCCTCTTCATTTTTGGAAGCGCTGGTAGGTTTTTGTTCATTACTTCGACAGTCTTGTCCTCAACGGTTGCTTGTGAAACCACGGTTTTCTTCAGAATTGAGAGCGTCAAAGGCAGGCGCCCGCAGTATGCAGAAGTGATCCCTCCTCTGCACGGAATATCAACCCCTGATTGCAAGCACAGACAAATCAAGCCCCAACCCATCGGATCCTAAGCGCTGGATGAGCATGGAAAGTCATATGGTTTAGAACCAGACTGCTCTTGACTTATCGATTGTTTGTGCGCGCTTCGAGGTAAGATCATCTGTGTTTTTGGCGCTCGGTCTTCGACCCATGTCGCTTGCCAATGGCCGTGGAGAGCGCGTTGGATCTGTCTTTGAGTTGCTCTGAATATTTATACTCTGGTTTCCCACGAGTTGGCAGATCCATCCTCTCCACAGGCTGTGGTCAAGCCCGTGATGTCAATTCCGAGTGCTCTTGCTCCTTACCTACCTATCACGATGTCTCAATTGACGAACAGCCAGGCTAATGATTCCGACGATTGCGTCTCTATTATAGATCCTGAGTCGCTGTTCTTTTGGATGGCTTCAGCCGAGGTAGACCAGAAGGCCTTGGGCAATTTTGCCGCCGTGACAGGCCTGGAGAGCCCATTCCTATCGGCTATGCTGTACAAGATACTGGGCCTGTCGGTTATGCTCTCAAACAAACTGCTTCGCGCACGGCGACTACGGCGACTGGACCCTACTCGTGAAACAAAATCCCTGCAACTGTACTACCACATCATATGGCTTTCGCGCGAAGGTCTCTTGATTCTCGAAGAATTTGTTCTTCCCATGGTGGAAGGCTTCGTTGAGCTGAAGATCCTAGTTTATAAACTCAGAGCCTCATTCTACCATATATTCGTTCTATTCCATAACCAACCCGCCGTTCACTCACCGGGAATCGGCAGCCTCTCCAGCAACGGCACTATCTCCAACGAGACAGCAGAGCCGGAACCATCACCACGAGATCCGAATTCGCGATTATCATTCCGTACGAAGCAGCCCGAAGTTATATCCGTTCCCAGCCAGCCCACAGGGGCCTTCGACATATCGCAACGCACCTTGAAAGTGCCACACGGCCCCCCTGGCCTCGCGCCTGTTCAGGCACCTCGACCGTTATCCTCATTCCTTCTGCCTGCCATTGACTATACGCCTACTGCAACTGCCTGCTTCAACCACGCCGCGCTCCTAGCCGAACGGTTCCTCCCTGGCTCACACCCCTTACGCCTATCCATAAAGCTGGAATACGCCGCATACGTATACGACTGTCTCCACGATGCCAACGCCAGCCGCAAACTCGCCAAGCAAGCCATTGCCGACGTTTACAACGCGCAAGAAGGCATGGATGACGAAAGTTTCGAAGATGCAGCCGAAATCGTTGGCCTCTTGGGCAAGATGGTGAAACGCAGCGCCAAAAAGAGTAGTAATGGAGGAAGCACGACTCGCAGTGTGACACCCAGGGCGGAAAGCTCGCGCAGCGAAGGGAACCGAACTCCAACGACTGCGAGGAAAACATCGCCAAGGACCGCGGCGACGACGCCTATGCCGCCGTCTCCAAAAACGCCCAAGCTTACGACGACGAACGCCGCTACAACCGTGAGAACTGGCCAGTCGCCTGCTGCGGTGCCGAATCCGACTATGTTGAACCCTATCTGATACCCGATGTTGATGCCAGTGCAGATGCCGATTGATGATTGATTATTTATGTACATTTTAACGAGAAATGTTGCGACAGTTTTTGGTACCACAGGCCATCCTTTCATTGCGTTGGAGTTTGGCTCTTTTGGCTGTTCTTGTATTTTTTTCTTCATTCCTCTGGGATTTTCCAGAATTATATTTATCTTGTTGGTTAACTTTTCGATATTTCATTCAATATTCTTGAGGTCCTCTGGTCGAGTCCTGTGTATATAACGGATACAGGTTGGTCCTGGTTTTATTCATTTTCAATTCATTGTACCTATTCAATACAAAGGAATTGTCCTAGAATCATCTTCATTTTTACAGTGATACTACATGAAAGCCCCATATGATTCCACTTGTTGTTGAAAACGGAATGCAGCCTCAGGCATCAACATAGGCAGCACAAGGCAAAACTCAAAAGTCAAAAAGTGAAACCTCAGGCAGCCACCCGCAGAGGGAACTGATTCAGTCTGGGGAAAAAAGAGAAGAACAGGCTCCAAACTGCAAGTGCTGATGTTTAACCAGTCAGCCAACCAATAGCCCGGCTAGCAGCTTGGGGGACTCGTCATTCCCTTTCTTGGCTGCTGCAGTTGCACCAACGCCCAGCGGGCTTATCATCCGCTTGCAGCTCGAGGAGGTTACCTCGTTGCTGTCTTTTACGTCATCTTCACGCACGCAATCTCTGCAACGCCCCTCCATTGGAATCCTGGGACCCGGGGGAAGCAGCAGTCTCAGGACGTCAGTAAGGCTGTTGCCAGTGCGATAGGCAGCATCGATCAAGCCACTCATATTTACCGTCTCTTCCCTGCATCCCCTCCCCTCAGTCCCACTACCTTAAACTGGACCTCTCTGTGGACTTGCTGCCGCAGTGTGTGTATTGTTTTCCCTGTTGCGCTGCTCCTGCTTGTTGCTGCTCGCTTCTATGCTCACCGACCGAACCGACTGAGCGACCGACTAACCGATCGATTCCAATTCCACCCGCACTATTGATTCGCCAATAAACCGGTTTCGGGCCCGGGAGACGAAGATCGAGGTCGGGATTAACTTGGACCTTAATTACGGCAGACTCGGAGATAAACAAAAAAGGGGACTTGACAGGGTTTGACAAAAGGGTGCTAGAAAGCGGAAATTACACCCTCCCACTACTACCAGTTTGACAGCAGCTCCTCTGCTTCCACTGCGTCCTTCAGCAATGAAATTGGTCGTCCTCGGAGTTCCCCCAGCAAGTAGTAGGATTTTTATCGGCTGCTGAAGCCTGGATCGGAGGCTCTCGCAGCAGCTGCAAGAGCAGGCTTCTTTTAGAAGCGCGAGCGAGGATCATGCGGTCGGGCCTGCAGAAACCCGGCACAGTTCCGTTCCTCGCCCTGGTTATTTTCTGCCTGCTCACTCTGGTGCCGACACTCGCGAAGGAATGGGGCCTTTACAGCGCACACCTCGCGTACCTGGGGCTTCCCCGCTATGATTGGCGATGTATGTGATTATCCAGATCTTCCCGTACCCCTTGCGTCGGGCTCGTGGTTTTGCTGGACGCTGATTGACTGAGAGCATCTACAGATTCTTCCTCCCGCGTCAAGAATGCTTCTGTCGATACTCATACCCGATCGCGAATACTTGTGAGCAGTAACAGCTGCAAATCGTGGCTATTTGGCGACTTTTATTCCTCGTGCACTGATCGCAATGCACAACCGCATCACTCCGCTATAAATGTTCCTCCGCGAAGCTCCTTCGAGTTCGGCGCGGAGCTAGGAAACGACCCAATAACATACTCTGCAACGAAAGAGACATCGAGTATAACGCGGGGCGTGACTGCATTTAAGGAATTTATGTTCCAACGGTGGGATGATCAACAAATGACACAGCCTTTTCCGCCTCGGCAAGAATCCGCTGAGGAGATGTCTACTGCATCTACGCATCCTACGCGGACTCTCGGCAACATTTCTATGACACCGGCATCATCCAGTGGCCAGCAGCGCCAACCTACGCCGGCGAACGAGCTCGATACATCACCACCAGTGGAGTACCCCACTGAAGGTTTTTTGTTATCTCGACTACCTTTGTTTATACATGAAACATGGCAGCAGGTCTGCCATGCTGGAGGACACTACTTTGAGAGTTTGACAACCCGTTCTCCATCGCACAACTATAACCAACCTTTAATGCCCAACAATCCCGCACCTGTACCTTCTAAGGACAAACAAGAACATTTAGAGCACCTATACCCCGCAAAACAACCCCAACCGGAGCGCACTTCAGGAGAAGAATTGCCGCTGAGAAATGGCAGCTCAGTACAGCCAGATCCATCCGCGGGGGTAAAAGAGTCACAACCAACCCCTGCATTGATGACTGCTGGTCAGTCCAAGTATATCGGGTTTAGACGAGATTCAGAGCACATGCGCGGCAGCTCAATGGCTATCGTGATAGGTCTAGTGGCCGGGATTATGTGGTTTTAATGCCGATCCAGAGTTTCGCAACTTATATACGACGAATAATGGTATATGCGATTGAGCATCATCTTGGTGGATGGGTGGGTTGGTGCTTACCTATGGCTTGAAGAGAAAGCACCTCTTAATGTTTTACGACGTGTGGATTGACGTATATAATACAATACAAATATTCTCTATATCTCAATTGAGTAGATTTTCACAATTTCTGCCAAGTGCCCCTAGTGAATCTCATGGATTTATGGTTATGCGATGGAGCCAAGATCTTGGTAAGATCACCCCACGTGATGAAACCCTTGGGAAGTCGTCCAGGATTCCCGGTGTAAGGAGTACCTCAAGCTGATCCCTTTCTTTTTTTCTTCAAAATCACACGCTCACTTGAATCATCGATTTCTCGCCAGCTCAAAATATAGGCAACCTTGCCTGTCATCACGATGGAGGATAGCCACTTCCGACACAGCGCCTCGCATCATCCCCATCCCTTCCAAACTAGCGCCCACGGCCACGCCCGCGATCACTCGCTCACCGAGGGCACTACCACCGCGCTTGAGGACCAAGCTTCCCAACACAACAGCGGCTTCGACGAAGAGGGTCAACCGCCCCGATACACAGAAGAAAACGATCCCTTCCAGCTAGCGTCGAAACTCAAATCAGATGAGGAAATCCAGGCACTGCACCCGCTGGCCAACACATCGCGGAAACGCCATGGACATGGACACGGACACGGCCATAGTTCAACGACAAGCCCACCACAGCCAGTACGCTCGTCATCGGCCCTTTCGACAGTACCGACGTTGAAGACGTTGAAGAATGCCTCTGCGCGCAGAGAACTGCGGGATTTCTACCAGACGCAGAACGAGAATATCGAGCGGATGTTGAAGCCCGTTGAAGACCACAGACGGGACGCGCGAGAGCTAAACACCAACAACCAGCTGAAATACAAGATCGCGATATACGGCAGTTTCGTGGCGAATATTCTACTTTCGATCTTGCAGCTTTACGGAGCTATTGCGTCCCAGTCGCTGTCGCTGTTCACGACGATGGCGGATTCGGTGTTTGACCCGTTGTCGAATCTGACGTTGTTGCTGTGCAATAAGACCGTGAACAGGGTCGACCCGCGCAAGTTTCCTGCTGGGAAGGCGCGGATTGAGACGGCGGGGAATATTACGTTCTGCTTTTTGATGACGGCTGTTTCGATCTTGCTGATTGCGTTCTCGATCAGGGATTTGGCTGGCGGGTCGGATAGTGAGACGGGGGATTTCCATCTCCCGTCCGTTATTGCGGTTGTTGTGGCGTTTTGTACCAAGTTTGCGCTCTTTGTTTATTGCTTTGCGCTGAGGAATCAGGTTTCCCAGATTCGCATTCTTTGGGAGGATCATCGCAATGACCTGTTAATCAATGGCTTTGGTATTCTTACTTCTGTTGGTGGGAGTAAGCTGAGGTGGTGGATTGACCCGATGGGTGCTATTATTCTCTCGGTCCTTATCAGCTGCCTTTGGCTTCATACTGCCTATCATGAGTTTCAGCTGCTCATTGGTGTTACTGCTGACACGAAGATGCAGCAGTTGATCACTTATATCTGTAAGTCCACCTCGCTCCTTCGATTTATACCGATTGTGAGGCTAACATTGTTCAAAGCTATGACCCATTCCCCTCTCATCACAGCCATCGACACTGTCCGGGCTTACACCTCTGGTCCGCGTCTCGTTGTCGAGGTCGACATCGTCATGGACCCGTCTGACTCGCTGCGCGCTACGCATGATGTTGCTGAAGAGCTACAGACGAAACTCGAGTCTCTTCCTAATGTTGAACGTGCCTATGTTCATGTTGACTATGAGACTACGCATAAGCCGGAGCATTTCTTGAAGAAAGAACTCTAAAGTGGTGATTGGATACACGAAACTTTGGTCGGACCACGCAACCTTATATAATCGCCCGGGAGGTTGATTATGATAAATACACTTAATTTTATATCTAGTTATCTTATCGGATTAATACTATTCCCAATGTTGATATTCAGGCGGAAGACCAGATAGTTGATACCCTCGGGCGTAAGATACCTCTGCTCCGGAAAGACTTTAAGGACCAAGTGAAGACTCAAATCTGGAGATGGATGAGAGAGTACATATTAATGCATAACTCACAAACCATTTTCAGCATAACAGCTGCCTGCAACGTGACGGTGAATACATTGTAGATTGCAGTCTCGCCCAGATCAGGTGACGCGGTTGCCTGGCCCTGCCCAAAAGAACAACGCTGTTGTAAGCTGACAGACAACCTTCACAACTCCCACCCACACGCCACTCGGGCTCGCTCTTTTCCTTCCCTATCTCTCTCTTCTGTTCATTTAAGATTACACATCGCCCGGCGATATGTAGCAGCCCTGTCTCTACCCCACCTCCACTCCAATGCAACAACAATGGTGCTCTCGCTATCCGTGTCTAGTTTCTCCCGATCCCGATCAGCAACTACCCCCCCGCATCGTCAGAGAAATGGCAGCAACAGCTCCACCAGCTACTCTGCAACCCTGAGCGAAGCTCTACGTAATAACCCGTTCGCCGGCGGCGGGGGCTCGCAATCACAACCTCAATCCCAATCTCAATCTCGCTCGCGAACACCCCTTCCCACACTCCTCGAAGAACAGAAACAAGAGCAGGAGGAACTCAACAACTCCCTGGAAACCCTCGTTCGAATATTTCCCGATGTCAAAATTGAAGTCTTCCGCGAACTGCTGGTCCGGTTTGACGGGAAGAGTCGACTGCATGTCTGCGTTGATCAGCTTATGCGGCACAAGGATAGATGGGTAGCGGGGCGATGGAACGTTCCGTCTACTGGGGCCACAGGTGGTGATGGTTCCGTGGTGCCGGGCGTCGTTCTTGATGAAGCTGAGGCTATGGTCCCCCGCGACGAGCGGTTCCGGTCGGAGGAGTATAAGGCTGCTGTGAAGGGTATCCTGGCGAAGGAGTTCACCGGGTTGAGTCGAAGTACTGTGGATGCCGTTCTTGCGGAGGTCAATTTCTGTTATCTCCGTGCGAGGCCAGTATTGCAGGATCTGTCGAGGAAGACGTGGCGGGCTACGTTTAACAGTATTCTTCCGTCGTTTAGACGCAAGAAGGATAAGGAGGATAGTCATCCGTTGATGCTGTGGCAGCGTCTGTCGGATGGGGAATCTGTGCCTCGGTTGAAGGAGACAGGGTGTAAGGAATTGGACAATGAGCTGCATGAGACACTGCTGGCGCCGATACTGCGAGCACGACAGGAGGAGCGGGAACGGGTCGACTTAGAACTGGCTGAGGAGCTGAATGAGAAGGAGGCTGAGGCGGCTAGTGCGTTGTATGAGTGTCAGTGCTGCTTTACAGACGTCACTTTTGAGCAGATATCGGCTTGCTCTGATAGCGTGCATTTCATTTGCTTCAATTGCATCCGGCATACTGTTAACCAAGCGCTCTTCGGACAGGGCTGGGCCACATCTGTTGATGTTGATAAATCGACATTAAAGTGCCTGGCGCCGTCTACGAATGAGCCTTGTACAGGGATTCTCAGCGCCGAGCTCGTCAAACGTGCTATCCTTCTCGAGAAAGCGGGTGCTGAGACTTACGCCAAATTTGAATCTCGACTGGCCTCCGACGCGCTTCTCCGCTCTCAGTTTAAGCTGATACGGTGCCCATTTTGTTCCTACGCAGAAGTTGACCCTGTCTACCATCCTCCCCCAGCCGGTTTCAACTGGCGGTTCCGCCAGAACGGGCTTATTCCTACCATTGTCATGACGATTCTCTTTTTGGACACGATAGTTTTTCTACTTCTGATTGCCGCGGCTCTCTATTTACTAAACCCTGCCGCTATTCCTACCATCTTTAATAACGCCTTACTCAACCTTCGCCTTAAACTCCGCATGAAGAAATTCACCTGCGCCAATGTGAACTGCCGGCGGACCAGCTGCATTACATGCCAGAAACCATGGCGCGATCCGCACGTCTGCCATGAACCCTTGCTCCTCGATCTCCGGGCCACCGTTGAGGCAGCCCGCACCGCCGCAGTGAAACGAACATGTCCACGCTGTGGCCTCTCCTTTGTCAAATCCTCTGGTTGTAACAAACTCACCTGCACCTGCGGATACTCGATGTGTTACCTCTGTCGCAAGGCCCTAGGGCCGCCATTGAAGACCCCTCGCAACCGACGGCGACTCCCGCACCAGGAAAACCTCAACCCATTCGGCAACGGACCCGCACTAGAAGAAGACGACGAAGAGGAAGAGGAGCATGAAGGATATAGGCATTTTTGCGAGCACTTCCGCGTCAACCCCGGCGCGCCCTGCACAGCATGCAACAAATGCGAGCTTTACCAAGATGAAGACGAAGAAGCCGTTGCGCGGCGTGCAGGTGAGAAAGCCGAGTACGAGTGGCGCATTAGACACCAGATGGCCGGTGGTACCGATGGGGGTGCGGGTGCAGGTGCACGTATCCCTGCTCTCAATGTCAACCACGACCTTTCCATGCGAACGGCAAGGGCCGATAGGAGATATTCAAACATGATCATGGGTCCCCGCGGCAAGAGTCTCTGGTATTGGGTTGATGAGATGTGGCGATCTGGTCGTTGGAAGGCCGAGGGGCAGGCGCTTATAGATTGGGTTGTAGAGAGGGTCATTGTTATCCAGGAGTTCTGATTGACCTGACCTTTCTTTCTAGGCCAGAAGGTTGGTCGGCCTCCTTTTTTTGGTTTCACTTTTTTAATTGGGATAAGCGGGGTGAATTTGGAACCGGGATGGGAAATAAAGCAAATTGGCGTCTTGGGTGTTTAGGGCTTGGGTTATATACGATGCTATGAAGACATGAAAACAGACTTTCTATTATTAATAACATGAAGCATTTTTGCAATAGACCATAACTCGAGTGAATGCGCTGATATCGATTTCTACTATCGAATTTCGAAACCCAACCCAATAGTATACTCATGACTAGCCTCCAATACTCCATCTTCCCACTGATTGCGGAGATTCAGTAACCTGCTCCGGTAGTTAGCCACTTCAACACTTATCTCAGAGAAGGGAGGGAAGGTATATCGGGGAGACGTATAAGAAAAAAAGAGGGCCGTCTCCCCGAAAGGAAACGGCCGTTCACGAATCCCCGCCAACAGAACACCGTCCAATTCTCCAAGCCCAAGAAAATCACGACAAAGCCAGGACCATGAGTATCCCGGACCCTAGATAAAATCTCCTAACAAGCAGCAGACAAGCCTGGACTTTGAGCCTCACACGAGAGAGGTCCCGCCGCGAGTTCGATGATAGAATCCTTGGTTGCGGGTGATCATGAGGTGGGCGTCGTCGGTGAGATCGGGGTGGAGGTCATTGGAGGGTCTATAGATGGTGAACGATTGTGAACATGCTTGCAGCGTTGGTGTCCATCTCGCAATCTTTTGTGAAGAGTTCCGCCTGTTCGTTTCAGAGGGTGGTGGCTGGGAGTACTTGTCGAGACACTTCCATGTCGAGGGGCCCAGCTTCCTTCTCGAGCCGTGAACGTTACCCAGTGGCGTATCCTCCTGTGTGTGACAGAGTACCTCCAGGGACAAGTTTTTGATTTCCTCTCCGCATTGTAAAAGTTGGAGGGCAATTGAAACGGACAAAGAACATCCCCAAAAACCGCTTCTTGAGAGAAAGTGTCGGAGCCCATCGATCAATTTGCAATCTACATTGCAAAGAGATGGTTAACGCAGTGGATCGGACTTCAAATTAATGAAGCAAATCGATGGCTGATGCCTTGATTTGCAGTTCGCTAGCCTTGGAGAGAGTGGAATGGGCGAAACTGGGCTGGTGAAAAGGTCGAAACCGGAACGTGACAACAGGCCGAAGGGTTTGGAGGTGTTTTACGACTATCCAAGTCATACTTGCGGTGAAGCAATAAAAGGAAAACCTTGCTACAATCGAATCTGTTCGTCAGGAAGCCTGAGCCAGTTGATTCGATTGATTCCGACAAGTGGATTTTCCCTATTGACAGCCCGACTATATGACCGTATGTAGGCAAGTCCAAAAAAAGACCACTGTTGTGTTCAGAAAATCGACAGGCAACATGCAATGATTCGCACTTGGGTCCACATTGATGATAGCCAGCGAAATACATCCGAGGATGCTCGATGCGGTTCACACGGTTGATTCCCAGTTTCTTAATCTCCAGCATAGACAAACCCGGCCCTGTTGATCCGCATGGAATGCCCAGCATTGGATAACCGACGCGTGTCCAGATTTGGACTTGAAAACGCATGGTATTCCGTCTTTTAGTGCCTTTCGGCTCTGGAGGGCTGTCTTTTGTCAAAGCTAATTGACTCCTGAGCAGCCCCCATGCTTCACTGCGAGGCATTTCAACCGACAAGGGTGACTTAGGGTTAGGATCCCAATTTCCGATAAACAGCAGTCGCTCTACTCGAGCTATTGAGCGTGTTTAATTGAAATTAGGGAGTTGAAGGAGGTACATCTGTAAGGGTGCCTTTCCAGGCAAGAGGTGAACACCAGATTGGGGAAATTCGGGCACGAGAAGATTAGGTTCGGCACAGAAGATGTGTGAATGGAACAAGCATCCTTTGTAGCCGTGGCCATGAGCGGCAACAAGCGGAATTTCCTCAGAAAATTGGTTGAGCGGAAGCAATGCTGGAGCTGTAGAGCAGAGAGTGCAGCCAAAACACGGATGGCTGATACGGCACGCCGACGCGACACGAAGTCACATGACATTCTTGTTCAAGCTGGGGTTTTGCCTGTCTCCACCGCCCTCTATATTGAGGGCCGAGGCCTCAGCGACTGATTCCGAAGGCCAACTGCCAACTCTGCGTGCTACAGACGCTTCATGCAATGGACAGTCTGGAGGCCCAGTTCTTTGTATACGCGCCAATTAGCCCCTGTTATTTATAGGTGACATAAAATTGGGAATCGCTGTCGTCAATGGTGTCCCGCAGCGCGGCAATGTTTTCATCCGCTGCTCGCGGGGCTCTGGGGAATATTGCCTCAGGCAGACTCGGCCCGCTGCCGTGATTGATTGCCGTCCTTGACCACTCTCTGTTCGCGACATCCTCCCCTCCTTCTTCTATATTGCTTCTGGTTATGTGGCGTGTGAGGACTATTACATCTATTAGATCTCTACGTCAATTGCGATCCGTTGGTCAATCAGTCAGAATGAAGCATCATTTGATGGTGGGCACCTGGACCCGACCAGGTCGCATCTATACAGTTGCATTCGATGATGAGGCTCTGACTCTAGAGTTGGTCAAGAAGACCGACATTCCTGAAGCTGAGCCAATCTCGTGGATGGCATTTTCTGTATGTTTACGGATATTTTGCCTCTCAATTGGTTTAATCTAACCGAAGCAGCACGACAAAAAAACGATCTATGGCTCCGCTATGAAGAAGTGGAATAGTTTCGCTGTGAACAGCCCTACCGATATTGTTCACCAGGTATCGCATCCCGTGGCTGGACACCGTATGTATTCCTTCTGTATAACTTTAGCTGTGTTTAGGTTTCACTGACATTGATTGTCCGTAGCTTTGGCCGCCAACGAGGACACCAACACCCGTGCGATTTTTGTACTTGCAGCACAAAAGCCCCCATATAATGTCTACGGAAACCCTTTCTATAAGTACGCTGGATTCGGAAATGTGTTCTCAGTAGAGTCGGATGGCCGTCTCGCCAAAAACGTGCAGAACTATGAGTACGAGCCCAACACCGGCATCCACGGCATGGTGTTCGATCCAACCGAGACCTACTTATACTCAGCTGATCTACAAGCCAACAAAATCTGGACACATATCAAGGATGCCACAACCGGCGAATTGACTTTGGTTGATTGCCTCGAGGCGCCTGACCCAGGTGACCATCCCCGCTGGGTCGAGATTCACCCCACCGGAAAATACCTCTATGCTCTTATGGAGGCTGGCAATCGTTTGGCTGTATATGTCATAGATGAGAGGACGCACAAACCTGTCTTCACCCACATAACCTACCCCTTACTTCCTCCCGGTATGTCCCATGCCCACCGACTACTCAGTTGCTTTAATAAACCCTGCCCTAACTTGGACCTAGGTCTTCCCCCACGCAACAAGTACCGCGGCGACGTCACTTTCACCACCCGTAGCGGCGAATATCTCTTCGCAACTACCCGCAGCAACCACTTCGATGTCACCGGCTACATCACTGCTTTCAAGCTGGGCCCAAGCGGTAACATCGAGCGCCAGCTATTCATTCATCCCACTTCCACTAGCGGCGGTCACTCCAACGCCGTAAGCCCTTGCGACTTCAGTGACGAGTGGCTGGCTCTTTGCGATGACCAGCTAGGCTTTGTAGAGATTTATAGATTCCGTGACGAGAATCTGTCCCGCGTAGCACGCGTGGATATTCCGGAGCAGGGATTCGGCATGAATGCAATCTGGTACGATTAAATAATGAATATAAGAAACGAATGAAGCATTCAAACCTACCATATCCAAATTGTATCTTTTTAGTAAGAAACTTAGTTTGCGATATCTAAACTCCAAATGAACTCTGCCCGCACTTAGGATAAGGCTTCGCCTTTTGCAATTCAGCATCTGTAGCGATTAATTGCCTCCTGCTGCGCTGTTCCAAAAAGAAAGCATGAATTATGTACTGTGGCATACCCACTCGCAGAATATATAGACATAGGTATCGAAATCAATCATGCGCAAATCAGCTTAACCAACTCGAATCTAAACAAACGCCGATTAATGTACAATATCTCTCATATTTCGTCTCGCCTTTTCTCCCCTATCAACAACGAACGAGTTCCGATCTAGAAGTCCGTAACACGCCCTCCATAACTCCAATCACCGCTAGATCCCCATCGCAGCGGCTCGTTCTTGGGTCCTCCAACCTCTCCAGTCTTAGGGTTCTTCTCCCCCTCGAATTCGGGCTTAATGCCTTGTTTCATATCCGGATGAAGCTCCTCTCCGTCCGCAACCTTCGCGGATTCGGAGTCGGGCGACTGGTTGACCTGCGGCGCCGAACGAGGCGTGCTGAATGCACCTGTCGATTCTTTCTGAAGTTGTTCAAAGATCTTTTGTTCTTCTTCGGGGAGCCTTGGTGGTGCGGGGCCTTGACGGAATGCGAAGGCTGGTTTGGAGTCGTCGGAGCGGCAGGCGCGGGAGGTTGAGAATAGGGCGCGCGTGGGGTGTGTCAGGTTCGTACGAGCTAGCACTCGTCGGGATACGATGGAGATCGTCATGTTGTCCAGTGTTTAGAAATTCGACGAGGGTGAGTCACTTGGGTTGTGCTGCGGGAGCTGGATGAGTCGAGAGAGGAAGAATGCGGAGTGGCGGAGGTGAAGAGCCGAAGCCGATATCGCTTTATCAGTCACCGTCCAGCTTGATTTTGGATGCGCCATTTGTTCTTGCTCTCTCCCCCACGCATCTTCCCCCCTTCCTCCCTGGCCCCTTCACTCTTCCCAATTGCTCGTGAACTCGTCGTATTCTTTCAGGGCTCGCTTTCAGAAATGTCTTTTGTTCGTGTGGCGTCGCGGCGACTGCCGCTGGCGAAGAGAGTGGTCTCCGCGGTTGAGTCACCGCTGCAACGCCGGTATTTCTCAGCGACTTCAGGAGCTCAGGTAAGTCAATTGCTATCGCTTTCTCTTGTACTGGTCCGCATACTAACTTGTAGGAAGAATGCTAGGATTACTCCTGACCCTGGTGCCGACTCCGTCTCCGTCGCTTTCGTTAATGAGCGCGCCCCGTACCTCGTTCCTACCTACGTTCGACCAAACCCGATTATGGTCAAGGGACAAGGATGCTACTTGTGGGATATGGAGAACAGAAGGTATTTGGATCTTACGGCTGGTATTGCTGTAAACTCTCTCGGTCACTGCGATCCGGAGATCGCAAAGATTATTGCCGAGCAGGTACGTATTCAACAGTAGCTATGCTCAAAGCACCCATTGACACTTATATGTGAGGCCGAAACTCTTCTTCACGCCTCCAACCTTTACCATAACGCTTGGATTGGTGCTCTCAGCCAAGACCTCATCACATTGACCCGCGAGTCTGGCGGCATGCGCGATGCCGCTCAGGTCTTCGTCTCCAACTCCGGCACCGAAGCAAACGAAGCGGCTATCAAGTTTGCCCGTAAGACCGGACGTGCCCGCGACCCCTCCGGCGCAAAACATGAGGTCGTCTCTTTCCAGAACTCATTCCACGGCCGTACAATGGGCGCCCTCTCCGCTACACCAAACCCGAAATACCAAACTCCCTTCTCGCCAATGCTTCCAGGCTTCAAGTACGGAACATATAACGATATTCCTCAGCTTCAAGAACTCGTCACCGAGAAGACCTGCGGTGTGATCGTCGAGCCCATCCAGGGCGAGGGTGGCGTCAACGTTGCTACACCCGAGTTCCTCGCCGCCCTGCGCAAGCGTTGCGACGAGGTCGGGGCCGTTCTGATCTTTGATGAGATTCAGTGTGGTCTTTCTCGAACCGGTAGCTTCTGGGCGCACTCCCACCCCTCTCTTGCCCCTGCGTCTGGCGAAGCTGCACACCCCGATATCCTCACCACCGCCAAGGCTTTGGGCAACGGTATCCCCATCGGCGCCACCATCGTCTCCGGCAAGACCGTGGCCGACAATATCAAGGCCGGCGATCACGGTACCACATTTGGTGGTAACCCGCTTGCCTGCCGTGTTGCACACCACATTATCCACCGCCTTGCATCTCCAGAACTACAAAAGTCCGTCCAGGAGAAGTCCGAGGTGCTAGTCTCTGGCTTCAAGGAGCTGCAGAAGAAGTACCCTGAGCTCGTCTCCGAGGTTCGCGGACGCGGTCTCATTCTCGGCCTCCAGCTCTCTGGAGCCTTTGCCCCCAAGGCATCAGAAATTGTCACCGCCGCGCGCGAACGGGGCATGCTCATTATCACCGCTGGTGACGGGTGTCTCCGGTTCGTCCCTCCTTTGACTGTCACTCAGGAGCAGCTGAAGACTGGCCTGAAAATCTTAGAGCAGGCTTTTGAAGCCGTTTCGAAGGCTTAGTTAGATTCAAGACTTGATCGTTCTGCAACGGGTATATGATTGTTTTCTTCCGTTTATTTGACCCTTTTGGATGCGGGTCCATATACCAATGTGTTAGCACTTTTGTTCCCGTTGATTTGTTAGTTAGAAGGCAGATATAGAAAAAAGTGTTTTTATCGTTTGCTGCCCATCCACAAATTCCGACTCAGCCGTTTGGACGCTGCTGCCAACGAATTAAATATAACAAACCTCTGGTCACCCACTAACTTAAGAATCCCGTAGCCCCGTAGCAAATACCCTTTGAATCAAACCGCGCAAACTCGGCGATTCGTAACCGATCTAAATATCTCGTCCGTTCCTGAGTATCGCGACCACGTGAAGCATCCTAACCCTAATTCAATATGCTGGTGCAGGGCGCTTTTCACCACCCGCAAGTATCTCAGGTCACCTGGCTAACTGGTACAATAGAGTAAAATCGAAGGTTGAGAGCAATCTCGCCCAAAATCATCTAGTATATGGGCGATTGTGGTTTCTGTAAACCAAACTATCACAGGTCGAATATATATTGATATATAAAAATGTGCCCGACCCCGCCCCCCCTCCACCACTAACAGGCACTATTCGCCACGATAAACCACGAACTTCTTGAACAAGAGGCCATCACTTTCTCTTCGGTGACCCACACTAAAATCAAATGCAGCTACAGCTATACGCGACGCATTCCCCGTGTAACGCGAGTTTTCCTTCGCTCTGCATGAACTCGCATATTGCGCACAAACCGCCATCCAGTGTCCTAAAAATCAGCCAGAACGCGGCGGTCACCAATAATACACGCCTCCCGCCAGGGATCTCAATGGATGCAGCAAAAGATCATGTGCACTACGGCGAGAGGGTGAAGTAAGGTTATAACTCTTGCGCTACCATCGGCTGTTGTTTGGTGCCATCCAACCTAGACCCGACGATATCACTTAGACTACGTGGGAGGCCAAAATGGCACTTGCTTTACTGGCACTTAGCGCTGTCACTATTACACCGATAGCGGCTGCTCTTGATAGCAGCTCTGGCTCGGTTTTGTCGGTCAGCCAGTCGGACTGGGAGGCGTTCAATGCGAGTGTTTCTGGACGATTGCATAACGGGGTACCACTGCTTGCACCTTGTTACAAGGCCTTCAATGGGAGGGAGAAGGTATGCCATGAATTTATAGACAGTTTCGATGGTTTCTAATAAATATAGACCGAGGATACTCAACGATGCACATCCCTACAAGAAAACCGACATGATCACGTATTCGTATCCGACCAGTTCGGCGGCTACCAGCAGTCGAACTGGGCGGGATGCCAGGCGACTGGAGACAACTGCGCCATGAAGATTACGGTGCCGGATTTGGATACTCCAGCCACGAGGCATTGTTTGCAGGGAAGTGTCCCGAGGAGGTATGTTGATGCGCGGGGAGTAGAGGATGTGCAGAAGACGCTCCGGTTTGCGAGAGACAACGGGCTTCGGTTGGTTGTGAAGAATACTGGGCATGATTACTTGGGTAGAAGTTCAGCTCCGGATTCATTTGCACTTTGGTATGTTGGGTCCTATATGCATGTTTGTTGTTGTTTTGGCTGACATTTCAGGACACACAATATTCAACCTCCCATTGCGCTCACCGAGGACTTCATCCCCGACGAATGCTCGCAACCGGTCGGTGACGTGATAACCTTCGGTGCAGGGCAGCAATTTGGTGGAGTATACGAGTTTGCAAATGCTCACGGGTATCGGGTAGTGGGCGGCACGTCTCCCAGTGTCGGTATCGCCGGCGGCTGGCTAGCTGGTGGTGGACATAGCATGTTATCGAATGAACTGGGCTTGGGCGTCGACAATGTCCAGCAGATCAAGGTTGTTCTTCCAGACGGGAGGTACATCACTGCGAACCGGTGCCAGAACCAGGATATTTTCTTCGCTCTTCGTGGCGGCGGCGGCGGGACTTTTGGAGTGGTGACTGAGATGAGTTACTCTGTTCACCCCAAAAAGCCTATGCAGTTTGCCCGGATCTCGATTCCTGGGATCAATGAGGATGTGATATCCGAATTTTTCTCAGCCGTCATTGCTAATGCCGATAAATGGGCGTCTGAAGGCTGGGGAGGATACATTCTGCCTGCTGGGGTAGGCGAAGCGTCGACAATATCGCTGGGCACTACGATGCTAGATATTTCTGAAGCCCGGGCTTCCATGCAGCCTCTCATCGATCTTGCCAACAGACCTGCTGATTCGGGCACGTTAGGGAACGCGAGTGTCAACACTGCGGATTACCATAACATCCTTCAAGCCATCATTGCTCGTGAAGAGAGCTTGATTTTCCCTAGCTCAGCCTGGGCTTTCTCCTCTCGTCTCATTCCAAAAGGATCCTTCCATGGCGACAACCAGCAGCGACTCTCATCGGCCCTGCATAACATTATAAAAACAGCGCAAGCGCAAGATGTGCCGGCATCCTCCACGTTGCTAATCTACGCCGTGGCGCCCAGCCTCTACTCTCGTACAATGCCAGAAACAGATCTTCCCGGAGGCCCCGGAGCGTCCTCGGTATCACCAGCTTGGCGCCATGGGCTCTGGCATGTTATATTTACCCGGCAGTTTGACGGCACAACAACCGATCCAAGCACGGTTCAGGAAATTTGGCAGACAACGCACGAAATAATGAATCCGCTGCGAGAACTTACACCCGGTGGCGGCGCGTATCAAAACGAGGCAGATCCATTCGAGCCTGACCCAGTTGATTCGTTTTGGGGAGAGGAAAACTATGCTAGATTGCTCCAAATCAAGAGAGAAGTCGACCCGACGAATTTGCTCACTGTTCATAACGGGATTGGATCGGACGAGACGGATGGAAGATACAGTTGCTATCCTGACATTAAGGTGTGATTGGCATCGCAGATCTTGTGGTAGATTGAGCGACATGACTGACGGTCTTTCCGACTTAGGTTGGCACCACTGCCGCTGCAGCTCCCACGGTGGCCAAAGCTGAGACGCCCAAAGACGAACTCTGAGCGGTAAGGAAACGGATACTTGGCGCTAGCTCGGCTAGTTCAACATTTGAGAGATGCTGGAGCCTGATAAACTTGGTCGATGTGGATGAGTTGGCAATTTAGTTGGTTTTCTCCGCATTGTCAACAAGCGTTTCCACCTCCTGTTCTGTCCAGCGATGGAACAGCTTCTTCGGGTCGGAAAGCGACCCAGTAGTAGCAGACTGTACATGCAAAACCGGGACATCAAAGTCATAAACATCCTTCCACTCCTTATTGCCAGGAACCATAATGTCAATCTCTGAGTAGTCGAATGGGCGCCGCTTATGCAGCTGGGTGACGGTGTGTTTGGCGGTGTCGCAAAGCCCGCAGCCGGCACGCGTGAATAGCGTGACTCGGGCGGGCTGGAGGAGGCGAGAGGTAGGAAACATGGTATACAGAACCAAGTAAAACGAATAGAATCGACCAATTCAATTGACGCCGTGGTCTGATTCACTGGGCTGGCCTAATCGGAGCTGGATGGTTCGCCGGCGAACCCGAGAGGACGGTAATGGAACCTTCGAGCTTCCCCAGACTAAACCGCTTCGGGCTCTGACGAGGAGCTGCATTGAGAAAAGAGTCCCCTCTCCCCCACCTTCTGCTCTCGCTCTTGTCCTCTTCAAATCGCTGCGGAACAACCATCTCTGTGCCATCTAGCCGATTTGCTGTGCAACGCCCACGATGGCTACAAAGTGCGTCCACAAAGGCTGCGGGAAGGTGTTCACCGACCCCGACGAGCCCTGTGTGTACCATCCAGGCCCACCGGTCTTCCATGAAGGACAGAAAGGTAAGTAGCTATAGAAAAAGCCCGCTCTCCCTGGTCTGTCTTGAACTTGATTCGGCGTTCCGGGGGGAGACATGTAAATTCGCAAGTACCCTCTGAGTTAGTGGCCGTCGTACTTTCTGGAACGCATCGCTAATCTTTCCGCTTGTCGAATTAGGTTGGAACTGCTGCAAACCCCGCGTGCTTACTTTTGAGGAGTTTATGGAAATCCCACCCTGCACGACCGGGAAACACTCTGCCGTTGATGATACTCCTGCTCCGGCCCAGAAGAAGGCCGACGAGCCCGCCGCCGCTGCTGCCGCTGCCGTTCCTGTTGCGGCACCGCAGCCGATAAAAGATAGCGGGGTGCCTCGGGCAGCTACACATTCGCCTGCCATCCCTCCTCCGTCGAAACCGTCTACGCCAGCTCCTGAAGAGCCTGAATCAGATGACCCCGAGCTTGCGATCCCGGCGAATGCTACGTGCCGGCGGAAAGGCTGCGGTGCGACCTACAACCCAGATGTATCGCGCGAGGAGGAGAAGTGTGTCCACCACCCTGGACATCCTGTTTTCCACGAGGGTAGCAAGGGTTGGTCATGCTGCAAGAGGAGGGTGCTGGAGTTTGATGCGTTCTTGAAGATCGAAGGTTGTACTGAGAAGAAGAAGCATCTTTTTGTCGGAAAGGGCAAGCCAGCCGGTGAGGAGAAGGTCGATACAGTCAGGTGTGTTTTGTCTATCTTATCAGTGAACTTCTATTTTGCTCTATTTCTCGGCCAGTTCAAAAATTTAAACTGACAATCCGCCAGAAACGACTTTTACCAGACGGCAACATCGGTGAACGTCTCGCTATACCTGAAGAAAATCGACAAGGACAACGCCAAGGTCGAGTTTACAGCGAATGGCATTTCCCTTGACCTCCCAACTACGGACAATAAGCGGTACAAGGATACCTTCGAGCTCTTTGCGCCGATTGACCCCGAAAAGTCCAAGTTCCGCGTGCTGGGCACGAAGCTTGAATTAACGCTGGTCAAGGGCGACGGGACGAGCTGGCCAGTGCTCCGGAAGGATGACCGCTGGTCTGGCGAGCGCATCCAGATTGGCAGTGCAGCGAGGGCATGAGATGGCGGATACTCGACTTCGACATCGAGTATCAAAAACCGATCTAGTAGTAGATATGAATCACGTATATCATTCAACTTGTTTTTGGCTTGCAGCATGACGACGTAGTATCCACAAGACAGTCAACGTAGAGCCAAGTCCAAGTTCATGAAGTGAAATTCTCAAGTCTTAGCGAGAGAACTCTTCCACGGTTGAGATGCGTTGCCGCAAATGCCATGGCGGCAAGCACAGCAGCGTTGAAGATCTACAACGTATTGTTTAAAGCGTGCCAGAAAATTTCACCCGACATCACACAAAATCTTCAAGCCGAACTACGAACCTAACTAAACCGAAAGGTATAAAAAGGCATATTACGCCCCCTCCACAGCCAAAGCGCATGGGTAGTCAGAAGACACACCTAGCCCAGCCATAAATTGTAAGGGAAAAAGAAGGACGCAGATTTGTTCTCCAGAGCCGGGAACGGAAGGAAACCCATGGAGAAAATTAAAAATAATCCCAAAGAATAACCCTCAGCAAGCCGCCGTAGCGGAGCTCCAGTTTTAACGAATTTACATGATAAGTAAACCGCTACTGATGATGGAGAAAGAAAAGAAAAAAAAAAAAGGGAAGAGCGGGCGAAAAGTCGGCTTTTGTACTGGGCGTGGCGGTCGGCACTAGTATTCATTGGGCCTGGCTCGGAGGAATTTTCTTACGCGGTGAGGCAGGGCTTGGACAAGGGGGCTTTGGCGGGTCAGGTGGGCGGTGGCAGAATGGGAACGGTTGCCTCGTGCTGAGGGGGAATCACATGTAAACTATAGTATGGGCTTGACTGGATATGGTTAGATTGATACTGGTAACTTCGGTACGAGAGATCCTCCTTGGTCTGACATCCCAACCCAGGCACACGATCAGAGACTGTAATAAGACGAAGTGGCCATGAGCTCGTATTCTCATAGATCAGATATTAAGAAAACTAAGTTCTCACCCACGTTTGACACCGCGGGGTGGCCTGTGACAGTCTAGAGGCCGATTCAGGCAAAGGAGGGGCGTTGCTCCTGCTCCAATCACAGACAGGGAGGCACGAGACCAAACGGCGTCAATGCCAGAAGCAAGTTGACGACATTGTCTCCCCTTCTGTCTTTTGGCTCCCCTCCCCCCCCCCCTTCCAGACTACTGCACCTTTGCTCTCCTTTCTTTTTTCCCCCATACGCCTTAGCACCGGGCTTCTTCTACAAAGAACAACCCTCATTTTATCTTGTCGAGCTCAATTGCCGGCCGATTTGAGCCTGTCGAGAAATTCTGGAAGCCTATTTGCCTCCGTACCTGGGCCGTACCACAGTTCGCCAACCTTGGGGAATTTAAAAGTGAGTGAAATCCGCCTCCTTCTGCCGCTTCTTTGACGGGTGCTGACTTTGGTTGGGAATTTAGCATTCCTTTCTTACAACTCATAATTCTCCTTTACACCTTTATACAATTCTGTCACCTTTCTTGCACACCATAGACAATGGGCTCGATCAACGGATCAGAGGTCTTTGCCCCGCCACCACGCTACATCTCCCAGTCATACAACCATGCGGACTCGCAAGCTTCTGCTCTGAGGCTCCTACTCACGTTGAACCCTCACTGGGAGGGCCCGGAGAACAAGATCGAGTTCGTACGGTTCACGGACGGGATCACCAATACTGTGTGTTCAAGCTCCCCGCGAAAACTGGTCAAGTTGGCAGACTAACTTTCAGCAGCTTTTCAAAGCCATAAACCGGAAATCTGGCTTGACAGAAGCAGAAATAGACAAAGAAGCAGTACTGATGAGAGCGTATGGTAATCATACAGAGATCCTTATAGACCGCGAAAGTATGCGATACGGGGACAACCCACTCCTTCCCCAAGCCCAATGCGACATATTTGCTAAGTAGAATGGTCCACCCACAGGAGAAACGAACTCGCACGCTCTTCTGGCTAGATTTGGCTTAGCTCCTCCCCTCCTGGCACGCTTTAAGAATGGTCTCCTCTACCGGTTCATCTCGGGGCGGCCGGCCACCCATGACGATCTGGTCACTGAGAGTGTCTGGCGCGGTGTTGCCCGCCGACTTGGCCAGTGGCATGCCGTTCTCCCGACCAGCGAAGCCAGTCCAGAGCCCACCCCGGAGAAAGGAGATTCTCTCTTAGACTCTGTAGAAGTGTCCGCGGATGGCCAGCCAGTGAAGACGAACGATCTGAATGTCATTCAGCCTCGACGGCCGGGACCGAACCTGTGGACCGTGCTCCAGAGATGGATTCTCGCCCTCCCTGCAAGCACTGAAGCGCAGTGTGAGAGACGGCGGGATCTACAGACGGAGCTCGAGCGCGTTGTTCGCGAGTTCGATACCGGCAATGGACTGGGGGAAGACGGGGTACGTTACCACTTACCCGTGGCAAGTCGTTTAGAATTTCTTTTTTTTTTTTTCTGACTCTAGTAGTTGGTATTTGCCCATTGCGACCTTCTATCTGGAAATGTTATCATCCTTCCATCGGAGGGGAGCTCAAACGATGGAGTGGAAACCGTCAATTTCATCGACTACGAATATGCCACACCATCACCGGCAGCGTTTGACATTGCCAACCATTTCGCCGAGTGGGGCGGTTTCAACTGCGACTACGGCATGATGCCGACGCGGTCAGTTCGACGACAGTTCCTGACGGAGTACGTACGCAGCTATGCACAGCACCAGGGCATTCCGGAATCGTCACAACAAGAAATCGTGGACCAGCTATGCGAGGAGGTAGACCGCTTCCGAGGGCTGCCTGGGCTGTACTGGTGAGTTGCACTGGATTAGATGAAAATTATACGACTGTACTAACGTCGGCAGGGGCATCTGGGCGTTGATCCAGGCGCAGATTTCACAGATCGATTTCGATTACGCCTCGTACGCAGAGACGCGACTTGGCGAGTACTACGCATGGCGAGCAGAGACAGAGGGCACAGGGAGCAAGGAGAAGACCCTGCGTGAACGACGATGGGCAGAGGCATAGGTGAACAATTTTCCTTTTGATTCTTTTTGATTCAACAGCAAAATACCACTTGTACAACGGATCTTCAACAGCGTGCATGCATTTAATTTCTTCCATGCCAATTTAGAGATAAGCTAGCTAGAGTCGCTTGATAAACAAATTAACCAAAAATATGTCTATATCCATATAATATCTACAGCCGATGCTGAAGCACCTCCTCATGCGCAGCCGTGATCTTCCCATTATAATCACGACTATCTCTCCCCGGCACCTCGACTCCCAACCCAAGAGCCCTAACAACCTTCCTCCAACTCTCCATGCCCCTCGCCGCATGCACCGCCGGCGTCGCCGGATCAACATCATTACAAGTCCTCGAAAACAACTCCAAACTCACCCACCCCTCAAACCCAATCTCAAAGAACGCCCGCGCAATCTCCAGCACAGGCAAATACCCACCCCTCTCCTCCTCACAGGGAAACAGCCGCGCATTACGCGACCAGTTCATCCGCGCCGGCTGCCCAGGCACATAGAACAGATGACTCTCATCCAGCGGCGCACTCAACCTCTCCCCATCCACAAGCTGGACGTAGAAGATTTTCTTAATATCCAACTCACCGCTGGATACCTTCTCGTGGAGAGTACGTATCGTCTGCGCAACAGCAGCGTCAGCATCCACTGTTTTGCCCGAGACAGACTCCGGGTCCGCATAGATACGGCCCGCGATGTTAAACGAGTCCAGACACAGCCCGAAATTGGGACGGTTGACCCGCTGCACAACCTCCCAGGATGCCTCCCAGGTGTTGATGTGGGTGGACCAGCAGAGGGCTTCGTAGACGAAGCGGAAGCCCTGGGCGGCGCCGATGTCGGCTATTGTCTGGAGGTCTGCGACGATGGTGTGGAGATCTCCTGTTGTGCGAGGGCTGCCGGTGTCTGGGTCGTTCTGGAGGAAGTTTGCGGGGACCTGGATGAGGTCTGTGTTGAGGGCTTTGGCGAGGGAGAACCAGAGGGGCAGTTTTTGGGTGAGTAGGGTTGTTGTTTGGGTGCGGTCGAGGAGGCCCTCGTAGAAGCCGAAGGGTTGTAGGCAGATGATGGTGAGGTTGAGGGAGTGGGCGAGGGCTGAGGTGTGTTTTGCGGCGGCGAGGAGGGAGTTGTTGAATTTGGTGGCGGCGAGGTGGGTGAGGTCGTCGATGAAGAGCTCGATGCCTTGGAAGCCGTGCTGGGCGGCGGTGCGCAGTTTGTCGTCGAGTAAGTGCAGGCCGGGACGGCTGAGGGACATGGTTGGGATGCCGATTTTGAGGGCCATTTTGATGATTTATTCTATTTCTTGATGGTTGGGATGAGGTCTAATGATGATGGGAGGACGTGGTTATATGGATGTCCCTGGTGTTTGCGGTGGTGCTGAGTTCCTGCAGCTGATCGACTGGGCGAAGGAAAGAGACCGGCCTAGAACGTCAGAATAATCAACGTGCAAAAAGCGAGCATAATTACAGGTAACAGCATCAGGATATTATATAAAGCAGATGGGAGTAAATACTGCGAGTATAGCGGGTAAACGCTCTGAGGTCTGGCGGGAGAGCGTTTTGCCCCATCCATCTCCATAGACTGTGGATGGTCTGATGAGCCACATCAGATCTCGCTTGTCAACTCCACGAAATAAAGCAGGGTCCATTCCCCGCATCAGTCTAATCCAACCGTTGAACCAACCGTTAACCCCAGTTAAAATCAATGCCTGAACAACTCTCCATCGTCATCATCGGCGCCGGCCTCATTGGGCCCCGCCACGCCCAGTCCGTCCAGGCACACCCAGAGACAAACCTCGTCGCCTTCATCGACCCATCCCCCTCTGCCCAGCCCATTGCATCCTCCTTCAATGTCCCCTGCCACCCTTCCCTGGACGCCCTCCTATCAAACACTTCCTCGCCTCCCGACGCCGCCATAATCTGCACCCCAAACCACACCCACGTCCCCCTCGCCCTCCAACTCCTAAAGCAGAAAATCCACATCCTGCTCGAAAAACCCGTCTCAGACTCCCTAGCCACCGCAAAGTCCCTCCTCTCCACATCCTCCCAACACCCCGACGTCAAAATCCTCGTCGGCCACCACCGCCGCTTCAACCCTTACATCCAGAGCACAAAGGCCCTGCTCGCCGCAAACTCCCTCGGCAGTATCATCGCCGTAAACGGCCTCTGGACACTCCTCAAACCAGACTCTTACTTTGCGCCGCCGCTAGGCTCCTGGCGCGCTGATAGGGAGAAGGGCGGGGTGCTTGGTATAAACCTCATCCACGATATCGATGTGCTGCAGTTCCTATTTGGGCCGGTGAGGCGTGTTTTTGCCGAAGGAACGAAGCCTCAGCGTGAGCAGACCAATCCAGAGCATACCGCTGAGGAAGGGTGTGCGGTGACGCTGCGCTTTGCGAGTGGTGTTGTTGGGACGTTCCTTGTTAGTGATGTTGTGCCCTCGCCGTTGAATTTTGAGACGGGTACGCGTGAGAACCCGACTATTCCGGGGGTTGAGAGGGAGGAGAGTGCGAGTGATTGTTATAGGATCTTTGGGAGGGGTGGGAGTTTGAGTGTGCCGGATATGACGAGGTGGAGTTATGATGGTGTTGATGGTAATAGCTCTGCGGAGAAAGGGTGGAATTCTGGGCTTAGTGTTGAGAGGATGCCGGTTGATGGGGTTGATGTGAAGCCGTTTGATAGGCAGTTGGAACACTTTGTGAGGGTTTTGAGGGGGGAGGAGGAGGTGAGTTGTTCGGTTGAGGACGGTGTTAGGGCGTTGAGGGTTGTTGGGGGTGTGAGAGAAGCGATGGAGAGTGGGAAGCCAGTAGATATTGCAGATAAATAAATATGTGTGTTATAGTTGATGTATCTCATTCAAATTTATAGACAAGTCAAATAATATATTTGATATACTACTCTGTATACTACTGATACTAAGCCTCCTCAACATGCACCCCTGCCTTCCCCTTCGCCCCCTGCTCAACCTCAGCTCTAAACTGCTCCTCGTTGTCCCGCATCTCGCTCAGCAACTGGCTATGTGCGTGCCAGACAGGCCTCTTGTCAAAGAGCGTCTCCATGCTCTCCAGTGGAATCCCCTTCGTCTCAGGGATAAGGAAGAACACAAACACAATCGACAGGATCATGAGCGACGCGAAGAAAAAGTACACGCCGTACCCCATCGACGTGAACATCTGCGGCGTGAAGCGCGAGATGAGGAAGTTCCACAGCCAGTTGGAGGCGGCCGCGCACGCTTGTGCAAGCGAACGGACGGTGGGGTCAAACATTTCCTGTTGACGTTAGTATATTGATACTAAGGTTTATGAGATAGAAAGCTTACCGAGTTGACGACCCACGGGGTGCCGTTCCACGAGGGCGTGTAGAAGGCTGTCCAGAGGTAGAAGAAGAATATGGCCGCAATGCCGCCGCTGTCGAGTTCAGTGCCCTCGGGGTTATTCTCAGGCTTTGCGATCTTGATATACCCTCCTACGATCCACAGACAGATTGAGCCGCCGGCGGCACCGACGAGGAGGAGGTTACGACGGCCCATGTGGTCGATGAGGTAGAGCAGCCAGACAAACGTGATGACGGCCTTGACGACACCGAAGATACCGGTCGTGAGAAGGCTGGTGTTTCCGCCGCTGACGCCGATACTCGCAAAGACAGTCGGGCTGTAGTAGTTGATGGCGTTGATGCCAGAGCCGTTCTGCCACAGGAACAGCATCGAGCCAAGGAAGAGACGGTAGAGGATACGCTTGTTGGTCCAGGCGGCCTTGAAGGGCTTCCAGAAGCCAAGGCCGATCTTGAGCCGCTGCTCCTCGAGCGACTGCTCGATCATGCTGACTTCCTCCATCATGTAGATATGGTCGGCGGGGAGGTTGCGGATCCAGGCGAGGGTTTCGACGCCCTTGTCCCGGTGGCCGCGCAGGAAGAGCCATCGAGGCGATTCCTTGATGAAGAGGGCGCCGATGATGAGCAGACCAGCAGGGATGAGCTGCACTGCAAAGGGGATGATCCATTGCTTGTGGCTTGGGGCGAGGGTCTCGTCGACACCGTACTGTTTCTGTCAGAATTGAATAAGATATTTAAATAAAGTGAACATACGTTAATCCAGAAGCCAACAACGCCACCAAGCTGCCATCCCAACTCGTAGACACCAACAAGACGACCACGAATCGCAGGGGGCGCCATCTCAGAGATATAGATCGGGCAGAGGTTGGAGCCAGCACCAACACCAATACCCGCCAGAACTCGTCCACCGTAGATGAGACCGAGTCCGCGGTCGCCATTGGCGCCCAGCATGAGACCAGCACCGAGGAAGAAGATCAGAGCAGCGGCCATCAGACCCCATCGGCGGCCGAAGAAGTGGCCGGTTGGGTATGCGAAGAGAGCGCCGAAAAAGGCACCGGCCTGGTACAGCGAGACAATATTGGCGCTGATCAGGTCGGAATCCAGGCTCTCCCAGTTGAACTCATCCTTGAAGGACTGCAGACTAAGAGTCGTGCCGATGAACGCGCTGTCATACCCGATCATGCATGATGTGAAGGAGGCGACGGCGGCGAGCAGGTAGACGCGCCAGTTATAGACTTCCTTGGGGGTTGGCCGGTCCTCGACCAGCGAGAGAATAGACATTTCGAAGAAGAAATTATATATACAGAGTCACAAGGTGGGAGGGGAGTGCAGTGGAGGGAAGGGAAAAAGAGGGCAGGGTATATATACGGAAAGGAGGACGAGAACGGGGTAAAAGGAAACACTGAACCAAGAGGCCACGCAGGGATTTCGTCCGCGCGCAAACTCTGTGGGGAAAGCATTTAGCAATCTGGAACTAAATTAAACGAAAGGAAAACCCCGTTCTCCCCACGGGGTCTCGATTAAGCGACCTGACGGTGGCAGCAGGTTCTTTTCCCGCGTGGCGACCCGCAGGCGAAAGCGTTCACCCGCTCCACATCGCCCGGCTAAACGCTTCCCTCTACCAGACAAATCAATTATAATCTCTCGTCTTCCCTGGATAGCCGCTCTCCAGCCCAGTCAACACCTTCACTTCTCACAATGGAACCCATCACCTCCCCCGCCGACCGCGATGGCGTCGCCTATCTCTATGGCCACCCGCTGCGCAACTCCCTCTCCCCTCCCCTCCACCAGACAGTCTACAACGCCCTCGGCCTCAACTGGACCCAGATCCCGCTCTCAACCGCAGATGCACCCTCAGGAACATTCACAAAGTCCCCGGAAATTCCCACCTTCCTATCCTCCATCCGCACAAACCCCAAGTTCGTCGGCTCCTCCGTCACCATGCCCTGGAAGGTTGCCATCATGTCGCATCTCGACGACCTCACCGAGGACGCAAAGCAGGCCGGCGCCTGCAACACGATATTCCTGCGCAAGGGCCCCAACAACAAAACAGAGTACGTCGGCACAAACACAGACTGCATTGGCATCCGCGAGGCCCTGCTCCAGGGATCCCCGTCAGGCCCGGATCACTTCCGGGGTAAACCCGCGCTGATTGTAGGCGGGGGCGGCACTGCGCGCACGGCAGTGTATGTGCTTCGTCGCTGGCTCGGCGTTAGCAAGATCTACATCGTGAACCGGGATGCAGCGGAGGTCGCTGCCATTCTTGTCGAGGATAAGCAGCGGAATCCCTCGCCGTCTGCGCCGCTGGTCCCTATTTCGACCCCGGAGACTGCGGCGACGGTCGAGGCGCCTGTTGCGATTGTTTCGGGGATCCCGAACTACCCGCCGGCGACGGTGGAGGAGAAGAGGGCTAGGGAGACGCTGCGGGTGCTTTTGAATGGACAGACGCATGAGAAGGACCAGGGGGTTATCTTGGAGATGTGTTACCACCCTCTGCCGTGGACGGATATTGCGCAGATGGCGAGTGATGCCAAGTGGAAGGTTGTGCTTGGGTCGGAGGCCCTGATCTGGCAGGGTCTGGAGCAGGCCAAGTTATGGACAGGGAGGGATGTTGTTGCTGAGCCTGGGCTTGTTGACAAGGTGAAGCAGTTTGTCGCGAGGACGGTGGCGGAGCGGTCCAAGTCGAATTTGTAAACATTATCATTCATCAAGGAAAGGGACTAGCATGTCATATAGAGTAAAATGCATTGTATATAGATCTATGTTTATGACTGCGGCCTAGAATAATCTAGCTGGCGCACCCGTCGCCAGACTTCTCGCACTGTTCGTTCCTGCGTCTCTCGTCCTGTCTCTACTGCCGATGGGCCGGCGGGTCTATATCGTCAGTATCATCTCTACCAAAAGACATCTGGAACCTACCGAATAGCCAAATACAACCGACTCCCCAGCATGACCGGCTCAATCGGCCCATCTATATCCTCGGGCGGATTCGCCGTCGTAACCAAGCCCCCAGCTTCAAGCAGAATTGCAATACCAGCAGCCACGTCCCTATAATTGTTAATCTTCTGAAATAATCAAAATAGAAAGGACTAACCACTCCCAACAGCCCCCCTCCCACCAAATATCCACACTCCCCATAGCCGTATACGCCAGATCCATCGTCGCACTCCCCAAACTCCTCACTCCATGCACCATCCCCCCCTTCCCACCCCTCGACCCGCGCTCACTCGCCAGATTGACAAAACTCTCAATCTTCCTCGCCAGATTCCCATCGGGGATATCGCGCCGGTCCTTCCCCCACTCACACGCAAAGATACACTTCGACGGCGCCGTCGCAGGGAGCGGCGGGATAGACGGGTTGCGGATTATCGGCAGCTGGCGCTTCTCGTTTAGCCATGCGCCTCGGTTTAGGCACGATGAGAAGAGTTGGTCCAGGAGGGGTGCATAGATGACGCCGATTACTGGGTGGTGGTTTACGATGAAGCCGATTGAGACGCAGAACATGGGGAAGGCGTGTGTGAAGTTTACGGTTCCTGGTTTGTTAGCACACATCTAGTAGATGTAGATAGACTGGAATGGAATGGATGGATACCATCTAACGGATCGACACACCACGTCGGCTTCTCATCAACAAGGTATTCGCGCGACTGGCCTTTTGCGTATGTTTCTTCGCCGAGAAATCGGTGGTCCGGGTATTTAGTCTGAATGGCGGTTTTGATTAAGGATTCGGCGTCTGTAAAAATTAATTTAGTTTATATCCTCTTTTTCGGGTGTTATTAAGTGATATACCCTCGTCTGCCTGTGTCACCAAGTCTACTGCATTCTCTTTCTCTTCATACGCCTGCTCGGTGTTGCGCTGGTCGATGCGTTCTAGCAGGAGCTGGCCTGCTTTGCGGGCGATGTCGATCGCGAATGCGTAGATCTCGTCGAGCTGGTCCTGGGGAATGGGACAGTCCATGATGGTGATTTACTTAGGAAGGTTGGAAAAAAGAGAGAGGGAGAGGAGAGTAGAGGGGAAGAGAGCTGGAGAAATCAGAGGATGACTGACTTGTTGGAGTGGGGGTCCCGCTGGTAACCGAGTCTATCTACAACTACACGATCTACGAAGCAGCGATTCCTCATTCAGCAGGAATTAATTAATGACTAACAAGATAGGCTACTTCTAGAACGTGTCAGCGACTCAGCGTATATTAGAGCTGATCATCTCCAGACCCTACCTGGCCCCGTGAAAAGAGGCTTCTCTCAAGCCGGCGCGGCAGAGCCTTCTCCCGCGGCTTTTCCTTATCCGATCACTTGGATCCCCGCAATATGCAACAGATTATTATAATAACGGAAAGCTTCCTGTCAAGTCTCGTGGGATATCGTTACTCTCATTTGAATATCTTACACTAAAATGGCCAAGTCAATCCTACTCATCAACGGCCCCAACCTCAACCTCCTGGGCACCCGCGAACCGCACCTCTACGGTTCAACCACCCTCGCCGACGTCGAGGAATCATCCAAAGCCCACGCTACTTCTCTGGGTGCTACTCTCCAAACATTCCAGTCAAACCACGAAGGCGCTATCGTGGACCGCGTCCAAGCTGCCCGCGGAAACACCGACGCGATCATCATCAACCCCGGCGCATACACACACACCTCTGTCGCTATTCGCGATGCTCTCTTAGGGGTAGAAATCCCCTTCATCGAACTTCACGTGAGTAACGTCCATGCGCGTGAGCCCTGGAGGCATCACAGTTACTTCAGCGACAAGGCCTCAGGAATCATCGTCGGGTTGGGTGCGTATGGATACAAGGTTGCGGTTGAGCATGTTGCTTTGAATTTCAAGCCCTTAGAAAGGAAGGCAGCCCTGTAAATAATACAAGGAATTCCGTTCACGAGAAGTGCTGCGTATAAAACGTAGGATCCCCATTCATGTCAATGGGTCATCTGGGATTTAGTGACTCGCTCGTTATTTGTGGCTCACGCCGGAGGGTGTCTGTCTCCGGCGATGTCAACGTTTGTTGTGACGGGGCGAGAAGGAAGGGGTCTCTTTGGCTTGTGTACGGGTATAGCTCTGGAATACCCGCCTCCGGAACGAACCCCAAGTTTTGCATGAATTCTGGTTGATTATCCATCCTGTCACATATTAGTTATGAATGTACTCTAAATTGGGAGCAAGTCTCACCTGTCTGTGCCATCCAGTGAAGCCAACTCGTCAAACAAGGCATCGAGATCAGGAGCAACCCTTGGCCGGCGTAGAGGCCCTGCGCCCTCTATATCGACCAGCGAATTGAAATTCAAGCCAGGGTCATTATATGTTTGCTGATACTGAGGCGCCGCGGGAGGAAATGGTGTCGTTAGATCGGATAACATCGTCGCTCCATTGGGTCTCCCAGAGACTGAAGACCGATGTTGTTGCGGAATGTGGGGAGGGGTTGGATTTGGAGCGTCGAGTCCAGGAGGTATACTCAAAGACGAGGTCGGTGTCGGTAGAGACAACACCGCGTTTTCATCGGCAGCCGATGCTCGCATCCAAGTTGGCGAGAGGAATGATTCAGGAGTTGAAAGGTTCACAGTACGAGATTCACCAATCAAGTTGGTTACACGTGCGTTGTTGCCGGGGGTGTTCTGGGCTGCGGGGCTTGAATAAGAGTTGCCCTGCCGCGTCGCTGAGTCGGATCTTGCTTGAGAAAGACGGCTGTCATGGACCCATACCGTTGCGAGATGGGCAGAGAATGACTGTAATTTATGTTTGACCCCTGGGTCAGCCTCAAAGACCCAAGGCACACTTTTCCTCATGCCTGCATGTGGAAGGCCTAAAGTCAAGGCCATTCCAAACGTTGGGCACGTTGCGGAAATGCTATATGTCTCCATGTAGGCCTGGAGTAATGATATAAGCCGCTTAGAACCATCTGAAGCACGTGTCACCCCGTTTCTATCGTTTTTCTGTACTGCTAGCTGCACACTTATGGTGGCTGCGACGGCCTCGTACATCATTTCAAGCCCGAATATGTGTGGTGATGCTGGCTTGCTGAGGTTTGTTTGCAAGTCAATCCGATAGCTTCTCGGAAGCGCCGAGACCCAATGCTGTAATTGCCGTTCAAGCGCCTCTGTATATGATAGCGAGTTTGCCGATGTTTGCCCCGAGCAGCACAGGTCGTTCAAAATAGACATCAAGGATAGCAGCCGGTTGAACGTGCTCAGTGCGTGGAGAGGCCCGCGGTGAAACGAGCTCCGCGATGATTCTACCGGCCGAAGACCGGTCTGGTCCTCCCAGGGCTGCCATTCTTCGAGGCCATCTTCATTAATCAAACCAATCTTTGTCAAGTCACTCTTGCGCAGCGAAGGCACCTGGCCTGTTTGGGCAGCAATTAGCGTCTCTAGTAGAAAACACCCTAGAAAGACATGCTTGGACCGTCCCGCGGCCTTGTTATCTTCAATGGCTGTGCTAGGAGGATTATCCAAGCCTAGGATTTGAGCAGTTCTAACGGCTTGGCCCACAAGAACCCAAGCTGCCGCCCAGTCCTGCTGGCCGAGTTTGATCAATGACAATATCAGGAGTGCCTGAACATGACCAATTTCAAAAGCCCCATTTTCCGTTGGTATGAGACTTCTAGCTTTCGAATATAGCTGACTAGGGTCCAGCCTGTCCTCAGGAAAGTCTGGAATCTGACGTGTGGCAGATATTGATGCTTGCTGTATGGACGCAAGTGCTAGAACTGCCCACAACGCCGCATGATCTCCGTGGGCTGATGTCGGAGAGTTGTTCTGATCGTCAGCATGGCGGAAAGCTGTTCGGAGTATGTCATGCTTTTCCAGTATTGGAAACCAACATTGGGTATACGAGAAGTATATATCGAGTAGCGGCCAGGGGTTAGAAGGAAGCTGTTGGTAGTGTTCTTGGATCGAGTACGGAGAGATACCGGGCCGATTGTGAATGGACGCGCCATTAGTGGCGAGGCCGTCGAATTGGTCGCTTGGTGTCGTCTGGGTACCAGAGTCTCTGGAGACACGAGTTGTACTTGGCCTGATCGTAGATGAGCTCAAGGGCGCTCTCACTGGAGACGGCCCAACGTCCGCAAGAGAATCCGGAAGATTCCACTCGAGTGTCTCCGTCGAAATCACACTGCTTCCTTCGGCATCTGCCGGGGACTCTATCTCTCCCCTCGCAGCCCTTTCTTGATCTTCATCCGGCTGCTCAAGAAACGTCAAGAGGCGCTCGATTTCCTTCAAGACAATGCTGTTTTTGAACGAGGAGAGCAAGGTGTCAGAGCCTTCTGCCTCCTTTCCCATGGTAGCCAAATGACTGGGAATATTGGCCGCCCTCAACAGAGTCCGAACGACCTCCTCGCTACCTTGTATTTTTGTGAACACAAGCCCCCATAGCAGCTCTAGCGTGCGAATGTACCCGGTCGGGAGACCACGTTTCTTTGGATTGGCTCTGTAGGTGCAGGGTCGCGAGAGAGAAGCGCAAGTCGAACAGATCGGTTGGGCCCCGTCGCACTTGTCCTTTTTAGACCTGCAGCTGTCGCAGGCTCGAGAGACGCGCTGTCGTTTAGAATTCGAGGTAGCATCGTCGGACGCAGGGACCTGCCTGTTCTCATCGTCGACCGCATCGGTTAATCGCCGTTTTGATTTGGCGCTACCTCCGGTAGTTTGGCGGGTATCGCTACTCATAGTCGATACAACTGTATGTTTGACGACTTTGAACGCATGCTTATCGTCGGTGCGCAAGGGCGAGATGAATTCTTTGCCGGCGGCTGTTTAATTGCTTTCCCCGGGCGTTGGATGTACCCTATCCCCCACCCACTGCGACGAAGAGGGACGGATGTGGCGGACGGCACGTCAAAAATTTGCGAATAGGCACTAGAACCTTTCAATTCCCGAACCGAAAGGGCCTGAACACAGAAAAGGCCACCCTAGTGTTGTTGTGACAGAGAAGATCGTGGGTGCTGTGTGTGGGAACAGCGAAAGGGAAAGCGGAGAAAGAGAAGTTGGGGAAGGACAGCGATATCGCTTATCCGCTGGCTGCTCCCATGACAGCGAGAGACCCGTAGCACAAAAGTTTTCATAAGGTAGACTAGTTTGACTTGGACGCCTTTTTCCCACCGGTCGCCCAGTCCAGGAAACGTGGAACTGGCGAAGTGCCAGCAAGGGAAAATGCCGGAGATTCCCCGCGGGGAGAGACGAAACATTTTCTGCCAATGAAAGAGCGTGTATATCATCGCAGTTGGTCCGATCCCCTCTTGGATGAGTGGAAAAGTGGAGGATGGCTTTGCCGGCAGTCGAAGTCGGCAACTTGCTTGGGACAGCCGAGCTCTTCCCCGAGTGCGAGAGCAAGGCAGGAAGGCATCAACTCTATACTCCTGGTCTAACATATGGTTCCAGCTCCGACATATTGGAGCCCGTGATTAATCCTAATAGCAGATTGAGTAAATATATGGAGTAAACTGATTTTTTCTTGGCTCTTTTTCTTTGTATCTTATTAGCAATCCGCATATGCATATCTCGATACCCTACTTGTCGGTGTAGCTTCATGTTTTAGCTGGACCATACAACGATATAGATCTGGTGGCTAGCCTTTTAGATCTTCAGTCTCCCCACGGGGATGTATCTGCAAGCCACTTCTGGTATTCTGCAATATCATCGATGCACAGAAACTGATGGGCTGATCAGATGTAGGCGGGTGAGCGCTTAGCCGCATCGCCTGAAACGAGGCCTCAGGCACCAAGGCAGCGAGGGTGAGACTTCCCCGCGACCCCAAACTTCCGCGAAGGATCCAATTTCTCCCGCTCGACTGAGCCCACACTTGGCTGCTTATGCGGTTTGTCGACGTTAGATAGCCCTGGTGCCAGACCAGAGCTCTTCTAGAATACTTTCCATTTGCACCTCTCACTTCACATCTTTCATTTCCTCCAGCCATGTCGGGCTAACCATGGTTCAATCCTCTGCTACAATCTAATTGCGGTTGCCTCCTTAGCACACCATGTCCTTACTCGTGCGGCCACCTAAGCGCCGCTTCGACGACATCGAAGGTCGTGACCAAAACCCCCGCCGTCCTTCTCGAGGCTTCAACCAGGGGGTCAACACACTCGGGACTACTACACCTACCTACTCCGCCGACCATGGACGCTTTGACGAACGGCTAGAAAGCTCTGGGGAAGGGTCCAGATTCGCTTCCCCGTTCCGAGAAATGGGGTCTGGCCGCGGATCACCCACACACATTCAAGACTCGCTTCAGACTCAGAGGAAATTCGCCCAGAATGCGTCCATCGTTTTGATTGGTATACGGGGCACGGGCAAGTCCAGTCTCGCTGTGATGCTCGCGGCGACTTATGGCTGGCGCCTGATCGAAGCAGAAAGATATTTTCAACAGGTGACGGGGCGCTGTCGGGCGGCTTATAAAAGAGAGTACACGCTGCCGGAATACCGGCGGCAAGAGGCCCTTGTTATGGAATCAATGCTCATGGAGCACCAGGAGAACTGCGTCATTGTCTGCGGGTCAGGCGATGTCGAGCGCAACGGGCAGCTTCGACTCCGTGAATACGCGAAAACCCACCCTGTTATCCATATAGTTCGGGACTTGGGAAGCATCCAGTCTTACCTGAAGGCCCGCGACACCGAAAAAGTGCGCCGTTTCCTTGAACTGTCTGGTCCAATCTATCGAGCGTGCTCCAATTTCGAATTCTTCAACGTCTCGGAGAAAGGCATCGGTGATCAACAATTAGCCAAGGATAATGGAAATTATACGCAATGGGATGCCGAGGTGGACCAGCGATCGATGACATCTACTCCCTTCCTAGTGCTTAAACGATTGCAGCGCAATTTTCTTCGGTTTGTCGCTTTTGCTACTCGCAACACCACCCAGCTAAAAAATCAGCTCTCGCCTTTTCCTCTACATATGCAACCGATTGAGTCGCGCAAATTCACGTATGCCGCAACAGTGCCGATATCCTGCCTTTTAGAACGTGACTTGGATATTGAAGAGTTAGAGTCGACGGCAGACGCCTTCGAACTCAAAATTGATGTGTCTTCAACGCCATCCGCCCAGCTCGGCACCGAGTCAAATCTAGCGGACGGCATCAGCCAGATTGTGGCCACTGTGCGGCGGAGCATTATTGTGCCTTTAGTGTATCATGTTGATAGCAGCATCTTCCTGGACAATCAGCATTTGGAGACATCACGGCGCTCCGACACCTCGTACTTGGAATTGGTGCAGCACGGCCTGCGGTTGGCGCCAGAATTCGTGACAGTTGATCTGTCATTCGACGATAGTATTATATCTCAGATCATCTCAACCAAGGGGTCTACCAGGGTTATTGGACATTATGCACTAAACCATCCACGTCCCAGAGGTTGGGACGATCCCGAATACCTAGCCTTTTATGAACGAGCGAAGAAACTTGGGTGTGATATGGTTCGCTTGACGCAGCCGGCAACATCAATCGATGACAACTTTGCCGTCGAACGTTTTCGACATTATATCAAAAGCCTCCCTGGACCGCAGCTCCCGGTTATCGCTTATAACTCTGGCGCTCTTGGCCGGCAATCCTGCTGTTTCAACCCGATATTGACGCCTGTGATACCTCGACCTTTGGTTTCTGAGTCTGGAACAAAGGGGCTTCCGTTCATCACCATAAAAGAAGCGCAAGATGCTCTCTACGCCTCATTTGTTCTGGATCCGATGCAATTCTTCGTCTTTGGAGCCAATACAACATACAGTCTGTCACCCGCAATGCACAATGCTGCCTTTAGGCTGCGTGGTATGCCACATTTCTACAGCATCCACCAGTCGCCGACGTTACGGGGCATCAACGAGCTGGTGGAAAATCCGAACTTTGGAGGAACGAGTGTCAGCTTGCCATATAAAACAGAAGTGATCCCCCTCCTTCATTCGATGTCACCCCACGCCCGTGCAATTGGAGCTGTCAACACTCTGATACCAATTCGGGACATCGAGACGAGCACCGATAACGCCTTGGATATGGAGAAGAGCCGGTCCGGGCCTGTCAAAGGCTTACACGGAGACAACACAGATTGGATCGGGATCTGCAATTGCATACGACGAGGGCTTTCCCCAGCGAATGCTGTCCGTCCCTCCACGACAGGGCTGATTATAGGAGCCGGTGGAATGGCGCGTGCCGGTATCTACTCAATGATCCATCTAGGAGTGCAAAATATCTTCATCTGGAACCGTACAGTCGCCAATGCCGAGAAGCTCGCGCAACATTATATGCGACTGAAACTCAACGCCTTTGGCGGAAGCGGGCCATCAGGCTATCAAATTCACGTTCTGGAGTCGCTGCAGGATAGCTGGCCGGCCAACTACAAACAGCCAACTATCGTTTGCTCAGGTATTCCGGCGCATAAAATTGGCGATCAACCGGCGCCGAACTTTCAACTACCTTCGCAGTGGATTGAGAGTCCAACAGGTGGCGTGGTCGTTGATGTAAGTACCCCTAGAAACATGATGAAAGAGAAGCAGTGCTAACACTCCAAAGCTTGCATATAAACCACTTAATACCCCGCTTATGCGCCAGATTCGTGCCCTCTCCCATCGTGGCTGGGTAGCCCTCGACGGACTGGATGTCCTTCCCGAGCAAGGATTCGCGCAGTTTGAGCTTTTCACCGGGTGCCGCGCCCCTCGACGGCTCATGCGAACTGTTATCTTGCAAGAGTATAAGGAGGAGGAGCAGGGGGAAGAGTATGACCAGAGCGCTATGCAAACTCGACTTCAGAATCTCGATGGACAGCCGATGTGAGTTCTAGGCACCAAAACACGCCATCACAGACTGTAAAGTGCTGGCAGTATACCACTGCCTAAACTGCGCGGATGATCATGCTTCAAGGAAAGAGGACCCCTGGCCGGGATATCCGAGGATAGCAGAACGTCTGCGAATTATTAGCCAAGGCCATCGCGGAACAGTTCTCAAACGCTGAAACGAGGAGATGCACGCCGAGCCTCGACGTACCGAGCCCATTCGGCAAACTACACATGCCGCGTGGCATTCAAATTACCATTAATGATGATTAGATGACAAAAAATATACCCATCCTTGCAATTTCACATTTCGGTTCTATCCTATTCTAAACACACCCCCGTCAACCCACCCTCCAATATTGCAGTCAAGGATCCCCGTCCCTTCAAACCATAGGAAGTCAAGTCAGTCGAGCGAGTCAATCACTCAAGCCTCTCCCCCTCTCCCCAACCCCCAAGCCCAGCCCCCGAAAACCCCTCAAAATTGCCACAAGTCAACCGATCCGAATTCGGCGCATGCACCACCCACGACAAATCGCCAAAATAAGCCTCATGGCCGGGCGTATTCGCCAGGAAGAAATCGGTGTAGGTCGCGTGGAACTCCTGGCCTTCAGGCGCCCACGCGGGGCCATGCTTCCCGCTCAGATCGCCGACCTCGCATGTCTGCGGCGCGGTGATGGTGCACGGGGGTTCCTGGCCGCGGCCGTGGGGGTCGAGGTGGGAGCCGGTCAGGTAGCAGTTTCCGTCCTCCGGGACGCGGGAGGCGTGGATGTGGTAGTCTATTGACATTAGCATCCCTCGTTTAAATGGAGATGGGGTTAGATAGGTATTAGGTAAGGGAAGACGTACTCAGGTATTCACCCTCGGGGATGCCGCCGATGCGCACGTCGACCTGGAGAGCGCTGGAGTGGCCGCGCGTGGTGATTGTGATGTCGCCGTAGACGGTCGTGTTGTCCTTCTTGAGCAGGGATGCGTGGTGGAAGGAGAGAGGCTGGTTGTCGGTGATGACGGTAGCGTTGGTATCAGTGGGTGTTTCGGTGTCGGCGTCTTGGGCTGCGGTGGCTGATATGAGGCCGAAAATGGCGGTGGAGAGGAGTTTGAGGTTCATTTTGTCAAGTCTATCTTGTCTGTTGATGGAAAGGAGAAGAAGAAGAGGGAGAAGTAATGTGGTATATATATATATCGAGTTGTCAGGATGACAGGGATGAATATTTTATACACAAAGACAAACAAAGAGCTTGAGCCAAAACAAAACGCAGAAATGAAACGGAAAGTCAATCTTATTTAATTCACCCCCTGGCGGAGCAAGCAAACGCCGAGCTCCCTGGCTTCTTTATGCAGTGCGAGGTGAAGCAGTGCAGTGCCAACACGCCGAGGAACCAAGAACCCACGAAACAGCGATCCCCGACCGGAATTCCCCAGTTGGAACTGCCAAGGTGGGATGTGATGGCTTGGGAGCCTGACAGGGCGCTTTATTGGTGTGTCAGCCGCTGGGATTCTGCTTGGAAGGTGAACAGCGAGGCGCGGGATTCCTCAGGTGGGATTTTAGCTCTGCTGACAGTGGCAGTGAGTCTGGTGGTTCGCGCATTCTCAGTGAAGAGTCTGGGGAATGTTATTTGTTGTGCTGCATCCTGATTGAGGCTGCCTAGAGAAGGCTAAGAATAGGCCCGCGGTTGGAACAAAACCATCTATTCATTTGAGTCAGTAATAAAGCTGGCTGGTTGTATTCACGCCTATGTTGACTGCTTCGGTGAGGACTTCAACGCACTGTCCAGATAGACTGAGTATTATTTACGCCAGGGCAAAGGAATCGTAGGTTTACACTAACACCGAATACGACTGTTCACTCAACTACATTCTTCCACCTGGAGAATGGCTCATGTATATTTTCAGGTCCATGATAGGCTAAATATAGGCCTATTTTAGTTAGGTACGCTGAGGCTTCTAGATAAGCCCCAGCCCCAGCCTCAAGCAGTATCAGCTCCGTCCCCAGCCCAGCATCTGGTCACTCCTCGCATCCCCTCACCTAACAGCTGGGAAACTATTCTCCGAATCCTCTGCAAAGGCAAGTTATCCTGCGTGGTCCGAGACCAACGCCGCAAATCCAAACTCCGAGTCCGAATCCGGCTCTAAATGACCGTTTACATCTCAGAACGAGACTAGGATGACGGATATGTCGCCGCTGGAATGGGGACCCTATTAAGGCTAATAGTGGACTGATCTCGGTTGAGTTTCCGACGTACTGGTACCGATGTTTTGGGGGCGCCAATGCGGATGCGGATGCGGGTTGTGCAGATGGTTGTGCAGACGAAGTTCTGCGGTGTTATTTTGTTGATAGAGGACCGGGAGTGCTGTGTGTTCTTTTGGATGTAGAAGACTACTTAGACCCGCATGCCGATTACCACTACTTAAATGCCCCTCAGAGCCATGTTCCAATACCAGGGCTCTAGATAAATTTGTGTACCATGACTTTCTAAATCTCCGATCTTCCACGCGAAATTAGTGAACCTAAGTGCAGGACCTGTGTTGAATTGGCCTTTATCTTAAAAACACCGTGTGCGTGTGAGGTTAATAGTCTGTCTCTAATCTGGTGTACTGCTACCCTTAGGTTCACTGTGTTTTCTAGCACAACTAGTTATCAGGTAGGCACGGCCTGGTGCTCGTCCACAGAGAGAGGGCACTTTGATAACGTACTGGGCTCCTTCCTGAATAAATGCTGATAGTGTCAGGTCTCCCCAAAATGACTGACTATCAATTGAGGAAAGAGCAGTCGGGCGTGCTATCAGCGCGGAAGGACAGGCGAAAAATACGTGGTGGCAAAACAAGGAGGTCTCGGGTTCAAGGCCCACTGTCTTGATCTTTTGCTATATAATCTTTCGGAGATATGGTCCAAGAACCCTGAAAGCATACATTATGCTAATTATCCGATACTACTAATGGATGGCAGTGTTTCTGGCATGTGATACTAATGGCTGGCAGTATACCCAGTATAGTAACGGTAACGTACCCCCCCACATCTACTTTGTTGTTTTGATGCTCCCTTAAACCTAACGTCGACTGCTAACCTTCCAAAACAAAACAACAATGGTGAGGTAGCATGAGCTCCTATGTGGCATGGGATCAGGGGAAAGGTTGGAGCGAAGTAGTCTTTACAGGGCCGCACCCCTGGGACAGCCGGACGTACATCATTGTCGCAAAGCCATTGCCTTTGCTGGAAAACTTTGTTGGAAGTTAGTTTTGACTCATTCTGAAGATTTCATCCCTCCTGATTTTGTTGTTTGACAGCTGTATACTGGCACCCGAGGCGGGCGTTTGGTTGGCCGTGTGCGATAGGTGTCAAAATATTGAGTATTGCTGTGGAAGGAACGTTAAGGGCGTCACATTATTCTGCCGGCTTCAATATAACTCTTTGTCTACAAGAATCTGTTGCCTGCTAGTATCCCCTAACACAGGCTCTACTGTCGATGTTTAAAGTTTTTTCTTCCTTTTTCCCTACGTACCCCTGGAGATACTCTATTTTAGTATTCCAAGGAAATAAAAGGGCCGCTATGCTGTAATCTCTGAAACCTACACCTCTGGTAAAAGTCCCGCAGAAAACGAACGCCAGATAAACTTTATGGCGAGTTGTTCTACCCAACGTATTACCTGGTAAATGGTCCATTTTGAGTTCCTGATCGTACGAGAGCGCTTCAAGGTTTGGGAGCGGCCATCAGACCGTGGTCTGTATGATGAGTTAAGGTGGCCTGTCGTATTTTGCCTGTCTGGTTATGGCAGGAGTGAGTCAGAGACCCTCTATTTATTGTCTCTGACCCCCGAGCCTGAACTCTTCTTCTCATCTCTTCATTTTCCCTCATATCAGATACTACCCTAGAAAATGGATCTTCTACACGAACTTGAGAGCCTGGCAGTTATTGCCGAAGATAACAAGAACCACGAGGGCCCATTCCAGGAGCTCCTCCAAGAGGCAAAGCCTACAAGTTTCTGCCCAGACGTCTAGACGAAGTTGCAGCTGCAACCACAGGACCTGAAGTCCACATACCTTGTCAAGCTGGACGGTCCGTTAGGGACTGCGTCCAAGGTCCAAGAGCTTGCTGGGATGCTCCATCTCCCCCAGCAAGTAGAGGGATCCGGAGACGTATCTGGAGATGCGTCATTCTGCTTTGTCAATGGTGTGGAAAAGCGTGCAATAATAGGAGCACTTTTCAACAGCTCCTTCGCTCCCACGTTCATCCACATTAACAAGGCAGAGAAGGCCCTTTCAAGCGACAGCGCAGCACCGTGCCTCGGATACGATGCGACCCTCCCTCACCACCGCGCCACGGGGCTTGTCCATGACTTCCTCCCAGCCCAGAACCAGTACCCGGTCTGGTATTTCTTCTATGGAACGCTGGCGAACCCGGACGTCCTCGTTGAGAAGCTTGGGCTTTGCACCCGTCCCACCCTCCGACCTGCCACTGTCGACGGGGCCAACATTCGAACTTGGGGTAGTAAGTACAAGGCTCTGGTGGATGGCGGCGGCCTAGTGACGGGATGGGCTTACAAAGTAGCCTCTGCGGGACACGAAGATGAGCTTCGATACTACGAGACCAGCCAATATGAGGTTGTACGATGCGCTATCGTGATGAATGACACCAACGAGCGTGTTTGGGGGCTCACTTTCCGCTTCGTCGGTTCTTGTGACTGAGCTGGTGGATGATGAAGTGGTGAATAGAATGTATTATTAGATTGGTTTGCACGCAGCTCATTTCCATATTACTTATCATTAGAGCATAAATTCGAATTCAGGCGTTGGATCCTTCCTGAAAACACAAGAGTGATCAAGTTGGTCCTCAGTTTCCTTCAGAGTCACTTCTATACTCCTTAGAGCCTTTTCATAATCAACTACATTTTCGGTACATATACAGCGTAGAATTTGCATGTTCTAACAGGTTGTATATGATTTGTAATGATTTACTAGAACCCCGTCTGGTGGAGCACTACTAGTCGTTGAAGGAAATGTCTACACCAAGAATACTGATCTCAAAATGACGGGTATAGATTTTACACTACGCTTGCCCATGCAAGATGACCATCACTACAGGTTGCGATGTGATCTTCGAGCCCTCGTCAGCAAACTTGTTCCCGACAGCGTTGCCGTCTTTGAGGACTACACCCGGCTCAGGGGCCTGCGGGCAGAAGAGTATTACGCATGTTCCTGGACTCGGATATACTCCGAGGGCCTCGTTCGTTGACAACTCAGTCCAGATCAGACTCCGTTGATCCGAACGAGCTTATATGCAGCTGGTCTCGACCGAGAGCTGCAGGGTCGAAGAGGAGAAGAACAGAAAGAGAATCGATTGACGGTGACGCAAAAGGGAAAAACGGAAGGCAGAGGCACCCATTCCCTCATCAGGAAATTCATGCGACTTCGCGGCAGAATTGCCTCATCCAGCCGGTGTTGGTCCCCCGCAGAGGAGTGTCTCCCTCCCCCACCAACCCACCTCTTCCTTTGATGCCTTGTCTGCGGTTCACAAATTCGCCAAATGCAAAGAATGGCCCTCATGATTCAGTCCGGATCCATTCCTGGTCATGGGAACCTCCCCCCCGATGGAGTCCAGACTACGTATTTATACTCCGCTGTTCCTGGGGATCCCAACTTTTCCTCAGCCTGACTTACACCCTTATCTTGGACTCTGAAAGTCGTCAGCCACCAAGAGACAGCCCACCATGTCTCTAGCCCAGAACCAATACATCATTCAGCTCCCCCAAACCCCTCCCCTCCACCGCAACCCAGACCCTCGTTCAATTGCTCAGCAATGGGCCACTGAATTCGAAGTCCTACTCCGCACTAGCGACTTCTCCAAGCTCTCGCAGCTCTTCCACGAAGACTCTTGGTGGCGCGACCTCCTAAGTCTAACATGGGACCTCCGCTCCATCCAGAACCTCAGCGGTATCAAAGACTTCCTCTCCCAGAACCAGCCGCGCGCTCAGCTGTCGCATTTCCGTCTGCAGCATGAGGGCAAGTTCCAGCCGAGTCTGGAAGAGGCGGCGCCCGGTCTTACCTGGATCTCGACCATGTTCTTCTTTGAAACGGGCGTAGGACGTGGATCTGGTGTTCTCCGCCTGACGCAGGATACCGAGGGCGCGTGGAAGGCTTATGCAATCTATACCTCTTTGCAAGAGCTGAAGGATATGGAGGAGCCTGTGGGCTTTAAGAGGGTTTATGGTACTACTGAGACGATGCCCGGAGGGTTGAGCCGGGGAACATGGATTGAGCGGCGGAAACGACAGGTTCTCTTCGACGAGGAAGAACCTGCCACTCTTATTGTTGGTGCCGGTGAGCCTCAATCCCAATGAGTCGCACTCTAAACTATTCACTAACAATCTGCAGGCCAGGCCGGTCTGAACTTGGCTGCTCGGCTCCAATCCCTCGGTGTACCCTGTCTAGTCGTCGACAAGCATGAGAGAATCGGGGATAACTGGAGGACTCGCTATAGGGTATGTCTTCTTCCCATCCCAGGAATCATATATGCTAACAACTTAGACCCTCGTAACTCACGACCCCGTCGAGTTTACCCACATGGCCTACCTCCCCTTTCCCAAAAACTGGCCCGAATTTACCCCCAAAGACAAGCTCGGTGACTGGTTCGAGGCCTACGCAAGCATCATGGAGTTAAATGTCTGGGTTAAGACCAGCGTCACAGGCGCAACATACGATGACTCCAAGAAAGAGTGGACTGTCTCAGTGACACGCGGCGACGGGTCAGAACGCACCCTCCGCCCTCGCCATCTCGTCTGGTGTACGGGACACTCAGGCGAGCCTCTAATTCCTACTTTCCATGACCAAGAAAAGTTCAAGGGGACGCTCTACCACGCCACAAAGCACAGGGACGCATCAGAGTACGACGTCAAGGGGAAGAAGGTTGTTGTCGTCGGCACAGGGAATAGCGGCCACGACATCGCGCAGAATTTCCAGGAGAACGGGGCCGACGTGACCATGCTGCAGCGCAGGGGAACGTACGTTATCACTGCAGACAAGGGTATCTTCATGATGCACGAAGGGTTGCATGAAGAAAACGGGTATGTTTATCTTACCTTCCTCGCCTATCCTTTTTCCCCAACTAACGAACCATACTAGACCCCCGACAGAAGAATGCGATTTAATCGCCGAATCCCTCCCGTACCCCGTCCGCTTCGCACTCAGCGTCCACTTCACGAAACGCGCCTACGAAGCCGAGAAAGATATAATGACGGGCCTCGAAAAGGCCGGCTTCGAACTCGACCACGGCGTCGACGGTGCAGGAATTGTCCGTGCCTACATGACCCGCGGCGGCGGGTACTACATCGACGTCGGCTGCAGCCAGCTCATTGCAGATGGGAAGATTAAAGTACGACGCAGCCCTGAGGGGATATCAGGCTTCACGGAGCGTGGTCTCAAACTTAAGGATGGCGGGGAGTTAGACGCAGATATTGTTGTTCTTGCTACAGGGTATGATAACATGCGCACGACTGTGCGGAAGACACTAGGTGGGAAGGTTGCGGATCGGTTGAGGGATGTTTGGGACTTGGATGAGGAGGGGGAGCTTAATGCTGTAAGTTTTCTTTTCTTCTTCGGTTTTGACTAGTTTGCTAACGGGTGGTGTTTATAGATGTGGAGACCAAGCGGACATCCAGGGTTCTGGTATATGGGAGGGAATCTCGCCCTGTGCCGGGTTTACTCGAAGTTCCTGGCGTTGCAGATCAAGGCCATTGAGGCTGGTTTGTTATCTCAATAAACAGTAGGCAATATTATACGAAGTAAATACGAACATTCAAATAATATCGAGCACCCTACCCAAAAGCCTCCAACACATTACAATAAAGCCCCATCTTCCCAGGGTCAATATAAACCTTAAGCGCAAACGCAAGACCCTGTACATCCGGATTAAGCAGAATCCCAGATAACGTCTGGTCAATTCCCATATCCTCCTCTATCTCTTGTACACACCTCACGTAGTCCACCATATCAGCATACTGGCGTATAGTATTAAGATCCTTAGGTCGTCCGTCCTTTCCATAATTCCCTGGGTCATCCATAGCCGGAGGCACAGTAGTTAGGAATAGTGGCGACTGGACAGCCTCCCAGGGTACAGTGCAAGCACCCTCCCAGTCAATGACGCCGAGAATCTTGTAAGACTCATCCACGATGATGTTACTGTGGTAAAGGTCTGGGTGGTATAGTGGGAATGGCCCGGTATTGTTCTTTGTTGATATCATACCCGCAGAAGCGAGCTCTTGTAGCCGTCTAGGGAAATTCTGAATCGAGTATAGAACCTCCTCCCGGATCGAACTGGGGCTATGTCTCATGATATCACGAATAGACTCTTCAGAGCTAGGGAATTTTGCATGTCTCGCCCACGCCTGGAAGAACTCATTCGCCGTTGAAAATGGTCCGCCTAGATGGGGCAGCGGACCAACGTCGAAGGAGTTGTCAGGATGTCTAATAACAGAGCCGATTTTCGGGAGTCGGATGGAGGATAGGTTCACCTAATATATATGAATCTCAGCATAATCTCATTTACTTTTCTTTCTCACCTATAATGCAGGATATTCTTTAACACACCTGCACTCTCGCAACCTCCTCAAAGAATACCTTCTTCCTCTCATCTGGGACCCGGCCACCGTGGACTTTGAAACCGCCGTCTGCGTCCATGGCCGAAGACCCAGGTAGGAAGTCCATAAGAGTAAATGCGGCGCGGACACTATTCCCATCATTAAGCTCATATCCGTGTATTCTCGGAACCGGAATCCCCGTCTTTATCCTAACGAGTTCCATGGTGTTTATTTCAGCACAGAGCAGCGATTCTGTTTCCGGTGTTGACTGTTCGAGTTGGATGCGGGCAATCCATAGGGTTTGAGCTGATTCAGATGTTTCAGGAGATGGAAATCTCAAAAGTCGAATGAGGTGCCCGCCGCCGAGAGTATTTTGCTCGAGCAGCGTGCACTGCCTGTCTGAGTTCTTGGATGAAGCGTAGCGGCATAATGCGTCCCAGTTGACTCTTGAGAGGCACGCGTCTCGGAGCTTCGCTTGGTGGGGGTGCTGGTTGTAGTAAGTCTCGTCTTTCCAGTTGAGAGTGGGGAGATATGTCATGGCTGTATAGTTGGCAAGAGTTAGAGATGTGGTGAAGGATTTTGGATGGTGCGGGGTGTGGCAGAGTGCATTGTGCTCTCGGACGTGGTCCAATCGCTATACTGGGATACCGAGTACCACCGTTATGGGTAATAGCTTCAAGGATGGAAGTAGAGAATCAGTCTGTATCCCACATGGATTACATTGCTAGCCAAGGTAGAAGTAGTGATTATGAATGTTGTATTGGTTGTCACCTAGACTATGCTAGGAGGTAACCACTAGTTAAATACTATCAAACGCCCTTCGCCATGATAATATAAATATACATAAACAATTCAAGAAACAAATCTCTATGTCCGTTATCAATACCATCAAGGTACATCGATCAATATACGAAAGGGAAAGGCTCTATATCCAAGCATTATTATCGGGGTTCACGACTCGTCAATGATCATGTTCACATCTTTAACAGGGTGAAGGAGCATTGGCGGTAGGCAAAGTCGTCCTTCGCCGTTAAGCTCCTCTTCTTCACCGCCATCACCATCGACTTTGTAGCCGAGCCATCGTCTCCAGAGATTAGGCGAGAAGCCAGCAGAGTAAAACCAGGTTGTGCCACGGAAGTTGTGTTCACGGTCACCAAAGATAGAGTGGCGCGCTCCTCCGGAGGCACCGTTTCGCCCGGCGTTGAATACTGACTCGAGATAGTCGGTGGGCCATCGACGGTCGATATAAACAGAGTGAGGTACATAAACTGCTTTGAATCCGTGGTGAAGAGCGGTAGTTGCGGGCCACATTTCGGAAAACATGCTATGCCGCCTGAGGGCCGTCTCTTTGTGCATAGTCTGCAGGAGCTTTCGTGAGAGCCGCGAAGCAGTGATAATAGCAATGCGCCGGGGCGGTAGGCCATTCTCCCTATGGTACCCAGTAAGATCTTCCCTCAGACCCCAGGTCGTCCCCTCAGGGTCGAAGAGAGGGTTGAATAACAGCAAGTCTGCCTCCTCGCCGACCCCCCATTCATATTTATCTTTCTCCATTGTCGTTTTCGGGATACCCTCGCCCTCAACCTCCATTACGTCCTGCTCATCTGGCCGCTGCGGCCCCCAAACAAATTTGTCGCCTTGGCGTTGCGGTGCAGTCTTGTCGCCATGAATAAAGTCATGGCTCGCTCCTGCGCTCCACATGTTGTTTGGACTATTTGTGCCAACCTCTGTTTGCACGCGAACCATCTGTTTGAAATCTTCCCAAGACCCATGAACAGAGGGGACATAGAATCGAGCGTTTCTCTCCCACAGGCCCCTTCTTGGTTGCTCGCGCGCCCAGTTGACGACCTTGTCGAAAAAGTGATACCAGTGGCCAGTGTATCTTGCATCCATTTCCCAATTCCAGTAATAGTCATATTCGGGATATAGGTGTGAAAAATGCTGCATGCACATAAAAGTACTGCGGTAGACTCCATAAACACCCCCGCCACGAACCCCAGGAGGATCATCCAATCCCGGGTAAACAAGAGCCATTTGCGCTTCCGACCACAGGGTGCCCATTCCGTGGAATTCTTCCGGCAAGGAGTCCCTCAGCACACGGTCGTAGGTTTCATCATCGGCCCAGATTGGTAGGTTTGTATCCTTGACATGTATCAAGAAATGGATGACATATTCCCCACCAGAGAGAAGAGACAGCTCGGAGATCAGAGCACGCAAGTATAAGATATCCTCCGTCGTATATCTGTAATCATGCCACGTTCTGATTACAACCGCTGTTCGCGGGAGTCGGTTTTGGGTCTTTTCAGTGGTCTCTTTCTGTTCCTCTGGCGTTTCAGTTGGTCCCTTAGGCATTTCAGTTGCTTCCTCTTCAGGCTTGACGTCATCAGCAGCCCTGGAGAACAGGTTGTTGGGGCGTTTCAGCGGAGGTATATCTTTAAATCGATGGTTGTTTGTAGACACACATCGATTTTGTGCATCTCCCCATTTTACTCGGCCAAAGTCCACCGGCGGGATATCATCCCAGATGCGCTCAGAGCCTTCTCTCTCGCCATCGAGGCCTGCACCTGAGCCTCCTTTCCTTGCAGAGTAACCAAAGCCGTATGGTCCCAAACGTCCAAAACGGTCGAAGCAAGTGTCGTCTTTGATTCCCAACATTTCGTTGGAGCCCATCACGGCATCGGGGAAGCCACGGGGAACTCCAGGGTAGGAATGAACCAGCGGGACTCGAATTGTCTCATCCTTATCCAAGAAGCACTCTCGCTTGACCCCATATTTCTCGATGTATTTTGGTGACGTGTAGTCAGGATAGGGATTGAACTCTGAGCTTTGGAAAGGCAAGCCCTTCTCCGCGGTGTCGGTCTTGTCGGTGGTCTCATCGCGCGTCTCGAGGTCGGCTGTGTTCGCACTGGCAGCTTTATCCGAGGTCAGGCCTTCAGGTTCATCGGTAGGGTACTCTGGGACGTTCTCGCCGCGCGGTACGAGTGTCCTTATTCCACCATGGTATCGTTTTAGGAAAGGAAAGCTTTCCCATGTCGGCGGCTTCGGAGGTGCATTGAGAGTCGGTAGCGAGCTTTCCGAGAAGATAGTGAAACGGAAAAGTGTAAGAATAAAGAGTATGAGTGAAACGAACAACGCAAAGCAGAGCCATCTCATAATTCTTGGCGGGACACGATAGAAGCCGATTGTAGTTCGCGCACGCCGCGTCGTGGCGGCCGTATTCAACATCGGATAGGAGGGCGCCGCCGCAGGGGAAGGAGGAGCTGTCGAATCGTCGTCGCTTTCTGACACCCAAGATCCCTTACTGATGTCCCGATAGTGATGGTTTCTGCGGGAGTGTTGTTTTTCAACGTCTATCGAGTTCTTGCGCATTCGTCCGGACGGGTTGTCATGAGCCGGCGAGCGGCTCTTCATTTTGAACTTCATGTTGCGGCCGCAGTGCACATACAGGAGGGCCCGAGGCGGCTTTTCACAGAGGTGGTGATCAAACAGATAGCATCAAGGGGATTCGTAAGTCGTGGTCCGAGCTCTAAACAAGTTTCAGGTCAATAATTGTCAGGTTGGCGCATTGAAAACGGCTCGTATGGGTGAACAACAAACTGCATGCAGCACAGAAAAGAAGATGGGACGAGGGAAGTTGACACAAATTCGCCCCCAGCTTCCAGTCCCACCAGTGGTAATGATCGATTGACTTATTCTGGGCCGAGATCCACGCTGATGTGCTGTGACGTGATTTACACCTCTGCGTGGTTTTCAGGCTGATCTAGCATATGCAAAACGGCTCCCTTTTCTTCAAGCACCTTCTATCAGGATTGCCTGCTTGTTTGTAAAGAGGAAGACTCGCGATCGAAAGAAACGGTCAACGTTCCAAATTAACAGACACAGTGCCAGCAGCCGCAAGTATACTCCGAGCGCGACTGTTTGCAGATCGCCGTTGCCTCGGAGATATCCAGCACTCGTGCGTCCAAGCAGGCCTAGCCATCTTGGCCCGCCAACTGGACATTGGATGATTTGGCAATGGGCGAACGTTTGAATTGGACATCGCGAGGTTATAATCGAAGCAATAACGCTGCTGCTAATGATTATCGTTAACAAGAATGTCAGGAGTCAGTACTGATGATGGCAGAGGGTGCTCCGGAACGGGACTAGCGTGAGTATATCCGCACCATCCCAGTTTCTGACTAGATCCTATAGTTCAAGCCTCAGGCAGGAAGTTTTCCACGATAGTCACGCGTAGCAAGAGTTCCTTCAGTTCCTTCAAGCTTCCTCCAGCGCTCCTTTCTTCCTTCAAGGGCCTATAAAAAACGGCCACAAATAACCGCACTTGGCAGATGCTCACGAGATCGATGACAGAAGCAATCATGCAGGGGGATACCGGCCCTCTTGGCCTGCCTTTGCAACACATCCATTCCCAAGGACTGATTCAACAGACTTCACTGGCTCCGTACTGATCTCGATTCAGGCGGACAGTGCCCAAGCACAACAAAGCCCCGAATATCAGTCTTGTTTCGGTATCACTCTGCGCGCCTAGCCGGTGCCTGTGAGCAGAGTTCCTCCTCTCACCAATGAGGCCGCCCACGGACACGAACTCCACATACTGGTCTCGAATCCCCTGGGGCCTCCTACGTCAGCACGCTAGGGTCTCTAAACCTTTTGTCTATTCACAGCATCTATGAAGGGAATAAATCTCGCTTTTTCATCCTTATCAGCTCGGTATAGGCTTCACTATGAGTTCTTTGGGTGGCCTTAAAAACATATTAACAACATCCACATACATCATACTGACGCTTTTCCCCGTCAGGCTATCTCATGACCCAAAGCCAGGAATCCTCCCAATTACCCACAACGACCACGTCTAAACAGCCACAGTTTGAAAGTAGCATATTTTCTAACTGGCCTGGCTAGTGGATTTGCGGTGTGATGTAACGATGCTAGACAGCGTTCTTACCCTACAAGCACAACCTCGTGTGACCCAGTGGATCTATAAAGAGCTTGGAAGAACACGACCTCCATTGAATTGAGATTAACATAACTCATAACAGTGAAGCTGCTACTAATAGACTCAGATATCAAATCCAATCGTTTTCAAATGGTCTGTCACGACTCCCAATCTTTTTCACATCAAGAATGGAATACTCAGACACACCCTAGGCATCTTCCGGCGTCCTCCTCTCCTCCCCAGACAGAGAGGAGTTCACACTCGCCCTGCTCTCACTGTTCCACGTCCAGCTTACCGTCGCCCTTCTCTTCCCTATCACCTTCTATCTCATTCACTTCATCCGCAAAGATTACCATGCCTTCCTCGCCCTCGGTCCTGGCGGCACACCATCAACCCCAGCAGGATACCTCCGAATCTGCATCCTCCGTCTAGTCACGATCCGCAATCCCTTTCAAGCCCCTTCAGTCCCACCAACTCTCCACCCAAAAATAGGCCTCCTAACCCGCACTACCCTCCCTGCTCGCCCTGGGTCCCGTCCAACGGTTGTAGGAATCGCACCGCAGCGCCAAATAACCCAAAAGCCGGGGGCCGCAATGTACGACGCTCTTGCAACAGAAATCCAGCGACTCCCAATTGCGCACCCAAACACCCTCTACTCCGCAACTTCCTGCTTCGAGAAGCATAGCACGGGCATCTTCCATCGTCTCCCTTGCGAATCGTCCCCCACCTCATTTGACAAAAACAACAACAACACCTTCAACAGATCCCCCAAACGACCCTCAGCAACCCACAACCACCGCATAACCTGCAACGGCGAAGTCTGCCACTCGCACCCCAGCGACGGAAGCCTCCACCTGACACTACACCCCGCGGACGTGAAGCTTATTATTGAGCGCGGCTGGGGCCAACGGCACCCGCTGGCGAGGGACAGTTGGTGGTGGGTGGCGAGGATTGTGCCGACGGGGTTCGTGATGATCTATGCGCCAAGAAACGAGGAAGAGCTGAAGGTTGTTGTAGAGATTATTAGAGCTGCGGCGTGGTGGGTTGGCGGGAAGGAGTTACGATGAGGTTCGATATGGCTACCCGGTAGGTCTCTATCTAGTTACCTACTCCGTAGATTCTGAGTAGTCGCTGTGGAGTGACGGATGTAGGGATGATTACTTATGATGACATGACATGAATACAATGGTAATTTGATAGCAAGCAATTTGAGCGATACATCAATTTAGCTTACTATACCTGAAAGTAAAGTTAACGATATCTAATTAAATCATCATAGTACTTGACTCTACGACTCTGAGTGAAACGCATCATGCAAGCTAGTCAAAATACACATGCCATCAATCACGACAGTCTATTCTTCCATACCTCATGCAATGCGCACTTATTCCCCGGTCATATTTTAGATAATCATATGTATGGGTATAGAAACCCGAAAGCAAAGAGGAGAGGGCGGGGTGTGTTGGCAAACAAAACGAATTTTATAAATGAAATGAACAAAGAGGCAATAAGTAGGTCGTTTTTTAAAGAAGCGCAAGGTAATCGTTTCAGGCCGACGCCGGGATTATAGAGAGAAAAAGGAAAGCTAATAGCATAGAGAAAATAAAGAGCCGTTAGGAAACATACAAGCACCACCGAGTAGCACATCCCTTCCCTATACGAGGTGTCTGTCGGCCCCCAGTTCCCCATCCATCATCCCCAACTCCCAGTCAAAAGTTCAGGTATCTATCCATTCATCACAACTGGCTGCCGCATTTAATCGCGGCCGGTCTTCCGCAGCGTCTCAGCAAGCCATTCAAGACCTTCATACAGACCATCACCGGTGGTAGCGCAGGTAGATTGGATGTACTAGGAATTTGTTAGTTTTGTTGGTAATATATATTCGTTCATGAGATCAACTTACCCAGGGGCGACGGGTGAGGCTTTGAAGGCCGAGCTGCTGGGTGATCTCGGCAGGGCTCATGGCGTTCTAGTAAAGGTTCACATCAGTATCCCTATTCAGTGCTATTATCGATCGAATGCAGGTGTGCATACCGGCAAATCTTGCTTGTTGGCGAAGACAAGTAGGAGGGCGTCACGGAGTTCATCCTCGTTCAACATGCGCTGCAGTTCTTCCCGGGCCTCGACGATACGGTCGCGATCGTTGCTGTCAACAACGAAGATGATACCCTGGGTGTTCTGGAAGTAGTGTCTCCAGAGAGGACGGATCTTGTCCTGACCACCGACATCCCACACGGTGAATTGAATGTTCTTGTACTCGACAGTCTCAACGTTGAAACCTGTAGGCAGGAATCACCAGGTTAGCGTCTCGTTTCTCTCGTTGTATTGGCGCGGACACAATTGAAGCAGCACCTGACCATCGGCTAGCTGACGTGGAAGGGGTAGGAAGGCGACTAACCAATTGTGGGGATGGTGGTAACAATTTCACCGAGCTTCAGCTTATACAGAATGGTGGTCTTTCCGGCAGCGTCGAGACCGACCATGAGAATTCGCATCTCCTTCTTTCCCCATAGTCTGTCGAAGAGCCTCGAAATGGCGATACCCATGTTGGCGGTGGCGAAAGTAAGTCCTCAAGGTCTAGAGAGCGACGTGAGGTTAGAACAGGAGACCAGACGAGCAAAGCGAGGGCAGTAGAGCCGGAGCGAATGCGGTAAGAGATGAAGGTGAGAGAGGATCAAGACAGGGTCGGCGCAGATGGAGAGAATGGGGGATGGATGAAAAGGCGGACGGAGGGGCGTTAGGTGGTCACGCCGGGAAGACCAACGTGTGGGAATCAGGGGTGACCGATACGCACCCACTCGACGGGTGGCGAGGACAACGAGGGCGAGACCGGGGCAGAGGCAAAGCGACAGGGCACGACTTACCAACAAGATAGAGGCTGGAGGGCGAGAGAGATCGAGGATGAAAGGGTCGGACAGGTCAAGCACAGGACACTGTTTTGTCGAGGAGTGGAATTTTTGGGTGCCAGAAGTTGAATGCCAGGTCGAGAAATTCAGCCGCCGCGTAGCTTCCGTCACTAGTAATCGACGCAATAATCAACCACGAGCGTGCGATTGGTATTAATAAATAACGGTCAGGTTACAGGAGACTTGAAGAATGGAAATGTGGATTAATGGTCTAATAACTGCCGCCCTGTCTCGCTGCTCTCTCCTTTTATCCCCCTACCCCCAATGTCTGCCTACAGAACTGCTATCAAAGAGGACACGGTGTTTCCGTCCTGGGCGGGCAAGTCACTGGTTCACCGTTCCAGGAGTTTCGCCCATTGATCCCTCGAATCTGGAACTGATCACTGAACTTGCTCCAGCAATGGCCCAGATTCGAGCCTCTCCCTCTACTCTGATAGGCTCCCGTTCTATCTCTTTGATGCCCCAGTCCAGCGGATCGCCTTCACTGGCCTGCCTGCGTCTCTGTCTCGTGCTCGAGACCATCACATAAGCAATGCTGATTGCGTCAACCATGGCCCACTCGGCTGCTTCATCCCCAGCTGAACCATCCACAACAACCCTAATATGAAGGGCCAGGAACCTGGTCTATGTTGCAGTAGCATTGTATGGAGAACAATGCATTGTCGATAAGGTACTGCTTCAAGGTTATCCACGGGCATCCGCAATCACGTGACGAGCTGCCATACTACCAGCCGCTCAATACTAGGACTGAAAAAAATGGAACAAATGGAATGCAATTCGCTACCATGCCTGACGCCAGGATGCCAAAAAAAATACGTGTCTATCTCGTGAATATACAATTTGCGTCATAAGGCCTGTACTGTTGCCTTGAATCCTGTGGAATGCTACCTGGTTTTTCCAGGCTGCCAGCTCAATGTCCATGCAAGTGGCCTGGGTCTGCTGGTATATCTTCCTGGCCTAAGAACCTGTTCCTAGACTTCCGGAAGAACGTCCGGAACATCGACCGATAGATAGTCTGTCCCTCGACAGTGTCGCTAACATACCCGAAGAGCACGAGCATCACGACCGACAGGAACATGATCACGGCAAACGATACCCAGTACTGGACCTGGTTGTAGACTCCTTTGACGCCCTCGAGTTCGGTCGAGAAGTAAGCTGTCATTAAGCTCACGGGGAGAAACAATATTGTCACCTTGGCCAGCAGGATCGTTATCCTGGTTAGTTTCTCAACCGCCTGAGAGTCCTTCAGAGCGATCAAGTTGAAGTTCTGTTTCTATCAGCATCAACCCGTTAGAGCAGAGAGCACCTTAACGTACAAGAAAAGTAAGCGACTCTTTTTCTGTCAAACAACTATCTATCTCTGAAAGACAGTAGAGCTTGATGCGGTCAAGCAGTCTCTCAAACCTCGCGACAGCAGGAGCGCTTAGGCGGACGCCAACAGAATTCTCCTGTGTGCCTGATGCACTAAAACTGCCCTGCATTGTCATTGTCCGCTGGATATCGGTATCGGTGAAGGTTTGGCCAAACGGCAGCCTAGACTGGTTTGAGCGTGCCTCGTCGTGAAGCAGACGCTGCCTCTGAAGAATACGTGTCATGATAAGCTCATAACTTTGATACAGGCGCTTGAGCACCGCAAGTTGTCTACCCAGCCAGTGCAGCTGATCTATCAGGCCAACTACCGGTTTGTTCAACATGCTGCTCCTCTGTACACAGATTAGTAGCTAGTTATTTCGCCAATGGAGGGGATCAGTACCAAGCTATCAAGATTAACCCCATATGTATGCTCCCGCTTCGCGACGAGCGCATAGCTCGAAACCCAGTCGTCGAATATATAATAAAAAAGAAGACTCGCGCCGTCCTCCTGTTTGATGCTTGCATACTCCAGGCCAGAATCGTGAAACGGCCGCACTCTAATGGTAACCAGGGAGTCATTTTCAGACGTTGCAGAGTGCTGTTTCGATACCCCTGCAAATATTAATTGTATATTTCTGCGGCTAACCGCTGTTACCGCTTTCATTTCTCGCTCTGATGCTGTTGTCTTTCCTGGGTAAGGATTCTCTTGGATGGAGAGAACGGTTCCTGGTTGTGTCAGTATCAATACATGATAGCTTATGCATGCAACGTACCATCATCAAACAGTATGAGCCACGACCATAGTCGCCTCCCATCTGGAAGTCCCTTTCCATTGGGCATCTCAAGTTTTGGTACATAGTAAAGAGAGTTATAGCCAATGCAAGTATCTAGCTATGTCAGTGCGCCCGTCCACTCAAGCGCAAGCAAGTCATATCACATACATCTAGGGCCATAATCGGTAGAGCAAAAATGCCATATCTGATCCACGACATGACCAAACGTAATCCCTCTAAACGATGCAGCAGCATGGACCTCTTCGGAGCTCGGCAACGGTTTCAAGGCAGTACCGTCTTCCAGATCTTCGTCCACATTGGTGCGTGCTAGTTTAGGACTACTTCTTGATTGGAAGCTTCTCCTTGCAGGTTGGGCAGGGGTGGTGGGTTTTGATGGTCGGGTTACTGGATCGGTGCACATTAGCCCTTGCAGGCGCTCGGAGACACCGTAGTAGCTGGTGATGGCCTGATTATTCAGTCAGCTGCGTTGTTATCCAGGATCGGGCTTGGATTGGCATGCCAGACCTTGATCAGGTCTTTTTGTTCTTCTGGGGCCCATATATTTCTAAATAATTTGGTCAGTGGAATGAGCTATGTATATGGAGTGCGATATTACTTACATCCATCGCGTTCCAAAACACCTCGACCTCTATACGAATATCAGCTATTGTTCCCTATAACAAAGACTTATCTCTGACCACGTACATTATGAGTAAGCAATGCAGTAAGGTCTTGCGTCTCCAAGTCCACAGCACACCAAGCGTCCTCGTTACCAAAATCCAGTACAAAGTTCCTGGTCTCGGCGTCACGTAGTAATGCGAGACTATCCCGGAAATGCGAAGACTCGTCAATATTGTGGAAGCCCTCGCTGATACTAGGATTATTTGGAAAACTGGAATAGTATTCCTGTGCTGTCATCAAGCTCCGCACAGGCGAGCTTGGCGCTTCGGACATGGTGTTGCTGGAAGTCAATAAATAAAGCGTAGCTATGAATTGCCTTGGTACGTAAAACGCTCAATATGCAACAAAGAATCTAACATCGGAAGCACTGATATAATGAAAGAGAGCGAAATATTGATAGATTAAAGCTTGGAGGATTGATGTTGGGATCAATCTGCAGACAATCAGCTGTCACGGGCGATGACCGGGTCAGTTGAGCGCTTAGGCGCTGAGGCTGGCAGGCTACACAGGGTATTTCTTGCCGCCAGTCCGTCTAATGCTTGTTTCTCGTCCCTTCACACGACCCGACCCGCCATGGACTTTCCTGCAGCAGCTGCAGAACAGTAAACAACGAAAATTCAAGGACAAATGGACCATCATCCCTGAGTCGTGGTTTCAGATCACTTTCTTAACTGTAGCCAGTAGGCCGGAGGGGCTGCGTCCCCCACATCGATGAGACCAGGGCGGTTAACATGATCCATGAATTACACTCGTTATGTGATAGTTACTGAATTTGCAGTATTTAGATCCTTCAACCTTACAATGTTTGTTGACTTGAAAAGAATAGAGAGCGCCCAGCGGATCAGGTACAGGTCACATGCAGGACCTTAAAGCGGCGGGATGACGCAGAGGGCGGCGAGCCAGAACGACAAATCAACGATCCTCAACACAACTTCATATGGAAACGTCGACTCGGAAATCCTCGGACTGGCTCCAAAATGGCTGCCCGGGACGGGTCTAAAAGGGTCCCTGTTCGCTCTGCAACTGCGTGCACTGAATGCCAACGCCGAAAGCAAAAGGCGAGTGAATCAGTCTTCAAGCCGCTGGCTAAATATATCTTGGTCTAATATTTGACGGAGCAGTGCAATCGGACATGGCCATGTAATCACTGCCAGGCAAGGAAAATAGCACACCAATGTAAATTCATCCCGAAAAAGGCTGTAAGGGCGGCCAACTCAGTGGCCAACGACAAAAGGTTCGCATAGACTCTATTTCTCAAGAAATACGTTAACCTCAGGCGGATAATTACTCAGAACGCTGGAGGGCCACCAAATACATATTGAAGACCCAAAACAGGAGCTTCTAAATGATGATGGCATTATATCTGCTAACAATGATGATTTCCGATCCCTCGGGTATCTACCCGATACCCAAAGTGTGCCGGATAACGGCACTCAAGAGGTAGAGCCATGTGCTATTCATCTACTTGGATTAAACAAGCTAACCGTGGCCTTCTCATATGAAAAGCCAGCCGCGATCTCACTAGATAGTCGAGCCAGTCTTTCTAGCGAGATGAAGAACGCCCTACATGCCATCCCCTCAAAACCTTACACAGGTACAAGCTTTCTTGCAAATCATTTATTTAGATAGCGCTTACACTTGGTTAGATATCCTCGTTGACCATTACCTCGATAACACAAATTACCAGTACTATGCTCTCTACCCACCGGCTTTTATGCAGGACTATAATTCCTGGTGGTCAGGGAGAGCAATTGATTTGCAACCTACTCCAGAGTTTACATGCTTGTTGCTCCGACTCTGCGCATGTTCTATTTCCTCCCTCGACGAAGAAACCCGCCAAAAACTGGAATCAGAGCTAGGGCAACCTGCCGACAGCCTCTCAACACTATACCATAACACAGCAAAGCAACTAAGCAATACAATCGGCCCTGGTAAGGGTGGATTGATGCAGGTGCAACAATTATTCTTAACTGCCCAGTGGTTTAAAACTGAAGCATTATTTGTAGAGTCATGGCATGCCTTGGGTGCCGCTATTCACGAGGCACAAGAGCTAGGTATCTATTAATTTTTCTTCGTCTCTTCTACATTGTACACGGGAGGTTTGCTAATATGCCTTCCCGAAAAGGCATGCATAGAAGTTCTTCGGGTCCAAGGTTCTCTGGCTTTGACCGTGAAATGAGAAGGCGGCTTTGGTTCATACTGTTTGCCTGGGATTGGTATGTTTTCCCCTCTCTTATCAGACCTCCCTAACACGTCAAGGCAAATGTCTTTATTACTATCCCGCCCGTTTATAATCAACAGCAGTTGCTGTACGTTCGAACTACCCGATATGCGGTTGGAGACAGTGGACTTTCAGCCCGAAACTCCTTCCCCAATTACCCACATGGTTCTTCAATGTCAGCTTGGCCTGTCAATATCAGAATTACCGGGAGTAATGGGTGGTGTCCTATCATCAACTCAAGCAATGAATGTCCAGCAAGAGACAGAGAAATGGTTCAAATCATTCCCTCCAGCATATTCCATTTCAAACCCCGATACCCGATTGGACGAAACTCATGGATTCATAAAACTGCAACGCTTCCAACTACATGTCATAGGATATATGATGATGCTGATGCCCCTAAAGCAATGTCTAACAAAACATATCAACCCGGATAGCTCCAGCATAGAAAAGGGTCTACAAACAACTGCAGTCGAAAACGCACTAAAGCTGCTTGAAGCTTGCAACGACCTACTAAAACACATACTACCCCTGAACGCAAAATTCCATTTTGTTCCTTTCCTCATGTTTGACACAGCCGCACTATTATGCTCCGCCATCGTACACGATGAAAACAAAACCCTTCCACAGCGAGACAGGATACTCGATGCGATCCCGAAAACGCTTGCCGAGCTAGGACGACTATCAGGGCGTGCCAAAACTGGGATGATCTGCTACACAGCTTTGAAGAAGCTTGTCGCCTGCCTTCCATTGGTGCCAAAAGAAGCTGCGGCTTTTACAGGCTCCACGGCTCCTGAGAGCTCAATCGAAGCGCCTCCTACTTTGTCAGATATACCGGGCATCCCAGACCCTTTACCCGGTGATACTACGACACTATCGCCGGGAAATATGTTTAACGACGAGCTTCTTGCCCCCACGTCTCGAGATTTTCTCCCCTCAGACCCGATAAATGGGTATAGCGCATTCACAGATCTGTCACAGGTAGATCTGGGCGAGCTGGGTCAGATTTGGGACTGGGAAGGCCTTGACATTAATTTTCCGAATGTGTCATTTTAAGAGTCATCGATCCTGTTGGCAAATAATAATGAATGTTGTTATTGCTGGCTTGATGTCTAGACAGCGTTCGTCTCATGAAACATCGAGCTTTATGGCACGATGGGTACATATCTCGTCCGAGAGTCTAGACTTCTTTGCTCAAATCTGGGTATATATCACATGCCCGATATGATTATTATCATATGAGTATTTAATAATGAAAATAATTTACCTCGGGCCATGATTGCAGGCTGAAACTCGAAAGAAAAAAAGGTAACTAAACAGCGAGGCCAAGACCAGTGGATGAGTCATCCAGATTTGATTAGGGCACAGCTAGGCCCAACGTAGTTTAGCGGGCCATGGCACCCACAAGCGGAGTCCGGATTTTCAGAGCCACCATCGACCGCCCACGACCTCTTTTTCTTCGTCAACATTCAGCGCAGAGCCACACCATAAGGATTTTGAAAGAGGTTCTTTTGGAAGACTGTCAGCACCATGTCTAAGATCACAGTCGGTATGTTGGATACTTTTCACACGCACCACTCCGAACACCTTGACTAACTGAAATTTCTTTTCCTTTACAGCCGGAGTGCGCCAGAATGTCGAGCAACTGCTCAACTACTCTCACAATGAGAAGAAGAGAAACTTCCTCGAGACCGTCGAGCTTCAGATCGGTCTGAAGAACTACGACCCCCAGCGTGACAAGCGTTTCTCGGGTACCATCAAGCTCCCCACCGTCCCTCGCCCCGGCATGTCCATCTGGTACGTCGCTCGCATACCCCAGGAAGGATGAATAAAAAAAAAAATCGAAGAAAACGAAGGAAAATTCGATGAAGACGCCATTCTAGGAACAAGTAGCTGACCAGGTGATAATACAGTGTTCTTGGTGACCAGCACGATCTTGACCGTGCCAAGCACCACGGCATCGACGCCATGTCCGCTGATGACCTCAAGAAGCTGAACAAGAACAAGAAGCTCATCAAGAAGCTTGCCCGCAAGTACGATGCCTTCCTCGCTTCCGACGGTCTCATCAAGCAGATCCCCCGTCTCTTGGGTCCCGGTCTCTCCAAGGGTATGTCCCCCCTCTGTCCTTCATGGCCCCCCGCCTTCTGGTATAATATACTAATAACCAATACAGCTGGTAAATTCCCCACCCCCGTCTCCCACAACGAGGACATGGCCGTCAAGGTCAACGACGTCAAGTCCACCATCAAGTTCCAGCTTAAGAAGGTTCTCTGCCTCGGTGTTGCCGTTGGCAACGTCGGCATGACCCAGGACGAGCTCGTCGCCAACATCATGCTTGCCATCAACTACCTTGTCTCTCTCCTCAAGAAGGGCTGGCAGAACGTTGGCTCCCTTGTCATCAAGGCTACCATGTCTCCTCCCCGCCGTGTCTACTAGAGACTTTCTTTTCTTCTTAACTGGAGAGAAGTGGGGTTGGTAAAAAAACAAGGGAAAAAAGTTAAAGGATTTAGGTGTGACGTGGGATTATGTATGCTTTAGCTAGCTGAAATGTAACTCGCTGGTTGCTCCTAATATTTGTTTCTTCGTAAAAACGTATCCTCAAAGTATTGTGGTAGGTATATTACACTCTAATTCGACCTTTGCAACTAGTATTATGAACATGTATAGTGGTACACAGACAGGATAGATTTATTGCATGCCCTCCATCAAGTCCGTCTTATCGAGAATCATCCCCCTCATTCCGATAAACTCCCGTAGAGTATCCCATTCCTCGCCCTCTTCCTCTCCCCGCATATAAACATCCTTAAAACCCCAGGCAATCGAAACCTTATCCAAAGCCGCTCGCTCTTCTTCCCGCAGCCAACGCTGTCGTAAAGGAATACCCGGCATCCAAACAACACGCTCCATATGGTCGTTCGCTGTAACAATAGCTAAGACCCCAACGGATGAAGTCCCGCCGACGTAAGCAAGAGTGGCAGCAAACGCAATGGCCGTAGCCGTGCTCGGCTCCATTGTGTTCTGGAAACTGGCGGCCCATGATGCCGCGACGTAACAGCCGAGAGGCGTCGTTGCGAGAACGCCGAGGGGAGCAGCAGCCCGTTTGAAAAACTTTGCTCGGTGGAATGCGGGGGTGCAGAAAGAATTATCGATTATTGCGAGTACGAGACCGAGGTCTCGCTGCTCAATTGCGACGTCGATGGCCATGTTGGCGAGGTCGGCTGGGATAGCACTGTTGATATTTTTCGGGTTGGGTGGGAGGTATTTGATGGGTGAGCTGTTCTCCTCGGGGATTGGTTTGTTGGCGTAGAGGTGGAAGATCTCCGGAAGGTGCTGCGGTCGCTTGAGCAGCGTATGGATCTTGACGTAGGAGTTCAATGCTTCTGGAGATATGAAGACTTTCTCATCTGTTAGGAGTTCGTGAACAATGCGGCAGAGTGTGTCTGCTGCCGGGTGGGATATCTGCGCGTTGCGTGTTGGTTGGGATCCCTTCTTGCCATTCTTTTCTTCTAGGTGGAGTAGCGATGTAATTTCGCTGTCTGTATTCGTAGAGGATCGGTTCGGCTGCACAATTGTTTCTGCAATATCGAGGCATTTCTGTAGGAGTTCTACAACTCCGCTGTTTGAGGGAACGGTTTGCGAGTTTCGAAGTTCTGCAGAACCGGCTTGGACCTCACGCAGAGCTGTACTGAGGTCGGGTAAATTCATCGACCCAGTCTCGGTCGAGACATGCCTTCGTAGCGGCAGCAGTGGTCTCGAGGGAGTCCCCAAGCCCTTCTTTGTGAGACATTGTCCGATTTGAGGCCGGCGGGTGGCCTTGGTTGCCGACGCATACGATCGGGTGGGCTGAGGGCGAGAACGGACGGCTGGCGACCCAGATAATTGGCATAATTGGCAAATAAGCGCTTCAGACTTCGAAGCCCTCTGATTTCTCAACGCAATTCCCTTCATTGCAACGGTGTGGCCTAAATCCCCAGTCGCAAATCAATGTTCAACAGCGAGTGGAGAAGGATTGGGCGCAACAGCCGCCCTGGACGAGCGACAAGGCGGAATATTACTGCCGCCTACAGAGGGCACCGCCACCCGCTCTCTATCCAGCCCTCCATCGTCATCTCCTTTCCTCTTCAACACGCTCGTCTGCTTGCTTTCTTTATATCTTCTCGCCTGTTTGGAAGGTTTGGGACGGATTAAATTCTGTGTCCTTTTACTGAGAGCTCTGCACTCCACATGCTCGAGTCCTCCATAATATCCACTTTCCTTTGCCGTCCTTGGGCTTCAACACCACAGCATTACCGGTACTATCTCTACTGACCACGCATAATGCCTCCTCCTCCTCCTCCACCTCCGCCGCCACCGCCCCCTGGTGGAGGTGCGCCTCCCCCTCCCCCTCCAGCAGGAAATTTACCCTCGAGACCACCAGGTGGTGGAAAAGATAGGGTAAGCTTTTATGATATATCCAACCTGCCACTCGGATCAGACCGCTGATGCCTTACTAGGGCGCCCTACTCTCAGATATCTCAAAAGGCACGAAACTGAAAAAGGCCGTTACAAATGATAGGTCAGCACCACAGGTAGGCGGAGGCGTCAAATCATCTGGTGGTGGTCCTCCGCTCGGCTCCGCGCCTCCTGTTCCTGGAATGTCGAAGCCCCCCAGTGGGCTTGCTCCTCCAGTTCCCCCTGGGCAGGGCGCAAATCGGTTACGGAGTAACAGTGACACGGGACCTGGAAGTGATAGCGGTCCTACTGCTGCCCCGGCGGCCCCCCAATTGGCCGGACTTTTTGCCGGAGGCATGCCCAAGCTTCGCAGTCGAGGAGGTGTAGATACTGGCGCCAACAAAGAAGCTTCCCCATACCTATCAGATTCGGAAACTTCGCGGCCGCCCAAGCCGCCTGTCGGATCAGCCCCAAAGATCCCCGCAAATCGACCTCCACCTCCACCTTCTACAGAAGCACCCCCAGCTCCGCCTGTCAATCCGTTGGTTGCGAACCTCAAGAAACCTCCTCCACGACCAGCCTCAAGGCCATCTTCAGTTATATCGAATATCTCGGCAAAATCACCGCCGCCATTACCAGGTTCATCGAAACCGCCAGTATCGTTGCGGAAGCCTTCAGCCCCTGCTCCTCCTCCCCCTCCTTCCGCCAGTCCATCCGCACCCCCTCCCCCACCTCCTGCAGCGGCCGCACCTCGTCCACCTCCACCTCCGCCAGCACCAGCTCGGTCCACTCCACCACCCCCTCCATCAGCCCCTGCTCCGCCGCCAGTTCCCCCGAACGGCCCCCCCTCGGCATCATTGGCGGTTCAAGCTGCGCGGAATGCCCTTGGCCATAGCCATCAAACTCCGTCAGCTCCCCCACCGCCTCCACCAGTATCAGCTCCGTCAGCGCCACCTCCCCCTCCTCCGCCTTCTGCACCTCCCACTGCACCCCCGTCTATTCCTCCTTCCGCACCGCCAAGCGAGCCAGCATCGCGGCCGTACTCATACGAATCTAGCAACATACCAGACCGTTCCAGTCTGGCAGCCAGTGCCTACACGCTCTCCAACGGCGGTCCGTCGCCAGGGTCAAGCGCTACAAGCCTAGGTCCGCACGGGATGACCCGGGTTGAAGATAACCGGTTTAAATTCCAAAATGAGGGACTTCTGCCCAAGCCACGTCCATTTGTCGGGGGAATGAAGCGTTACCGCGCCGGAAGAGGAAGTAGTGTACCGTTAGATCTCAGCGCATTAGGTGGCTAGCTGAGGCTATTAGCAATTGAGACTTGTAGCTTTGAATATTATAGCTTGGCCCAGAAGATGGGACCAAAACCAAGCCAACCATTTCGCATTGTAAGCATAGAGAAATTGAAACGTAATATACAACACCTTCTGGAGTATAAACTCCACTTGGCGAATGGATGCTGCATCACAGATCGCAGGTCACGTGACCCTATGTATCGTAGCTTTTGGATCCGGCGGCTTTCGAGCCTCGGAGAGCTCAGGAGCATCCACATCAACAGCCTTTCTGCATACCTTCACCAAGACGACTACCTACAAACCACCTACACTGTATTATTAACTGGCCGAACGCAATTAGTTTGTTTCACGGACACGGGAACCGAGCACCCAATACCATTGCAGAGACGCGCCGAGAGTGATCTTTCCAGTCGACAAACGGGTGAAGAAGCTTCGATATACGGAACTAGATTCTTTTTCGAACCCTTAAAATTCTGAAGTTGAAGTATTGCGCTGTTTGTACAGCTTTGCTCAACTAATTTGCCTACGCCCTGTTGCTATACTCCTTTTCATCCCCCGCCTCCTCAGCCTCCAACTTCTCACCATGTCAATCAACGCCTACATAAATAGTGAGTCTCGCTGCATGCACATATTCCGTCAAGTATGGATGCTAATGCAGCTATTCCTCGTGTTAGAAAAAGTTTTAATCCTCACCGTCGACGGACGGACTCTCCTCGGAACGCTTCTCTCGACAGACCAACTCACAAACCTGGTGCTCCTGGACACAATAGAGCGAATCATCCGAACGCCCGACGACCCCGAACCAAGCTCGCAGATTGAACACGGTCTTTATCTAATCCGAGGTGATAATGTGGTAGTATGCGGAGAAGTGGACGAGGCAATTGACCGAGACATCGACTGGGCCAAGGTAAAAGGAGAGGTGGTACGCGGGACGAAGAATGCATGATGATGGGATTCTACCGATCAGCGATACGAAGTTTTACTCTGCGAGCAAAAGGGGTATTTGTCAATTCTGTGCGGGCAATTGGAGTGACCGCAGCGCGATCTATAGGCTATGATGGACCAAGCGGCTTCTACTCCTCGTTTCGTGGGATGGCGCGCTGGCTTGTGCTTGATCTCATGAGGACGGAGATGCACGGATAATTGTTTGTCGCTTGGCTTGAGTTCGACTCTTGAGGCCCGTCTGTGGGGGCGCCATATGGTGGCTGGGTCTCTGGTTATAGAGTGCATGCATCGACAAGTTTGCACCCGGGCATTGAGAAGTGGGAGATATACTCAGTGTCTGAGCTTGATTGGGTCATAAAGGGGCCTAGTAAAAAATAGATTAGCAGGCAGCGACAGATTACTTTTGTATAGTTTTACTCCGGCCCCAACGGGTGGGGATATAATGAAAGACACGTTTATGTGCTGAAGCACAAGGCATGAATGGAGCGCATTAGCCATATTTCGGGAGACGGTGCTGTCCAAATTAACCAATAGAGAATTCACTGATTATTCCAAGGCAATTTGAACAGTAATGAGGGGTTGGTTGCGTAGTGAGGTTTTAATGGAGCGCGATGACGACTGTTTCATGCTAGCCAAGGCTTGTCTCATAGCGCGATGTGTTGGCGCTGTGCATAGGCAGCGCAATAAATAGCATTCCCCCAAAGCAGCACTCTGAACAGCTTCAACAACCACGCTTTAGCAATTCCCAGTCTGAGTGACAGCCCCTGTCAAGTCCAGAACCAAACACGCAGTGATCAACGGCTTGACAGCACCGGGCCAAGGAACGGCCCCGCCGCGGTTGGCTCGATCCGGCGTAGATTAACTGTAACAAACGGGCTGGCTCCATATTATTGCCTCCCCTGACTTCAACGCCGCTGCCCTGAGCTCTGAACTCTGAACTTCCTTCCTCTCCTCCCTCCAACCCCCACGACGCTTGCTTGCGTCTGCCTTTCCTTTTGCCCTCCTGCAGCCCCTCCGCTCCTTCCACTTCCTTGTCTTTTTCCATCGCTCTCCGTCTCGCCTCTATTTTTCGAGCCGCCGCAAGGTCGCTGGTCGATCTTACAATAATTGCTCGCCATCTACCCCCTCGGGCTCGATTTCGCCCTCATTCTCTCTGCGACTCTCCTGCGGTCTTCGATTCCCTGACACAGCTGCCCTTCATGTGGTTCTCGATCGCTTTGACTACAGATTTCGGCCTTCGTGTTACGGCATTACTGGGTAAATCCCACTTCGCGTCGTCCGACTACTAGATTATTTCGGTTATCGTCTCGCTTTACCGTGTTGAGGGTCTGGGGACGTTGCACAGCATGTGGCTTTTCCGAGGCGCTCAGTCCGCCGTTTTTTACTACGTCACCTGCACTCCCTGCGCCGAAGCCGCCGACCGTCGAAAGCGCAAGAAGGAAGCTATCCGTGCCCGGTCACTGAGGGAAAAGGAGCAGAGCGAGACAGTTGTCACAGACCAGCCCCGGCCTTTCCTCCAGCCAACCGCCTTCAGTACAAATCCAGGATGGGCGGAAGAACTTGCTCTAGGACCAGGACCGCCACCCAGGAGAAGAGGTGTTCATCGGGCTGCTACACATCATCGGGTTGATAGCTGGGATACGGGAGCATATTCTGGCCAGGACGATGAACAGGATGCCGCGCTCACGCCGTCTCAAAGGATAAGCAAGATGGGTTCCAAGCACATTGGTGATCGCTGGAACCGTATGATGCGGTATCAACGTGAGGACGAACCGCTATGGGGCGAGGATGTCGAGGTCAAGGGTTCGTCGGTTGGAATCTCCGGCCAGGGTAAGGCGGATTCTCGGACTTCTAGCAAATACCATATCCCTCGCGTGCCGCCGGTCAACGATCTCCATCCACCCATCGTCAGCGGGCCGAAAAGTAGGGCCGAAACGCGATGGATGCTTCAGCCTCCGCCCAGCGCCAAGGTTATGTCTGGAAAGGAGCGGAGCAGTCGCACAGCAGGTCCACCCGTCGATTACGCCAGTATGCGAATGGACAGCGACAAGTCAGCATCGCGGCGTAGCGTCCATACTCATGCGCTCCCACCTTTAGCAACCGAACTCGTCACCGAATCCCCCGAATCCTCACCCGCCTCCCCTGTCCGCTCCGCTAAAACACCAAAACCAGCCGAGCAAGACCTCCCCCGTCCACCATCACCTGCCTTCTATGCCTATGGGAGGGACGAGTCTCGTTTCGTCATATCATCACCTATCTATTCGGCGTCTGATTCTTGTTCCACTCTTTCCTCAGGTGCTGAGACAGACGAATCGCCCAGGAACTCATTTCACTCGCCCGATACGCCTGTATCGCGGCCCATGTCCAAAGACGCCAACACTAGCCTCGAAGCTTCACGTCCTGCGATTTCGAGGGCTCTGACCTCAATACATAAGGGCGACCACAAAAACGTTCATATGCTGCATCTTGAGATCCAAGAATCCAATGATCTCGCGGTAGGCCAAGTCGAGCGAGTACGCCCATGGCGGTGGAGCATGGAGTTCTAAGGCCGAGATGAAGCTGTACTTTTCGCCATGATATCTCCATTGTCCTCATAGTGCGTTGGCTAATTATTCTTGGTTTTTACCTTGGGCTTTTTACCTTGGGCGGCCTTGTATCCTGGTGGGCGGCCTTCTGATTTATTCCCTTATTCCTACCATCACCTGTGCGTATGTATTCGCAGCGCGCTGCAATTTCGTTTGGAAAAAATTTATACGGCAGGACCAGTATAAACTGAACGAATTAAAAGCAGGCATAATAGATCGCGCATCCTACACTCCTTCCGTTTTGCATATTTCCCTTGCAGAGTACATCGAATTCACTTTTGTTCCCATTATCTCTGTCGCATGACATATCACTCTTTAATCCGTTTCCTGTTTCAATTCCTACACCGTTGTCATCGAGTACCTACTTTTTTTTACTCCAAAATCCGCTTTGCATGTCCAGCGTTGTTGTTTGTTTATTACTTCGAAGCAACCTTTTTGTATCTAGCATTTTTATATTCTGCAGGATTAAAAAAAGCTTAACTCTGAATCCGATATCCATAATTTAGACTTTTAAATAAACTAAACAAGTACGTAGTGGATAGAAATGTTGCTTTATATCCCGTTCATGTCGGGCAGAGTGAAGGGATATATATATACTGTTCTAAAATATATTTCGCTGTACATACCCCATAATAGTTAACATTTAACTAAGTGAATTCTGCATGTCTGAATATGATTTTGATTCCGATTTCAATTTTTTCATGTATCAATGAGCATAGCATGGCTGACACTAATGTAATTGTATAGTATTTACGTCTCCTCTACTCCCTTTACTCTGTAAACTTCCATTTCAACGTGATGTGTATGGTACGTGAGGTAGTAAAGTGAAGAAAAAAAAAGAAGTAGAAGCTCGTTTGAAATCAATCAATCAATCACTCAGTCAGCCAGCGGAAGGATCTGCTTTTATAAGATAAGACCAAATTTCCAAGAGTAAAAACGGTTGGTTTTCATATAAGATAAGATAAGATTTGCTTTGTTTGCTGTGCGTATCATAGTGCGGATCGGACAGATCATGTCGGGTGGATCCAAAGAGTAAAGGTGTAACCCACTCTGCGCTGCATGCATGTCTTGCCCAATGGGCATTTTCGGGTTGGTTTGTTTAGTAAACCTTCTTCTTCTCGTCCATACTTAGCTGGCCAGGGCCCATGTTCACCAGAAGCAGCAGTCCTCCACTGGATACAGTTAGCTGGAGTTCCACGAGGGTTATATTTTCAAAGTGGCACTTACACAATAGAAAGGATCTGGAAGAAGTCGTACTTGGCGAAATCCTTGTGAGGGTGGTGAGGGTGCAGCTAGCGCGTTGTCAGTTTAAATTCCATGGAAAATGTAAACAAAGCGTGGGTGGGGTATATACCGTCCAGAAGTTGTTGACAAGAATGTTGAAAACGCTCAGCAGGAGCACAAGAAGAATTGCGCTGAACTTGGCCTTGAAACCAACAATGACCATAACGCAGGCGACGAAGCCGAACAGGCTGACAATGACTCTCCACAAGCTCCACTGACCAGAGAAAACAAAGCCAACGAAGAGGAAGATGAGCAGGACGCGACCAGCAAACTGGACGTACATCTTGCGGTCCTTCTCATCTAGCTGCGGCAACCCGGCGGGCACGAACTTCTTGCGAACCCAAGAGTCGGAGAGGACCATGAGTAGACCACCAACAACACTCAGATTGCGAAGGAAAAAGTTGAGGTCGAAAATAAGCCCATATCCAAGACCCTGAACAACAACAACACCTAGAAGACCAGCGACAGCGATCTCCGCATGTTTACGGCCAATAACGAGAACAGAGCACACAGTCATAGCTACAACGTTGAGAATGAGGAAAGCATGCGTGATACCCCATGGAACTGCCAAGGAAAAAGAGTCAGATTGCGCTCATTGTTTCCCTTTCATGGGCAGCAGGTCGCATAGAGGAGTAACGGGCAAAGTCGGGGTAAGATGAAAGAGGTATAGACAGGGCCGTTTGCTTACTCTTCCGGTAATCGCTCAAGTAAAGAAGCTGATCGCTCCATTGTGTGAGAATCCGCAAGCTGTCCTCAAGGAAAGTGACCACGATCAAGAAACGACCAACTGCGGGCAGGTACCTGCGGAGAAAGACACGCTGTCAGTAGAGCTCTTAAAAAAAAAGTGACGCCATGCGGCACAGTATTCAACTCCGTCGGAGTTGGCGAGGAGCTCAAGGGATGAATCCAGGTTCCAAAACACTTACGGCTTGATAGGATCCGAAACGGTGTCCAGCCAATCTTCAATCTTGCTTGTTTGTTCACGAATGGCATCCAAGGGGCTTGGGTCGTCGGTTGCAGCTGCGGTTCCGGGGCCGCCAAAGGGGTTCTGGTGGCCAAGGTTATAGCCTGCAGTGCCACGAATATGCGCCATGGCAGCGGTGTTTCGGTGGTGCGCGGGAGCACAAGATCAATCGAGGACGATGGCGTGGAAGGGAGGGGAAGCGCGACAAGTGTCCAAACAAGGAGGAAGCGAGAATGCAATTGACGGGGAAGCACCAAAGACGCAGGTGCCGGAGGATAAGTCAAGGAGTGAAGGAGGAGGGAAAGGAAAACGGAAGGGATACGGAGGTAATTGAGATGTCAATAGAGGGAGGATGTTGAATAGTTGTCTCTTACTGTCGCCCACTCCGCCTCCGAGGCCCGTGACTGCGCACTAAGACACTTTCAGGCCACGATGACCAGAACGCGGCGCTAGTCCTGTTTGGGCCGTGGCTGCCAGGCTTGGATTCCCCAGTGACGCCATTCGTCGATCGTCAATTCCGCACTTTCTGCAGTCTTCACGGCGCTGGTAATTCTCCAGATGCTGGCATTGGCCGTGGCAGCCGTAATGGCCCCGAAGCTGGAGGCTGTGAGCTGGTGGCTATGTTGGTCTGGTACTTAGACTCGGGGCCTGACAGATTTGAGACGCTGGCACAGCCCTGCAGCTGAGTTATTCAATAAACCCCACCGTCCCATGTAAGGTACGCGATGATCATCGTTCCCGATCTCAACAGTCAACATAATAATCCTGCCCTCGCGTCGGACGGGACTCTCGGTAGAGTTCATGTGCCAATAACCTTGCTTAAGAAACTAAGAAGCAGCAGGATGTGCCGATTCAGAGTTGAAATATAATAAACCCCCCAAAGCTTTATTGCAGTGTCTGAACTAACAGTAGAAAATTTAGAATACACAAAATCAGAAGAAAAGCCCCGTTTTCTCTCTGGTACAGGCTGAAACCAGGAGAGAACACATCAATTCAGATAGAAGGTATGTCGGCAATAATAAAAGGAGGAACAAAAAAGAAATTTGGGCAAAACAAGGTGGAGAGAATACATGGCTCTGGTGTGAAGGCCTTTTTTTTTTTGTGCGGTGGTTCGGTGCTTTTCTTTGCTTTTCTTTCTTGAGCTTTTGCGTGGCTTATCGATTTTGGAGTTCCTTTCTCTCTTCGCTGAAGCTATTGCTGAAGCAGACCATGTCGCCATATGTGTGGCTTTTGGTATAATGATGCAACCGAACGCCGGAACCAAAAATAATAAGTACAGTCCCTGGTGAGAATACTCCAATTTTTTGAGGAGTTGTGTCCCTAAATGGGTGATATATTTCATCTCAGACGGATGATCAGAATATTTATGCGGCCCAGTCGGAGTCAAGAGGGTGTCCCTTCTTGTCGGACCGAAGAACGTCAGGGAGGTAAGTCGGGGTCACCTTCACCTTACGCTCAACAGGGGCGGGAGCGGGAGCAGCGGGGGCTGGCTGGCTCTCAGACGCACTGGCTTCACTTTCGTCGGTCTTTCCGCCCTTCTTCTTGGGCTTCTTGGTGCCAACTGTGGTCCACGCGTCATCGCCGGCGCCGAGAAGGCGCATCTGCTCCTCCTCGGAGGGAAGTCCCTGGTTCCATTGCTGGGAGGTACCAGCGGACTTGGTGGAAGTCGAGCTGGGCTCAAATGTGTCCAGCAAGTCAACCTTTGCGGCTTGCTGAGGCTGGGAAGTACCGTTCGAAGGCTTAGGCGCCTCCTTTGTTTGCCAGGCATTGGTCTGAGGAGCAGCCGCCGGCTTGGCAGCAGCCTCGCGACGCTCAGCCTCGCGGGCAGTGTGAAGCTGCTTCTCGAGAAGCTTGCGACGCTCTTCCTCAGCAGCCTGGACTTCCTGCTTCCGGGCTTCGTTCTTTAGTCGCTGTTGGCGCTGCTTCTTGGTCTCCACTTCCTTGAAGTTCTGGGCCTTCTTCTTTTTCTGGGTGTTCGAGTCCACGGAGCCAGTAACCCGGAGAACTGATGCTCCAGGAGCAGGGGCCTCAAGCATATCGGAGACGTAGCCGGCGGCAGTGGGGTTAACCTGAGGAGAGCCAGTGGAGGAGAGGTCATCATCAGCGTCGGCGCCGGTAGTCGACGACGTTCTGGTGGAAACACGAGAAGTGGAGCGCTCATCATTGCTGGGTTCGAGCTGACGAGAAGCGGCCTTCTTGTTCTTCTTCTTCTGGTTCTTGCTTTCGCCGCCAGCGAACTGAGAGGACGAGGTGCCGTTCTTCACAGCGGCAAATCGCTTCGCCATCTCCTTCTGGTCAATTTCCTCATCTGCAACGTCATCTTCAGGGGCATTGACCTCAAAGGTGGGCTTCTCGCTAGCCGGAGCGGTAGGGGCGGATGTAGGTTCTGGGGATTTCTTCGCCTTCCGTTTTTGTTTTTTCACCGGGGCCGCGGGCTCTGTCTTCTCTATGATGGGCTTTACAGAGCTCTTAGGTTTGACATTCGATTCCTTGTAGTAATATCCTAGGCTACCAGCGACAACGAGCACAATGGCCCAGCTGATATATGGGTTCATCATCGTTAATCTAGCAATGACGAGATTGTCAGCTGCGGATTTCAGAAAAAGTGTTGCAGGGACCGCAGAAACACACCAATTCTCAATTGAACTAGATTCAGCGTAAGAGAGTCGTGACAATTGGGCGATGGAGATAGGTTAAATCCGGTTGGGGTGTGTTTTGCTACCGGGGGGGACACAAATGTGCGGCAGCAGCGTTGCGGAAACAAGTAGAGGGAGGAGGCACGAGACTCAGCGAGGTTTGCTGAGGTAGGAGCGGTAGAAGCGATCTCTCGCGAGTTTTCGAGTCAGTCTCTAGGCATCGGGTTGCCGAAGGTTACGCGAGCAGGAGTTGTTGGGGGACAAAGGGGTTAAAGGCGGATGCGGATAATTGCGCTGAAAGGCCAGATTGCCACACGGAAGTCCGACGCGACAGTAGTGCAGCTGCAGCTATCCTTGTAGGCCGAGAACACAGCAGCACCGGATGTGTTCCGCAAATTATAAAATCGGATCCAACGAGATTGAGTCGATTGTCAGTGCTTGAAGGGAGCGGTTGAGGTTGCGCCTTGAGTCTAGGCAACACGTTGCGGCAAAAGAACCGGCGCGTCACCGAAGGAGCATCGGGGAAGCTAGCACAATCGGGGGTCGGATCGACGGATTGCTGCGGAGGTAGAAAGAAAGGATCAGGAGACAGCAGATGGGAGGAAGATGAGATTGAGGCTCGAGGTCTGGAAGGGGCGTCTGCTGGTTTTAAGGAGAGGAATGAGAAAAGGAGAGGGGGGAATTGTGAAGAGGACACGGTGCGATCTGGGCGAGACTCCGACTCCATACACAGTAAAACTCCCCTGTTGATTTCCCATTAATTACCGGTGGGATGGACTAGCATTCACCGCTCCAATCGTTTTGCGCACTTTGGCAGCTCCACATAATTAAGTGACAACTATGTATTTCAGCGAGATGCTGGGGGACTAATGTTGTTTACTTGATCCTCCGTAGGGAGTCCTCCTACTGTAGAACACTCCTCATCTCTGAGGTATCAGCAACACTGTTTCAAATTGTTTATAGAACGAGTGCCCTCAATTCCCTCCAATGAAGCTGCCTCGTCAACAAATGGATGGGATCGCTTGAATGACAGGAATTGCGGGGAAGATCTTCCAGACTGCGATGGCCACAGCGGCATTTCCATCCCTGTCAACTTTAGATTAATACACATTACTGGCGAGATTAATGCGTGCATACTTCGGGTGAATTAACCTTCACTGCCATCGGGAGGGAAAACCCCTATTGGCCTCTGCTCCGATAAACATGTGAGCGCGCTGTTCACTCAGGATAGTCTTTTAAGGACCGTGCTGGGAATCCATGCTCATGAGTGTATAATGATTTATCCTGTGGAGATCGGACCAAAGTACATGGTACTACTAGAGATGGACGAAGTCAGGTTCATATTTCTGTTGATGGATTGATACACAACAGCCATGATTGTGACATTGAAAGCACGTGTTTTGTTATGTTTCATTGTATGTTCCAGTTACCAAGTATTTCCATAAACATCGCGAGTTGGAGAGAAACAGATGATGTGGACCTGGCAAGAAAGGCCGCCAAGACATCCCACCTTCTCCCCTCTCTCTTCTCCATCCGAGTCTCTTATCTCGAGATACTCTGGTATTCATTGAACCACATTTTTAGACAGCTACAGTCGCAAAATGACACCCAAGAAGAAGCTTATCATCGATACTGATCCGGTATGCACTTGCATGTTTCGCCACGTGCTCGGCACTGCCCATTTGGTTAGACCTCCGCTAAGAGATATCACAGGGAATCGATGATATCCTCGCTCTTCTGCTGGCGTTTTCTGGGAAGTCCGAGGATGTCGAAGTCCTTCTTGTCTCCTTGACATTCGGTAATGTCGAGGTAAAGAGGTATGTCAAACCCAGGCTGTTTACGACCACTCGCCTAAGTGCCCATGCAGCTGCCTACGCAATGTTGTCTCCATGTTCCACATCCTGGAGAAAGAGATGCAGTGGCGTCGCGAGCAGGGTAAACCCGAGGGCTTTGACACATTGCGCGCCCATCCACCACTTGTCGCTCTCGGGGCGGAGGATCCCTTGGATGACCAGAAGATGCTCGCAGACTACTTCCGTGAGTTTCGCCACTTACATGTCTCAACTCTAGTACCCTGTAGCTGACTTTTGAAGATGGAATCGACGGACTGGGTGGGATCCACGGCAGCGTACGTGTAGCCAAAAAATTTCCACGCCCCCGCAGCTTTACTGACATAGTGCAGCATCCCCATTTGACTCCCAGAGAGGCCTGGGAGCATCTTTTCGACCCAACCCATGAGCCTGTCGAACTGAAGCCCGTACCTACGGGTACTCCAGCTCACCAATCATTCATCCCCTCAAAGCGCCCTGCCCACGAGGAGATGCTTCGCGTTCTGCGCGAGAATGATCCGGACACAGTTACCATCGTGGCCGTCGGGCCTCTCACCAACCTGGCTTTAGCTTCCGCCGCCGATCCAGAGACGTTCCTCCGGGCCAAGGAAGTTGTGGTTATGGGAGGAGCCGTGCATGAGCCTGGAAATGTGAGAATAGCTCCGTTTACCTTTTATTTTGCTCAACTAACAAGAGCCAGGTGACGCCGGTTGCCGAATTCAATGCGTACGCGGACGCATTCGCCGCCGCACGGGTCTACGCCCTCACTTCCCCTTCTCCCAAGAGTACCTTGCCAATCTGCAAGAGCCTGCTAGACCTCCCGCCAAACCTCAGCGGACAGCTCACCCTCCGTCTATTCCCGCTGGACATCACATTAAAGCACGGCATCAACCGCGGTCAATTCCGGAAAGCAACCACCCCGCTGGTAGAGGCTGGCTCGCCACTAGCTGAATGGGTCAAGGCCTTCATGGCGCACACATTCGCAACCCTGGAAAGACTGCACGCGAACCAAACAGGCGACGCGGCGGAACTCAGCCTGCACGACCCCGTTTGCGTATGGTACGCGCTGACCGCTGAAGATGAGGGGTGGAAGCCAGCTGAGAACTCACCTGAGGACATTCGGGTGGAGACGACGGGCCAGTGGACGCGGGGAGCGTGCATCATTGATCGGCGAGACAGGCACCCCATTGATGGGGACGAGGAGAGCTCGAGCGACCATGGGTTGTGGTTGAGCAAGAGGGCTGGAAACAGGATCTGGAGGATGGATAAGTCCCCGGCGGAAAGTAACTTTGGCGAGGTTCTGCTCGAGCGGCTCTTTACTTAGGTTGTGGCTGTCCCGCGGGTTATGTGATGCGTCGGATGATCGGATCTCTCATTGTGGACGCAAGGGGGTGTGCATTGGATATGCGGATTGGGTGTGCGGTGTCTAGAAATATGCCTTATGTTTATGGATAGACATAGAGACGCCGTGATATGCTCATTTAAGAAACAATGCACCTTGATAGATTCACACCCCTTTTTTGAAGAATGTAGTTGTTGATCACCAGTACGTACTCAGGGATGGTTAAACTTAATAGCGCTTTCTCGGAACCTGCCAAGTATCTAGACTCTTATGTGGTGTAGATGCCCTACCTAAGCATCCTTACAAATACTTCATACTTCTACTGAAGTCCCACTTACCTTGCAATTGAGACACTATATAAGGTGAGTTAGTGATACATCGTTCCCGAAAGTGATCTGGGTGGTTGTTTGGCTCAGCCTCGGATTAGTTTCTTCGGTGTGGAATCAGGACCAATATATGCAATGATAACCAGAAGATCATTGAGTTACAAAAGATTATACGTTTTCGGCTGAGCATTGATGTGGGTGGCCCGAAGACTTCCGGGATCATTGAGGAAAGCATGTCTGATTCTCGAGGCGCCGAGATAGCAGATCATCTTCGGGTCTTATCAGAGCCAGATGCAACGTCATTTATTGAGTTCTGAATGGAGACGAATAAATGGATAGGCTCTTTGTTGGTAGTTCTGATCTCGTGCTGACGGGTCACCCTTTCAATGATTTCCGCTGATAGCACACATCACAGGCAGCATGGTTACAGTAGCATCTTGCCCGCGGCTGGAATTGAGATCACCTCCTGGATCAGCTTTGGGGAATCAATTGATGATCCGTCTGAAGGTTTCGCAGAGACTATAATCTAAGACAATGTTGGAGACGTATCATTCCCATAACCATTTAGCAGCGCCGAATTGGGGAAGAGCTGGAGGGAAGAGCTGGAGAGGGAAGTCTTTGAGTGCCTAGCTGACGCACACGAACACTCAGCCAGCACATCCCGGGGAGGAAAAGCCTCACACGAGATCGGGATGATACCCCGGGCCCCATAGTGAGGGCACGGTAAGCATAATGAGCGGGATCCGGCGTAGTCCAATTAGACGTGGAGATTCAGCATGCGTGCCCTCGCAATGACCAGAAGGGCAATTGCAGCAAAAGACCTTCCGATCGGAGCCATGCCGGGACAGTTACTCTCCAGCTTCGCCATGCCAGAAACCATGTGAAGGCACAAGCTGGTATACCAATCAGTGAGAGATGTTCGCCAGCATGCTCTGGATCCCTCCGTTTTCACCCATGGCGACAACAGAGGAGAGATACCACCCCCGCAAGCGACAGGAGGTTCAAGCAAGGGACACCGGACCGCCGACCCATGAGAATGATGCACCGGGGCACGAGCAGCGAGAGCATCGACGAGTTGGCGGAGGGCAAGCGGTCTCGTGCTTCGTCCGGCCAGCTGCCGCCAGCCAATCAGCGGGCGGGCAGCAACCGCGTGGGCGCTCCCAAGCACGCGACACCAACTGACGACCTCACTTGCAAGAGCTTCCTGAAACCCACCTGCTATCGTCGCCCTCCTTCGTCGATCGCTCCAATTTTCGTCGCCATGCCTGCAATCTGCTCTTATTATCATCCGCTGTACCATGGCTGCTGTGCCGTTTTCTCACGACTTTGCCACCATGTTGTTTTCGTTGCCGGAAGTATAGAACCTGTCTTCTGCCGTGCCTGAGCCTCCCGGGTTCAAGGAACTTCTCACCCCTCTTGTCGCCCTTATCTTGTCGTTCTGCTTTCGTCTGACAGGCCCTGAGCTGAGTCTTCCTTTCCCAGCGCCAAGTTGTACGACACCCAGTTGGGACCAGACGCTTCTTGTGCTACTTTGTTTCAGCCTGCCTCGCACCCCATAAGGCACTCTCCGCATTTAAGGAAGCCCAGAATATTGTCGTGCTTCTTATAGTCTCTTTTCCAGAAAATGTCACGTTCCCGTCTTCCTCCAACGCCCGCCATGTCTGGAGAGTTGATCATCAAAGATAAGGACCAGGCCATGATCGATGGCTCGGACGTCTTTGCTCTGCCCCCAGCTGCCTATAGTCCTTCGAAAGTGAATGATGCTAGCAGGAGGTCATCCAAGTCGGACCCCTCGGTATTCTTCCCTGCATCACCGACATCACCGCGACTTGATCCGGGCCGCAATGCGAACCCTCCGTCGCAGGCCGGTTTCAAGAGACCCCTCGAGGATCTAGACCTCCCTCCTCCTCCCACCCGAACCCGCAAGATCATTCAGATGAAACCAAAGACCCAGACCTCGCCGAAACCTGCTGCAGCTCCCGCAAAACCCGCTTCAAAGGGGAACACAAAGGCCCCCGCCAATAACACTTCACCGGCCGCTTCCAAAAAGAAGCAACCAAGTGCCACCAGCGCAGCAGGACGGAAGATCGCACGAAAGACGGCGCACAGCTTGATCGAGCGGCGACGGAGGTCGAAAATGAACGAGGAGTTTTCGACCCTGAAGAATATGATCCCGGCTTGTCAGGGACAGGAGATGCATAAGCTGGCCATCCTACAGGTTCGTTTCCCCATACTTACCAATGTTTCCCCGAGATTAGCCTAACTCCTTTACCATCTAGGCCAGCATTGATTATGTCAACTACCTCGAGAAATGCATTCAAGGTCTCAAAACCCCCGGTGAACACAAACCGCTGGCACCACCATCGTTACCCGCCGCTCCCCTATCACCAACATCTCCCGAGTTCCTCGGGGAGGTCCAAGGCAGCACATACTCCGCATCGGTGTCACCCGAAGTACCCCCACACAGCGTAGCCAGCACCTCTCCAATGTACTCCCCTCGAAGCGGGATCCCCTTGGCCGGCGCAACATCAGATATCCCACCGTCGATCTTGCCAAGTCCTGCGCTGGGACCAGTTCGGACCAACGAGCGCACGATGGGCCCCGGCTCCGCTTGCAGCTCCTGGGCTATTCCGTCTGCCACAACCTCGCCTGCTATCCAACCCCGCTTCTCCAACGCCTCTTCTGCCGACATGGACCATGAAGCTTCCGCCGCGCTGCTCATGCTGAACCGGGACCCTCGAGGATCAATCGACTCTGGCCATGGCGGCTCGGCAAGCTCGTCTGCCTCTCGCGAGGACGAGAGGCACAAGATTCCTGACCAGCAGCGCAAGAGGATGAGCGTGATGGATCTGTTGATTTCCTAAATTAATGATACTTTGATGATAGACACTGCCGCCGGCAGCTCAAAAAGGATTCGCGAGGCGCTCAGGGGTGGCTATCTGTTTTGTTTGTTAATATCTGGTCTGTTTCAGTTACGAATAATGAGTGGCGTTGGAACTGGTTTTGTTTTCAACGTGGTGTTTTCGATATGAATACGAGTATATTGTTTTGCGACTGTTTCCTGTGTCCGTAGTACACAAGTATCAGGGGTTTCAATAACCCAAAAACATATCCCCCTTGGATTACAATGACTTTTACCAGAATACGGTGTACAAGGATGGGCAATAAGACACCCTGCTATAGCAAGGCCAATCCCGTCCCTCCCAAGTCCATCGTCCATTCAACTCCCAGAAGCCAATCGCCACCAAACCCGACCCCCCAAAACAAACTTACCATGGAATCTTCTCGACGGAATATAAAGTTCACCCCGGCCAGAGTTCGGGATGTCTTTATCGGGATATCCTCATGGCCACTAGGGCCCTCGTGCGGGATAGTTACCTCAGGAGGTGCTAAGGAAAGGCAGGCAAGACAGTTGGTGGCCCGTGCAAGGAAGGTTCAGCTGGAATGGATAGCATATACCCCGCACGACCTCGACTACCTGGTGTCTGGTTTACGATTGTTCGAGGTGTGGTCTAGGCTTTGGATGGATTCAAAGGAATGGGTTGCAGGTGTCTGTGCGCTGGGTTTGTCTACTGATACCGACTCATAACTCAAGCCATCTCTTGATTGCGGGGATTTGGGGACGGAGCATGGCGAGTTAGAGAACGCTGAGGTGTTGTACTAAGTACACCAAACTATCTATCATGAGGGCATCGTTAAGTAGCCTGGATAGGCCATGATTTCCCGAGTGGAGGCAACCCAAAGGCCGGCCTTGGAAAATTCGGCGAAGAGATCCGAGGAGAAAGGAAAGAAATACGAAAAGTCAACCATCGGTCCATGATGACGATCATCCAGTGCCAGTGCCCTTCCGCCAAGGGCTCAGGTCGTGTGCCCTGGAATTCAACCTCAGGCTAGCAATGCACTGCTTTACCGCATTAGGATATGGATTGGCTGCGCGCAGAACGCGGCTGGCTGGCACGGCTGGAACGGTTGGGTTTACATCTTTGGGCGAATCACTGACTTGGGTTTCCTGCTGTGTCGTTTTTACTCCGGATACACTTTGTCGTTGCTGTATAGGCAGAGACAGGACAGGGCGACCTGATCTGCTGCCAAGCGGAGGGATCCACTGATGTGTTTTCTTGTTAAATGCCAATAATTGATGACATCTGCTCCTGCATTCTGAGTGAGAATGGTTGTAATAGCAGGTAGCACTTCCGATACCCGAAGTGAGAGAGTTGGTGACTCGCACTCTGGAAGTCAAGTCCGCTTGGGAATCGATGACATCAGACGGTGGGTCACTCTTTCTGGGCCATTTCGCGGCGCTCTCTCCAACAACCATCAGTTTTAAGTCATTCGAGGCCCAAGGGGATCTCCATCTCGAGATCTCCCGGCAGCCTGGAGCCTAGAGGTGCCAGCGAGCCAGTCTGCGCACTACTTATCATGCCAAGATGATAGTGCAACCGCCGCGTTCTTTTCTGAAGCTATTCTCGGCACCCAACTGGGACTCAGACTTGACCTCCACCAAGGGCCCCGCACGCCCCAGCGAACCCCCTCCAAAACGAGGTGCGTATATAGACTCCCGATTCGGCCTCCCTTTCCTTCACTTCCCTTCTACTTTCTCCCCCATCATGAAGCATCTGAACTCATCTTACTCATCTCTGACCGGATCAGTTCCCACCATGGCTCGGTTCCGCACCCACCAGCACAAGAAGAACACCCGCTCTTTAGCCTCCGAGGGCCCGTGGAAGGTCGATACACCGTTTGGACCGCCTGAGATCTCGCACATCCACGTCCCCGGCGGCATCCGACGGATACGAAATACCTTTGCGAAATTGACCCCATCCGCGCGAGCCGAGCGGCAACTGCTCAGACAGAAGAACCTATGCAAGAGCCCCCTGACTGAGCGCAACGTCGACACATTCGTCACGCACCAGGAATTCACGGATGCCTGTTACCCGAATCAACACAGCAATGAAGTACAAGTGGTCGCTTGGCTTGATCGACTGTACTGAAGATCCTTGGCATACCATCCTTGCTCTGCGCAGCCACACCCTCTGACTCTACTGAGCCTGCCACTTCAGAACGCGACAACAAACCAACTTGGCACCGCTACCGAGACTCCATCGCAGCCACCGAGATTTTCGCTCCCGATCCTTTTGACATTCCTGTCGTTGATGTTCGAGTTCATGATGCATCATCCGCTTGCGAATCATTGTCTTGGCGCGAATGTCACAGCATTGGCGCAGTCGCCAAGCATGCAAGTCAACAACGCCGGCAGACGCCCAGGCAGGAGGCACCCGTGATCACCAAACACCACCCACCAGCACAATCAATGACTCGCGGGAAAGAGCCTCGTTCTGTCTCGTTGGACAGAATCTCGTCGCAGTGGTTGATCATCCATCCAACGGAAATAGATGACCCTTCCTTCGGGATAGCACTTTACAAACACGAGAGGTTCCGCTTTCGGCTCAACTCTATTAATCATATTCTTGCCATGGACGGCATACGTTCGACAACCCTTTATTAGTGGTCCCGTTGACTGGCTCGCTATTTACATTCATCCTTACGACTTACTTCCTTTTGTATACGACCTTTATGCAGTTCATTCATTCCTTCGCTACCTGCAACAGCTCTGCTACTCCAACTTAACTACTGATCGGTTCCATGTGGACCGTTGGTAGATGATTACTGTTTTGACCACGAATACCCTTTTGCTTATTTGTTATACTTGCTTTGTTAGCCAGGTGCTTGGAGTTTAGAATACCTATTTGTTTTCTTAGTTGCTTTACTTTGCCTATAATTAATGCAGACGGAAGTTGTCTGAGGCTGTGCTTTTACCTTGGTTTTAGCCTTTTTGCTGTAGCCTGTAGGAGATTTCATTTACCAGAGTGGCGCCTCCCTTGCTCATGCTGATCTTGATTGGGAGGTACATATCCCGTCTGGCCTGGTATCTCCCTCTTCCCAGGGGCAGAAAAGTCTATAACGCTATGGTGGACTATGCGTGACTGGTGGCTAGCTAGATGCATTTTAGATAGTTAATACTAACAGGGATGACTATAATGACAGGGGACTCAATTCCAAGTCACGTTCGCCCAATTTGCTGCTTAGCCACCTAAGCTGGACTCCTGCCCTCAGCCTCGTATGTCGACTTGGCGTTTTGCTTTTTCCAACACCGCAATTCACGATTCAGCCTTGAGGCAGAATCTTCAATAAACAACAAAACCTACTCAACTTGCTCGATCAGTGACGGCTACGTCGATTTCGGTCGGTTACTTACCGATGCATCATTTTCATTATGGCTGACAGTGCTCGAAAGCACCAGATTGACCACGAAAAGCTTGACCCGGAAGCTGAGAGGGGCCGCAAGAGACCCCGCGGCGACGATGAAGGTTACCATGGCTTGGCCATTCATAACGGCCACCAGAAGCAACTCAGACACCAAGACTACAAGATCGGAATAATTTGCGCCCTTGAACTTGAGATGAGCGCCGTACGATACATGTTAGATGACGAGCACATTGGGCTGCGCGAAGTACATGGTGATCCAAACTCCTATATCGTCGGCACACTCAGTGGACATAATGTTGTGATCACCTGCCTTCCTGAAAACCAAGGGAAAGGTGCTGCAGCAATTGTTGCTACAAATATGGCACGCACTTTCCCGGGAATCGAATTGCGATTGCTTGTTGGGATTGGAGGAGGCGTGCCGAGTGATAAGCATGACATTCGTTTAGGTGATGTGGTCATAGGCATGCCTGAGGGCCTGCATAGTGGAGTGATTCAGTATGACCTGGGGAAGGATACAGGAGATGGTTTTATTCGCAAAGGGTATCTGTCACCAGCACCTTCCGCTCTGAGGTCTGCAGTTGTAAGGATGCAATCGGATCATCGGACGACACCAAACAGGATCAGTGAATTTCTGATGGATATGTTGCGAAAGAGAGAAGGGCTTTCCCTATACTAGAAACCACCTGTCAAAACAGACATCCTCTTCACGCCTGACACAACACACGTCCCCGGTCAAGATGGATGCAAAAACTGTGACAGGGAAGGCATGGCTCACCGATTTTCACGCGAATCTAGTGCACCTCAAATCCATTACGGATTGATTGCTTCTGGGGACAGAGTTATGCGAAATGCGAGGCGGACTCATTTGAACGCGCAATCCGACCTGGGTGATGTGCTATGCTTTGAAATGGAAGCTGCTGGTATTTTGACAGAGTTCCCCTGTCTTGTTATCCGTGGTATTTCTGACTATGCCGACTCCCACAAAAACGACATCTGGCATCACTATGCCGCCGCCTCTGCCGCGGGATGTGCCAAAGAGCTGCTCTCTTATCTGGGCTCTGGATTTTCTCAGGACAAAACGGAACTTGACCACAGCATCTCACCCGATTATGCTGCACCTGCGTCCGCTAAACCAGCCGGCATCTCATCTCGACACCGTGATGAAGACAATGCATCGATCAGCAAGGAAGAAAAGCAGAAATTACTGGAGTCATTGAGATTTGACCAGATTGAGTCTCGGAAGAGTAACATCAAAAATTCACACACAAGGACTTGCAAATGGCTTTTGGGAAACCCCGAATACTGTGGGTGGCTTGACAGCACCGAACTCAACGGCCATCACGGTGTTTTGTGGATAAAGGGAAAACCAGGAGCTGGAAAATCAACACTTATGAAATTTGCTCTTGACAATGCCCTCGAAAAGATGAAGGACAAGACAGTTCTACACTTCTTCTTCAACGCACGAGGAGAGGAGTTGGAGAAGTCTACAATCGGGATGTATCGAACTCTCTTGTGGCAACTTTTTAAAGAGATTGACCCCCCAGCTATAACAGCACGGTATAAAGACAAGGGCTTCCAGTGGAATGTGGTATTGCTGCAAGAAGCTTTTAAAAAAGCAATCCAGAACCTTGGACAGTCGGATATCATGTGTTTTATTGACGCACTCGATGAATGCGAGGAGATGCAGATCCGCGACATGTTACGCTTTTTTGAGGACATGGCAGAATTGGCAGTCAAAGCTGGCATTCGTTTTAATGTCCTTTTTGCGAGCAGGCATTACCCCCATATTACCATCAAGAAAGGATTGGAGCTCACCCTAGAAGGTCAAAAGGGACACAGCGATGACATCGTGACTTACGTGGATAGCGAGCTGAAAATCGGGGACAGTAACATTACAACACAAATCAAGAACGAAGTTCGACGAAAGGCATCTGGAATTTTTATGTGGGTTGTTCTTGTCATACAGATTCTGAATAAAGAGTATGACCGTGGGCGTATAAACACCCTTTGGCGGAAGCTCCAGGACATTCCTGGCGACCTGCACGACTTATTCCGCGATATTCTGACACGGGATAAAGATAACGGGAATGAGCTCATTTTGTGCATTCAATGGGTTCTGTTTGCAAGTCGACCTTTGACGCCGGTGGAATTATACTGCATCCTTCTTTTCGAAACCGATTGTAGTGCAACCAACGAGTGGAACCCTGAGAATATTACGGACGAAGCCATGAAAAAGTATATCTTGGATTGTTCCAAAGGACTTGCAGAAATAACTGTTTCAAAACCAACTGTCCAATTCATCCATGAGTCAGTGAGAGATTTTCTCCTCAAGGAAAACTGGTTATCTCAAATTTGGCCCGATCTAAGAGATAACTTTGAAGGGCAGAGCCATGAACATCTAAAGAGGCGCTGCCTTGAATACATGACCATGGAGAGCATATCCGACTTTCTGAATCTTGACCAAGTTCCTTCAGGGGCCCGCATGTGGAAAATGCATGGAAGCCCTTACGGAGCCGCCGCGGCATTTCCGTTCCTCGAGTACGCGATTTCGAATGTTTTTGACCATGCGGAGGCGGCAGCAAAGACTGGGATTGTACAGAGCGCCTTTCTTGAGAGCTTTCAGATCTCTTGGTGGATTGCACTAAATGTTTTTGAAGATGATATGATATACCAATATGGCCCCTACACGAGCCTTCAGTATGTTCTTGCGGACCGTGGCCTCCTAAGTCTCATCGAAGCTTGCTCATCTAGTCCGTCTTGGTTGGAAAAAGAAAATGAAGATGAGCGTGACCGGAACTCGCTATTTTCGTGTCTTGCGAATAAGAGCAAAGACACCCTTCAAGCAATAATGAGAGCATATGCGCGGAATGGGCCTCCGGGGAGTAAGCTTCGCGAACTATGCAATCGCGCAGTGAGTGCAACTATTCAACATAATTTTGAGCTATCAAAGCAGAACTCCGTCCCTCCTGTTGCACCGGAGACTAGTGAAGAGCTTTTATTCATTTTTATGCTTGAAACAGGAGCCATACTACCAAATGAAGCAGTCCTATTTTGGTATGGAGATGAGGAAGACGATATAACGCCACTAGAATACGCGGCGACGAAGAACTATTTGCAGCTCGCCCAACTATCACTTGACCTTTAGCGTGCTGACCCGAAGTTCGATTCTTGCCACACACGAGACGCATTACTATTGGCAGTAGAGAATGGGCACAAGGAAATTATTAGATTAATACTTGATGATCCGCGTGTTGACCCCAATCTCCATGATTCATTTACATCAGCAGCTCTTTCAGGCGCAGCAGCAAATGGCCACAAGGAAATTGTCAAGTTACTACTTGATGATCCGCGTGTTGGCCCGAATTCCCTTGAAATTGGTGCACCAACGGCGCTATCAATGGCAGCATCGAATGGACAAGAGGAAATTGTTAAATTACTACTTGCTGATCCGCGTGTTGCCATTCAGAGAAATGTAACACCGCTGGTATGTGCAGTAAAGAGTGGGCACATAGAACTTGTCAGGTTTTTGCTTGATGACCAGCGTGTTAGCCCGGATATTAAAAGTGAAAAGCACCGGAAACCACTATCATCGACAGCAAGGAGATGTTATGAGGAAATTGTCAAGTTACTTCTTGAGAATCAGCGAGTTAACCCAGCTACTAACTATGAGAGGTGCTGGTCACCAGTGTTATCAGCAGTAGCGAATGGTCACACAGAAATTGCCAAATTGCTTCTTAATAACTGTCGGTTTCACCCAGATATGAAAGATGATAAGGGCTGGACGCCACTATGCCACGCAGCAGTATATAACCACGCAGAAATCGTCAATTTACTTCTTGCTGATCAGCGCGTTGACCCAAATATCACGGACATTGACGGGCGAACACTGCTGTCGTGGGCAGCAGGGAATGGCCACACGGAAATCTTCAAGTTACTGTTCGCGGCTAAGCGTATTGACCTAAATACCCAGAGTGCTGATGCACTTTCCTGGGCTGCAAGGAATGGACGTGCAGAAGTTATCGAGCTACTGCTTGGTAACGAACATGTTAAATCATGTATCAGGGACGATGAAGAAAAAATCATACAGGAAGCATGGTCTTACGGGAAGGAGATTATGACATTAATACTTGCTGAAATGCGTGTTGGCCCAAATATTCAGACTCCGCATGGCATGACCCTATTATCATGGGCAGCATGGAATGATGACAGGGATCATATGGAGCTGCTACTTAAAGATCAGCGCGTTAACCCAAATATTCAGGATAAGGAAGGTCGCTCAGCATTGTTACTCGCAACAGAGAGACGTAGCGTGAAAACATTACAGTTGTTACTCTCTGATCCGCGAGTTGATCAAACTATGCAGGATAAGGACGGGAAAACAGCACTGTCACTGGCAAAAGAGATGGACGATGAGGAACTGGTTGGCTTGTTGCAGTCTGCTTGTACATAAGATAACTCTGCTGCGTTGAAGCCTTCCTATTGCATTGCCAAAGGCGTATAGAGTAAATAATTCTAACACATGTCATAGATCTCATAGAAGATTCAATAGCAGATGGTGATAATAACATGTGCTCTGCTACACCCAACCCACCTGGCTTAGCCATCTGACCTTTAGCACAGCACTGTCGACCACAAGTCAGTCTCCAGACTCTATGGATTGACTATTAGCCCCGACAGTTTGTCGCCTCGGGCAGAGTCTACGACAACTTTCAGGTCAGGGACAGCGAGTGAAGTTCTGGGCGGGTAAATCTGTCGAATGGCTGAGAATCAGTTTAAACCCTTGCCTGTCAATATGTGTTCGTGATTGAATAATGACTTCTGAATCCAGACTCCCTGACTCAAGCTTACTGACGGCCAACAACCCCCTCCCTCTACTCAACATGCAGTGCTAGCATCAGGCCAGTCTCCGTTTCCAAACAGCAGCCCACAGAAAAATTGCCCCGAGAAAATACCCGCTGACGAACGCCTCCAAGCCAGGGATGAAGCTTGACTCTTGCAAGCTGGGTTCCGGCGTGAAAACGTGCGGTCTCATTTAGATTAACGATCGGCAAGGCACGGAACCACTTGGCGAGTCAGTCTTCCTCGTGCGGACCTCCGCCTGCATATTCCATGTTTAAAAAAGTGTTAGTGTCAGTTCTTGTAACGGTGAACCGCTGAATATAGATTGCAGGTTCCTGGCTCCGGTCTTGGTGTGCGGAGCCTGCGGATTCCGACAGTCCACGCTGCGGAGTTTGCTGACCGGCTGGAGACGCTGGGGGTTTGATGTTGATGTTTTTTTCGGTCGTTTGACAGGTTGTTTGAGTTCGCTTATTTTAACTGTCTTGGTCTCCGAGGTCTATATAAACTTCCCCGGTCCCGTTCTTGACATTCAATTCAACAACAGTCAATTGATCAACTTTCAAAAAAATGAAGTACATCCTCAGCCTTGCCCTCTCGGCAACTCTAGCCACTGCGCAGTCCGTCTCCGGATCTGCTGAGGGCTTCGCCTCCGGCGTCACTGGCGGTGGCGACGCAACCCCCGTCTACCCAGCCGATGCCGCCGAGCTCGAAAGCCTGCTATCAGGCGAGGGAGAACAGGTCATCGTCCTGACCAAGACGTACGACTTCACCGGAACCACCGCCACCGGCACAGCCTGCTACTCATGGGGCGAGGGCGAGGGATGTCAAGCCATCCTGCAGGACGACTGCGGCAGCGACCCCAGCACGATGGCGACGTATGATGCGGCCGGTCCGACGCCGATTCCCGTCGCCTCGGACAAGACGCTTCTGGGAGAGGGAGAGGGCGCGATTAAGGGCAAGGGATTGAGTTTCACCGATGGGGTGAGCAATATTATTGTGCAGAATATCAAGATCACGGACTTGAACCCGGCGTATGTCTGGGGTGGGGATGCGTTGAATTTTGACGGGAGCAGTTTGATCTGGATTGATCATGTCGAGGTACCTTTCCTTATCTTTCTTATTTGTATAGGTTACTGACCGACTAGACTTCCCTGATCGGCCGTGTGCACTACGTCTTCGGCTTCGAGGCAAACAGCCAAATTACACTGTCCAACAACTTCCTCAACGGCGAAACAACCTACTCGACCGGCTGCGACGGATACCAGTACTGGGGCATGGAGCTCGTCGGTGCCGACGACTCCATCACATTCAAGGGCAACTATCTATACAAGACCTCCGGCCGCGCACCCGCACTCAGCGGAACAACCAAGTTCCACGCCTGCAACAACGTCTGGAGCGACAACACGGGACACGCAATTGAAGGAAACGAGCAAGGGCAGGGTCTCTTCGAGGGCAATGTCTTTACAGATATAGCCAACATCGCTGACGACACTACCTGGGAGGCTGGATCGCTGTTCCTGTCTTCGGCGGATGGAAGCGGCAATGATGCCTGCTCGAGCTATATTGGCCGCGACTGCACGAGCAGCATCTACACGAACAGTGAGGGCGGCGAGGGCTATACCGATGCGAGCTTCCTGTCTGACTGGGCGGACTTGACGATTGCGGAGTGTGCTGAGGCGAGTGAGATTGAGAGTACTGTTCCTCAGAGTGCTGGCGCTACTTTATAGTTCATGTAAATATTTATAAGTTAGGCTTGATGTGATTCATGTAATTGATATCGGTATTTGTCATTATATCATAACTGAATATATTTACCAGTCCTTCCTTGCAGTGCCAGGACAGTACTCCTCCAGCTTACTCCCGTCCGCAAGACCCTCGATCTGGGTCTTTGCGGTAGCAGAGAGCTGGTCCATTGCAGCCCCATCTGCAATCATAAACGTAGCATACTCCTCCAGTTTCTCCCTCGTGAAGTCAATGCCGTTTTTAAACATCTGGTCATACCATTCCCTGTGGGCATCTGCAAACGAGAAGCCTTCGACCTTGGTATTTGGATCCTGGTCCATTGCGCCCCTGGGGAATCATTAGCAACTTGCCATCAAAGTCCAAACGAGGGAACACTGGGCTAGACGTACAGCACATCTTCCAGCGCAACAAGAGTGTTATTCAGCCTTTCCCGCACCTCGCCGTTATCGAAGTACCTGCACGCCGTCACGATCCGGGCAATATCGCAAGTCCGCCGGAAATGGTCGTTTGGTCTTTTTGGCCTTTCGCTGTTTGGGTTTTTGAAGTAGCCTACCAACTCTTTTTTCGAGAACATCTAGCCCATGGTTAGTTGTCACAGAAGTATAGAAATAGAAATATGGGCAATACATGGTGTTTATGATTATTCTGCTTCATCGGAAGCAGCACCATGCGCTCCTTGTACGTATTATTCGTTCCCAGATTCTGCAACAGCGACTCCTTGTATGTCTTTGGCGGGTTTGCGCTTTCTGGCACCGGAACCTTAGTAGGTTTGATTTTGTCGTCGAAGAACTTTTTCACGTCCGCATGGCACTCCTGGTCTACATCACCACCGGTGCGCTTCTCATGCACGTAGTCGAGGAAGTCCCTGATCCAGACTGCCTCGTAGATATGTTCCGCTGTTGACAGGATTATATTAGCTTATTGGCAGTTTCGATATAGTTGGAGGAAAGGGGAAGGACATACTAGCCCACATGCGCGGCACGTTCTTATCACCATTATCTTTCCGAACAACTGCACGGTCTTGCATATTGTCCTTGATGACGGTGATGCCGGTGTCCGGCACGCAGTCGTTCGAGTCCGCGCATTCCACGTCGGGCTTGATGATGGGCACATCGGTGTCGTCCCGGATACTCGCAGGGCCGGGGTATCTCAGTTTGCGGAACGTGAACTCTCCTTTCTTGTCGCAGTAGAGCTGGTAAGGGCGGCTTCTGTCTTCACTCTGGCGACGGTCTAAGTCGTGATGGGCCGGTCCAGGCTCTTTTGAAGGTTCTGGGAGAGTGGCTCTAGGGAGAGCGCCACGCTTCTTCTTCTTCTTGTTGTTGTTACCGGTACTGTCTTCTTCCTCTTCGGCGTCTCCCTCGGCTAAGCAGTAGCCCTCTGAAAGCTCGCCGAAAGCGAGACATACTTGAGGGAAGGTGAAGAGGTCTGGGGCGTCTACGAGGGTGACTTGGGCGAGGGTATTGCGGTCACCGTCGACCTCTGCCCAGCCCTCGAGGGCGAGGTTGGCACCAACGGTGGAATCTATTTTGACACCAAATACGTCTTCGCCTGGTGCGCAGAAGCCGTTTAGGTCTGGGATGTTAGCTACATCGACAACTGGCAGGGTGGTAGCTCACCAACGCCACCAGATGTTGTGACCGTCAGCTGGGGGACTTTGAGTGCCAAATCGACGCCGAAGCCGTTGTCATCTGTCTTGTCAGTTATTTTCGAAGTTGGGGCTAGGGTATGGTTGACGCACCCAGAATGGTGATGCTGACCGAGAGAGCAATCTCGGTATACAGCCGGGTCTGCGCGTCGATCTCCGCTCGCAATTCTAACGGATCTGTCTCAATCTCAGGAGTCCATCCAGAAACCTGGACCGAGTCTTCTGCTTTGAGATCCAGCTTTGCAATTGCTGTATCCGGGATACTTGCTGTGATGCCGGTCGAGAATACAGCAGAGCCGCCGATATAGTCAATGACATAGCCAGCGTTGATCTCAACGTGCGGTCCAAACTGGAAGACCTTTGGAATTCTCCAGCCAGAGACAGGAATATCAAGCAGGTTGAGCTCTTGTGATGGCTGGACAAAGTCCCGGAAATCAACTTCCCCCTGAAACTCCAGACTCACTCCGACATGGGCCTTGACGCCCTGCGGCTTGACTGAGAGCTCGAACTTGTCAATGTCAATCCCTGTCCAGCCTAGACTGGCTTCAACGTGGCCGGCAAAAACAAGCGAGCCCTCGGTGCCGCAGTCATCACAGTTCGCCTGCAACGTGGCGTTGAGAACCCCAGTATCAACCTCCCAGCTGAAGATCTCCTCGGGGAAGCTCGAGCTGACATCCAGCGTAAACTTCTTGTCCAGATCCGGGATGATATCGCGCTTTTTATTATTTCCCAGGACCATCTCTCCAAAGTCAAGCACAAAGGTATTCATCACCTTCTTCCAGTTGCTCTCGGAGGCATCGAGAATGACCTTGTGGGTTTTGTCGTCGAACTCGACCTTCCTCACAACCCAGGGGTCATGAGAACGGTCATCGCCGCATCCCTTCCAGCTAGGGACGATAACAAACGAACGGAGCTCGTTGTAGTTAACCCAGCCCCATGCAATCTTCGCCGCTTGGTAGATAAGCGGGTGCTTGAAGTGGAGGAAGAACTCTTCTGCATTGCAACTGGCAGTGTCTAGCGCAAAGGAGAACTTGTCCATATCCAGAATCTTTTCATCTTGCTTGGAGTATGCAACCATGCTGACGACTACTGCCTTTTCACCGGGTTCTGCTATCGTTAGCACCTGTCTTGTATACATCATCTGTAGACCGACTCACTATCACTAGAAGCCCAGACAAACTTCTCGTGGTCTGCCAGACCGACGGAGGCTCCATTGTCTGCCGTTCTCATGAGGGATTGGTCCCATACATCTCGGGGCACAGGGACGAGGTCTTCGAATTCAGGCGAGGCTGGTGCTGCTAAAACCTGCCAGAACCACAGAGTGGCTAGAACCAGGGGGAGTTTAAGCATCCCAACCATTTAAACAGATTTACAATGATAATGATATAGTCTACTTCAATGGAAATGTAGGGTCTTTTATATTCCTCAGCCTCTTAATGCATCCTAGCTGAGTCGCTTTCCGTCCCTCACCTTCGTTTCTGTATCTGAGACGTCCGTATAGTCCGCGCTCTCGTGATGCTGAAATTAGGGTCTAAAGGTTAGTAAACCGGACATGAATCCCAAAGAAGCAAAGGAGCGCAAAATACGATGTTGCATTGCGTATTATCCTCGCCATGCGAGGAGAGGACGGACAGCTGAGCATCGTATAGAGACAGGGGTAGATTGGACATATAGTAGTTGCAGCAGTAGTCCTCGTTAGAGGCTCTAGTCTAGATCTCTCGTATTCAATGAGGTCTGTATTGAAGTCTGTATATCGTTTCCCCAAGTTTGACTCGTATATGGAGAAGGTGATTTTCATAGAGCCGCTGATGATCTCCCGAGCAGATCATGTCGATATCATTATATCTAGAATATATCGTCAATAGTCGTTTTCTTATCTTTCAATGCTCACCAAGTCTTAACGGGATTGCAACAGGCTGACAGACTGACAGCTAACATAAGACTCTCTCCAAAAGAAAATGCAAGCATTCGCAGCCAAGAATAGCCCAGACAGCTGAGCCTCCAGAAGCGGCATCCATTGCGGCTGTCATACCCTAGTCCTAGTATATCTGTGTATGCAATGTAACTTCGTGTTTATTCTTATTCAACCAAAATAGCTGTCATTCAGCTCAGCTAAGTATCAACTCTTCAAACTGGACAGCTTCACTCGTCTTCCCGTCCAAGATGTAGAGAGACTCCAATTCGCTGCACAGAGAAGGCTGTCTCGTATCTGTGACATTGGCGCGCATCGCCAAGTCTTGATTCAGCTTTTCACGAGACTTGGACGCGGGATCCTGAGGGGGCTTTTGTTGGAAACTGTATCTTTGGAGGAAGATTTAGCATCGCTTCTCCAGGTCGGGTGGACGGGCCCCTGCAGTTGTCAGCTGTGTCTGTGATTGTGGGGTAGGCTGGTAATGTGTAACCACAAGTATTGTTACACTATATCTGTTGTAAATATTCAAGATTATTATATAATATACAGTTCACTACTTAAGATTGAGCATATTTAGTATATTTATTTCAACTTGTGTATGATGTCACGTGTGCCTGGACGGTCCCATAGAACCAGAACCCAAACAACTGCTTTAATCTATCTAAATATTTTCAATTCCAGTCAACGGTACTTCCAATGCACCCAGTAAATTCTATACCGATAACAATGCGGTGTTGTGGATGAAAAGAAAGCAGAACAATGACCCCTCACCAGCTCCCCACCATCCGACAGTTAACGTAGTGGGGTATTTCTGAGCAGCTTCAACATTGCAACACATCCTCACCAGCATGCCCAAACCAAAGCGCGTCGCCATAATCGGCAAGTCAATCCTCTACTTTACTGACCAGTTCCATCTCTTACTAACCAGCTCCAGGCGCCGGCCCCTCGGGTCTCGCAATGGCCAAAACACTCTTACAGAACTTCCCCCCAGGAACATTCAGCCCGGTGATATTCGAGAAGAAATGGCGGATAGGTGGTCTCTGGGCTGTAGACTACCCTTCTGCATCGATTTCAACATCAAAACATGCAGCCAGTTTGCCTTCTGAGCATAAGTCTCGTGGCTTCGTGGACCCGTGGATGAAGACGAACCTGAGTCGCTTCTCAGTTGCGTTTTCTGATCTGTCGTGGGAGACGGCACTCGGTCGTCAGGAGGTTCCTGCTTTCCCGTGTGCGTGGGAGGTGCGCAGGTATTTGGAGAAGTATGTTGAGGTTTATATTCCTCGTGAATGTCTGAGGTTGGGAAGCGGGGTTTTGAATGTGATACGGCGCGCGAAGGATAATACTAGGGATAGGATGGGGTGGAAGGTTTCTTGGGTGCATGATGGGTGAGTTTTCATCTTCCATTTGAGAGAGCTAAACTAAGCCATTTATAGGGAGTGTGAAGGGCGAGATCCAAGAGTCCAGACGGATGAATTTGATTTCCTCGTCGTGGCATCGGGCCACTTTGGGACCCCCAGTATTCCAAATATACCCGGACTCGAGGACTTCCCTCGTACAGTCCACAGCTCGAAGCTGCAGAACCCAGAGGATATACGCAGTCTGCTTGGGAAATCACCTAGAGGAAAACTAGTTGTCATAGGCGGAAGCATGTCAGGCGTCGAGGCCGCAAGCTCGCTAGCGCTTCACGTCTCCTCTTTGAACTTCAGCCCTGACTCTGCTGCTCAAGCTGGGAATGGTTACGAAGTGTGGCATGTCGGGTCTGGGCCGTTTTGGGTGCTGCCTACTTACCTGCCACATCAATACGCGGGCGGTTCCTCTGAAGGCTCGATGCCGTTTGTGCCGCTTGATCTATCACTGTATGACTTGGGACGGCGGCCGCCTGGAGCAAGCGAGTTTGTTTTCGGGCCCGTCTCGCCGGAACAAATTTCGAAGAGGAACCTGTTCTTCCGAGACATGGTTGGAAAGAACTATGGCGAATTCGGCGGCATCAACATTACTGATGGTCAAGGGAAAGAGAACGAGCGGCCCCCGTGGGTGGGCATAGCCGACTACTACACGGAGTACATTCGATCCGGGGCGATCAAAACCGTGACAGGTCGGGCCTGTTCAGTCCTGCAGCTTGATAAAGGGACAATTGACATCCAAACCCCTACCGGAGTAACAACCCTTACCGACGTTGCTGCGATAGTAGTAGCAACAGGATTCAAACCTTCCGACTCCCTCTCATTCCTACCACAAGATATACTATCCACGCTCGAATACTCCAAAGAAGACCATTTCCTCCCGCTCATCCTAGACAGCTGGAGCAGCGCACACAGCGAGATTCCAGACCTGGGCTTCGTCGGATTCTACCGAGGCGCCTTCTGGGGCCCAGCAGAGCTACAAGCGCAAAACCTAGCTCAGACCTGGGCTACGATTAATTTGGAAAGTGAAAAGTCGACCTACCTAACAGCTGAAGAGCAGCTTTCAAGAGCGACAGAGAGGCAAAAGGTTCGTGAATTCAGGGACTTCAAGCCCGTGGCGCTTCGCGGACAGTTCCCTTTAGGTGATTATGTGGGGTTAATGGGCTCGCTTGCTCGGCGAGTACACCGTACTAGGGTTCCTATTGAGATAGGTCGTGGGGATGTGCAGCCGGGTCCCGTCGTTCCTGCTCGATACCCGGCATATTCCATTGGACGAGACACTCAGTTAAGGGATACTTCGCAGGAAGTGGATATAACAATGAAAGCTTTGAGCAGTACTCTTTCTGCAGAGCCTGGCCACTGCGTGGGTACGGCAGCGGCAGTTTTCCGGGCGTTGCACGGCCAGTGGAGCTTTGAAAGAGTGAAGGCTCATGACGATAACCTTGGAGCTGTATCGGGGAAGGTAGCCTTCCATCCTCGGTACCCATCCTGTTCAGACTACGCAGCGGAGTATCTTTGCGAAGTGAAAGATGACGACTCAAGGACTTCGACGTCAGTCTATCGCCTATGTGACACTTTCAGATACCCCAAGCAAGCTGGGATAAGCGTTTGGTCTGTGGGCGAAGAAATATCTCCAAACGCAGCTGGTGAGCTTGTATCCGAGCTGCAAGTTGGCCCGGTAGGGAAGGTGCTCGATTCAGGAGAAATCCTCGTTGAAGCTAAAAGCACCAATCATATATATGAGTTTTATTTCGACCGCGTGGCCATCACACGCTGGTCCCATCGGGTTTTTCTGGACGGGATTACCCAGTATACGACGCAGTATAGCCGACCCGCGGATGCATGACCCGACTCCGACCCGTTCCACGACTATAAAGCAATAAGAAAGCTATAACCGTCGATATAAGGTGCGGCAGACGGAATGAAATGCGCGCGGCCAAGGCTGGTTGTGGCAGCTCCTGTCAGACCCACAGTGGAATTGCTCCGCTGCGGGGAGAATCCGGGGTAGATATCCATATCCACGAGCACCTCATCTTACGATATAGACATGGAGGTTACAGAATACATAAAGCATTAGAATATGCCGCATCGTGCCATGGCAATTCCTTCTATTCTATGAACTTGGACAAATCTTGGATATTGGCGCTATCTACTGCCAATTCAACACTACAGTGCTGGTACTGATTGACATATAACCTCCAGAGTACTTATTTAGTTCTCCACTCAGGACGCTCTTGACCAATTAGTCCTACCAGATTAGACTTCCTTTCTTATTTCAGTCCCCGAGACGCCGCCCCCAAGACGCCTGGATCCCTGACTCGTGCCAGCCAACCCTCGCATCCTCCACACGGGGTTTAATGCTCGACTCCATCTTGGCACATCCATGAGACCTCCAAGTGCGGAATCTAGCCATGGAAGCGGAACCGATGATCTCTTCCATATCACAGCAGTCTCCCAGGTTGCACGATGAGCCGAAGGATATGCATGTATTTAAACCATTCGCCCTGGGGACGCGCCAATCCCTCTTTTTGTTTTAGTCGTTTTCATTCCGGTCTTACGAGACTACTGTCCCAAATAATAGTTGAATCATGACTTCAACACCCGATAAAGAAAAAGGGGAAGATCCCTGCCACCTCGAAGCTGTCGAAACCCTGGAGGTCAAACCCGTCTCCCCGGATCTCACACCAATAGACCAGGCCCTCGAACGCAAAGTCGTCCGCAAATGCGACCTACACGTTGTCCCCATCCTGACCGCGCTCTTCCTCTTCGCCTTCCTAGACCGGATCAACATCGGGAATGCACGCATCCTAGGGCTAGAGGAGGATCTCGGCATGGGCGGGCACCAGTACAACATTGCGCTGTTTGTGTTCTTCATACCGTATATCCTGTTTGAAGTGCCGAGCAACATGCTACTGAAGCGGATTAAGCCGAGCGTATGGTTGAGTGGGATTATGGCGGGCTGGGGCATTGTTACGGTTTGTCAGGGGGTGACGGGGAGTTTTGCGGGGCTGGTGGTTTGTAGAGTGCTTATTGGGGCGTTGGAGGCGGGATTCATGCCTGGTATTCTTCTCTTCTCTTTTTTTCTTTTTTTCTCTTTGATTTGGTATAGGTGATGCTAACTGGCTGTAGGAAGTGTATACCTGATCAATATGTACTACCGCCGTCACGAGCTCCAATGGAGATTGAACTTCTTCTTCAGCGCGAGTATATTCGCCGGTGCTGTCAGCGGTGTAGGTACCTCATACATATAATCCAGGCATTGCTAACAGAATAGTTCCTCGCCTACGCAATCGCCAACATGGACAACGTCGCCGGATACAAAGCCTGGCGATGGATCTTCATTCTCGAAGGTCTCGCCACAATCGTCCTCGCCGTGATAGCAAAGTTCATCATCGTCGACTGGCCCGAGTCAGCCACGTTCCTAACAGACGACGAGCGCGCCCTCCTCCTCCGCCGTCTCGCAGAAGACCAGGGCGAGGCGCAGATGAACCGGATGGACAAGAAGGCCATGAAGCGGACGTTTTCTGACCCGAAGATTTACCTAGGGTACCCAGCCAATTTCACTATCTATCCTCAGTTAAGGCTTAATGCTAATATGGACAGTCCAATAATGTACTTCGGCATCGTCAACACCGGCTACGCCGTCTCATTCTTCACCCCCACCATCCTCAAACAACTTGGTTGGACCGCAATCCGCGCCCAGGTGATGAGCATCCCCATCTACGCCGTGGCAATGGTCATAACGCTCTCAACGGCGCTACTGAGCGACCGTCTCGCGCACCGGTACGCATTCACACTAGCAGGCGTCCTCATCGCAACAATGGGGTACGTGCTCTTACTCTGCCAAGCGTCTATCCCCGTGGGGGCGCGGTACTTTGCGCTCTTCGCAATCACGGGCGGCGGATACCTGACGCAGCCGATTCTGATGGGGTGGTTGAGTAATAATATGGCGGGCCATTATAAGCAGAGTATTGCGTCGGCGATGCAGATTGGGTTTGGGAATTGTGGGGGGCTGGTTGCGAGTAATGTGTTTTTTGATAGCGAGGCGCCGACTTATAAGACCGGGTTTGGGGTGAGTTTGGGCATGGCTTGGGTTTGTGGGGTGAGTTGTACGGTGTTTTTGGTGTATTTGATGAGGGAGAATAGAGTGAGGAGGAAGGGGGGGAGGGACTATCGGTTTGAGCTGGAGGAGGAGAGGTCGAATTTGGGGGATGATTATCCTGGATTCAGGTTTACTTATTAGTTCAGTATTGTATTTGGTATTCTCTATGCTCTATACAGCTTATCCTATAGATGAGAAGCCAGCTGTAAACGGGCATCCTCGTCAGCAGCAGCCTTCCTCCATACCTCCTGCACCTAGACATCTGGTCAGCATCCTCATCCAAATATACTTAGAAACATACATCATAACTATAAAGCCAGCTAAACCCCGGTCCCCACTTATCGCGGATACTATGGGCAACCCCCTCGTCAAAAGACAAGTCAAGCTGCTCCATCTCGGCATCCGAGCGTCTAAAATCGTCTAGAATATCATACATCGCCTTGTAATGCGGGGAGCGCACTCTGTCGTACAGGTCAAGAGCCCTGGATATACTGTGTTTTTGGTTGTAGGCCCACGCCACCGCCTGGGAGAGGACGTAGCTGTCTTCCAAGGCAAAGCCGGCGCCTGCGCCTGTAACAGGGATTGTTAGTATACGCGGTACAAGTCGATGGTTAGGTTAGATTACCGAATGCCCCAGATAGTGCTGTTTAAGTTAGCATGCTCAATATGTGATGGTAATGGAGACTAACGGTGAGACGCATCTCCGACTAATGCAATAGATCCTTTGGCTACAACGGACTCCAGCCGCGGCCCTGCAAAAAGCGCAAAGCGTTGAACGTCCGTTGCGTGGCTGAGGATTGTCTGGACCAGCGGGCCAAAGTCCTATATTCGTTAGTTTCTGGCTGGAAAATAGCTTGGAAGAAGCTGGATATACCTTCCACGGTGTCTTAAATTCCTCCATATCAGCCTTCTCCCCCCAGCTAACTCTATCCCCGTTATCAGGAACCCCGGCCATGCAAGTAAGTTCATACATCCCATGCCGCAGATTACAAGTATACACCCAGTCCTTCGGCCCGTGCCAGAAGGTTACCGCGTCGGGAAATCCAGGGATAGCCAGGAGTTTTTCAGTCGGTATTAACCCCCGATATGCAGTCTTCCCGGTGTAGATGAGCTGGTGCTCAGGGAATGCGAATTGGCGAACTACAGACCTGACTCCATCTGCACCGATCAGGAGGTCGACTTCGTCTTTGTGTCCGTCTTGGAAGGATAATGATAACGAGCCGCTCGGATTCTCGATTATATGCGTAAGCCGCGAACTTAGCCTAAGCTTCGACTTGTCGGTATTAGCCAGGAGAGCTCGCTGAAGGATAGAGCGGAATGCACGCGCGTGCAGATGGCGTTCTGGTGTATCTACCACACCATATCTTTAGCAACAGTACAGAGTTTAATGTGGTAAGGCAATGGAGTGAAATACCCCCCTGCCCAAGCTCAGCAACCAACTCCCCCGTCCTCCCATTCCGATGCTGCATCGCATGTCCGTCTGCAGCGCGGAAGATCTCCTCGGGCTTGATATTCCCCGATGCCCCTAGAGCGTCTAGCATGCGCCATGTGTTCCGCTGGATATTGAGTCCTGTGCCGATTTCTCGAAGCTCGGATGCTTGGTCGTAGATGCGGAGTGAGGCGAAGGGGAGGGACTGTAGTGCGATTGCGGCGCCGAGACCTGCTGGGCCGGCGCCGATTATGGCGATGCGGAGGTTGGGTTGAGGATTTGGCATGGTTTCGGGCTATTTTATGTTTTTGTTGGTAAGTTTGGGGTTTCATGGGATTGTTGTGAGCTGCGTTGGTTACTGAGGGGTGGGATTGGGGGCCTGAATTGCGCGATCTGCCGCTTATCTGCTTCAGGTGCATGCAGCATATTATCGGGCTTGGTCGGGCTTATATATCTTCCAGGATTGAAACAATTACTTAGATGGATAGAGCAGCAATGTTAGCCCTAATTCCAGCTGTATAGGATTTACACAGGTTGCGAACCATGGGTTAACAATGAAATTAGTTCAACTTGGCGAATGTACCCTATAATCACCATGCAAACTCCAATCTATATAGCCTAGTGCAGCTCAGAGAATAGCTAAAGCCGACCCATTAAACGGGTGCAGGCATATTACGATTTACGAGATTGATGAATACGTCACGCAAGTCGATTGAACACTCCACCTGAATACTCGTAGTCTGTACACCCAACCCCATCCCAACACTCAACAGCTGTCCTCCTACTCTTTGTGTACCACCTGTTGCTTCTCAGATCCGATAAGCTCCTCACCACGAGTGACGTGGTTGGCGCCACCAAACAGAGCATCGATTTCTTCCAGCGGAACCTGCTTGGTTTCGGGGATGAAGAAGAAAACAAACACCGCCAGAAGGAAATTCACCCCCGCAAACATGTAGAATGCATAGAAGCCGCAGTTGTCGAGGAAAATGGGGAAGAATTGCTGGAAGATGGCGTTGGCGACGTTTTGGGTCTGCGATGCCATGCCCACGGCTTGGGCTCGGACGTTCATGGAGAAGATTTCGGATGTCCAGATCCATACTGTCGCGCCCCAGGATGGTTTGTCTGGACGAAGTTGTTAGTACAGTTATATCCTAGGAAGGACCATTCGAGTCAGACTTACAGAAGAATATGAACAGGAATAGCAAAAACACAATTGATATGCCAACAGGCTGACTCTTCGTGCCGTTCGGTGACGGCGTCTCGGTTTCAACAGCAGAAACGATAATCATGCAGATGCCCATACCGATGCCACCGGCAATAAGGAGTGCTTTACGCCCAAATCGATCAATGATCCACACGGCGTTGAGCGTGAAAATGATCCCAAATGTCGCGTTTAAAGCATTGATGAGGGCAATTTGGCTGCTGCTGGGAAAAACTTTCTGGTAGATTTTGGTCGAGTAGGAGTTCAGACTTCCCTGGCCTGTAACCTGCTGGCCAGCATTGATGATCAGGGCAAGAACCATACGCTTGCGAAGCGACCTGTCCTTCCAGAGTGCAGAGTAGTTGCTGGAAATTGCTTCCTTTTCGTACTCAATAGCCTCACGGATTTTCAGGAGCTCATCCTCGACTTCCTCCGAGGTTTCTCGTACCCTCGAAAGGGCATCACGGGCTTTCTCGATGTTGTTGCCGCGTTGGATGTACCTGAATCCGTGTTAGCCAGAACCATACTTGCTGAGCACTTGGGGTACTCACCATCGTGGACTACCAGGGATAGTCGGTAGTAGAATGAGAATAAGAATCGGAACAAGAAGCTGGAAGATCACGACCATCTTCCAGTCCCATTCGCCCAGCTTTTCCTTGTTGTTTGTGCAACCGTAGTTCACCCAGAAGCAAATGAAGGATCCGACAGAGTAGAACATTTGCCAGAATGTCATGATCTTACCACGGATCTCTGGAGGGGCGAGTTCACCGATATAAATTGGGCCGGACGCTGAGATAAGGGACGTTAGCTTGGAGATGACTGGGCCTAAGACGTAGACTTACTCAATGCGATGCCTTGTCCAATACCGATAATGGTTCGTCCAGCAATGAAACATCCGATATTGTGCCGAGGTGACCATGTCTGCATAAAAGTAGACGCGACAACAAGGACACAGCCAATGGCCATACCGAATTTACGGCCCAGAAAGTCGGCACACGGCCCACCGAGGAAGAACCCACCGAAGATAGCACCCACAGTATAAGCCGTGTTGACGGCCCCGATCATGTTTGCATCGGGCTCATCAAAGTACTGGACCCAATTGTCTGACCCTTGAACAGAGTTGTACACAGAGGCATCGTAGCCGTAGAGCACCATGCATGAGGCCGCAACAAGAGAAATATACCTAGCATAGTCTGTCAGCTTTGATCTTCACGACATGAACCCATCACCCACCAATTGTAAGCTCTCTTGGAGCCAAGAAGGTTAAAACCCATCCTGAATCTTGTTGACAGCCCTCGACTGCTTGGCCAGCAAATACAGCGCGGAAATATATGTGGCCGTTTGCTTAACTATCTGCCTAGACGCCTCCAGGAAGATCAAGAGAAGAACAGAGCGCGAGAACGGTTCTAAAATCTTGGTCGTGCTCTCCTAGTATATATAAGGCCAGCGCTGTAATTCGGGGGGCAGAAACCCCAGCAGTAGGATCCACCACATAAATTAACCGTCCAGACCAATTCGAAGTAGCTGCACCCCAGACAGCGATAACAGAGTCCCGTGGGGTGCGTTTCCCGGTGGAACCAACATCGTCCTCTCCCAACCGAACCCCAAGCTTCCTTGTCTCATAACGGCAGGCTATCGCGTTATTGACCAACGAGAACCCATGTTGAGTCCTCGCGTCGAGAGCCTGGCTGGGCCCGGGGGAATCTGGGGTTGACATTCGAGGAAATTCTCCACCCGGGGCATGTGGTTATTTCGTGATCCCACAAATCACTAACAGGAATTCTAGTCTAACGACTGCAAAGGTCCACCAATCTCGGGGATAAGCAATTTCAGGCCATTCGATTAGCCTGAATGGGGGTCGGTGGATGAGACCATCGTTCGCTGAATCTCGGAACGGAGTGGAGTGGGAAGAGAAGAAAGCTGCAGAGATCACGAGATGAACACGCCAGAGTTGGTTTCTCTGCCAGCTCCGTGCCCAAATGGTACTAAGGATTCAGGCTGAGGTGTTAACGATTCATGTGTGTCTGCTGACCTCGACGGGCTGACACAGTTGGACAGCGCTAAACAGCATGACTTGCCAATGGACTGCCTCGGCATGGTAAATCTCAAACGATTGTTGCTCTGCATTTTTGTTTTCGATCGATAGTTGTCACCCACTACCCTGGAGATAGTATATCCTTGGAATTGGTTTTGTATATTTACTGCATTGTTGGGCTTGGGTGCCGTGAGCAGGTATTTATACACTTCACCTCCCCCTACTTCCCATTTGTCAGCATATAACTAATGCAATTAGAAAGACGGTCAGACAACCACTAACTAGTGGCCTTTTTGGTCGAATGGTAATTTTTACCATTTCGATACCATTGAAACTTGACAACCCATTAGAAAAAAGCCGAGGTAATTACCGACTATATATAGTACAAGACATAGTTTTAGCCCAGTTGGATTGAATACAGCTGCTTCTCTAATGGAAACCGCATATCACGTGCTCTCGCGACAACCCGACGCGATCCATCGCGCCAAATGTCGGCATCAAAGTCATAGCTCCATCAATTCAATATTCCTGTTCCATCACGTATTGCCGATACCTCCCTTTATTAGTATCCATATACATTCTGGGTATTTCGGATAATCGAATTTGAAGGTCTATACCCCACTACTCATGCCCCGCACCTACGGAAAATCCAAAGGCAGAGCGAAGCAAACGCGGCTTTCGTTTGTGCCAACAGAATTTCCAAACAGCCAAAATGAGGAGGCTAATCGAAATGCAAACGTGCGATATGCCCATCCGTCTTTATCAACTCTCCGCAGCCCCCGGAAAGCCCGCGAGAAAAGTTCAACACCTACTCCCGTGAATCTTGAGCCATCACCAGAGGAAACTTTGCAATCTACAAACGACCAGTCGTCGCAAAGGCGTTCTCGAAGGAAAGGAAAGAAAGGTACGCTTTCCGGAAACAATTATCTGTTATCTGGTCTAATATGTATCGCAGCCTCCCAAATGTCAGTATCGCAAAACGCCACCCCTCCCTCTCCCCCTCCGGCTACACAAGATAGCGACAGCGACTTGGAGATTGTACACAGCGCGCGGAAGAATACCAGGGCAGGGAATACGAAACGGAAGAGAGTAGACTCTTCAGAGTCAGAGGGTCCTCACATTTCAGACGAAAGCGACGCCGATGAAGTCGTTGCCCGACCTCGTCGGAAACTGAGGCGGGGCGGAGCTCCTCAGCCTATTGTTGTCGATGATGATTCGGAAGAACAGGAGGTTCGGCCTGGGGCTTCATATTCGCCTGATATCCCACATACACCCCGGCGCGATTCGGCTCAGGATCGGATTGATCTGGATGAGGATCTTGAAGATCTTCAGGACTCAGGTACTACCCACTCAGTAAGCAAATATTTGACTATTTCTAATATCTTATGTAGTCGTCAAAACGTCGCGCACTCGTGGTAACGTTGCCAATTCAGCCAGAGCGCAAAGGCAACGGCACCTAGAAGCTCTACGACGCCGAAGGGCCGGGAAAAAGGAGGAAGAGGATGGAGAGGACCAGTTATCGCCACAGCCTGAGGCTTCAGGACCAGAACAGAGCGAGGGCGAAGACGAGGAAGAGGCTCCAGTACGACAGCCTCAGTTCGGGAGTTGGGCGAACGACAGCGAGAGCAGCGATGTTGAGTCTACTATCGGTGCCAACGAAGATTTGGATCGCTACGAAGATGATTTCGTACTAGACGATGAAGATGAAAAACTCGGGGCCCCCAGCGGGCTGGAGGATATGCCCATCGAGTTTTCCCGCCACGCGTACAAGCAGTTGAAGGACTATTTCCAGGATGCTGTGGAATGGATGGTGCAGAATCAACTTAACCCTGCGTTTCCTCGTTCCGATCCTGTATATAGGGTCGCTTTTGACAAACTCGAACTAGAAGTCCGAGGACGTGCTGGGTCTCAGTTGATTTCTTCAGTTTGGAACACCGGCTTTCGCCGGGCACTCCTTGCACGACCACAAATGGAAACCACAACTTATCCTACAGACTTCAACCACCCGTGCGATGCCTGTAACCGAACAGGACATCCAGCTTCTTTCGACGTCAAATTAACCGGAAAATCATACGCCCTTGAAACCCTTGAGCCGTTAGCAGACGCAGATAGCGACGAGGAACAATCAGAAAGTGAAGAAAATGACGACCGAGAACGAGATCGCGAGGGCTACACTTTACCAGATGAGGATACCCATTTCTATCTAGGAAGGTTCGTGCTCTTACTACTTACCCTCGAAACAATCTAACGTCGAACTAGACACTGCATGAAAAATGCCGAAATGGCACATACCCTAACCCACTGGCGCTTCCACCTCAACGAATGGGTTGTTGAACACCTACGTATCACTGGCTACATGTCCGACAAGAAGATCCTCAAACGCAGCCACTACAGCCAGAAGAAAAAGAACAAGCATGCTGGAAAGGCGGTTAAGAAGATGATCGATTCCGGAGAGGTCAAGAAGCTCTGGCGTGACTTTCATATTAACTTACGGACCGCAAGAGAGTCGAATGCATAATGTATGTTTATGCTTGCATTTGTTATCGATATGCTAATATAATTATAGGCTCATGATACATGCCCTTTACCTCTATTGCTTCGCTTCTGTATTTAAAATTTGGCACCATAACGGCGGTATTTATTCACCCAGTCTTGATGACTACTCTGCGGCGGCTGGCACTTATCTTATCTGGCATTCTTTCTGGAGCATATTTGACGCAATTACTTTGATACCCGAGTCTTCTCAAAGTGCATTTTCACTTCAATGAATTCATTCATAACTCCGTGTTTAAGCTTAATGGTTGTATACCTTTTATAAGAGACTGTAAGAGTTATTGTACGTAGTGCTGGCATTTATATCAACGTATAGAATTTTGGGTTGGCTGAGGGGGAGGGGTTGGTTTACTTGAAAGGGAAGGAGTGAGCTGTAGCCATGTTTTGGCTTAGAGTCTAGACTTTTCTAGATATCATGTTTCCCTAAGACATGTTTTAAGATACAAAGCTTGAGAGCTGGTCTATTCGAGTCATTCACGTTCCATTATCTAAAACATAAGTCGATAAGACAAACAAGAATGGACATGAAAATGAAACCACATGAGAAATTACAGATGTTAAACAGATAACCGGATATACAAATACATATGTTCCTGAAGCGAGAAAGGTAGCCGGCTCCAAAAAACAAAAGGAAATGGGAGGGGGGAAAAGGTAGAAGAACCAAATAGACCCGCACGCAGTATGCCAAAAGGAAGAAGAAAACCAACGATCTCCATAGCCCCGATCCAGCGCCGTTCCGAGTACTGAGCACAACGCGTGTTTTATATACTGCGACAGATTTTGTGAGCCGAATGAATCGTTCAGTTTCGTATATGCGGTACAGTTGCGGTGGCGTTTACATACTCTGCCCCAGGCAGAGCCGACTCCAAAAGTGAATAAACAATAGCGACAGAAACCGGGGTCAACCGCAAGTCTAGGCAGTTAACGGGCGGGCGGTTTGATCTTTATCCTTCCACACCCGCTGCGGTCATGGTCGGGAGTATTCGTTTAGAGGGTGGGTTGAGCCTGCTGCTCCTCAGAGGAAGGAGCGCCAGGGGCAAGCATCTGCAGGAGAGTCAAATTAGCCATCATCATTCTCCCACGAATCCAAACAAAACAAATAATGAAGCCATCTCCTTGCTCCTTGCTAATTTCGACGCGACAAAAGAGTTTTCACAAATTACCGCCATCGGAAAGTATCGGAGTACCGGACAACAACAAAAAGTACAAAAAACCAAAAAACAGATATTCGCGATGAAAAATCAGGCTACATACCTCATTGGCACCCTTGATCATACCCTGCTCACGCTCCATCTGGATATACTGCTCCTCCTCAGCGTAGGCAAGAGCCCACGGGACACCGAGCAGGAAAGCACTGGTGCTGAGGATCCAGAGCGCGCGACCGCTGAAGGAAACGCTAGACTTTGCGAGAGAGGTCACGTAGGAGGCTGTGTTGCTGGCTTGCTTGCGGGCGGAGGGAGGAACAATGTCTTTCAGGGCGGAGAGACGGTCGAAAAGGGACTCTGTCTCGACGTCATAGTCGGACTCGACGGAGACCTCGGACTCTGCAATTGGGAAGTGTTAGATTATTGGAGTTGGAGGCTTAATATGCAATATGCAGCGGATGAATGAATGGGTGCTAACCGGTATCGGTGAAGTCGTCCTCGTCGTCGGTGGCCAGAAGGATGTCGTGCTTGCTGGGTTGAGGCTTCTCCTGGGCGAAGTGCTCGTCCTCGACCTCGGTAAGCTTGACCATTGTGAATGTGTGGGGGTGTTTTGTTTATTAGATTGAGTTGGCGACGGCGGATAGGGAGCGAGAAAGACGTGAGGTGATGGAGTGAAAGAGTTGAAGTTGACGGAGTTGATGGAAGTTCGGGCGGATCCAACTTTTTTCCCGACCCCCAAAAGCGGTAAGGAGCCACCTGTCTGCGCAGCAAAAACACCCTACCTCAGTAATATTTAGTTTTTATGGCAATTTAATTCTATTAATTCCTGGTCGCCTCTTGCAACTGAATATATTGTACATGGTGTCAAGATAGCTATCTAAATACATCGAGTGAAGATATCAATCTCTAAATGTCTGCGGACGGTGTTTCCAAAGCCCCGGGCATTACCTCCTACCTCCTCCCCAGCTTCCACCTGGCTATCCGCTCCTGGATCTCGTCCCAAGGGAACGGCCGCAGCTTAAAGCCCTCCAATTCACCCTCCTGCAGCACAACGGTAGGCTTACCGGAGCCTTGGCCCTTATTCTCGACCTGGCCACCAAAGACCTTGCGCGCGACGCGTCGCAGGTCCTCAACAGTAAGGGACTCAATATGCTTGCACATTTCCTTGACTCCAATCTTGCGACCGTGCACCTGCACCTGGCGGCCCAAATCCTCGAGCTCGACCATGCGCGATTCCAGGTTCATCAGGAGCGACGAGCGCAGCTGGTTCTTGGCGCGGTTGACCTCCTGCGGCTGCAGGGCTGTGTATCCGGTGTCCAGCGTGAGGGACTGGAGCTCTCGGCACATGACCTCGAGCATCTCTGTGGTCCTGGTGGGGCTGCATGAGGCGGAGATTCCGAATATGCCACTGTCGGTGTAGCCGTGGTTGAAGGCGATGCAGCTTTCGACCCAGCCGTGCTGGTTGAGGACGTTGGTGTAGAGTCGAGAGTACATTCCCTTTCCGGGGCCACCGGCGGAGAAGGATCCACCGCCGCCTAGGAGTGTTTGGAGGGTCGCAAGGGCGTAGATATCGGGGTCTGAGATGGGGAGTGCCTCAAAGGCTAGGTGGATGTAGCTCAGTCGCGGGAGCATGGGGTTGGCCGGGGGAGGGATAGGAGGGAGAGTGAGGAATCCACCGGTGTAGTGAGATGGTTGGTTCACGTCCAAAGTCAACGAGGACTCTAAAGGAGAGGTATTGTTGCCGGAGCCGAATTTGTTCAAGAAGGGAAGTTTGGAAAGGAGGCCTGAGTCGGAGGACCCAGCAGCGGGCGCAGACGCCGCAGTCGATGTAGGAGTAAACTGAGGAACAGCCGGCATGTGCTCTCCCTCAGACAAAGTCGTGTCGACTCCAGCACCGGAAAGGCTGGGACCGTCCTTCGAGGTAGATTGTCGCATGTCACCGAATAGCTGCTCAGTGAGCTTCACGGCCTCATGATGCGGCACACCAGCAAACGCAACGACAATGCGATCCGGACGGAAGAAAGCCTCTCTATATTTCTCCACAACCGACTTATCAATCGCTTCCAACCTCTCACGCGGACAAAGCAACGGATGCCCTAGCGTGTTATCCTTGTAGGCCGCGGTATGCACCAATTCCGGCAAGATAAGCTCGGGCTTCGCCCAGATCTCATTAATCTCGTACTCCGCAGTAGCGAGCTGCTGGAGAACCTCTTCGTCAGTGATAAGAGGGTCGCGAATGGTATCCGCCAACAACCCGAGCGTTGTCGGGACAGCCGAGTTGAAGCTGGCGGACTGGTACATTAACGACTCGCGAGACGAGGCACATTGGATATTTCCACCTAGTGCCTCTAGCGTCTCAATCATCTCGTCCGCGGTGCGGTTCTTCGTCGACTTGAACGCCAGACGGTCCATGATATGGCTCACGCCTCGCAAGCTCGCGTCTTCGTAACGGGATCCGGCATCGACGTAAACTCCGACTCCAGCAAAGGGGCCCGGGAGGGATTCGGTAGCGACGCGGATTCCATTTGGCAGTGTAGTGATTTGATCTAACTCAGCTGGGTCCTATTGCATCAAAAAAAATACAAGTCAAACAGTCAGTCCGGCTCCGTTAATAGGCAAGAAGCGCATGCTGTTCTTACTTTGGAACCGTTGTCGTTGACGGTGCTGAAGCCTCGAGAAAGTGCACGAGGGACCCGGGTAAGGGGCTTGGTGGACTCGACGGCCCGCAACACTGAGCGGCGCATCTTGCAATATGTGCGTGCCTCTAGAGTGGAATTTCAATCCAGAAGCTCGAGGTTGCGTCAAAGCTGCAGTCCGAAGGAGATTTGGCCGCAAGATTCGGAGCGGCAGCAAAAATCGGCTTATCTAATCATGTGCTCTGGCCGAATCTCCCACGTCATTGCGGCAGTTTTGTATTTGCACTTTTGCATTCTATCTACATTAAACGGGACTATTTTTTTTTATGTAAATATAATGAAAAATTAAAAAAAAATCAAGGGTGTTGGGCCGCCCATGTCCGATACCAGTCGAGGCACGAGGCATTCGCAACACTGGCGCCAATCTTGATGTTGAGCCCGCATAGAATCTGCTTCACGGAGTTTTCAACTTTCTTGCCATTTGACGTCACCGGAATCTCCGGACAGACGTCCACGATACCTGGCACATGGCGCGGACTGAGTTCCTTTCGGATGGTAGTCTGGATGCGCGATGCAAAGTCTGCGGGCAACGACTCTGCGCCAGACGCCAGCTTCACGAACAAGACAACCGTTTCGTCCGTATCTATGCCTTCTCTCCTACGACCAACGCAGAGAGAATCCTCGACTTCGTCTGCGAAATGTTTCAGAAGGATGTTGTAGATTTCGGCGCTGCCGAACCTAACCCCAGCTGGTTTTAGGACACCGTCGCTGCGTCCGAGCATAACCACTCCTCCGGTTTCCGGGTTTACGCGCACAAAGTCGCCGTGGTGCCAGATTGAGGGACCGAAGACATCAAAGTAGCTCTTGCGGTATTTTTCTTCACCGACTGGGCCTGGCGGCCAGAACATGACGGGCTGAGCAGGGAATGGCCGGGTGCAGACGAGGTCTCCTGGCTCACCAGATGAACTAATGTCGTTACCGGCGTAGTCGTAAACAGCAACCGCCATTGCCAAGCTCCGGCACTGGATCTCTCCCTTGTAGACGGGGAGGATTGGGCAGCCGGAGCAGAAGAGAGAGAGGATATCGGTCCCACCCGTGATAGAACCTAGCATGATATCTGGGTGAATCGAGGAATAAACGTATTCAAAGGTGGAAGGAGCAAGAGGAGAGCCAGTGCTGTAAATCGCCTTTAGCGACTGTAGGCTCACGGGGCGGTGGGGGTGCGTCGTCGGGTTCAGTGCAGCTTGTTCTAACATCGAGAGATACTTGGCCGAAGTTCCAAAGTGGTTTATCCGGAGTTCGTCGATCAGACGTGGCATGGCCATCTCTCCATTACCTCCTTCAGAATCTAATGGACGGAAAGGCGAGCCGTCGTAGAGAACAATAGTAGCGCCGCTGGCCAGACCGGATACCAGCCAGTGCCACATCATCCAAGTGGTTGTGGTAAAGTAGAATAAACGGTCTCCAGGGCGGACATCACAGTGAAGCACATGCTCCTTCTTGTGTTGCAACAGTGTTCCCAAGGACCCATGTACAATAGGTTTCGGGGCCCCAGTCGTACCGGACGAGTACAAAATGTACACGGGATGCTCCGGCGGGAGGCTTGCAAATTCAAGTGGTGCTGAAGTGTTGCCAGCCGTAGCAAGGAATTCGGTGTATGTATATGCTTTCCCCTGGAGGGGCAACACTTTTTCCAGATTGATCTGGAGAGATTCCACCGTTGGGAAAACGACGAGCGCCTCTAGCTGAGGGAGCTCGGAGATGATTTGGCTAGTTTTGGCAGCGGCACTGTGCACTTTACCGTTGTAAAGCGAAGCATTATCGGCAAATAAAATCTTAGGCTCGATCTGCCTTAAACGTTCGAGGACAGCATGAACACCAGTATCAGGAGATACGCCCGTCCAAAAAGCACCGATGGAAGCTGTCGCCAGCATTGCGACTACTGTGTTGGCATGATTTCCTAGGAAACCGGCCACGCGGTCACCTTTCTGAAGGCCCGCTGCTTTCAGCGCATTAGCGCACTGGCGGACACGCTCTCTGAGCTCCTTCCAGGTGATGTACTCGCGGTCAGCCTCAGTGGCACCGATCACCGCGACTGAGTTTTCATCAGGAGAGCTGGCGGGGTACAGCAGATTCTCCGCAAAGTTCAGTTTTGCGCCCTCGAAGAATTGAGGCCGCGGGAACATCAACGTCTCCGAGCCCATGACCTGTATAGTTTAGTAAGGAAGCGTAGGTTGGAGCCTTGATACTACTCACATGGTTGTAAGATTTGTGGGCGTTGATGCCAGTATACAGCCAGATGTCTTCCCAGAACTTCGCGGGCTCCGCGATACTCCAGTGCCAGAGATCATTGTAGCTGCTCAATGGCACCCCGTGTTTCTCCGCAGTTCTTTTCAGGAAATGGTGGATTTGTGTGGATTCCGGCGCAGAGTGCCGCCACAGCTCGTGGGGACCAGAAGACCCATTCGTGGACATTTTGCAGCATTAATATATCAATCGCACAGGAAAGAGAAGACGTCCGCTGGCGAATTGAAGGAGAAGGCGAGAAGAAAAGAGCTGGAATGGGCATGCTCATACTTACCGGGTGCTCGCGATACCGGCCTTTCCTGTTTGGGATAGCGCCTCATCCCCCCCAGTTTCGATCCGATGCTCAATGACAACTCCGCCAGTAACCGGCACTTCTCGGCCTGTTAGCTGAATGCGGCTGTTAAACTGGCCTTGGAATATTACACCACCTCTTTTGCTGTGCTGTTGAGGTATGCAACATACTGCGCATATTCACTCCGGCAATCTATACGGGCGGGACGGCGGCCACGGCGGCCCGCAGCGGATATAATTTGTTGGGCTCAACAAGGTCTGTCAAGAACATGTGGCCAATCACTATTTGAATCATAGTGAAGTACTCAGTCCGTAAAAGCAGAAGTAGTCGATATTTACTGGTGAAGTGGGTTGATTCTGTACACCGTTAAACACTTAGGCATTCCGCAAATCAACCATCTTGCCGTACTACTTGTCTGATGCCGAAGACCAAGCCTTAGATGTTATGCATACTGTATTCAACCCTCAGACCAAGCCAATGCATCGAGCAAAATGCACAGAATTCGCAGCAGTGATAAAGCTAGCCTTTTTATTTACTGACCCAGATCAGCTTTCGTCCCGCCTACTCTGGTAGGTAGCAGTTGTCGGTTATGAAATCCTCACTCGTAACTAGACAAGGGCGACTGCTGGTGAGGCAAACCCACCCACCACCCACTATAACTAACCAATTTCGAAATGAGATCAAGCTTGTTCTTATTCTGTCTTGTCTTGTCTTGTCGGTCGAGTAATTCCGCCACTGGAGGAAGACTAGCAACGCCACCATGCATGGCTTATTCAAATCAAATATCCACCCCTTGCATGATGATACTTTCTTCCCGACATCTCAGTCACAAGGGTCAACAGTCAATACCGGACCAGCCGGGCGCAGACCAAGTTTGAAGAGTGAGGATTCACATGGACTCCAGTCATCTGTTAGTGTCACAAGCCCTAACGCGGGGAAGCCAAAGTGTCACAGAGTCGACCACTGGGGCGCCGATCAACGAACATGCATGGCAAGCTGCAGAAGGCGAGTCGTTTTCTGGAGAACCAGTGGGGAAGGGCGTCTGTGGAGGCGAATCAGAGGATAATTAGCATAATATGACAGCATATCCCTCTGAGTGACTGCGTATTATTGAATCCTGAGGATTGAGGATTGACGTGGCGCGCACGGACTACCTTCTACAGGACGATGTCGACGCCTACTGAGGTTGCCTGTGATGTTTACTGTCTCGTTTCCCGAGGCTGGACAGGAAATACTTACATTCTTCACAGATGGCTTTATTTGTCAGGACAAGCTTTGCTTAGTTACCTTGGACTTTCATCCCCGCGACCACCGAGCCGTTCTCTGATCAGCCCCCGCGATCTACAATGCATCCAGCACGCACCCTGCAATGAATGAACTATTATTGCTTGGAATAACTCCGAATTCTTCGGCGGGGCACATTATAGCCCGCCTACCCAAGGTCATGCGATGCGAGACTCGAGAGCCGGCTCCAGCATGCCGCAGGAAGAGCCGAAAGGGATACATAACTTAACATAAACCGCCAGGACGCGGACGACGCGGGATGTCTCCAAAGTCAAACTGTTCTCAAACACGCTAACTTCCTACTATGAGGCTCACAAATGCCCTCCTCCTGGGCACTTGGGCAGGTCTTGCCTGTGCAGGCGTTCTGAGGCGCGCAGACGAACCCCCAACAGCCATCCTCGCTTCTCCCATCGCGGCTGTCCTGGGGAAGGCTGAAGACGGCATCGAGAATTTCAATGGCATCCCATATGCCGAGCCCCCAACTGGACCTCTGAGACTGAAGCCTCCCCAGCGGCTCACGCGGTCGCTGGGTGTCTTTGACGGCACCAAGGATGCGGGTTCATGTCCCCAGTTCCTTGCCTCGACTGGAAGCAAGAACCTTCTAGAGAGGATTCACGGATCTCTGGCCAATCTCCCCCTTGTCCAGAATATCACCGGGCAGTCAGAGGACTGTCTAACGCTAAATGTGCAGCGGCCTGCTGGGGTATCGAAAGACGCAAAATTACCCGTGTTTTATTGGATTTTCGGCGGTGGATTTGAGGTAGAACAGCCCCTAGGGGTCTATAAATTTTCCAACACGGACTAACGAGTGGATTGTCTAGGCTGGTTCGTCGTCGTCGATTGATGGGGCTAGTATCGTCAAGTATGCAGAGAGCATAGGGAAGCCCTTCATCTTCGTCGCAGTCAACTACCGCGTGGGCGGATTCGGGTTTCTTGCAGGCAAGGAAATTCTTGCCGACGGGGCGTCGAATCTGGGACTTCTTGATCAGCGCATGGGTCTAGAATGGGTGGCAGACAATATTGCGTCCTTCGGGGGTGATCCTAATAGAGTGACGATTGCGGGTGGATCGGCTGGAGCCATGTCAGTGCTTGACCAGATGGCGTTATTCGGTGGAGAATGCAAGTACAAGGGCAAGTCGCTCTTCCACGGGGCGCTGATGGTTTCTGGCAATGTTCTTCCCGCTGATCCGGTGGATAGTCCTCGGGCTCAGGAGGTGTATGATGGTGTCGTGGAGGCAGGGGGCTGTGCCCACGAGACGGATACACTGGAATGTCTCAGAGGGCTAGACTATCAGGCCTTCCTCAATGCTGCCAGCGTACCGGAAGACTTTGTTGCATACAGCGGGGTTGCGCTTTCCTATCTGCCTCGTCCAGACGGCCATGTCCTCCCCGACAGTCCGGACGTGCTCGTTCAGCAAGGGAAATACGCACCGGTCCCTTTTATTGTCGGCGACCAGGAAGACGAAGGGACGATATTCAGCCTTTTCCAGACAAACGTCACCACCAGGGAAGACCTGATCAGCTATTGCCATGATGTTCTCTGGACGAGTGCCACCAGGGACCAAGTCACCCAGCTCGTAGACACATACAATACCGGCGCCGCCGCTGTCAGAGAAGGCAGCCCGTTCCGCACAGGAGATGCCAATGAATTCTCCCCTGGGTTTAAACGCCGTGCCGCCTTAATCGGCGACGCCTACTTGACGCTGTCTCGAAGGGCCTTCCTAGAAGTCGCGAACGACGTCCACCCAGAGGCCCCGTCCTGGTCGTATCTTGCCACCTATAGCCACGACACACCCATCCTGGGAACCTACCACGGGTCCGATTCGCAGCAGGTATTCGAAGGGACCCCCGATAACGTTGCTGCGAGAAGCACGCGTACCTACTTTATCAACTTTATTCATTCCTTGGACCCCAACGGGGCGCTGTCTGATGAGAATCCGGAATGGTCGCGGTGGGCAAAGGCCAGGGAGCTGGTTAATTTCGAGAGCGACAAGACGACGCTGCTGAAGGATGATTTCCGCAGTGATAGCTACGGCGTGATCAAGAAGATTCGCGGCGCTTTGCGGTTATGATATACATATCACCTTATTGCATAAGCATCCAGATATAATTAATATGGTTCAAATCAACAGTAGTCGAGTAGAATGACCTGAAAACCCTAGTCTACTGAAGGCAGCAACAATTCGCTGTTTCAAATTTAGATGACCAGAGACTATACTACCAATAAATAAGCGAAGAAACAATTCATTATACTGAAAGGCAAACTAATACTTCGTCTGCCACTGTAGAAACAATCTAATATCGAGAAAACAAGTCTCCATCCTACAGCGCTTCATATTCACGTGTGCTCTAACAATCAGATTCTTGGCCATTTGTGTTGGATTGGAAGATGCACGAAAGCCTGCATCCAGACCAGACGGAACATCGCTTTAGAAACGCGACCCAGGTTCAAGACTCTGTGCCTCAAGCTCGAAGAATAGAGCATTCCAATCGATCGACTCCATCCCGCTGTGGAAGGTCTCACTAATCCCATTCCAATAAGAAGACTGCGGACTGAGAAGGCCCTGTTCGGCAAGATAGTCAAGGCTGGGACCTGATTCTGAAATACCACCTCCCGCTGCATCCAACACAGCTGGCTCGGTATTGAAAGAAGGCCCCTCACCTTCTTCACCCGAGTTTGAAATCCCAGTAAGAGACACTTTGTGCTTCTTGATAACCCGCATGAAGGACTTCAGCAGCCTCCCAGCAATGGAAGAGTCATTCTTTGCTGTTTGCAGGATACTGCAGGCATCGGCGGCTTCCTTTTTGCGCTCTTCTTCATGTCCGTCGTCCTTGTAGAGGCAAACGTCTAGAACGAACACGATAATAGCCATGCATAGGCAATGCACTGAGCCTGCCATTCGGAATCGGTTCGGGAAGAATGATATCAACTCCTTATCGAAGAGTCTCTCGCTGCGGATGACGGTCCGAGCGGCCTTGAGGCATACTTCCCGGGAATGTGCGTATTTCGGGTTGACGGAGCCTCGGGCGAAATAAGGTAGATGTAGTCGGCATTTATGGGCGTGGGTGAGGCTGTTTAAGATGTATCGCTGGACGATGATTCCCGGGGTGATGTTGGGGTTGATCTTTGTTAGATCTTCTAAAGAGCCTCCGTCGAGGCGGAAGAAGGGGGGGAAGCCTGAGATATACTCGTCGGTCCTTTTGTCGTTTTCTAGTACTGATTCGTAGTTTAGAGGCTCTGAGCTAAATAAGGGGGTGCTGTCCGTGAGCTCTCGACAGATTTCCCCGAGTCGGGTTCGTTGGAGTGTATAGGAGACGTCGGTAGGATAATCTATCGGTCGTCCCACGATGTCCTTTCCCGGGAGCAGGTCAATATCGTCGATATTTCTCGGCTTTCTGACGAGCATTTGGCGTGGATTAACTGTATATGTCCCCTTTAATGGGCCCTCGTAGTGGGATAGAACCCTAAATGGTCAATCCCACCCAGCTATTTTACAAACAGAAAGCTTACCAGTCTGTGGTGGCCAGATACCACCATACTCTTCTTCCTATCTCAGCCTCAACTGTATCGTTTGCTATATTTTCCACATCCGATCTATTGTTCTGGTCTAGTCTGTGAAGCCCCAGCTCTCGTGCACCCATGATAGCCGTTAGGATTAGACTGCGGTATCTCGACGAAACACCCTCAAGGTTGCAGACGACACTGGACGTGATAATCCTGGCTTGGACTTCCTCAAGGGAGGTATCTGAAGCCCGAGAAGAATATTCCAGTAAATCAAGTGCTGCTTTTAAAAAAACAAGAGTGCGGCTTTTTACCTCCTCCGCCGTTAAGGATAGCAATACGCCAGGGTCTGTAGCCGTCCACGAGTAAAGCGTACTCGCGATTATACTTAGAAGCAGTGCTATATGTGTAGGCTTGGGCTGCGTTTGCATATGAAGTGCTTCGTATAGTCTTTCCACAGTCGCCCTCATAGAGGGTACGTGGATGACATGGAGGAGGTACGTAAGTTCCTTGAGATACTTTTCCACCAGACATTTGGACTCTTCATATAGAGGAATCCAAAAACACCTTGTGGAGTCTTCACTCGATACAATATCTGAAGAGCCCCGGACGAGAATTGATGCGCTTTGGATCTGACTGATTGCACGAGTCTTGAATAACACCCCGTCTGGTGCAATCGTACTCTAACTTGATTAGCATTATCCCTAATAGGTCTGTGTCAGACGTACTGAAAGACCCTGAATGGAGCATTCCACTTCCAGCCAACGAGCATCTTCGGTAGCGTGCTGCTCTCTCCGGGGACTCTGTGACTGTGCGGGCGTCCTGTCTGCTGGCTCAGGAGAGACATCCTTGTGTTTCCCCAGCACAATATCTTCCAGTCGCTGGAGACGCGCGAGAACATCCAAATTATTTGCACCAGTATCGCCCACCACACTTTCTGGCTGTGAGTCAGCCGGCTGAGAAGCGTACAGCTCGCACGCGATGCCGCGACTGGTGCAGTTTGGACACGGGAACCGGCGGCTGCATCTGAGCTTCCTGGACCGGCAGAAATGGCACGAAACAGGCCTCTTCCGCGATGATCTAATACAAGAACGCTCAGGCGGCATAATTTCTGTCGGCAGGATGAATCGCCGGATCCCTGGTGCAGGGTTGTTGGATGGAAGTGGATGAACTCGTTGTTGAAGTGGTCGGAGATTTTGTCCGCGGAAGTTCCGCGGGGATGACTGATATATAAACAGGCCATCGAACAACATCACCAGCACTTTATTACAGAAACATCTCATTCACAGTTGATTATTTGCAATGGATAGTGCTATCTCTCAAATTCAAACTCTTGCTCGCGAGGCTGGCCCAGCTGACAAGGCCAGGTTCCAGAGTGTTCTGCGCCAGGCCTTGTCTGACCTGGAGAGTCCACAGGACTCTCTGATTCAGTTATACAATGGAGTGAGTCTAGACTTTAATATCTCATACCCTTGTGGTGGTTTGACTAACCTAGCCCTAGCATCTACGCATTGCGGTTGTCCGTCTAGCTATCAGCTCAGGCCTGTTCCGATCGCTTTCCCAGAGTCAGGACGCTCTATCAGTCACCCAGCTGGCAGAACAGTCCAATGCCAGTCCTCAGTTATTTGGTTGGAATTCTTGTACTCCCAAATCTACAGCTGCACAGCTGACTATGGACATATAGAAAGAATACTGCGTTACCTTGCATCGAACAATATAATCGAAGAAGTGGGACAAGGACAGTTCAAAGCCAACAAGACAACTCATATCCTGGCAGACGGAAAAGCAGGAATATTTGCCAGCCATTCGTGCGTCTTTTTCACAATGTACTATGCAAATGCTAAGTGTCTTGCAGCTTCGACTTCACCGGCCGTATCGTCCAAGCCTTCCCAGAATTTATTATCGAAAACAACTACGAAGACGTTACTGACGGCACCAAGACGCCCTTCCAAAAGGCGTTTGATACTGACCTCCATTGCTTTTCATGGCTTGCCCAGTACCCAGAGCTTGTAGAACAGATGCAGCAGGTGATGAAATCATTCCGCTCAGGCGATTGGATTCAAGGGTTCGATCAGTTTGAAAAGGATGCTCTTGATTCAGAAGACCAATCAGAAAGAATATTTCTTGTGGACGTTGGCGGCGGTTCAGGCCACCAGTGTATTGAGGTGCGAGACAGATATCCAGGACTCCACGGACGACTTGTAGTGCAGGACCTCCCAGAGGTCGTCAAGGAAGCTCCCGAGATTCCCGGAGTGAAGATAGAAGCGAACGATATGTTCCAGGAACAAAAGGTCAAAGGCAAGAAATCCCTCACCTTGGTTTCTAAAACTCGTCCTGCTGACATTGTCCAAGGAGCCAAATTCTACTATCTCCGCCGCATCTTCCACGACTGGCCCGATGCCCAATGTATCCAAATCCTGAAGAACCTACGCTCTTCTATGGCTAGTGACTCGCAGGTTCTCATTGATGAAGTGGTTTTGCCAGAGACCAACGTCCCTTGGCAGACGGCAATGGCTGATCTGGCGATGATGATCTTGCTCGGTGGGAGGGAGCGGACCCAGAAGCAGTGGGCAGCACTTGCTGAGCAGTCAGGACTGCGGATTGCGTATATCCATGCGTATAATGACCCTGTGGCGTTTCATTCGGTGGTTGTGCTTGAATTGGACCATGTCTAGCTTGGTATGATTCTGTATAGATACATCATCCAATGGCAATAGTCAGGTCATTTTGAAATAGGATTATCTTAAGAGTTTACGCCTTAGATATCAAACAAATCTAGAACACCCTCAAGATATGTCTATTGGTCTTCTGAATCATCCGTTGACTTCCTACACTCCGGACTCAGAATATGTCGGACATATTTCCGATCTCAACGCTTCACTCTGCATAACCCTCAGCGAACTGGCTCGGCAATCTCTCCCGAGTTTTGACATCAGACACCCATGGCCTTCGAATACTTATTATATTGAAATGCGGCAATGACGTAGAATTGGCGGGGATGACGGCTCGGCAGTTAGGGTTCTCCAATATTCAAGCCTTCTCCAACAGTTAACTTGTCCAATCCAGTACAGATCACCCTATATCTGCACTATGGAGCTAGCCAAGTACACGGCGTATGAACTAGCTGTCTCCCCTCACCTTATTTTGGCAGTTACGGGAAATATACGGCAGATGGAATCCTCGAGTGTCGGGCCATCCGACGGAATGGGATTGTGTCCGGCTTTCCTATAAAAAAGCCGTGCCCGCATCGACAAGATGCAGGGGGAATAAAACGGATTCAACTGTAGATAAAACTGCGCAATGACGCCGGCTTTATATTCGATACTGTCCGCCATTCTTCTAACTTCTGTAATTGCACAGGTCGAGCCCAACTATGAAGACAACGGCGCCCAAGCCGCGTATTCTTCATTTAGCAATCCCCAGCCAACAGATACCCCAATCCTTGGGCAATATGGCCATTCACCACCCGTGATCCCATCTTGTAAGTTACCATGTCGATTCTCTATCGATCTCAGTAGTCGAAGCCTAACTGATCCTCATCAGCCGAAATATCTGGACTCGGGTGGGAAAACGGCTTAAAGAAGGCCAAGGCCTTCCTGGGACAATTAACCCTGGAAGAGAAAGCCGATATTGTCACCGGCACGCCGGGCCCATGTATCGGCAACACTGCCCCTATCCCCCGACACGGGTGGAAGGGCCTCTGTCTCCAGGATGGCCCGATGGGTATCCGCATGGCCGACTATGCAAGTGTCTTCGTTTCCGGCGTTTCGGCTGCTTCAACCTGGGACCGGAAGGTTCTATACGAGAGGGGCGCCGCTATGGGCCACGAGTTCAAGGACAAGGGTGCTCATGTCTTCCTCGGGTGAGGTTCTAGAGTTAAGGACCTTACCAATTAGTGTTCTAACAGCTGTTAACAGACCCGTTGCTGGCCCGCTCGGACGTAATCCATATGCTGGTCGGAACTGGGAGGGTTTCGCAGCGGATCCTTATCTCACCGGCGTAGCCATGGAAGAAACAATCACGGCGATTCAAGACGTTGGTGTCCAGGCGTGCCCTAAGCACTTCATCGGCTACGAGCAGGAGAAGCAGCGCCAGCCCAGCATTCCTGAGAACAAGACTTTCGATACGCAAGTTATACAAGAGTCTGTTTCGTCTAATATTGACGACAGGACGATACACGAACTCTACCTCTGGCCGTTTGCAAACGCCATCCGTGCTGGGGCCGCCAGCGTTATGTGTTCATATAACCGGCTCAATGGGTCCTATGCGTGCCAGAATTCCAAGGCCCTTAATGGGCTTCTTAAGGAAGAGCTTGGGTTCCAGGGCTACGTCCAGTCTGACTGGGGCGCCACACACTCGGGGCTGGCGTCTATTGAAAGCGGGCTGGATATGAACCTCCCCGGAGGCTTCGATATGTATGGGGATCAATGGACGGGATCCTTCTTCGGTGGGAATGTCACAGCTGCAGTCAAGAACGGGACTCTTGCTATCGAACGCTTGGACGATATGGTGCTTCGGGCTATGACACCGTACTATGCTCTCGGGCAGGATAAGGACAGCTACCCCAGCATCGACAAATCCAGTGCTCGCCTTAATAACTTCAGCCCGCAAGATGACTGGGTCCATAACTTTACCTTCTCTGGGACCTCGCACCGCGATGTTCGCAGGGACCACGCGGAGCTGATTCGCGAGCACGGCGCTGCCTCGACTATCCTCCTGAAGAATCAACGCGGTGCCCTCCCCTTGAAGAAGCCCAAGAACATTTACATATACGGGAACGATGCCGGAGACGTCCTCCACGGGCCCTACAACACCGAGAACTACGAGTTTGGTACGCTTGCTGCCGCTGGAGGCTCCGGCACTGGGCGATTCACCACCCTTTCCACGCCCCTCGACGCGATCAAGGCCCAGGCTGCTCAGGATGGCTCATTTGTCCGATACTGGCTCAACAACACACTGATCCTCTCAGACACTGCGGAATCCGACTGGCAGCTGTGGGACTACGAGCAGCCAGATGTCTGCCTCGTATTCCTCAAGAACTGGCACGAGGAGCTCATCGAGCGCCGCTCTCTCAACCTCGACTGGAGGGCAAACGACCTCGTTGAGACAATCGCTTCAAAGTGCAATAATACCGTGGTTATAACGCATAGCGGCGGCGTCAATGTCCTACCCTGGGCTGACCACCCAAACGTCACTGCAGTCCTGGCCGCCCACTACCCAGGCGAGGAATCCGGCAATGCCATCACTGATATCCTTTATGGAAAAGTCAACCCGTCGGCCAAGCTGCCGTACACCATTGCCTACAAGGAGAGCGATTATGCGGCGTTGCCAACGACTTCTGTTAACACCACCGGTCCGGACGACTGGCAGTCGTACTTTGATGAGAAACTCGAGATCGATTACCGCTACTTCGATGCGAACAACATCTCCGTCCGTTATGAATTCGGGTTTGGGCTTTCATATACCACTTTCGGGCTATCGAATGCGGAGAGCGCGCGTATTGGTGATAGTGATATCACCGCCAGGCCTGATGCCCAGCTTGATATAGCCCCTGGTGGAAACGCTGGCCTATTCAAGCCACTATATAACGTATCTGCCTCTGTGACTAACACGGGTGCCTGTTACGGAGGGCAGGTGGCTCAGCTATATGTGACCTATCCGCCCAGTGCGCCAGAGGGCACCCCGCCGAAGCAGCTCCGGGGGTTTGACAAAGTTTTTCTTGAGAGTGGCCAGACGAAGACAGCTAGCTTTGAGCTGACGAGGCGGGATTTGAGTTATTGGGACGTTGGGCTCCAGGATTGGGTTATCCCCGTGGGCGAGTTTGTGCTCAACATTGGGTTTAGTAGTCGGGATATCAAGGACGTAGTTAAAATTAGGCCGTTGTAGGCTGGTAGCCTAGCTGGAATACATGGTGCATGTGTTTATTTTGCAAGGAGTGAAGAACCGTTGGACGATCCAATGCAATTTCCTCAGAGTGAGACGGAGTGACGACCTTGCAGGCTGCTGCATAATTCCAGTGCGGCGCATAACTCCGCCCCTTTCATCAAAACCTGAAAAGATTCCAGGGGCGGTAATCTATCGCCCGTGACGGTATCAATACCATCGATCAGACCCACCCAGGCGGCTTTCTCTGCCTCGCACAAATGTCAGACCCTCCGATGACGCCTAGACTTACCGTACCGTACCATGGATCCGAGCTCCTGAAAAGTTTCAGGAGACTCGATCGATTCTTCTCCCATCCGCCGGCGATGCTCCTTTAGCTCTTCGCCCTCCGCTGATCTCCTCTCCCACTTTCTTCACCATCTCGGCCATATTTGACAACTGTCGTCCGCCATCTAGTGTATATCGACATCTTCATCGATCTATCCACGTTGCCGGGGCTTCCGCAGCTTCCAGCCGCCGCACGTGCCAAGGTACGCTACCCGAACAAGATTATTCAATCTGTCGGCTCCGAGACAGCCGGGCTGGCTTTGGCTCGCTTCAGCTCAAGTCTCCTCTTCATCACTTTCTGTCTTCTGTCCTTGAATCCGCCCGCTGACCTGCCTCCGTCCTCGCCTCCAGGTTGATATTATCGGATCTGTTGCCATTTAGTCGTTGTGGACCGGAAATAAGGAACCCGCCACTTTAGGGAGTCTACACACCGTGTAGCTCTTCAGCCGCCTACGTGCTTACTTGCCAGGAAAGCGCGATAGACAACTCCCAGCGTGCGCCATCAGCGGTGCTGTGACCTCGTTCGCGTTTACTCAGCAGTTTTCTTGCGATGCCGCGTCGACCCTCCAGCACTTCTTCCATCAGCGACCCCTCCGACCCCTCGTCCTATCCCTCCCCCTCTGGAAAAAGCGGCATCGCCGTCAAGGCAAAAACCAACCGTCTCGCTCAGTTCTTCTCGACCTCTCCCAAGGCAAAGGCAGAGCCCCAAACTGCGCGAGCTGCCCTCCAGAACGCCAGCGGTACCAATCCCGCCGCCCCGCCAATCAGCTCTGCCTCACTGTCCTTACCGACCATCTCGCTTTCTACTGCGACTGCGGACAACCCAAACATGAACGAACCGCCTACCACGCTCTTTCAACCTCCGTCACCGGAGGAGGCTCGCCGTCTGGCCAAGCAACATGCCCAGTTCGGGCCCCTCGGTCATCCGAGCCATCGGTATTCCAGCCGGCATCCCGGCGGACATTTCCCCGAGCCTGTGATGGACGAGCCTCCCTATTATTATTTGATTACCACGTATATTAGTTACTTGATCCTAATTGCTTTTGGTCACGTCCGTGATTTCTTCGGAAAACGCTTCCGCGAGGAGAATTATCGTCACCTGAAGCCACGGAATGGCTATGCGGCCCTCAACAGCGATTTCGATAACTTCTACGTTCGTCGCCTCAAGCTTCGTATCAACGATTGCTTTGAGCGGCCTGTCACTGGTGTTCCCGGAAGAAACATCACCCTCATCGACCGAGCGACGGATGACCACAACAAGACCTTTTACTTAACTGGCACTACGACCGACACGCTGAACCTGAGCTCCTACAACTACCTCGGGTTCGCTCAATCGGAAGGCCCCTGTGCGGATATTACGGAAGAGGCCGTTCGCAAGTATGGCATTACGCCTGTGAGCACACGTGCAGAGGTCGGTACACAGGACCTGCACATCGAGGTCGAGGATCTCGTCGCCAACTTTGTTGGCAAGGAAGCGTCCATGGTCTTTTCGATGGGCTTCGGTACCAATGCAAACATCTTCCCTGCTCTCGTTGGCAAAGGTGACTTGCTTATCTCCGATGAGCTTAACCACGCTTCCATCCGCTTCGGTGCACGTCTATCTGGAGCTTCCATTGCCATGTTCAAGCACAACGACATGCGTGATCTAGAGTCAAAACTGCGAGAAGCCATCAGCCAGGGTCAGCCCCGTACTCACCGACCATGGAAGAAGATCCTCGTCGTTGTCGAAGGTCTCTACTCTATGGAAGGCTCGATGTGCAATCTTCCCGGTCTCATTGCCCTCAAAAAGCGTTACAAGTTCTACCTCTTTGTCGACGAAGCACACTCTGTCGGAGCCATCGGACCCAATGGCCGCGGTGTTTGCGATTACTTTGGCGTCGACACCAAGGACGTCGATGTTCTCATGGGTACATTGACCAAGTCATTTGGTGCTAATGGCGGCTACATTGCTGCCGATACGTCGATGATTCACAAGCTCAAGGCAATCAACTCTGGCATGTTCTATGGAGAATCAACAGCCCCCGCTGTTATCGCGCAAATTGTCTCGGCACTCCGACTCATCAAAGGTGAACTCATTCCAGGCCAGGGTGAGGAGCGACTGCAGCGTTTGGCCTTCAACTCTCGATACCTTCGTCTTGGGTTGAAGCGTCTTGGCTTTATAGTGTACGGTCACGACGATTCGCCTATTATCCCTGTTCTCCTCTTCAACCCTGCCAAGATGCCGGCCTTCTCCCACGAAATGCTGAAACGAAAGATCTCCGTTGTCATTGTCGGCTACCCTGCGACGCCTCTGGTTTCCTCGCGTGCTCGATTCTGTGTCTCGGCCGCTCACACCAAAGAGGACCTTGACCGTATCCTGACAGCTTGCGACGAGATCGGAAACATTCTCCAGCTCAAGTTCTCCACCGGAGTCGCCGGCGGTGCTATTCCCTTGACCGATGACATGGCGCCCCCTCCGGAGAAGGAAGTCCAGTGGCAGCAGAAGCGGAACCCGATAATTGTCCCTCCCAGGTGGCGCATAGAGGACGTCATTAGGCGTGGTGTCCAAGATGTCAAGTCACCTCTGTTCTAAGTGGACACTCTTCGGAATGCTTGGCATCATCATCATAATGACCCATTTTGCTATGTCGATTCATGCCCTCATGGTAAACTTGGCGCTGCGGTTCATGCATCTAGGGGAAGTCTTCGGTGGCGTTTTTGATGCGCTCGGTTGATGCTGGTCATGCCGCCTCGCGTCGCGTCGAACGGATATCAATTTTTTTTTTTTGGTGTAAAAAACGCAACACCATCCACAACAATCTCGCTTCCTTGGTTGCCTATTATTACTTGCTCAGGAGGAGAGCTTTGAAACTGTTCAAAAGAAACGCACCACCCTACGAAACATTATATTATTATTTTTCTCTTCTCTTCACACCTTGGGTTTGCCCACTTCATTCGTTGTTATTTATAGACACCATTGCCGGTTCGTGTCTGCCTACCAAGTGCTGGTGGCTAGAGGCGAGCCTCCGCTGGTCACTGTTTACATACTGGGTTGCTCAACTACTGTACCTAATGAGACTCATGCACGGGTTGGGAGTACGTGGATTGCCTTCGACGATCGCTTGTCATTTGAAGGCACTCGATTATTATCACTATTTAGTATTATTCTAATTCAATGTCTCATTATCTTCTCGAATTTTTTTAGCAAACCCGCTATACTGCCTCCTTACCAGACAAGTATATTACCCGGCAAGCATAGAGAAAGTCAAGTATCCATACTACGAAGTAACACAAGGGTCCTGTTTCCAGGAATGTTTCTGGAATGGTGGCTGGCTGTTATACTTCGTATACGCGTATACAAATCCAGCTCCCGTCGTATTCGGCAAAACTCCACCGGTGGCGTTCGAGCAGGTATGCTCAGTTTCAGCACTTAAGTATAAACGAGATATGTCATAGCATGGGTTTATAAGAGAGCCATTCATTGCTATAATGAGGAATGGGCTACTGAGTAATCCAATTCCACGTCTTGTATCCAATCCGTGCCATCCAAAAGCAAAAAGCAAAGCTAATCAAGGTGCATCCAAGAATCACGCAAAAAACGGAGAAAGAGACAAAATAAATAGCAAGTCAACGCCGGTGTATGATAAATGTATAGCCAATCTGATACAAGCAGGGCCAACGACTGAAAGAAAGAAAGAAAGATCTATGCCGAACGCGCTGTTCGTCTTCCGCGCAATGCACCATGCAGGAATGGAATCTGACTCTAAGCCCGAAATATGGATTCAAATCAAACAAAAGACGACAAAGCGAGGTTCAAAGGACCCCGATTGTTAATTGTATTGCTAATTGAAGCATCATGTGTAAAGAAAAAAAGGAAGTATAGTTCGTGACGTCATAAAATTGGGTGGGACAACAGTCGGTGGTTGTACAAAGCATCAAACTGCACCGTAACGTTGTCGGTCTTCGTTAAGAAGAGCCTGGCCCTCTGGGCTGGACTCTGGAGTTTGTTTGCGCACGGGAGAGGGGATCCAGCCTCTCATCCACCCGTGGACTCGCTTCCAGCGGCTTCGTCCGCGCTTGGGATCTTCAACCTCGATCACGGATTCATCGTCAGAGCCGTACATAAGGAACTGCACACCCATGAAGCCGTCCAAGAAGAGAACACCAAAGGCACCGAGGAAGAAGGGGATCGCGCGGCCAACCCACTCTACTCGATCGTTGCCGTCTGCGTCTGCCCATCCGCCGCCGCCATATGGAGGCAAGTCATACCAAGCGTTTGGGTTCGTTAGCAGCGACGAGGAGTAAAAGAAGTTCCCGCCAAATGCAGCCATAAACAGCAAAGGAGACAGGCCGGAGGTGCTCTTTCGACAGTAGTTCTTGTACAGCTGTGGAGGTCGCGAGCCGAGATATAGAGCCGTGGACATCCAGGAGAAAATGCTGCCAAGGAATTCAAGTGTCAAGCCTGAAGAAGGCGGAAGTGGATCAACATCGGTCGGGGCTGCGTTGGCGGCCACAGCGCAAAGCATCGACGCTAGCAACACAGTTCGTGCGGCGGAGTTTTGGACGCTCAGGCCGCCGCCGGATCGAACAATAGATCGCCGAGAGAAACTCAACTTCTCCTTTGAATATGACGAGGCATGGCTGATGGTGCCGACAGATCGATCTTTGATATCGCTGGTGTTCTTCGAATCTGAGCTAGCGCCCACTTGCGGTGACGGACCGCTCACGGTGTAATCGTCCTCGGAAAACGAGCAGGCCTCAAGGACATTGGGAGGCGTAGCGCCGTCGTCGCGACCCGAAATAGTAGCATAGTCGTCGCCTCGGCGCCCCTTGTAGTGAGTATACCAGAAGAACTGGAATACAAGGGTTATGTCGACCGACACATAGTAGCCCGCAATGATCACCTGCCAGGTGGCTTGCCGAGTAAGAAGAGCGCCGAGCAGGTTGCCCATATCACCAAAACACCATATGATCAGGAAAAATATAGATAGCCCGGAAGTCGACTGCAGTTGAAAGTTCTTATAGATCTGAGGAAGCTGGGCGAACAGCCATGATAGAATGCTCAGCGTGCCGAGGGTCGACGAGAGGAGGGCAAGTGGGGTGGGCAGGCATATGTGGAGATAGGACGAGATCGTAGTGAGAAAGGGCGACGAGGGCTCACAGTGCTGTGGAAGTGATTGGGCGACATAGTCTATTAAAGGAGGAGGCATGTTCAGGCTCAGAGTCTATCAGAGTGTATGCGATGTCGGTTCAGTCGAAACCCTCTGGTGGGCGGACGCGACAAGCGGCGATAAGACGGCTGCGGAGACGAACGATCAAGGCGGAGACGACGAACAAGGAGCGAGTCTAGATGAAAGACACGACGTAAAGAGTGATAGAGGGAGGAAGATGAAGAAGGAGAGGAGGGGGAGAGGAAAGAGGAATCAGAGGAAGAGACGCATTCGTGGAGCGTCGAGTCATCCCCCTTCAGTTGGTCACGAGAGATCCGGGGCTGATAAGAGTCCAAATCGGGAAGAACTGATAGTGGCCCGGGACCGCCTGTGATTGGCTGCTGCATGGCAGAACCTGACCCTGCTTGGATTAGTCATGCTTCGCCAAACAGACTAGTTAACTAACTATTGGTCCAAAGGTTACTGTATTACAACTACTGTGGGAAAACACGCGAAGGAAATGCTGGACGCTTTGATTCACCATCATCGAGATGGAGGTGCTTATAGGGCGACTGGCATCGTTTGAAGCTGAATGCCAGCATATTTGGCACATTTATAGCGTCGAGAAGGGAATACAGTTATCGAGGCGATGATCGAGCTGTTGCCCAGTCACGGTAGAAGTACCCGCAACTACCAGATATTCTGGTCTGCCATCATGGTTACTACTTTACTAACTTACTTTTTACATACTGTGATTAAACATGCAGAAATCTCTTGATTCAAAGTCTAACAAACAAATCTACCTGCCTCTATTGTCAAGTCACTACCGGCCACCATGGCGACGGTGATGCCTGGTCCGACGCCCAGTCGACCGCTCAGGGCCATACTGCTCCGGTTCATCATAGTACTCTTCTGCTCCATCCGGCGCCGAAGTGGGCAGTCCAGGAATCCCGCGTCCATTTTTCTTCTTCTCCTGTATAAAATGGCCCAGGATCGCACCCCCCACTGCCCCCAGCAGCCCGTGTCTTTTCTTATGTCCAAGATAATATCCAGCCGCGCCGCCGGCCATTGCACCACCTAGACCGCGGGTGCCATCTCCGGGACCGCCGCCTGGTGGGATATTGACGTCCAGGTTGACAGAGCCGGGGGTGGAAGAGCGGAATTGTACGTTGGGTTCACTGGAATAGGTTAGTTTAGTCTTGTATGGCAGGGGTTGACTGGGGTAGTAGGGGTAGAGACGTACTAGTAGTCTGCGTTCTGTGGAAGCTGGTTCTTGGGATCGCAGTAGACATCGTGCTTGTGTCTGTGTCTGCGGTCATGGCCGTTTGCAACAGGCGCGCTTAGGTGCTGCGAGTGTCGATAGTCTGCCTGTGGATCGACGTATCCTGGCTGATCGTACTGTTGCTGGCCGAATGCGTATTGTTCGTCGTAGTACTCGCCGGTCTGATCGTGGCTGTTGCCGTAGCCGTATGTAGGGTCCTGCAGGCTAGGATCGTAGTAGGCATCGCCGCTTCTGGGGGTTGAACATTTAGAGGCTGAGTGTCTGGTCGAGTGCTTGTTCGAGCGAGACTGGTGCGGCTTCGAGCTCGACTTCGACTGGCGGAAAGGGTTCGACATGTTGAATGATACGAGGTCTGATAGACTTTCTAGGAATACGATAGATCTGGTAGGCAGAACGTGCTGTGGACCCTGAAGCAGGTGAAGGAAGGCGTATTTATGCCTGGATTGGAGATATCAGCTAATAATAAAAACTGCCTTGATTGTTCCAATTGTTTATTAGTGAATGCTCTTTGCAGTATCCAGTCCTCATTATATACATTAAAAATCAAGTGAATACACCAATGAAGCATCATTGTCCCTCATTATCTGACAACTTAGGGCTACTTCACATACTCATAACTCTGCTCAACAACCACATTCTTGTGGATCACCGCTCCATCACTATTCCCATGCACATGTCCATTCCCATTCCCAGTCCTACTCTTCCCACTGCTCTCCTCGGGGCTCTCCCTCAACTCAGTCGGCGTCTCCGCCTCAATCGTAGAAATCAAACACGCCTGGTCCGTCTGCGATGACGGAAACGCAGAGCTGTGATTCCCACTCCCCTTCTTCGAGCTTCCCAGTTTATTCCAGCTACTCAACTCGTGGCTCTTGTAGCTCCGGTAGCTGCTGTTCGCGCGGGATTTGAGAGACGCAATGTACGAGCTTAGGGCTGGTAAACAGGCGCAGATAAGACCGATTCCTGCCTCAGCATTGCTACACAATTAAATCACGTCAGTCTCAGTAATCCTTTAGAAACGAAACAAAGGGAAAGGGGCCATACGCCGTCAAAACCGCATGGATCCAAAACCACGTCGTATCAACCGTCTCAGACTCCTCCACCATCATCACAAGCCTCCAAACACTAAACCCAGTCGCTAGCCCACCAGCGCCCAAGATCCCTACAACCCTGAGCTTCCTCTTCAGCGACATCTGCAACGACCAGAGCATCGGGACCGGCAGGATCAGGATCCAGAGGTCGCTCGCGATACTGATTGCCGAGTCGGCGATGATGACATTGCGCTGGTCGATACAGGACCCGCCTGTAGCCTCGGGGCCGAGCCAGTAGGTTGAGATGGGCTTGCAGAAGAAGATCTTGATGAAGAGGGCGGGGATGTAGTACAGCAGGAGGATTGTGATGCTGGCGTAGATGATTATGACTTTCTGCCGGTCTGGGGAGAAGAGTCGCAGCATGATTGTTAGGAGGGCGAGTTTGATCACGAAGACCATTGGGACGTAGAGGAGGGTTACGGCGTAGGAGGCCTGAAATCGTTATTTATTCTGAGTTGTTGGTTTTGTTGGTGGGAGGATGTACCTTTTGGAAGCTGATGAACTGGTCCTTAGAGACGTCCCAGGCGTGATATCCTCCACCGTAGGCATTGACTGCTCTGTTAGATATAAAGCAAGCAGATGAGGCTTAGAATGCTTTACATACGCACAAGCATATTCGCACAGAAAGCAATAAACAAGACCTTCAATTACAGCGAGATCAGCACAGCTCAATCACTGACTAGAAACCAACCTACCCATCCTGTAATCGTCGTATCTATAAAAGAGACTGTCAGCCATTCTATCCTTGGGCAAATATATTGAAAGCAATATACATAGAGAAGCCGGTAAATAGAAGAATACTCACAATCTTCCAGCCCCAACCCATTCCTCAACCGCACCTTAACAGCAACCCGCATCCCGACTGCAATCGTCACAACGATAATGCACACCACCTGCGTGGCGAGATTTACCGTATGCAGCACATCTTCAGGGTTATCAAGGTTGGATACCGCGCCCGGGGGAGCCGGTACTGCTGGTTCTCTTGTGTCGGGCATTCTACCTGTCTCTTTGGGATAGTAGAGTCCACTCGAGCGGACTTAAGGAGGCGTGTACTTATTATCGTGGCAGCATGGACGTTAATGCAGTGCGATTAAGGAGACATTAGGACATTGCCTCAAGTCGTCATGCGAGAAGGATTGGCAATGAACAATATGCAAGGATAAGATGTACAACAGCAGAATAAAATAGATGAACGAATAGAATATTCAACAGAATTGCATAAAAGGAGAGATATGGGCAAGAAACTGCAGCCAGGACAAGCTGACAAGCCTGAGAGATCAGCAATAAGCACCACGACCAGCACCAAGTACCTCAGAAAAGTAGGACTCACCCCGAAACTGCTCAGCAGACATCAGGATCGGCTCCATAATCCACGCAATAAACGAATAGCACCGACAATTCCTCGGCCCCCAAGTCCCAGGGCTCTCCCACCGTTGACTACCGGGATACGAGTCTACTAGACTTCCATCGTCAGATCCAGGAACGCAACCTAAGTGCTCCCTCCAAACGTCTCCATGGATATTGTCACCCTACAAATATCAATCCTATAGGCAGGGAGAGCGGGAGATTGGCCCGTTATGCACTGCAGGCCATTATTTATTAGCGATCAAATGGATGTATCAATTCTCTGCACAGTGGCACAACACAGCATCACCTAGTCGGTTGTTGGTACGAGTCTCGATCGACCGGCACTTCCGACTCCCGAATCCCAGGAAGAATAACCACTAAGGAAAGAAAGGCAAGTTAATCCCGAATGCTGTCTTCGATTTGCCCGGACTCGAGCCGGCGCGAGAACCCACCCTCTCTGGATTCCTCTTCCGAACTTCCTTGAGTTCCTTTGGTTAGGCCGTTGCTGGACGGTGGAGAAATCAAACTCAAACACACGGCACGGATAGTGCGGGCCGGGGATCGCAATCCTTCATCCAGGCAACAGCGCCGTTCGTGCAACAAAAAGTACACTGATCGGCGTGTTTCAGTTTTCACAGATGCGCGATGTGGGTGAAGGGACCGGGGTTGTGTGGAAAAGGATTCGAGACCCTGTTTCTGGCGGGAGTGGCTGCAGCTGTTGGCGTGGCTGTCTTGGCGAATTAACTACCTAATTAGTTAGGGCTTCCCACCCCCCGGGACGGTGCAAAGACCTGGCCAGTTATGCGTTATTATTTGGTCCCACTGTTTTGGACACAATGGAAGGATTCGAATTTTTTTGTTCTGGAGGAAAGGATTGATAATGGAATTGTCTTCGCATGTCGCATGAACTGTGTCTGTGACTGGTGACTGTACTAGATGGTTCAGCCCCTTTTCCTGGGGCCGCTATTACTAGAGAGGGTGTCAGATTTCTGACGCAGGAGGAAGAGATCTCCCGCCCTTTACGACGAATTCGAATTATCAGCGCAACTGAAGGCCGATCCTGTGAGTTGCCCTGTCAGTCATGATTCATGATCCTGGGCTGTGCTATATGCAAGAACTTACCAATCAGTCCGGTGGCGTAGGCATCGATGATCTGGATCACAACACCGTAGGTTGCTCCGACGCAGAATAACAGCCCGAGAAGCACAAGACCGACGTGCAGGAGATACGTGATCTTCTGTGTCAGGGGCCCCTTCTTGTAGTGTCCGTGGTCATACAGCCATAGCCAACCGGGGAGGCTTATGGCAAGAGGGGCAAAGCACACCGATCCCACGAGGGCAATGAGATAGTTGAAGATGGGGATAGATGAGGCCAGAATGAATGCCAGGGCGCCGAGCAAAATCGTGCAGGCGAACCAAGTACCCCAATGCACCACGGTATTGGCTTGCAGGTGGCGCGAGTTTCCGAGGATCCGAACAAAAACGTACTTCGCGCCGACCTGATACAGAATTAGTTAAAGAATACTATTCAAAACGAAAGGGCTTACATGTAAATAAAGGGTGCCGCTGACTACTAGCCCAAGCAATGCAACACCATACGAGACCATCTTGATTGTCTGCCCAGCACTCTAGACGCGCACCAATATTAGCTGCTGCTTGGAGATAGGGGCAAAGAACATACATCTAGCGATGGACTGGCCACCCACATCCCGCACCACCGATAGACGACCAGACTGAAAGCAAGGTACGACGCCGTCACCAAAGTCATGCAGGCATACAGCGGCTTCTTATAGTCCTTTGGGTTGCGCATCTCCGATATCACCGGCAAGAAGGCACTGGTGCCAGCCGAAGAAACGAAGATCGTGCAAGACGCGACCATCCCAGCTGCAAACCCGGGGTTGTTGATATTGACATAGCCCAGGTCGTATGGCCCCTCCTGCGGTGCAGCCGCCGGTCGGTCTTGAGTGGTCACTCCGATCACGACAATCAGCACGGCGACGTAGATGGACAAGAACCCCGCATAGCTTAGCCAACCGACGTGTTCGAGCTTGCGGATCGAGGCCGTGGCGACAATCACCACTGCGCCGAGGAACGACCACCACACGGTGCAGGCAGCATGGTGGGAGAGGGCGTTAAGCGCAGTAGAGACGCCGATAATGCCACTGCCAGTCACCAGTACGTAGCCGATGATAAACAGGAGCCCTGAAACCTCCTTTGCGACAACGCCCCCGGCAAACTCAGCCATGTCCGCGATGGAATGGCAGTGCGGGTGTCTGTTGCGGAAGTTGCCCAGGATCACGAAGCAGTAGGTGTTTAAACCGCCCCAGGCCACAATACTGATTGACCCTCCCACGGCTCCTAATGAGTATAGCGCTGATGGGAGCGAAAGCACCCCTGTCGCGAAGAGGATTTTGGTGAAAATCACAGTCGCATTGAACCAGCCCACCTTGCGGAAGTTTACCCCGGAATCTGTCTTCTTGAACACCTCTCCTTCCTCCTCCAAACCCACCGATGGGCTTGCATCCCCAGAGCTATAGGCGCCGTGGGCTTCTGCTTGCTCCTTATCACGCATTGCTGTTGGTGGTGACAGTTTCTTAGGACGGGTAGGGAGGACAGTTATGCAAGAAGAACTGGCAATCCACCAAAACAAAAAAGTGAAAAGGGCTTTATAACAGCAAACGATGATGGCCAGGAGAATGTTAGCAAGCAGGAGTACAGGATCAACCCTCCCTAGCAGTCCCACCCGCTTGCCTAGCGAACTAGGCCGAACAGTTCACACGCTAATTCATCTCCTGACCGGGGGTTTCGACTCTTTCCAGGCCTGGTCAGCAGGAGATCGGAGCTCTGTTATCATAGAAGATTCATGACTCATGACTCTCCTGTTGCGCAATCAGCGAACGTTACTGCTTTCGGGCTCAACTCCTGTTGCCGAGTAACTGGGTAGAAACTAGACAGGGATTGAACCGACACGACAAAGTAATTGTTTCGGGTAAGACTGTCCTATCTCGGGGATGCAAAGCTATGTTGTTAGATGCTGTTAGTAAAACTTAGTTAGGACAGCAACGCGCAGCTGGCCCAGTGCTGCGCCCCCGATTTGTGCTCCGCGAAGGATTTACCTCCCGTGGAGCATCAATGACCGCGATAGACATGGTGGGACGCGGCTCGTCGCAGTACCTTGTAACCCCAACAGCCACGACATCAATGCCCCTCATTCCTCCTGCCTCTTCCTTATTCCCTGTCGTGCTCGCTCTTGCATTGCGTCTTTCGCTCTGTCTGCATTGCACTCAGTCTGCCCCCATCGCATGTGGCAGATCTCTACCATATCTCCCATATCTCCCTATCCAACTCCGTCTCATTGATAATGCCCTCCACACCCCAAGATGGCTACCGTCTAGGAGCCGACGTCGGCGGCACTTTCACAGATGTCTACGCCTTCACCCCAGACAACCAAATCGCGCGAGCCAAAGTCCCCACCACAGTCTCAGACCAAAGCATTGGAATCCAGAACGGCATCCGCAAGGTCCAGCAGACCCTCAAAGACCGCTTCAACTGGGCCGGCAAGTTCCAGTTCATCCACCACGGCACGACGGTCGGCACGAACGCCGTACTCGAGGGCAAGGGCGCGCGGACGGGCCTGATCGTGACGGCCGGCCATAAAGATATCTTGGCCGTGCGCAGGTCGCAGATCCCAGGTGGTCTGGGCGCTTGGCTACACTATACCCCACCTGAGCCGATTGTACCCCTGGAGAGGGTTATACAGTGTCGGGAGCGCATGTCCGTTGATGGAGAGACGGTTGACCAAGTTGATTTGGATGCGCTGAGGGCCGATTTGAGGGCGTGGGTTGGTGAGGAGAGACCCGAGGCTGTGGCGATTTCGTTGCTGAACTCGCACGCGAATAATGAGCATGAGGTGAAGGTTGCGGGCGTAGTTCGTGAAGTTCTCGGTGTGGATTCAACTATTATTTGCTCGAGCGATGTTCTTAGAGAGGTTGGCGAGTATGAGCGGACGGTTACAACGTGTACCAATGCGCTTGTCAAGCCGGTTGTCCAGACCTATCTCAGTAACCTGCAGAACTTGCTTGCAGACGACGGGGATCTCATTCGTATTCTCAAGTCAGACGGTGGGCTAACGAGTTTGGATCTGGCAGGGGAGTTGCCGGTTAATATTTTGATGTCCGGTCCCGCTGGAGGTGTACAAGGTGTTGCAGATGTCGTGACGAGAAACACTCCTTATAAAAACTTGATCACATTCGACATGGGCGGTACATCAACAGACGTTGCCATTATCCACCAGGGCAGACCACAGCTTCGTCGCGAGACGGTGGTGGGCTCACTTACCGTGCGCTCGCCCGCTGTCGACATTCGAACTGTGGGAGCCGGAGGCGGTTCCATCGCCAAATACATGGACATCACCGAGACGATGCGAGTTGGCCCAGAGAGTGCGGGTGCGAGTCCGGGACCTGCATGCTACAACCAGGGAGGGAATGAAGCCACCGTCACAGACGCCAATCTTGTGTTGGGATACCTACCAGACAACCTACTTGGGGGGGAATTCACCCTACACGCAGAAGCTGCATTGGCTGCAGTTGGCGAGATAGCGAAGCAGATGAAACTATCCGTGACCCAAACCGCCGAAGACATTGTCAACCTGGTGAACGAGACTATGTACGGGGCGCTGCGTTTGGTCTCCGTCGAGCAGGGCTATGATCCGAAAGAGTTTGCTCTAGTTGCCTTTGGAGGTGCAGGTCCTCTCCATGCAAACGCCGTGGGAAAGTTGCTCGGCGCCTGGCCTGTTATCGTCCCCCCGTCTCCAGGAACTCTCTGTGCCCTAGGTGATGCTACTACAAGGCTGAGCCACTCTCAATCGTTGTCCTACATCCGCCTGCTCTCGGCCACAACCTCCCAGCAGGTCAAAGATCGGTTTGACGAGATAGAGCAGACTTGCAGGGGGACAATGAAGAGTTCAAATTCGAACCAAGAAGTGCAACTGAACATCGGTTATCATCTAGACCTTCGATACCGCGGTCAAGCATTGAACCTGACGGTTGAGCTCGAAGCTCAAGATCTTCTGCTGGAAGACGGCCCGTGGAGAGAGCTCTTGCAAGCAAAATTCGACCAGCTCCACGAGCAGCAGTTCAAGTACTGTCTGCCCAATTTCGAGCTCGAGTTGATGCGCCTGGAGGTCGTCGCCGTCGATGCGACTCCCGGTATTGATATCCCACAGCTCAGTAAAGCCGAATCAAGCAAGCCGCCTGCCGAAGCATTGGTCTCGAAGAAGAATATCGTCATAGAGGGACAGACGATGGAGGCTATGCTGTGGGATCGCGAGAAAGTAAGCCGCCAGGGAGTCCGTGTGGATGGGCCCTGTATCATCACGGAGACGGACAGCAACACTCTGATCCTCCCTGGGTGCTATGGTGAAGTCGATTCAATCGGGAACATCCTTATACGCCCGAATGACACGGCGACAGAGCAAACAAAGGATGAGTCTGCAGAGGCAGCACTGGAGATTGTGCAATCGACCCCTTTGATCCCTACGCTGGTTGCCTCTGCCCTAGCCTCCATCCGCAGCGAGATGGATACCCTCATGCTCCGGTGTAGTATGTCGCCTGCCATCCGTGAGCAGCAGGACGAGTTTAACGTCATCACCACTGCCGACGGCAAGATGCTCGTCGGCCAGTTTGGCAGTTTCATCACACAATTCCTACGGGCATGGAAGGGCACGATCGAGGAAGGCGATGTGTTTATCACCAACGACACCTACATGATCGAGGGAGCCGTAACGCACTTGAACGACGTGATTGTCCTGCTACCCATCTTCCACGAGCACAGACTCATCGGCTGGGCCTCGCAATTCGGGCACTTGACGGATGTAGGAGGAATCGTCCCAGGAAGTATGTCCATCAACGCTTCATCCATCTTCGACGACGGCGTCCAGATCCCCTGCATCAAGCTCTACGCAAAGGGCACCATGAACACCGACCTAGTCGATCTACTCTGCCGCAACTCGCGCCAGCCCGATTGGTACAGATCCGACCTGATGGCCATCATCGCCGCGTGCCGAACAGCCTCCAGCCGAGTGTGCGAGCTGGTCGTGCGGTTCGGATGCGAGATCTATCTCGCCGCCTGCGCAGAGCTCCTCCTGCGCAACCGCACCGCAATGAGCAAGATCATCGACACAGATTTCGGCGACCAGCCCAGCACATTCACCGACTTTGTCGACGACGACGGCCACGGCATCGGACCCTGGGCGCTGACTTGCACAATGACCAAGATCGAGGGTAACCGCCTGCTCTTCGACTGGACCGGCACATCGCCACAAAGCGACCACGCCATCAACTTCTACCTCTCCGAGACCATGTTCCGCATGTTCATCGGCTACTACATGATCGCGGCCGCTGCACCAGGCACCGTCATCAACGATGGCTTCCACGACCTCATCGACATCCACATCCCCGAGGGCTCAGTGCTGAAACCCGTCCGCCCGGCCCCCATCTCATGCCGCACCCATCTAATGGGCCGCACAATGGACGTCATGCAGGCGCTCATCGGGCAGAAGAACCCCGTATACGCCGCCGCCGCAGGCTTCAGCGACTCCCCGCATTTTTTCTACTCCGGGTACAAGCCAGACGGCGAGTGGTACCAATTATACCAGATCGGGTTCGGCGGCGTACCGGCGCGCAACGCAGGCGATGGCCTAGACTGCCACTGTCTATTTCCGGCAATCAAGTCGATCCCCACGGAGATCATCGAGCTAAACTACCCGCTCCGCATTGAGGCTAACGAGAGTGTCCCTGATAGCGGCGGGGCGGGGTTCTACCGTGGTGGGAACGCGCAGCGCACGCACTACCGGTTCCTGTCGCGCGGGGAGTTCAGTCTGCATGATGACCGGTGGTTCACGAAGCCGTGGGGGATCCGTGGTGGCAAGCCCGGGGCGAGGTCGAGGAAGGTTCTGTATCGGTACTCGAAGTCGCGGGATGCGCCGCCGGTGGAGGTGCTCCCGTCGAAGTGTGATCATGTTCGGGTTGACCCTGGTGATCTTCTGGAGTGGGTGACTTGGGGAGGTGGTGGGCTTGGAGATCCGCTGACGAGGCCTGCGGAGAAGGTCGCGCTGGAGGTTCGTCGGCGGCTGGTGACTATTGATGGTGCGCGTGAGAATTACGGTGTGGTTATCAATTCTGAGGGCCTTACCGTGGATGAAAGCGCTACCGAAGCCCTGAGGAAGAGTCTGGCGGATGCTCGTGGTGTCGAGAGTCCAAAGTATGATCGGGGTGGCAGTCTGGAGGAACTGAGAGAGTTGTGTTTGAAGGAGACGGGGCTTCCTGCGCCGAGTCCGCAGTGGGAGGTCGAGTTGTATGGGCCGCACGTGAAGATCCCATATGTCCAAGAGTGGTATTCGCGAATGAACAAGGTCAAGGGATGGGGATTGTAATGATAACTGATCGGGTATACTTTATTTGTTATACATGAAGCTGTACGACTATCCCAGGCGGGGCGAGCATGGAATATAATAACGGTCTTGGAAGTAGTAAACAGCAAATGCATTGGTATCCGTAATATAGCACACGAAGAAAAGAAATAATAAGGAAGGTAAACAAGAAGTAATCAGATACATGCGTCCAGCACATCATAGCACTTGGCCGGAATGCGAAAAATAGGTATCAATCATATGAAGTCTCAAATGTACAGCAAAAGTTGGTCAATAACAGGTTCCGCTCATTGGTTACTTAAGTTGCTGTCTTCCGTACTCTCTGACCAACCCAGTCAGATAACAGAGAGTCTAATTGGCTATTCATTTCCCGCAGCCTCTTGCTCTCGTCCTTGAACAAGTTACCAGTAATCGGGTGGTCGGGGCCGGCAGGGGGGATGTTTGTGTTGTCATAGACAATCATGTAGAGATCGCGAAGCTCGTTCTCATCTTCCAAGTATGAGCGCAAGCTAGCATCACTCCAGGTCGGAGTCGGTGCCTCAAACGGTGTCGAAGCCGCCTCAGCCCGCCTGCTGTCGGTGGTGTCATCAGGGGATATGGGAGGCGAATCAGGCGAGCTTGGTTGATCTCCGGAACCCGGCAGGTCAAGAGTTAGCCACGGCGTGCTAGGCGAGCGCTGGCTTCCCAGGGGCGAGGATGAGCTGACAGGTGAATCCAAGTGACGGCTTTGGGTTGGGGCAAATTTCTGTGGTGGTGATGTTACAGAATGCGAGGGAGCCACCTGACTGGGTTGAATTTGCCGATCCATATGTTCTTCAACCAGCGACACTGGTGACATGGGCGAGGTGGGCGAGGTGGGCGAAGTTGGTGGCACTGTGTTCTTTGAAGGACTTTGTATACGGGCAGAGTTCGACATGCTCCGCGCTGGCTCCTGGGGCTTGGAACGTGAGGACCCAGCTATCCCTTCCACTTCGTCGAGGACCACTTGACGTATCGTCTGATCCGGTCTCTGGTTCTCCCTCGGCGCCCGTTCCTTTTGAATCGGCGACCCTAGCGCTAGCTCCTTTGCTGGTTCCTTTGCTGCGTCTCGCGTTGCAACGGCCTCCGGCCCTTGCTTTTGAAGCTTACTGGATTGCCGCTGTGGTCCAGCCTGCTTCGCAGAGCGTGCCTCAGGCGATCCTACGGACTCCAAGGATGTCTTTGGCGTCGGCGATGATCGAGACAATTCACCTGAGTGTTTCTCCATGTCTTCACCCTCATCGTCACCTGATTTGGACTTCTTGTCCTTCCTCTTGAAGAGACCGCTGAGCATCCCGGGTTTCTTCTCCTTCCGCTTCTTTTCTTCCTTCTTTTCGTTGGAGTTGACTTTGTCGAGTGTTTCCAGGCTAATGCGAGGCTACAAGTATCGAAGCAGTCAGTTTTTACTCAGCAAAAGCAAACAATAAATTGTACATACCTCTCTTGGCTCATTCGACGCAGACTCGTCACGCAGTAGGTTTGGTGTGAGAGATATTTTCTTGGGCTCCGCGGCATCGTCCTTGAAGAATGAGTCGGTGTTCCGAATAGTGCCATTTCTTGACCTGCTGATAGTGGATTCAGAAGTAGGAGAGAGGGGTTCTTCTTGTTCGAAGATCTCCTGACTTGTCCGCCGCTTCTCCGGGCTAGAGGAGACACGCTCTTCCGGTTCCTGTGCATTTTGTGGCTCTTCGGCTCCCTTGTCACGTTGCTGTTTGGGTCGCAGGGGTTCGACAACGATATCTTCATTCTGTTCTTCACGTTGCTCATATTCCTCCCGGGCATATTCGTCAGTGAAGGAAGCGTCGTCGTCATCGTCAACCTCTTCTTCAGTCGAGTATTCAACATCGGAAGCTTCAATGTACGTCGGAGTAGTGAATGTGACAGCCTTCGCATTTCGGCGGCGCATTGCCTTTTTCAGAGGATTTTTGGATTTCTCCAAATTATCACCAAGCATTGTCGCAGAAAGCTAATTTGGTCAGTCAGGTTCGCTGTACTGAGGGTAGGAAGCGTACATCCACATTTCGGTGCTTGTTTAACCGCGCCAGCCTCTCTGTGGGCGTTTCGATATGCTCAGCGGGCAAATAACCTATGCTGCCGTCCTTCACAATCCGAACAAGCCACCAATAACTGTTACTGTCATCCAGAAGTACCATGTTATCTCCCTTTGAGGCGTTCGCCTGGCCATCCACAGTCGCAACAAAGTTATGCAACGCATAAACGAACTCGAAATTGATATCATCTACTCAAGTCAACCACAATTACTCAGGCAATGGTCGGGATGAAATTGTCCCGTGCATTGCACAACTCCAAAAGAACATGCCACAACATACCGTCATCAATTGAAGGGGAGCTCGAGATTTTGTCCATGAGTTCATCATCCAACAGATCGTCGTCATCACCATCGCTATGGTCACCGTCTTCACCATCCCCAATATCAGAGTCGCCCCGATGAACACCAAGCCCGATCTGAATGTCGTCGGTATCATCATACATGTCAATGCCATCATGGTAACCATCCGCGGCCGATCCACGACCATCGGGACCCTGCATAATTTCAGATTTGGAATCATGATCGGCGAGACGGATTTCGTGCTCCTGGTGCGGAGCTAGGCCAGTTTCGTTTGTGGGTGCCGGTTTTGGATGGTCTTTCGCCGAAGGAGCATCATGGTCTTGGAGGTCAAGCGTATCTAGTTAGCAATCCGAGTCAGTAACACGAATTACCGAGTCGATGTGATAAGAGAAATTGTTAAATACCAGCTCGCACAATCCGGGGTCTCGCCATCTTCGCGACGGTGTTGTGTTAGGCGAAACGTTTCGGAGGAAATTCAGGAGCTCGGAACATGGGAGGGAACGAGCGCAAGTCGACAGCGTCCGATGCGTGAAAAGAAAATCGCAAAAAAAAGAAAAGGACAAGATAATAGCAGCCGAGGGAAAGGGAGCAAGTCACACAAATATCGAGGGCGATTTGTTGCGAATTGGCAGAAACGAATGAATGCCACGACCAGCGGCGGGGGATTGTGGACAATCGGAGAACAGTGAGGTTCGAGCCACAGGACGAAATTCGATTGTTCCGAGAGTCAAACAAAGAGAAAAAGATCCAAGGATCAGCGAAGAGAAAACGCAAGAGAACGAAAAGCAGGAAGACCCGTGGTGAAGCAAGCGAAGCTCGATGAGTTCCCCAGACTCTCGAGACTCAGAAAGGAGGTCCAACTTTCTAAGATTAAAGAGACCCGGTCAAATCATCAAACGCTCCTTGCGCGCGCTTATCCACCAGGGCCCCGTGCCTGGCTGGAGCTGCTCCTGGCTAGCCGCGTTAGGCTTAGCGTTAGGCTTTGTTCCTTGCCAAGCCCCAAACATGTGACTGCGTTGGCACGAGCATTACTTTTACTTTATCTTGTTTTTTATTTTATATATTGGTCGTTGTTGGCAGTATCTGCTGCGAATATCTTGTCCGAATGTGTCAGACTCTGAGCAAAAATGTGCTTGTTCCAGCAGCGGTAGGCACAGAATCAAGCCGAAACACTATATATTGAACTGCTTAGTCCGTTGGAAAACCATTTCTAGTCAAGATTTACAAACATTCTCGCTGCTCTCTAATAACTCATTAACACATGGCTAAAACTCTAGAATCAACACGAATCTATTTAGACCTTACCCAAAATCTAAGCTATGCAATCCTCGTCGCACCCCACCAATTCATCCGCATATTCGAATCTCCCCAGCTTGACTTCAAATTCTGCTGAACAACACTATCGTCATCCTTCAACAATGCCTCTACCTTCCACTGGGTACCAGTGGCCTGTCCAATATCAAGCCAGAACCCCTTCAAAGACTCAATGTTATGGCGGTACTGCGTCCCATCACTAAATCCAGTGAGAGGGTACTCACCAGCGAGAATACTACCCAGCTGGCGACCAACAACCATAACCCCAACCTGGTCACGGAGCAAGCTCACCAACCGCGTCGCAGCTTTTAGCTGCACCCCATAGTCCCAGAGGTGGAAGAGCGAGCTAGCGTAGATGATACCGATCTCCCCGCCCAGCGTCTGCGCCAGGGCCTCCCGACTGCCATCATCATCTCCGGTGAGGTCTCCCAAGGCAAAAGTTGCTTCTAGACGATCCGTGTCCCGGAAGAGCTTGTATCCGAGGTCGATGAATGTTTGCTCGACGTCGAGGCCGAAGAGCTGGCGGCTGGGAATGCCTTGGTGAGCGAGGTAGCGGATTTCTTGACCGAAGCAGCAACCGGCGTCGAGGAAGCCGGCTGTGGGGTTGTTGCGGAGGTATTCGAGGACACGCTCGAAGAGTGGGTGGCGTGGGATGTGGAAGGAGAGGAAGCGCATCTGGCCTATACAAGGATAGTGACAGATGCGGAATGCTTCGGCTCGCTGGGGGGGATTAGTATACTAAAGGATGGGTATTAGACGGATGGTGGACGAACCAGTGATAAGACATGGGGAAGGACTTCGTCGGCTTGAAAGCCGCTATAGTTCTCTAATAGATTCTGAGCATCGGGGTTAATGCTTTTGACATCTTCCTGGTACCACTCGGGCTTCGTCTCCTTGTCTACCATGATGAATATAGGTTGATGATATCTCAAGAACTGCCTGAAGCAGCCGTGGAATAGTCTTGGTTTAAATACATCCCTCTTGTGGACCTGATAAGCGAAGTCTGCTACATCTTTCACCAAACAAGATATTGTGCTGAGGGTGGTTGAACTAACTAGACAGTAGCCTCAGAGTAGTCTTGGACTAGCGGGAGCTTATGTGGGGATGGTGGCAGTTCAAAGGCCATCAAGCCTTTTAGATCTCACAGAAACTGCAAGTTCAAGTCGGAGCCGCTTGACCCGATCGAGAGAAAACTCATGCCTAGACTCCCTGGCTTACGTTTGCTGGGGTCAACAGAACACTACATCGTCCATGACGGTTGCACTGGGGGATAATGGTGACTTTGAAGCTTTATGGCATGTCCCGAGCACCCCGCCGTCAGAGCAGGACATGAACCCGTCATCTTTTCTCAGTCAACCCCTCCATCCGATGAATTGTCCCAAACCACTGTCTTGAATCTTATCTCTTCTGGATATATTTGGGCATTACTCTCAGCCGAGATGCTGGAGTTATCCGGCTGAGCCGGGGTATGCTTATTCCCAGTCTTACAGGCGTCTTCAACAACCAACCTGGGCTTTATTTTCCGCACACGATGTTGTAAAGCTAACATACCAAGATCGAAAGGACCGTATGGTATGCGAGGGCCTCGATTGAACAAACAGAAGCAAAGGACCCCAGTCAGTACTTTTTGAGTTACAGATGCATGCGGAAGCCTGAATCGCCTAAGAATAGACTCCCATTACCAGGTCTTCAATTCTGGTTTCTTTTCGGCCTATCAAAATTTCGTACGATCAGATATCGAGCTTACTGGTCTTGACAGCCTGGCTCGCCCAAATGATGTTGTCCAACTGTCAGTGCCGCTGATTTCATAATAGCACATCGCCAAGTCGATCGCGGAATCCGACTGGATCAAAATGACTGAGGAATCCTCGACAAAACTGTCAGCGCATCGAATTAACATTCTGCAAGGACCTGGAAACTGCAACTGGACAAAAGTACGGTATTTCTAGAGCCGAGATAGGCGCATCCTTTCGCTGCTCTTCTATTGGATCATCGTAGAGCAGGGATTGCACTCCTGGGGAAAGACAAAGCACCTCAAGAATGGCACACGCTCCAACAAAGGCCTTTTTGCCACATTTAGATGCGTCATCCCCAGCTTCGACTTGTTGCACAGCCGTGGTGGATGGACGGAGGCCGACAAATAGAGAGCGACCCCGGGGTCCAGGTGGGCGCAACGGCCGTTAATCCTGACAACGGTGAGTCAGCTAATAATAAAGTAAATAACATAGTCCTGATTATCCGAGCAGCTGCAGTTTACGCAGCCTCTGGTTGGGCCGAGTCAGGCAGGGAGGGCGTCAAGCGTTCATCGCGAATGAATAAGGCGATGCGATGACGTCGCCGTACATAAAGGGGTCCTGCAGGATCAAACTCATAGAAGATCATACATAATAGACTTGAGTAATGGACTCAAATAACAGCAATGCGTGCACTGGAAGGCAGACACACCGGAATTACTAATGGGGAATGAAGTAACTTCGACTTCCCCTCTTTATACCAAGAGCGCTCCCGTTTTCTCCCGATGGGCGTCACTCGATCGTGCAACATCTTCTTTCATCGCTTCTTCCCCTTCTCCTCCACATTCTCCGTCAAAAAAAAAAGGTCCTTCTTCTGCTTTCCACTAAGAAAGCTTTCTTTTATAAATTTGTCCTCCACCATTACTTCATCCCCGCCAGCCCCATCACTGTTTGGGTTTAGATTTGCCTTTATCCGCCTCTGATAGTCGATAAGACGCAGCAGATACTCCACATCACCCACTCTGCCGTTTCCACAATTTCCCTTTCCTGCATCTTTTTCGTCTCTCTCGCGCGTCATCAAATACATCGAATTTATCTTCTTCTCACGCTTCATGATACCATTCCCTCTACCCAGGTCTTCTTTGTGCACTCCATGAGGGCATGGCTACTGCACATAGAAGCAACCAGGCGCACGGGTTGAGGATCGAGACTTCCTTTCAAAATGCTTCCAGAAATCGCTGGCGAGATGGAGAGCAAGACGGAGATTGGAGAGAGACAGGTGATCGAGCTGGTAACGAGGGCGACCGTACCAACATCTCTTACGATTATGACGCACACCGTTGCGGTACTGATGAAGAAAGCAGAGTATTGAGTAGCCTTCACTCCTCGACACCCCCAATCTCAGTTCCGCGCCATGATGATAGCCCAAGTCATGATGAGATTCCTCACAATCCAGAGGATGTGGGCGCCTCGTCGCCCTTTGACTCCTTTCTCCAGCAGGAGAAGTCGTCTATCGACTACTTTGACCCTTCCATCACTGTCACTCCGAGGAACCAGCAATCTCTGAAGGGGCAGCTATCGCAGAGCGAGAGGCTTAACCGAGCACGAGGGTTCCAACCGCCAAAAACATCAAGCCTCCGGAACGTACTCCCGCAGGATGACGATGATATTGCGCGCGGCATCAGCAAGTTGGGATTCAGCCCCGGCCCTAGAAGACACCCATCTCGGCGAACTGCTCCGGCGGCGTTGTCACGCGAGGCCCTCCCCGGAAGTCCTAACAACACCTCTATCGACCGCCCGACGTCGCTTACCACTGTATCAACCATGTCCCCCGTCATGGATGAAGTGCAAACCCCTCCGGAAAGCACTCGAAGCATGCTTTCGCCCATTTGCATGGCGTCCCCGACACAGACGTTCCATTCTCCAGAAGACCGCAGCGCCTCCTGGTCTGGTACATCTGTCACCCCGTTCGGTAGCAAGTCAGTGCACCATAGAAGCTCTATAGGGGCACGTTCGCGCCGATCCACGGCGTCGAGCGGCAAATCTCCAGCAAGCGCGTTTCTCTCCATGTGGAATACACGGGAAGAGCCACCGCCGAAACCTGATGATGAGGGTCAAATGGTCGGAACTGACTACGTTCTCGGAAAAGCCATAGGCTCTGGAGGCTTCAGTGTTGTTAAAGAGGCTTATAAAGTTGAAGAAAGTGGCGAAACTCGACGATTGGCCGTGAAGATCGTGAAAAAGCATGTTGCTGAGAGAAGTGAAAAGGAGAATGATGCAGTCCAGGCCGAATTCGACCACGAGGTTCGTGTTTGGCGGTATCTCAGCCACCCGAATGTGCTGTCGCTCGATGCAGTCTACGAGACTGATTATGCGACTTTCTGCTTCACGAAACTACACATTGGCGGTACCCTCTTCCACCTAATCCGCCAAAACCGACAGCATCACCGCAATCTACCATTGAAACTCGCAAAGAAATATACATATCAACTTGCATGCGCTCTGCGATATCTTCACGAAGATGCTCGGGTGGTGCACCGGGATATAAAACTAGAAAATTGTCTCCTCGACCCGGTTGAGTTGCCGGATGGCGCCAAAACTTCGAATCTCGTGCTGTGTGATTTTGGAATGGCGGAATGGATCAACGCGGACAACGATGATGAGCCCGATTCGTACGAATATCCCGGGGAGCGACCACCACTTCGAAGCATTGGCCCCTCTGATTCCAGCACCAGTGTCGCGGGGAGCCTCGAATACGCTTCCCCGGAACTACTGGACTCGTCTTCTGGGATCATCGACCCTTCAGTGGACATCTGGGCGTTTGGAGTCATTGTCTTCACACTCCTCGTCGGGTCGCGACCATTCCAGGACACATTTCAGCCTCGTTTGATATCCAATATTCGGGAAGGAATTTGGGATAAAAACGCGGTACTGGGCGACGGAAATGACTCAGAAGCACGCCGCGATGCCCTTGAACTCATCGCGAGATGCCTGGATATGAACTATCGCAGACGCTGGGCCGTTCGCGATATTCTGTCCTGTCGCTTCCTGCGCGAATTCGCAGAGAAAGCGGGCGACAACCAAGATGACGGTATCTGGAAGCTATGAGTGCCTACCTACTGCACCTCGGACTCGACTTGCACACACAGTACACCCAGGAACAAAAAAAAACGACCTCATGAAACTCTACCATCTATATAACGAGCGCTGGTGTTTGGGATTTTGAGTCGCGATACCCTGCTCTTTTTTGATTTTTTTAGCCTTTGTTATTTTCGCAAGTCGACTCTGTTAGTGCTTGGGACCTCAGCTTGAATTTGAATGGATGGATCGGATTTTTATCACTGTTACGAAAGCAAGGCGTTTGTTTGGAATGAGCCTCTTCTTTTCTCACCTGTATTTTCCTGCGTTTGCTTTCCAATTCAATTCATGTACTGTACTTATATATCAGGATGTTCTATTTCTAGGGTTCCTCTGGGTTGTGTTGGGGATATGTATAGTTTACCTTAGCTACCATTATGGATCTTAGGCATGGACAATAAATAACCTGTATTAAAGGGATCTTAAGCCTTCATCGAGTCTAATCTACATGTAGAACTGTAAAATGGCGAACAGCGAGCCAGCGTATCCAGAAATACAATAGACAAATAGATATCTAACCTAATATACATACACATAGTTACAGCCAGCATTCCAAGATTCCAAGAACAACCTTCCAGATCTACATCTACCAGAGCCTGTTCTCGGGCAAGACCTTCTCCTTCTTCGCAGCACCAGCAGCGCTCTTCCTCTCCACAGGCGAGCGGAAGAACAAACTGGGGCCCTCGAGCGGCTTCAGCAAGTGACTCAAGTACCCCCGGTGCGCAGGGTCACGGTAGTATTCGATATCACGACGCTTCGTGGGGTCGGGAAGGCGGTACTTGAAGCCCTTCTCACTCATGACCTTTGTCTCCAAGGCCCCCGCGACTGCAGAGCCGGCAGCAGATGAAAAGTCCAGACCCTCAGCGGCGTGTAGGGCCGCGTTCCCGCTCTCCTGGGCCCACTGTGTAGACAGGAACGGGTGTGTTTCGCGCTTCATGATGCGGGCGATGGAGGCCTTTGTGTAGAAGCGGGTTGTGACGGAGCCGCCGGCAGCTTCGACGGCGGCGATTGCGGAGGCTGAGGCGCGCGAGACGACGAGGTGGATGGGTTGTTTGAGGACGATCTTCTCTTCCACGAGTGCTTCTTCCTCTGCGGCTGCTGTTTGGGCTTCAGACTGAGGTTGTGATTCCGTGGTTGCTGTTGTTGTTGAGGACTGTTGTGTTGATGATGATTTGAATGTGGATTTGGCGGGGAGTTCGATGCCGCGGGCGAGGAGCTTCACGCCTTCTTTGGGGCTGTGGATGCATTTTGACTGCGCGAGTTCGCGGACCGTGATGGGCTTCGTGGGGTCGATGCGGCCCTGGTCAATCCATTCTTGGATTCGGTCGAGGTTGGCGGGGGCGAGATCCAGGGCAAAGCTATCATTCAATCAATAAACCATTTCTTTTGGGGGGCGGGGGGGTTTGATCCCTGTAAAAAGAGCGAAATGAACATACATGTTGTTAAATCCCCTCTCCCCGTGCACGACAATCTCTGGTGTCTGACCACCATTGAATCCTGCAGGAACCTTTCCGTGCTGTCCCTGACCCTTGTGACCCCTTCCGGACGTCTTTCCCTTACCCGAGGCAGGACCGCGACCCCGTCGGATGCGCTTGTTGTAAGCCCCCGGGTTATCGGAGAGCGAGGCTAGGATGTGCGCATTGCGAGATTGGGACGGGGCGCAGAGCGACAATTGCGACGGCTGGGCGAGATTTGGTCGAGGAAGAATGCTCCGCAGGTGGATCGGGAGAATTTGGAGCCTGGGAGGCATGGTTGCGTGTGCTTTTGGTGATGGTGTTGGCTGGCGTGCTGGTGTTGAGGCCGGCAGGATCTTTTTGGGTTCGGCCAGACTGGCGGAGAAACGTCGGACCGGTCAACACACCCGACGTGCAGGGTTCAGCGTTCAATGGGCAATCCTGCTGGATATGTTCAAAACCATGAGAAGGATTTTTTACTACTTGTTCAGTTTTTATTGATATAACCCTCTAGTGGCTTTACAGATTTGTTTAAGTCCCAATGCATCTGCTGAATGCCCACCCTTTATAGCGGCAGAATGAAGGCGGTGAAGCTCTATCGGCCGCTTGTATACAAACACTCGAACTTTGGTTTCACTTGAATTATCACTTGGGTTTAAATATTTTGGAGTATTTATTTAAGAAGGCTAGTTTTTGCAGTGTGACTGCTTCCCCTGACAATCATCCGCTTTCGGTCCACTACAAGAAATATTCCCAAGGCGACAGAAACACGAAGATGGGACTTCAACGTCCGCCTCCTCCAGAGCAAGGTCTAGCTGTTTCTTGATAGTGCTCGCCTCTGAATGACGACCCAGAAGTCCAAGGCACTCGTGATAGCCATGAAGAGCCCAAACGTTATTTGGATGCTGATGTGCTCGCTTAGGTGTTGGAATGAGTCCTAGATCTTCTGCATAAGCTTTCGCTGCCTGCTCGATCTTGCCCTGTTCCAAGGAGAGAGCTGCATATGCATGACGTGCTGGAAGCATCCATCCCCATGGCTCTGCGAACGGTAGCTCATCTTCTAAAATAACTGCGTCCTGCAGTCTTTTGAACGCGGTCTCGTAATCGCCTCGCCTGTACTCGATTTCACCATCTAGCATGGCGGATGCTACCTTGAGGATATCGGTGATTTTATTGGGAAAGTCTAGCCGTGTAGGAGGGACAAACTTGGAAGCGGCCTTGAAGCGCTCGCGCTCTTTATCGGCTTCTTCCAACTGCGAAGTGGCTGCGTACGCAATGGCTTTTCCATAGTGTCTCATTACATTGGTGACACAGTAGAGCTCCTTGTCTTCAAGCGGATCGAGTCTCTTCAGCTCATCCCACATCCCGAAACGAATGAGGACGTGCACTCTGACGGCCTTGAAAAACTCCATCCAGTTTGCCAGCGCAGGTATTTCTACGCGGAGAATTTCCTCTGTGATTGTTGCCTCCATCCGATCCGTCGCCGACAATGCCGCTTTGGACATCCCACCCAGCATCGCGGCGTATATCAGAGAGTGGTAATCATGAAGTCGATAATAACTGTAGAACGTGAGGCCGCCGTTCTGTTGAAAGAATTTATCATCTGCAACAGTCGCCTTGAAGTTGTACTCAACTGCGCGTCGGTAATCGCCCACAAGAACATCGATATGAGCAGGCATGTGGAAAGTATGACCGGTATCCGGAAATATCTCACGGATCAGCTCTGCAGCAGTAAGTGCGGCTTCAGGCGTCGCCGACATCTCCATCAGATGGATATACATGTGCGCGGGGCCTGGATGCCGTTCCACCCCCGGCAGCTTCAGACCCCCCTCAAGCAACTCCTTTACTTCAAAGACAGGAGACGACTCTATCGGAAGCCCTGTGGGCGCGTCGTACAGCTTCCTCGGAGCCACATTCATCAGCGCATCAGCGAAAAGCGTAATGATATCGAAATCGTTCTTTCCAAGAGTCGTATACACCTCTCGCATAGCATCGGCGTAGGCCTTGCTACACGCAAGAAAGTCTCTACTCGGATCATCATTAGGAAACCGCAGCGCAAGAGCCTTAATAACCGAGTGCTCCCAGTCTTCCAGGTTGTCCTTGTTGTCCGCCGCGCGCCTTAGAGCCTCCTGCGAATAAACATAACACTGCTTGATGGCATTCACCCGGTCCCGCTCATCAAACAGCGCCCAGGTCTTGTTATAGTTGGACCCAGAGCAGAACGAGACACCCCAGTAGGCCATGGCGCAGGTCTCGTCATGCGCGATTGCGCGTTTGTAGCAGATAATGGCTTCATCGTGATTGAAGCAGTATGTCCAGACGAGCGCGCGGTCAAACCATTTCTGCGCTTCCTGGGATTTTGTACTGACGGTACGACCCAGTGTACCCAAGTCGAAGTACGGATCGCTTGAGGGTTTTGCGACTTCGTTATTTTGAAGGCTCATTTTCAGAATACTGAGTCCAACTCCCAGACTGCGCTGCACCCCGCAGCCGAGGACCGGCCTCGGGAATTAAGTACGTATTTGAATTTCAAACGTGGCTCGACTGCAGATTCGGAGAATTCCGTTCGGCGTTTGCTGATGGCGCAATTCTAATACGGCAGCACACGATGGACTACTCAGTACTCCACAAGATATGTACGGTGGTCTCCAACTTCTATACAGGAGGGGTCAACACCCCAACCATTTAACGTTAATTCCTTTTCAAGTCCCGATCCACCAAATCCTCCAAAATAACCTCGCCCTTCTTCTCCGCCGCAATTCTCGCCAGTTTCAATCGTCTCGTATCCCGCTCTGTCTCCCAAGTCACCCACCACGTCACCAGAGTCAAGATCGCACAAAGTCCGACGAGCCCCATGGCGACGGAGAACGGAACGCTGTAGCGTGGCGCATACTCGCTCTTGAATATCTGTGGGCCAATGGCACCCCCGATCTGCCCGTAGCTGTTGACGAACCCGATTGAGAAGGCAGAGCCTGTGGCTCGGGAGGTGGTTTGGACGCGCCAAGGCCTGTTATAGTTACTTGTTAGCTATGCACTCATACTTATGGTTATGGTATGGTATGGTATGTGGAAAGAACGCACCACATCACAGGATACCAGCCCGCCGTCAAAGCATTCCCGATCAACGTTACGGCGTATATAGCGCCGTTACTCGGGTATGCAACAAACACCCCGTAGCAGACAATGATGACGAGAAGAAACGAAAGCGGGTATATAGGTCTCGGTATCCGACTGCGGTCTGCTGTGATGCCTGTAATGGCGATGAAGAGCAGTCCGCAGACTGTTATGGGGATATTGAGTAGTTGGGCCTGGGCAATGCTCCTACACATCATCAGCAATGCCGTATCGAGTCAAGTGATGTTTTTTCTCGTCAACTTACGTATAGCCAAGGTTGGCGATAACGGTGGACTGGTAGAATGTCACGCCGTGCGTGCCTACAGTAAAGGTCGCCCAGATGAAGGTAAACAGCCACAGCCTCAGATCCTTCAGAGACTCGATGACCTCGCGGAGTTTGAAGTTCTGCTCGCTGGCTCGAGGGGCGTTGGATGGGAGCCGGGCCTGGATGAATTTCTTCTCTTTCTCGGACAACCACGATGCCGTCTCGGGGACTGTTCACGGTATTAGCAGTTGGTATAAAGATTCAAGGAATTATTCTTACAGTCGGGAAGTAGGAACCAGATGGCAACGCCGAAAACGACGGTTGCGATGCCCTCTACGAGGAATAGCCTGGATATCTCAGCATTAGTTCCAGATGACGAGATAGCTTGAAGAACGATATTTACCATTGCCATCCAGAAAGGCCTCCTGCACCAGATACAGTGTCAAAGGCGTAAGCAAGAAGACCGCCGAAGATATTCGAGATGTTTCCGCAAATATCTACACATAATTAGTTTGTCGCTAATTATCAAGCTGCACCACTTACAAAAATAAAGTAATCGCAGGGACATCTCGTCTGGGCGATACCAGTATGTCATCTGGAGAATGACACCAGGAAACTGGCCAGCTTCGGCCTGTTATTCTGTTAGCAGGTGTAGATATCGTCTTGATTTATGGGCAGCGTACCACTCCCAGCAAGAACCGGGTGGTATACAAGCCACCCTTATTCTTCACCGCAGTATTGCACATCAGAAAGATACCCCAGCTGATCATAATCCTGGATTGCCATTTGGAAGGAGAGAATCTCTTGAGAAGTAGATTTGAGGGTGCTTCCAAGACGATATAAGGGACCTATCACATCCAGAGTTAGCAACACTCCCTGATACGCCCCAGGGATACCTTACATAGTAAAGCACCGTGACCAAGTTATACTCATTAGACGTAATTCCAAGCTGCGTCATGATATTATGGTCCGTGCCCTGGTTCATAATCCGAGCATTGGATATCTGCAACATTGTAAGTAATACAAATACGGCAGCAGGCAAGAAGTATAAGGTACACGCACGTTATTGCTATCCAGATTCTTGAACATAAAAATAAGCGAGCAAAGCGACATAAGCCGCCAATCAATCCTGCGCAGTAACTTCTTTTCCTCTTCTGCCGTGAGCAGCGTCCTAGCGCCCATCAGCTCTGGATCATATCCCTCGATGCGGTCTTCTTGGCTTGTTGAAGCTTCTACAGGAGCCTCGCCCCGTTTGGCAAAATGAAGCTCATTGCTGACGCCGTTTTCACTGGTCGATGTGATGTCAGTGGCTGTGGTCGTACCCAGGGGCTTTGAAGCGACCTGTTCGCTTCCTTTGGGTGTTGACTCTATCATAGTCGTGGGTTGTCAACAATGCAGTGTAGGAAATACCACCCTCTAGCAGCAATCACTCGGTATATATGCAGACCTCGATCTCTTTTTTAAAACCGCCAGAGGAGATTTTAGAAGCTGCAATACCCCGACACGACGCAGCAGGCATTGTATCATAGTCCACACGTATTGCGAACGCTAGCACGGTTTATCTGCATGGATCACGCCAACAGAGGAGACGATGGTGAGTGTTGGATCCACAGAGGCTACTCCAACCTCCCGTCCAGCTACTGTATTAGGCTATCTATCTACTTGCTTTGAGGTGTTGCATACCGATGTCCAGATTAATTCTACCCTAAGTGAAATTGAGGCCGGGTAAAGATATACAGGCCCAGCCAAGATCGTCGAGTTTCATAAGCCAACACTCGGGCATTGCACTCTAGCCCTGCTTCCTCTCTTTTAAAAATTACTACACCAAAGGGTCCGTTTGCCATGAACCATTCTGTTTGTATTAAATCGTAGTTTGTCATGGTGATAGTGCCAGTATGCGGACCACGTGACAAGCAATGGGGTTATAGCTCAGCGGGAGTAGCGTTCGACTGAAGTTCCAACTTCATTCATCCTTAATCGAAAGGTCCCTGGTTCAATCCCGGGTGACCCCAAGTTCTTTTGCATAAGACATTTTTGCCTGGAATGTGGGAGTGGAAAGTAGTGGGTGGATCTTGGGTGTCTACGGGTCCACAGCTTGCCCTAATTTATATAAGTTGCATACAGTCCTGTTTGCACAATATCAATGACACTTCAATCAATGAAAACAAGTACAACCGTCCTCTATCTTCTATGCTCAGGCTCTCACTCCGCAATCTCAACAACCAACTTCGTACAGCTCACCCCACGGAGTAGTTGATCCAGCCCAACATTAATAGCGTCCAAACCCCTCCCTACAACCATCGGCTCCGGACTCGGAATGATAGAGCTCTTGACCAGATTCTTCCTCAGCCACGTCCCCATCCAATACCGGAACTGCTCCAGCCTCTCCTCTTCCACCATCGACGGCATCACAAAGATCGTCTGCACCCCTTCCACAATCTCCGCATCCGGGGGTACCACAGGCGCGGATGCAATCTTCCCTCCTCCTTGCTCCCCTTCTTTGTCAAGGAATGCCTTGAGTACAGCCTGGCACGGTGCCAGTTCCCCGGTTGCAAGGAAACAATGCCGGATCATCAGCCCATCCTCTTTGGCCGCTGAGATGATTGCACCAACAACATTCGAGTCTTTGTAGCCGAACACACGGTCTGCACCTAATGAACCCACATATCTCATATTCCCCACCCCAGATGTAGCGTACACAGCCGCGAAAGAGGAGTTGGGATCGTCACGCAGTAATCGGGCTGTTTGGACTCCCATAGTGCCGACGCTGGAGGAGGCGCCCCAGATTAGAAGGGCTTCTCTTTTCGTTACATTATTGCTGCTGCTAACTTGCTTCTCTCCGTTGACATCGGCGTCTCTCATCCGCGGGATCCCCATGGCATCCCACGCGCTAAGAGGCACCTGAACGGCAACAGGCAAAGTCGCCGCCTGATTCCAGGACAATGACAGGGCCTCATCCGGAAGTGGCACAGCATGTTGCCAAGGGACAAGACATCTCTCCTGAAACGGACCATAGTCCGGATCACAGGACTTCCAGACGCAGGCAGCATAAGCTGCAATGCGAGTGATACCCGCTTTGAAAGAAGGTGGGACGTCGTCACCGACCTCGAGGACTAAGCCGGCAAAGTCGAAGCCAATTACCGTAGGATATTGAGGTACAAAGAGGCCGCTGCCACGCATATGATTGTCTGCTGGGTTGAGGGCTATAGACTTGACAGCGATGAGGAGTTCGCCTGGCCCTGGTTTTGGGGTGGCTCGGGTTTGGAGCTCAAAGGGGTGGCCTTTGGCTAGAGAGACGGCAGCGAGGTGGGTAGTCATTTTGTCTTGGGTTTGAATTTTGTAAAACGAGATTGTATCTGCTCGAAATATTGAGGGATCAGCTCCTTCTTATGCAATTCCGCAATTCCTCTATGATTCAGCGCTGCCCTGATTATAGATGCAGACAGCCAATCAGAGGCCACTGCATCCGACAGCAGGCTAGATTGTTCCTAAATGGGTTTAGCGTGACAAGTGACTACTTTAGGGTCGACGACAGTCATCAACTTCCCCCTCTACGGATCCCATCAGCATTGAATCAATTGAGTATGGAATCGACTCGTCCGGAGCGTAGACGTCCGCGCAGATCGAGATTTGGCTGCCGGAATTGCAAGCTCCGAAAATTGAAGGTGGGTGGCTCTTCCAACTGATCTACTGCTTGGCTGACCGTAAAGTGCGACGAGGGAAAACCGCACTGCAAAAGATGCAGTTCTTTCGGGATACTATGCAATTATACGTGGAATATTCCAGACCTTCAACCTATAGTGTCTGGCTCAGGGAGACCACTGGTGGTCCAGCCCCCTGTCACCAGTGCTGTCTGGACGTCCGACGAATCTACTTCATTTCAATACCAATTGAATGCGAAATGTCAAGACTTCATCACCCGATATCTAGGAAACAGTCTCGTCAGCACCACCCCAGGTGATGTTAATATGGTACATGTTAATCGCAAACTCCTGGGACTGGCATTCACTGTAAACATCAATGAAACTGTCACTATTCGGGCATATCGACTAACATGCCTGACAGTATCCTTATTTAATGCACGCCTCCCTAGCCGTGGCATTTTCATATGATCGTCATCTACACGGCTCACTAGGCTCCCGTCGCAGTCTAGAAGAATGCTACCACTGGTCCCAAAGCACAACCCTTCTCAACAGGCGGTTAAGGAAACCAATCAAAGAAGAAGACAAGGATCCAATCTGGGGAACTGTAGCTGCCCTAGCTGTCTTGTCCTTTTCATCACCCGACGCGCGCACACCCGAAGAATCATGGCCCTTGAACTCCTCTAACCAGTCCGATCTGAACTGGGTATACATGGGCAAGGGCAAAATGTCCCTATGGGATATCGTGAACCCACTACGACCGAACAGCATTTTCCGCATCATGGCAGCAACCTTTGCTCAAATGAACCTACCCTTACCAGAACGTGGCATAGAGGGTATACCAGCCCCCCTAGCCGCCGCTTGTCTCCTAGAAGACTCCCCTTCTACAACACAAAACGATAATCCCTATTTCGACGCTGCACACGCCGTGTCCCACATCCTGCACCTCCCAGATAGCGAGGTCACAACCGGCCAAACCCAGCTTTTCACGCGCGCCATCCATGGCTCTTTCGAGGATCTGCTCCGGAATAAAGACCCTGTGGCGCTTTTGTTGCTGTATCTGTGGTATCGCAAGACGAGCCGCAGTATCTGGTGGATTGAGCTTAGAGCTAGGGTTGAATGTCCTTCTATCTGCAAATATCTACGGACATATCATGGAGGGAATGCTGCTGTGCAGGCATTTCTTCCGGGGGGTACTCTTGCTGATAGATGGGATCGTTAATAACTGCGACGGATTATACGATACCACTACTCCTGTGAGAAAAGGACTCGACGATAACGAAAACAATAACGAAACTTGAAAGTTTCCACTATAGCCTCACGACAAGGATGCCTACTCGTACAACCCCGCCAACTCCCTAGACTCTACGGCCGATGATGGTGACAAGCCAAGCTGCAGTGTTGACTATATATATCAACCTATCTTTAATTGATACTTCACTACCCTACTGCTGCTTTCTCTCCATGTACTTGGACTCGGGAGTACAGTGGGGTATTTTGAGTTTACTAGTGGCAAGTGGACCCGATTGGCTGTTGTGAAACATGATTGGTTGGATCCAGCCAACTGTATATGAGAGATGTACAAACATGTTAATAAGGATACTCTGAGCTCTATTGGGCTTTTAACAAGGCTCTGACTGATAGTTCAACTGTTTTCCAGTTATCTCACCTGATATCAGCAGCATAGATACAACAAACCCAACGAAGAGGCCGATTATAGTGGCTGAATTACAGTCGTACTCTCCCCCTCCCCATTGCAGAGCGATGAAGAACATGACTATCGATGAGACGAACAGTACGCAGCCAATCAAGTCCAGCTGGAAGATTCTCTGGAATATTGTCTTTTCCCGGCCACCGGTTTTGTTCTGTCCATAACAAAACAAAAAAGCTGCGTATGATATACTCCTATATTGGTGACTCCGATTCCTACCCTCAACCACAGGGCCTGATCAGCCAATAAAATGCTTAGATGCAGCCGGAACTCGACAAGAAATGGGGCATTCATTCCACGGCGCGAAGGTGTTGTTCGGTGCTTTATAGGCTACCATGGCGAAGAGTATGGATGGATTTATATGTTTGAAAAATAAAGATTGGGCCGAAATGGCGCTGTAGTATGCCGCTGAGCTCATGGATGATGTGGAGGATGCGGAATTTCCAGTTTGGAAGCTGATACAGGGCGAAGTGGTTCTGCTTGCCTATTAAACTTCAGCCTCTACGGCTTGAATATTGACGGGTTTACAAATGTTTACTTGGAAAATAGGTGCACGGCTGAGAGTAAACTCTCAAAAAAGCTTTAACTATTTTGGACAAGGTGACCGATCAATCGGCCTGGGGATAAGCATCCCATGTATCATGCAAATGCAACACCTCATGCCAGTGGATGCTGATGGTATGAGGTAAAATCAACGCCATGGTGATGCTGTGGCCGGAACTAACAAAGACAAATCACCTCCGGGTCCCCGAAGAAAATGCATGTAATGCTTCTTGCATAGAAACCCATCTATGATGCCAAAAACGCCAGAATAAATGCAAGGTCATAACGAAGTAAAAAGGTGTACAGTATACAAGGTTTAGGGTGAATACAAAAGGGAGATAAAAGACGTAGGGGGATATGGATGCGAGTCATGAATCGTGAGCGACGTAAAAGGAAACGACTCAGTAGTGTGGAGTGGAATGGAAGCTGGGTGGAATGTACGGTCCTTGGGTGAATGCATCGTGGTGGAGGTAAGGCAACAACCCCGTTCTGCGCTCAGCAGTTGACTTCCCTAACGGCTGATAATGCATATGGTCGAAAGGAATGGAGCGCTGGTGCTCGAGAGAAGCTGAGGGCGGAGGAATCAGCAGCGTATTGACGCTTCGCACCGGACGGTACGGGGAGTTTCTGTTCGCCAGGAAGAACGATGGAGAGAGGTGGGTAGTTGGAGTGTGGACAGCGTACGCAGATACGGCAGGTGAAACCGTAGCCGACGACATGCCGTACGGGCTGCTGTGGTGCCTTGACGGATCAGGTAGAGATAAGCCCGGGGTCAGCACACCGTTCGACAGAGGTTGAGAGGCCGTGAATGTCGGAATCTGCGATGCCCAGGTACTAGGGTTGTAGACTGGAGGCATAGTAGAGCGACTAGGTGTGGTGGATAGCTGAGGCAGGGAGGTGGGGAGGTTCGGAACAGAGTTGTTGGGAGGCAACCGTGGAGCAGGTCCAGGAATGCTCTGTTGTGGCGGTGCCGATGTTGGAGCCATCATTGGTGGCAAAGCCGGCACGCTCATCTGAGTCGCAGGTGGCAGGCTTGAAGACGGAAGCGGCATATTCGGCAAAGCCATTTTCTTGGACGGATGTTGCTCTTCAACTGGCTCTTCATAGCGCCGCTTTCGAGAGGTATTAATCGGGGGTATTTCGCTCGCGGCTTGAGAGAGGCCACCATATGAAAAACCATTCACAGGGGGCCATGGTTGGGAGTGTACAGGCTCAGTGGAGGGCGATGGCAGCCTCGTGGAAGTCGGTGACAGCTGAGTTCGTGCGGCTCCGAAGCTCGGCGAGAGACGAAGGACTGGAGGGGTGGGAAGTACATCGTTATTGTCCGAAGCCAGGGGTGCGCTATTGAAAAAGTCGGCAAATAGGCTGAGTTTGACGTGCCACTGTGCCCATTCCTTCTCGGATGCATAAAGGTTGTATCGAAGGTTGCTTAGAAATTCCACCTCCATTACATGGATCTCCTGAACCGATATCCTAGACACATCCGCCCAGGTCTTGTTGGTGTAGGTGTTGTCGTCGAGGACTAAACCCGAGTATTAGCACAATCATCCAGCCCAAAGAGATGGGACGGGGGACTCACATTTGTTCCCCAACATGAGAGCAATTGTCATCAGGCGGTATTCGCTGCCCTTTTTCCCACGCACTGCAGGGTTGGACTTTTTCAGCCGGTAGATGAAGAGAAGCGCCAGCAGAACAACGTTCTGGCTCACTTGCGTCGTCGAGAGGATGCTCGACACCCACTTCTGGAAGCCAACTGAAGGGATCGCTTCAGGCGAAAGTGAGGCCCCATGACTGGAGCGTTCCTCGATCGCCCTCAGCTTCGGCGAGCTCTCAAACCAAAACAGGCAGGTCATCTAATAGCAAGTTAGGCTTGTGGTCCTCTCCAAATAGGTCGATATCCTTACCTGAGCAGCAAAATCCGGCAGGTTTCCCTTCCCATTGTTGATTGAGGCAGGAACCTGGAGGTAAGAAGGTCTGGAACTATCCTTATCTTTTGTCTGGTTGTCCGTCTGATTGTCCGTCTGGAGATTTGACGGTTGCTTGCTGAGCACCTGAGTTTTTGGTTGTTGCTGCTGCTGCTGCTGTTGCTGCTGGGTCATCCGGTTTACAAAGTCAGCACCCATCCGTGGATAGGATGGGACTTTGTTGTACACAGGAACAGCATATCCTTCGGGTTTCCCTCCATAAGAGTGTAAGTTTGAGTAGGCGACGCCATTCATGTCGCTCGGAGGGGTGGGAAGGCCGTCCCTAAACGGGCCGGTCCAAGGAATATCAGGCACCTCCAAATGGTTCTGAGAGTGTTGTTGCTTTGTGATAGCAGCCGGACCGTCTGTCCGTGAGTCGTGGGGAATCGTCGGGGTAATTGGAGGGGCAGCGAGATACGAATGCGTCGAGAGCATCGGTAGAGACATATGGTAGAGATCTGAAGTCCGAGAAAACCGGAGAGTGGGGAGAGAGGAAGAAATGAGACCTTGGAAGCCGAAGTGTCATGAAAGTCCCATTGATGATGGCCGGTGTTGTTGAGCAGGTTTGTGTTATTGAAGGGCTGCTGCTACTAGTATAGGTAGTATAGCAACCAAGCGGATCCAGAAGTGAATGTTGTTGGCGGTGCCCTGTCAATGGAATGAAGGCACGTTGAAGGGGTGAAAGCCAGGCCACCAGTCCAGGACAAAGATGATCGGTGGCATAGCAGTGAAGGGTTCAGGCAGGCATGTCATACATATAGAAAGAGACGCTTGAGTAATAATATATGGAAGGCGAGGTTCGGATGGAGTTATGGATCGCAGCCATCCAGAGTTGCAAAGCCGGAGCCGACTAGACCAAAAGGGTAAGTGAGAGGGAAAATTAAAAATTAATTTAAATAATAAAACGACAAATAGGAAGCGGAATTTTAAAAAGAAACGATTTAGTATAGAAGACAAGATCCATCGCGCCCAAATTTAAAATCGAAAGGGCAAAAAAGGAAAAAAGAAAAAAAAAAAGTCAAAAAAAGACTAAAAAAAATTATGAATGGGGAAAGGGAAAATTAAGGGAAGGGCGAAAAAAAGAAAACGGAAATTAAACGAAAAGAGGTGAAAGAAACCAAAGTGTAGATGATAAAGGACGATGAAGTCAAGGCATCATCTCAGCAGCAGCAAATAATGGCACGGCATCGTGAAAAGCTCCGCCCTTTGGCCAGGGTGCCGGACGAACGAGGTTAGCCCCAGCGCTGTGTCCATTCGCAACGGACAGAGTTTGAGCCGGGCCGGACGCAGGTCCAAAGGGCTGATCCTCCTTTTGTCTTGGAAGAGAAGGTGCAAGTGAAAATGAAAGTGAAATACCGGTTGATGTCAGAGCGGCGGGGGTGGATGGGAATGGGATTGGGGGAACGGAGAACAAGGGAAAGGAAACAAGTGGATGCATGCGATGGGCAGGAGTCTCAGTCAGCCGAGAAGGGAAGAGAAGTGAACCAGACCCAAGGCCAAACCCAAACCAAAGAACGGGGGCGTTGCTAGGCTGCCAGGAGGGATGGATGGGTGGAAGAAGGGACGGGAAACGAAAGACGAAAAAGACGAGTCCGCCAGCCCCATCCTCGATCCAATGGCAGCCCGGCCTGACCGTCACATTGCAAGCCCAGTGCGAGTCTCGAAGGGGGGCGAAATCCCAGGGGGCCGGGCATTGCTGGCGGTTACTGTGGTCGCTACTGGCCATGGTGTGGTTGATCACCGGAAGCCAAAGGAACTTGGAATGCCTGGCATGCTTCCTTCGTAAACAACGCCCGCACTATCGTATCATCGTATTGAATCCGCGGACTTGCATGTCTTCGTTCGTCTTCCAGCGACCGTCCACTGGCTGGTGGTACAGCAAGGTGGGACATGAAGTGGTGATTGAGGTGGATGGGAGGGCGCCGAGAGTGGACTAGGGTGTAAAATATGTCACAACATTACAGCACTCGGTTTAATTCAGGACCCAGTCAAGAGGCTGGCACCCTGGCCACGGCAGAAAATTCGGCGGTTGGACAGTGAGGGGGGCGACATCATGGACTCAGGAGATGCTAAACTGCAGGTGGAGTTGCAGCCGACTGCGACTGCGACAAATCTGACCAGGAGTCCAAGTCACAGACGAAGTACCTCTCCACTCCGCAAGTGAGACCAGGTCATGAAATTGTGTCTTGTGCAAATGATGCCAAATGGATGGATGGGATGCAAGGTGTCTGGCTGCACAAATCAGAGGCACCCGCTGCGTATCCCCATTAACACTGTTACCGTCATTTTTTGCATGCGTCAGCAACCCGGGCGACCAACGGGCCAATCGCCGCTTTCAGCACAGCCTTGGAAGCCCGATCTTCCTTGGGGCATGGGGCCACAATAATAAGCGCCCTTGGATTTCCGGCAACTGGCAAGAATGAGCAGGAGAGAAGAGAGGATTAGCGTTTGTTACAACGTTCGTATTATGGAGGCCTGGTGGCCGCTGAGGCGGTGGCTTCGTCGTTATCCACCCCAACCAAATTCACCACAAGTTGGACAAGTTGACCTCCAGACTGGCCGGCCGCGGTGTTCCGTGTATCGTCCAAACAAAATTACGTCTTAGGTCATCCTCCCGCCCACCCTCGCTCCCAACTGGTCCAATCCAGCTTCTTTGTCGGGGAACGAACTTAACCAAAAGTTCCAACTTCAGTGGCAGAACTGGAGGTTGAAGGATGGCAAACCCCCGAGGATAGTTTTGTCAGTCAGAGAGCCACCCAGCTGACGATCCATCAAGGTGCAGCTGCTGATTCCGGTTTCCACGTCCGACGCCTGGAGCACGTCAAGGTGGTCAACCAGTGTGCTCGTGGATGCCACTGGATGATACGTATCGTAACTGCTTTCGGACTAGCCTGGCTCAGCACTGGCAGCCTCCTCCACTCCTCTCGTCCATAGTTCGGGGCCATCTTGCTCCTTCAGGTATACTTCATGCTGCAGCCTCATGTTCTTGGGTCGCAGATTTGAGCCCAGACACTCTCCGTTCTCCATCCTGTAAAGTAAAAAAGATGTCGAGGCAAACTGTGATGGCGCTGCGATGGGGTCACCCACCCCAAACAGTACATCGGTGCGAGTAAGGTATCGTCATGCTGAATCGTCGTCTGAGTTACGCCAATCGTTGTCGTTTGATGCCGATGGGACAACATCATATACTTCAATCACTCCAATAATGACTACGTTCCAGGAAAGAAAAGAGGCGCAACGAACAACCCAGTCATGGGCGGCCAAACACCGCTAGGCCTGCGTCACGTTTAATAATCAGTAATAAACGAGCCAAGTCGAGCATTGACATGCGCAGTGATAGCTCTCTCGTCTGAGCAGGAAGCTAGCAACTTGGAATAGTGTACGGAGTATGACCCGCCAACGAAATGGTCGTTGCCTTCAAAGCGTGGAACTACGGAACACTCGGGCTAGACAATTTCTGCATCGGGCACCTCAACCTGAGGACAACCAGAGTTCAGGAGGAGAGATATCCGACCCTGATACCAGTAGTGCAGACGATGGCTTCAAGATGATTCAATGAAAAGCAACAATCGAGTCGATCGATGCGCTCGAGACGACACCTCAAATACGACCTCTCATTCGCCTGATTGCCCAGCCGCGGCCACCGCCAACCCCGCCCTCTCGAATTGTTTCGCTGGCCAAGGGGATTGAAGGGGGAAATTCCGCAGGATGAACCCTCCTGAACACAAGTGGTATCCGCAACCTTGGTAAAAACAATCCTGGTCTTGGTTGATTGTGTGTGGTGGCCTCTGTTTCGGTTTCTTTTTCCTGGACCGAGCAACATTCCAGGCCCAACCCCTGCAATAATAAGCTAAACGCCTGTGTTCAATGCAGCTCGCTATCTCAATGAACCCTGCCGGTGACCGAGAAAACGGATACTTCAAAGTTCAAGGATTCGGGCGTGGTCTATCATGTATGCTTTCGGAAGTGCTCACATCCCTGACGGCATCTGCTTTGTAGGCAAAATCCCCCTCGATTCATCTCTGGGGCCCATTATCCATCGTTTGAGGGCGATTCATGGCTGGTCTTCGCCAGATTTAGCAAGGCTTCTTGGGGTTTGTGATGCGCATCATCCACTGCCTGTGCTCCTCTTGGTCCAAGTCGCTTGGAAAACTGGGCCTGGGGCAACAGGGGATTGTTCCAGTGAATAGGAATCCCTGTCCTCCCAGCTCAAAGGGCAATCATGTGATTTTTTATTTCACTATTTTCAATACCGGAGACGATGGATGATAGAAGACAAACTAACAGCAGGCTAGTCATGATAGGCTGATACACCGATAATCTTGAGACTCGAGCCAGACTGCCGCTTTTTTGCCTTTTCAGCTTGGACTGCAGGATACGGATCGCCAGGCTCTGGTGACGACTTCGGAGACTGCTCCATAACGAGGGATTATTCTCGTTTGCTCCAAGAAGACGACGACGACGACGCTCTTGCATTTGAGTCAACTCGTTTATCTCCAAAATCCGATCGAACAATCCACAGCCGCGTTACCTTTCGTAGTTTAGGTCGTCCATAGCCTGCTTATTTCCAGCCCGCATGGGACTGACTCTCGTCGTCACCTGTTACCAGCCCACTTTGTAACGAGAAACTGCCTAGATAATTGTAACATGGCTTGCCGCCAGCTGGTCGTTCCAGAACACAAGAAGAAACGACTCTCCGAGCCGGTGGAGCGCGAAGTGCCACCGCCTGCCCATTGGCCGAAACCGAGAGGATTCATTCTCGTCAATCTGCTGAATTCACGAGTTGCGTATCAAAGATCATCGTCATCATCATCATCATCAGACTCCAGCTCCCATTTTATCTGGAACCTTCAACCTTGGCTAGGGCCGGGCTATTCACCATCCAGCAAAGCCAAAGGCGCAGCCGCGGACGCCGGATGGAATCATATGGAGTCAAGGCGTCCACGACGATCGGAAGTGTGATCCAGTTTGACTCCAGCGCCTGAGACAAGACGCAATAATGGTGATATTGGGAATGGCTTGCGAAGTATTGTTTCCATCGCTTGCATGGTCGCAGTTGCAGTCCAACGTCTTGTCTTCCAGCCGTGACCTTTTTGCTTTTTTTCGACTCTGAACAGTAACAGTTAGTGAACACTACCCTTGGACTACCTTGAACTACGGTGCTATTCACGGTATCATGGCGGCGATCTTGACGAGCAAGTCAGCCTCAAGGCAATATCCGGGCAAACTTCAGATGCTCGTGCTCTAGTCCCTCCCCGCTAGATATCCCTTTCCCCTCTTTGTTTGAGATGTAATTATTACGGGAGAGAAGGCCCGCATGCAATCCTTTCAGCCGACACTTCTCGAGATCAACAAGCGAGGGCCTGCGATTGGCAGGCTATTCGCACCCCGTTCTTGAGCTGTCCGCGCTCCGGAGGAAACTTCACATCAGAGAAATTGATAACCCCAATGGCTCGGGGACGCTGGGCGATTATTACTTTTTTCCAACCCGCTAGTCGTAGTCCATAGCAAACGCCGTTAATTTCGATAAGTCCCAAATTTTGCAGCCAGCTTCCAACTCGCCAGTCGCCACAACGCTGCGTGGAGTGTGACTCCATCTTCCAAATTGGTCACCGCCACGACCGAGAGGTCTCCGCAGGCGGCTGACTCAGCGTGCACGGAGCTCGGCTGGGACGCGCCCCCAAAAAGTCCAACCGAGTCAACGACGCGTTCCCCAACCCAAATGTCCTCCACGTCCAGCCGTCACCTTCACGTCGCGGTGGATGTGGATAGTCGCTGAGCCGTCCAGACGGATTGCTGGTTTATTCTGGGATGACTGACTGCTGCGTCTAACTTCGCTGATCTTAACTTTCTCTCTCTGTCATTGTTCTACTTTGACTCCGCTTGTGACCACTGCCCGACAGGGGTTATATGCTCCATGTCGGAGCCTGGATGGCAGATGCAGTCTTCTGATCGTCTCGTCCTCGAGACACGCTGTGACCGACGCCCTTCCGCCCGCCCATTCGGCACTTGACCCTGGAATGGTTAAATGATACTGTCCAAGGGGGTGTGGTGTGTGCCTTTCGAGCCGCTTGCAGGTAAGCCGATCGACATGGCTGGAATAATAATAGCCAAGTTAATCGTTTGCACCCGCACTCCTGCAAGCTGGCAACATTCGACGACTGCTCTGACTACTATTACGACCACCTGTCGATGACGAGTGACAACCCTTGGGACCAAGCTCAGCGTCGGCGCACCGACCTTGGTCATTAGTACGATGTTTATCCGTGATGCATCTCCCTCGCGGCTTCGCTCCGATTGCGAAACAGTTATTAGTATTATTGACCAACGTTGCTTATTATCGAATTCAATATCGACGTAACCTTTCCCACTCCTGGCTGCCATGCTGACTTACTGCATATTACCTATTATTATCCGACAGTCGGTTCCCCCGTGCCTGGGTGGATAATCATGGCTTTCGGGGAAATTTTTTTAGCAGCGCTTGGTTTCCTTCCTTCCTGGTACTGATCCGCTTGTCCTGCAAGCGGGCAACGGGAGCCGTGGTCGACACCTTGAGGGTGCTTTCGCATGATCACATCACCGGATAATGTCGATTCTCGATATATGAAAAGACAGGCATCTCCAGTCAATACCGGGACAACAGTTCCGTTCGCACCTTGCCGCTTTTTTTTGTTTTTTGAACAGCTCCTTGCATTCATTTGATCCCTGCACAGTGCAGGCGAAACA